TGCAACTAAGTGTTAAAAATGGTTGCAGACATATACATGTAGGGTTTATTTGTTTTATCATTTATCCAGATAACTATTCTACCTACAATATATTTCGTGTGCAACTATTTTGAAATATGTAAGCAAATAGATAAAATACATACCCTCTGTATCAAAAGTATTTTCCTATTGAGAAAACCCTTAAATAACTTTTGTATAAGGCAAGTAAACTTAATGAAACTTTACATGCATAATTTGAGACATGTAATACACCCTCTGTGAAAATTTGGAGACAATTGATTGATTTTTAGTCAAAATATCACATATAGAACATAGCATATACCAAAAACACCAATGTGACTTTTTTCAAGTTTGTGACGTCAATTACACTTACCTAAGATTGCCAAACTGACCAAAATCAGGTTGCTCTGTAAAAGTATGCAGACAAAAGTCGTTATATATTAAATGCTAATTTTGAGCAGAATGTGTTATTAAATATACAAATAATGTACTCTGAATGTCCTCATACATTTTACTAACAGTCCTGGACCATATTGTACTCCACTTAACCCTTTCTTGACCAAAATTATTTGAGGAATTCAGAAATATGTTGTCACAATAAGCACTGCTCTCCTTAGTATATCAATGTTCGGTGCATTATGATTCAGAATTATTGCAATAAAATGGAAATATGATAGATTCTTTTGAATTAAATACCAAAAGTACATCAAGAATATTTAGAAGATAAACCCCTGAGAAAATCATATTGACACATTAGTCACAAAATTATACTTATTGAGGTCATTGGGCAGGAAAAGGGGTAAATATTAAGGAAATATATATGGCATAACAATGAACAGTTAGGCAATACTGTTCTAAGACCCAAGTGTAAGGACTTTTGCATTGTTATTATACAGCTTTCAGTGACACCTTTATTTTATGAAATATACAACTCTCAAGAACAGGATCATTTGTAAAGTCTATACCATATTCTGATTGCTCATTATTAGCATATTATATATAATTACCTTTGTCCACTTAGTTTTGCAGAGCAGCCTGACTTTGGTCAGTTTGGCAATCTGAGGTAAGTTTGACGTCACAAACTTGGAAAAAGTCACATCGGTGTTTTTGGTATATGCTATGTTCTATATGTGATATTTTGAGTAAAAATCAATCAATTGTCTCCAAATTTCCACAGAGGGTGTATTATATGCTTCAAATTATGCCTGGAATGTTTCATTAAGTTTACTTGCCTTATACAAAAGTTATTTAAGGGTTTTCTCACTAGGAAAAGACTTTTTGATACAGAGGGTAGGTAAAATAGCTTAAAGTGTCTCACATATTCGATCAAAATTTGCCATGCAAACATGTTAGTCTACTTTACTGGCCCCCCTTGCTGTAACAAGGAACCCAAAACACATTAAAACGTAAACATAAACCAATTAGTCACTTCACTATGAAAGTGAGGGGTGTACGCTGTGTGCAATGACTAACACAATATCAGTGGTCATTTACTGTGTCAACTTAGTAACCCTTGCATATCGTGCTCACTCAAGTATTGAATATTTTTTTATGATCTAAATGTTTGTGGTTTATAAATAAAAGTGATATACATTAATACAGTTAATTATACAGTTAGAAATACATTAATTAATATATTCATTCAAACAGCACTAGAATGCGGGAAGAAAGAGCAATGGTGACAAAATGCAGACAGAATTTTCCGTAAGGGTTTCAAACATTTCTAAACACAATCATACATGTACTTCAAGTGTACTGTTATTTTTAGTGCTATATTTATAGATATAATTTCACGTATTAAAATCATATTTTCCAGCAATGACTTCAAATTCGGAACCACACCTTAATTACATTTTCTTCAATAACTCCAAACATGTGTAAACATTGACCATGTGCATATAAATTCAGATTTCACGAGCTCTTTCCTATTCGAGTACCTCATACACCCCTGCATGGATATGAGTTGGATTCGCCTTTTATACGTGACCCGACACACTCGCAAACGCTGATTGGATAAAGATTGCGAGAATCTTTAAAAGAAAAAAGAAAATTCAAAACACAGTCTACAAATGTAAGTAAAACACATTTAAGAGAAAAACTAGCGATGAGAAAAGCAAGTTCCGAAAATTAAACAGTGTGTATTATACTAAAAGAAAGCAATCCATTCGGTTTAATAAGTCTCATGATTGTATATGTATAAAGAGAAAGTAAAGTTGGAATAACATATTAATAAGAGTAAAAATCATTAGTGAATAATAATAAATGAAAAAATCACCTCGTTTTGGGTAGAAATGATCCGCCAGAGCACTTGCTTCAAGCGGTCCGGAAATCGGTCCAATTATTTCGCATTCGTTGACATCGCTGCCTTCGATTCTTTTTACATTGTACGAACTACAAATGTCGTTTGATAAACAAAGAATGGCACAGCCCAACGAAGTTTTGCCGCTAACAGTTTGTGTAACGTTTCGTGTTCTGGTCGAGTTAGCCAATTTGATAAACCATTCTTGTTTACATTCAACTGCAGTACTATAACACAAAAACAACAACAGGAGCATGGCGTCCATTGTAGAGCATTGCATTGGTCCGATAGCTCTTGATAGCTCCCCTCACTCTGTGATCCTTCACTCTGTCCCCCGTCTGTGCGAATTCAGTGAAAATGCCTTCACTCCGCATATCGTATAACGTACGTCACTTTCTATTGCAATCAAAAGTTAACATCACCCAATCAAAATCTGCTTCGATGATTCTCTGATATCTGTCGACCAATGATAATCAGAGAACGGTGGAAAAGCAAACAGGGATATGCCATTCATGACTATTTATCGACAAACTAAAATGCATATGAGCTAAACATTACACGTTTCCTTATGGAAGTAGATTTCATAATTTTTATGAACTGTTTTTTTTAACTTCCTTCACCAGTCTTCATTTTAATACAAACAGCTCATAAGAATGCTCGTTATTTGTCATTTTTAAGGACGTTGGTTGCCAACCTCTAACCTAGAGTGGCAAACTGATTAAGTGTCTATGGGCAGGCCTGTAGCCAGGGGGCACATGAGGGAGCGGAAGCTATCCCCCCGTGGCCAGAGATGCGTTTTGAGTTTTGAAGACTCAATGCTTATTTATCACATTGTCACACAAAACTATCTTTATATTTCAAAAACTTTAAAATATTTCAGGTATAGTCGTTGTCGGAACCATTATTGTCATCCAGCCTCTCTCTTATCAAGCACTCTCTCTCTCTTATCTAGTATAAATAACATGACGTTATCTGTCAGGACCAATTAATGGATGATGTCGTCTATCTATGCCCAACTGTTCTTGAAACTTCAAGAAGAATATTGAAATTATGCACTGTCCCATACGGCAGTAATAAAAATCGGATATGGGCTGACCACATCCAGATTCATTTATTAGTATTTTTCAGTTGATGTCACGGAACGTATGCACAATTCAAGAGTGAACATGAAACCTTTCTCTTAAAACGTGTAAAAACAAGTCCATTTATTGCTTGTAATTACTAAGAGTGAGCTTGTTGCAAGACTTCACTTCACCCTGTCAATTCTATTAGTAAATTGGTAACCATTGTTATGAGTCAACATTTCTTCTTCATAACGATAATGTCCTGCATGTAGCATCTGGGGATTCGGGCTGACGGAAATATACCAGATTTCATAAAATATATAACTTTCAGGTATTAATAATTAATTTCGTCGGAATAACTTCTTTATATCTCTTTGTTTGTTATCCAATATTAACCAAGTGCATTATAATGCATTACGGGATTTATATTACCGCTCCCCATACAAAGTGATTTTATTCCAAACATGTTGAGGAAGCTTATATGTTTGCGTTGGAAATTCATTTTTTACACTGTAATACCCATTTTAGCGTCATGCATAATGTGCCATTTCGTTTAAAACCGATTTCGTAAATTATCTCATACTATATCTAAAGAATATATAACGATAGGCCATTCAATATGGTTAAATTCAGCACGATTTGGACAGAGTATGTCATCGGGCTCGATTGAACACTACCGAATTTGAACTAATATTTGCTAAATGCCGGTCATTGATCTAACAATCGAACAATCGGGCAAATTCATAACCTCACATTGTTGAAAAGTGTAGCCTACCTCGACGGTAGATCCCTGGGAGTAAATGAGTAATAATATTATTATAATTGACCATCGAGTTAAAACAAATCCATCCACTTGGGAATTCCATCTACACAATAACTTAAATGAATATTATAGTCACCTATTACTTATCAGTACCTCATCCATCATCCAAAACATATAATAGATGTATTAATTTTGCTGATTGTTTAATTAGAAACGGCGGCATGAACTTATTGTCTAGGCCGCTAGGGAAGCATGATTCAAAGCAGCATAATAAATACCAGAAACAACATAGCAAAAATTGTTTTTGAAAAATCTGCCTCTAGTCAGATCGACTGACAAAACAACCTTTTTTGGGGCTGTCGAGTTGGCCAAGAGGGCTTGAGCGCCGGCACGTTCGAGCTAGGCGATTGGGCGTCGTAACCACGAGGTTGCGAGTTCGAGACGCGTGTGCTCCTTGTGTTTATTCTTCATTGACATCATTGACATCATTGACATCAGGGTCAAATTCGCTCCGTAGATTTAGTTAGACCTTGATAATTTATATTCGGAAGATTCAATTCGTTGGACGGCAGAATGAAGCTTACTTTGAATAACAGCAGGAATATTTATAATTGATCTCATCTTCAATACTAACTGCTAGTTGAGCTGGACATTGTAACAGAAATCATTGTTCCTATGATGTATTATGGCTCCATATTTTGCCAATATGATGGTATAGTAAGATGTTTTCCTTTTGCTGTTACGAAATGATATATGTCTTAAGCATCTTCGAAACAGTATGTCACTATCCAAGCGTTTCACATGTTACTGAGGCTAGACCATTGATTGTGTTTTTATTCAACATTGTAAATTGTTGTTACTATAGACGTTCATGATGTTGGGGAAAAACGCTTTGCTTCGTCTTTCGCTTGCATTTTCAGTATTGTTGCAGGTTAAATCGGAATCACCTATTGTGAATCTACCAAATGGACAAATACGAGGGACACAGGATACACTATCAAATCCTCACAATTCGCCCTACCTACAAGATCGCGATCTGACCTACAATAAGTATCTTGGAATTCCATACGCTGAACCACCAGTTGGAAATCTGAGGTTCAGACCTCCAAAGCCGCTCGATAAAAAATGGTCAGGTGTTAGAGATGCAACCACACATGGCACTGCGTGTATGCAACACAAAACGAAGATAATCCCACCCCCCGATAAAATGAGTGAAGATTGTCTGTACCTTGATATCTGGTCGCCTGGGAATAATACAAATTCTGAGCCCAAGGCAGTCATGGTTTGGATTCATGGAGGCGGGTAAGAAAATTAAAATTCAGTAGTTTACGTGTACTTAATTAAACGAATACTTCATTCAATTTAGAAGAATATACCTGTGTATCTTTTATATGTGACATTCATGTAGCCTGAACGTCCTGTTGATAAAAGTCAGTTTTTGTTTTTATGTTCATATTACAACCTTTAATCAATTATTTACCCCATACTCACTGTGGCTAGTCGAAATATGTGGATGCAGTCATGTACATGTTATGTATCGTAAGTGCTCGCGTACACTATAGGGAATGGGGTCATTGTAAAAATATAACAGCAATTCGAGGTAGGTAATTTCAGAGTTTTTACTAAACATTGAGTTATGAAATATTGCATACATATTCAATATACTATAGTATGACAATATAGGAAAGTTTCAGCTACTACTATACATTCCTGTTATAGAGAAGATATTTCAGCAACATTTCGTAAACGTAAACATATATGTATGAATCGGATGCCAATATGTATCATTTGGATCTAGAACGGTAACAAATGGATGCTATCATAAATTATACTTTTATCATATTGATTTATTTATAGATGAACAACTGGCCAGATTTCCTTTGTATCCATTGCTTGGATAAACATTCCACATTCAGTGAAGCAATTGACCACACCCATACAAGACACCCTCATACAGAATTGAAAATTGATAGACTAGATATAAATCCATCGAATGGAAAATTCTATTACTGAAGAAAAAACTATGGTTTCATCCCTTATACTGTAAACTTGAAAAATGGGTCCAGAATGTTTTTGTGCAGGTATCACATTTTACAATTTCTCCCCTGGTGTGGATGCTTTCATGTCTAGTGAGTCTGGAATTGGATGCTAGCTCCTTCTCATAGCCCTGTAAAATAGCAATATCTGATCATGAATTGTGAAGTTACCCTATCCCTGGTTTTCAATTTATGAATGTGATGTCATTCGTTTTAGGAAAGTTTTAATATAAAACATTTACCTCGAATCAGCACTTTTTCCAAGTCATTGTTGTTCTTTACCATGCGTATTTGGTGCACTTTTGCTCTCGAAAAGGTTGTCGCATTCTTCGCACGTGTGGCGTGGTGGAGCAGTTCCCTCCACTGCTTGTACGACAACTAGACCCATTTACAAAATAATTGCAATATATGTATTGAAAATGAAATAAAGATGTCCTTAATCTACTTTTTAAGATACTATGGTATTTAAAAGTGAAATTCCCATTAGATCTAGTACACATATGTAGATTTTTCCTAATTCCACACATGAGTTAATCTCCAGGCATCACATGCACACCATATACTACTTCAAAATTTCATTTTTGTTGTCTTATTGTTCCAACCCATATTTATTCCTATTGTATCTAATAATGAAAGCGTTTAAGAAATACTCGTATATGTAAAATATTATAAATACACAAATTCAAAATAATTCAATCATAAACTAGTCAGTCTGATAATTGAATCAAATAATAACGTCCACTGATTAACATGATATATCATAATTAAATTGTTTTTATAAAAACGGATATTTTATACCATAACTCCAAAAATATTACACAACGCGTTGGATTACTTCACACAGATACATGACATTATTATATTACCTGAATTCTTTATTCCCCATTATAAGATATACCTATGGCCAATTATACATACATGTACCTTCTAACAGTTGTGAGCAAGATGATAAAACTGGTCAGGTGAACTCGTTTGAGTTATCTGTTTGCCGTAAAAATATCACCGTATGTGTATTTATAGCGTAGCTTTAGTTTGCTAAATCAATGAAGTATGATATACACGGATGAGTAAATATAGATTATTTAAACTAAAGTGCGAAATTCTTTCATTGAAAAGTACAGAGGCGCGCAATTATGATATATAACATGTACTTGACTGCATCCACATATTTCGACTTGCCACAGCGATACTGGGAAGCATTAATGTCAAATGAATTCCATGTCTTGAGTTCATAATAGGTATATAACTTACATTTTAGTTGTCAAATATATATTATATAAAAAAGTACAACGTGACTGTAGATTTTGAACACATCATTTCAGGTTTATTTGACATCCTTTTTCACTTATATTTGCACAGTCGATAAAAAGATATGTCCTTATGATACACTGCGAAGTGTTTTTACGAATATTTTTCGAAACTGAAGATATTCCTGAAATGTTCTATCGTGACGTCATCAACATTGTTCCCGCAAGCCGATACCCGATGACTCGATATGAAACAAGCAGCAAGTTGTCGTGTATATAATATGGGCTTGATTTCAAGTTTATATGTGTTTGACTTGTATCAATAATGAGGATTGTAGCTTGACATTAGTATGAACTTTATCGTCCCGACAATAAGCAAAAACATGGTTGTGAGATCTCGAGAATTTGATTTATTCAACAGACCAATGAAAATCAGTCCCTCTTGAAGAGGTGCATTGCGGGAGATATTTATATTAATGACCATGTTTTCGTCTATCACGTATTAAGTCTATTGGAAACTTACCTGTAAAACAATATTTGCGTTTTGGATATGACTGGGTTATAGAAGTTCTGTTCATTCAGTAGATCAAATGAAATTAAAGATGAAAATGTAAATAAATAATTATAAATTGTTGGAGAGCAGAATAAACAAATTAAATATAAACGAGGACTTTTTACAAGCTACTATTATTATTGCTTAAAAGGATACATATCGAACATATTTTGCAGATTAATTTATGTTAATTGGCAGTCTGTCGATATAATGAATCGTGACAGAAAATGCCAAGTTTGCCATTACTTCATGAACACATCAAATATACGTATATATTTATTAAAGTCCATTACATTCCCGTATTTTGGAGTGTCTTTGAATATGTTTAAGACTAATCGAAATTGTATTTTTCAAGGCCCGACATGTTTATGATTTTCCAGGTACACACTGATATATACTGGTTTATACGACGATTTCATTTATGCATGATGGAAAGTCTCTTTTTTCAAGGCCCATTGTGTTTATAATTTTCCAGGTACACATTGATTTATATGACGGTACCTTGCTTGCATGATGGGACGTTTCTTTTTTCAAGGGCAATCTTGTTCAGGTACACAATTTCCAGGTACACATTGATATAGGTCGTTCAATAAGTTCTCATAATTTTGCTCTCATTTTAAGAGTTTTTTATATTTTTCCATGAAAATTTCACAGACGATGCAGAATGTATCTGTGTAACAACCCTGCAAAAATTAAGTTTTAATTCTAATGGTCGTGAAAATGGCGGTTGTTATAGTAACATGAAAAATGGGTAGGCGGGGCAGATTATTTGACGTCATAGTGGCATATAATTCAGTTCAACATTGTGGAGAGTAACAAGTGTTTTAATGTCATGTAGTCCCATTTATCCCATGAAATAGTATGGGGTAAATGTTTCTATTCCTACTTTAAATGCTCAAAATAATGTCCATTGGATGCGACACACTTTCGATGACGTTCTACCCAATCCTGGAAGATTTTATGGAATCCATCAGGAAATCTAGCTCTGAGAGCATTTTGGACTGCATTCTGCAAATCTTCTGTCGATGCAAATCGAAAACCTCTCAGCTCATCTTTCATTCGGCCAAACACGCCAAAGTCGCATGGGGCTTCATCAGGTGAATATGGTGCCTGTGGGAGAACTTCCATTCCGAGTTCTCCTATGGTGTTCAGTACAAGTTCTGCCCGGTGACACGGGGCATTATCCTGATGAAATATTCTTGTCGCCAACTCTAGGAGGGGGCGTTTCTTTGAGAAGGCCCGTTTGAGATGCCTCTTGAGAACCTGAAATAGTCAGTAGGATAGGATACTAATGCCTTTAACATTTGTACTTAACCATTTTTATAGTTCAAATCTGATTTTAAATTTGATTTGATTTAATGTTTTTACTCTTATATTGATTAATTTATTAATAATGAATAAGCTTACCATTGCATAATAGTCCTTGTTTATTCTCTGACCATCAGGAATTGCATGCGTAAGCAGCACCCCAGAGCTATCCAAAAACACAATGAACATCACCTTGCCGTCATTTTTGGTCAGTTTTGCCAGGGTTGAAATGGGAGTAGGTGAGTTCTTAGTTCTCCAACCACTTGATGCTCTCTTCCCAAGGGGCTCATAATAGCTGACGTACACCTCGTCGCATGTGATAATTCGTTGAAGAAAACTATCCCCTTCATCTTGGTATCGTCTTAGAAATTCTTGGGAAACCTCAACTCTGCGGGCTCTCTGGTCACTAGTTAACTCCTTTGGCACCCATTTAGCACACATGAGGTTCATTTTAAGCTTCTCTTTCAGAATGAAGTGTGTTCTACCTATACTAATGTTCACATTCTCACTAAGTTCCCGTACAGAGATGCGGCGATCATCATCTAGAACTGTCTTAACTCTTTCAACAGCCTTTGGGTTGGTGACTTTTACCGGTCTGCCAGTCCGTTTTTCATCCATCACAGATTTTCTTCCCTCTGAACCAAACCTTTGATACCATTGGTATATGGTAGGTGTGCTCATTAACTCCTTTCCATAAATATCTTGAACTGCTTTTATTGTTTCTCCTCTTGATTTCTTGGATAACACACAAAATCTTATCACACTACGGATTTGAATTTGAATTTCATCTTGACTTTTCACAAGACCACAGTCAGCTGCCATCTTGGGTCTCTCTATTGAAACCTTTTCTGTGATGTCATACCTTTTTATGTGATGTCACAGTAATAACTATACTCAGAAAAGTTGCATCTTTCACACTGATGTCAAAACCTGTTTCTATGGTTGCAAATCTTTCAGATAAAACATATGACATTTCAAGATGAAATCTAACTACATCCATGGATTTTACGATCAAATAAAGTTGCCCCGCCTACCGATTTTTGACGTTACTATAGCAACCGCCATTTCCACAACCATTAGAATTAATACATAATCTTTGCAGAGTTGTTACACAGATACATTCTGCATCGTCTGTGAAATTTTCATGGAAAAATATAAAAAACTCTTAAAATGAGAGCAAAATTATGAGAACTTATTGAACGACCTGGATACTGGTTTATACGACGATGCCATTCATGCATGATGGAAAGTCTCTTTTTTCAAGGCCCATTATGTTTATAATTTTCCAGGTACACATTGATCTATACTGGTTTATATGACGGTACCATGCTTGCATGATGGAACGTTTCTTTTTTCAAGGGCAATCTTGTTCAGGTACACAATTTCCAGGTACACATTGATATATACTGGTTTATACGACGATGCCATTCATGCATGATGGAAAGTCTCTTTTTTCAAGGCCCATTATGTTTATAATTTTCCAGGTACACATTGATCTATACTGGTTTATATGACGGTACCATGCTTGCATGATGGAACGTTTCTTTTTTCAAGGGCAATCTTGTTCAGGTACACAATTTCCAGGTACACATTGATATATACTGGTTTATACGACAATACCATTCATGCATGATGGAAAGTGTTTTTTCGAGGCCAATCCTGTTCATAATTTTCCAGGTACACACAGATATATACTGCTTTATATGACGGTACCATGCTTGCATGATTTAAAGTGTCTTTTTCGAGGCCAATTCTGTTTATAATTTTCCAGGTACACATTGATATATAGTAATATACTGGTTTATATGACGGGACCATGCTTGCATGATGGAACGTGTCAATCCTGTTCATAATTGTCCAGGTACACACAGATATATACTGGTTTATATGACGGTACCATGCTTGCATGATTGAAAGTGTCTTTTTCGAGGCCAATCCTGTTTATAATTTTCCAGGTACACATTGTTATATACTGGTTTATATGACGGGACCATGCTTGAATGATGGAACGTGTTAATCCTGTTCATAATTGTCCAGGTACACATAGATATATACTGGTTTATATGACGGTACCATGCTTGCATGATGGAACGTTTCTTTTTTCAAGGGCAATCCTGTTCAGGTAAACATTTTCCAGGTACACATTGATATGTACTGGTTTATACGACGATGCCATTCATGCATGATGGGAAATGTCTTTTTCGAAGCCAACTTGTTCATACGTTTCCAGGTACACATTAATATATACTGGTTTATATGACGGTACCATTCATGCATGATGGAACGTGTCTTTTTCAAAAGCCAATCCTGTTAATAATTTTCCAGGTACACACTGATATATACTGATATATACGACGATGCCATTCATGCATGATGGAACGTGTCTTTTTCAAAAGCCAATCCTGTTTTTAATTTTCCAGGTACACATTGATATATACTGGTTTATATGACGGTGCAATGCATGCATGATGGAAAGTGTCTTTTTCAAGGCTAATCCTGTTTATAATTTTCCGGGTACACATTGATATATACTGGTTTATATGACGATGCAATGCATGCATGATGGGAAGTGTCTTTTTCAAGGCCAATCCTGTTCATAATTTTCCAGGTACACATTGCTATATACTGGTTAATATGATGGTACCATGCTTGCATGATGGAACGTGTCTTTTTCAAAAGCCAATCCTGTTCATAATTTTCCAGGTACACATTGATATATACTGGTTTATATGACGGTGCCATGCATGCAGTGATTGGCGATGTGGTAATTGTCATGATGAATTATAGATTAGATGTATTTGGTTTCCTCAGTACAGGGGATGGCGCGGTACCAGGTAACCCCCCCCCCATGCGTTTGGCAACCAGAAGATCCCCTTTCAATCGCTTATTAAACTTCCGTTCATGTTTGGCAATAAAATGAAAGTCGCACTTTTGATATAATGTACTTAAAAACAAAATTAATATTCAAACGCTACTGATGTAAATAAATAGATAAATGGTATAACTTATGATTCTAAACCTACTCTTCTTTTTAATAACAATATAACATACATGCATCTTTTAAAGATAGATAACAAATCACACATTTGATAATCGATGATTTTATATTACAAGGGAGACGGAAACTATTATTGTTTACATAATCTAAATACTATCATCTTACTACTTGTATAAGGTAATATGGGTTTGCTGGACCAACAGCTTGCTATTCGGTGGGTGAAAGACAACATTGCTTTATTTGGAGGTGATCCAAAAAAAATTACCTTATTTGGGGAATCATCAGGAGCAACGAGTGTTACGCAACAAGCAATTGCGCCATCTAACAGAGGACTTTTTCAGTAAGTTAATTGTTTGCTATAAGTATGTGTATCTAAATCAAATTTTACTCTATTTTAGATTCAGAAAATAGAAAACGGGTAAAAAAAACTTCATTGTGTTTCACATATTATAATTTGAATTCAATAATCATGGTCAGAGGATATGGTCACTACTTCGTCCTTTTATTCTTTATGCTTAATTGGACTAAATGGGTGCTTTTAATGTTTTGTAGGCGGGTCATATCTCAAAGTGGAACGATATTCACAGAGTATGCATTCCATCACAAAGACATGTTACAAGCCGTTTTAAAAACGGCCAGGTCATTAAACTGTACAGATGTTTCAGTCCGAAAGCTTATCGAATGTCTGCAAGGTGTAGATGCTGAGGAATTGCTGAATGCTTCACGGCCTGCATTAGATGGAATTGATGTTATTTGGGGTTGGAATCCAGTTGTTGATGGGAAATTTATAATCAAACAACCACGTGATATGCTACGTAGTAAGATCCGTGGGCCAATCAGAGAAATGTTTAAGAATATAGACCTTATGGTTGGGCACAATAGTGATGAAGGTTACATGTTTCTACAGTTTTATGGCTTATTCCAACATCCCAAATTTGATGCATGGAATCCAGCGTGGAATAATGTTTCGTTTCTTCGGCCAATTTTAGATAAAATCATGCGGAGTATCGGTGCCAAGTATGGAGAGCCAAAAGCTGAAATAATTTATGAAACACTTGCGTACATGTACCTTGATTTTCACAAAGGAGCTGAATTCGACGGTGAACAACTTGCTAGAATAGCTACAGAACTTATTACTGATGAATGGTTTTTGGTTCCAGCATTACAATTTGCGAAATTGCATGCAGGGTTCGGTGGCCGAACTTTCAAATATCACTTTGCGTATCGACCTTCTTCGAGTTTACATCCTGATTGGATCAAAGGGGCTGACCACGATGCAGAGTTTCCATTCCAGTTCGGAACTTTCCCTGTTGATCCTGTTGATCAACTAGTGGCATACACTTTGATATCATACTGGAGCAACTTTGCCAAGACAGGGTAGGTGCAGTCAGTTCTTTCCTATAACACCAATACCATGCTTAACAATGCATTTTAATGCTTTATTTTAATGCTTTATTTGAAGTAAAAATAACAAATATACCCGTATGTGACGTCATGCCCAAATTAGGACATATACGTTTCTAAGTGATTTGCCAATCTGAAATCAAGTACCCTCTTGCAGGGCCGTCGTTGACTGTTCAAATTTACCGACACATTGGGTCTGTTAAGCACGTGTTGCTTTCTCATTGGTACAACGCGGTCATATTAATAGATATCAAGATTTAGGAGAACGACTTGGGCAAGGCAATCAGATACGTTACATGTTTGAATTTGTTTCAGAAACCCTAACGAACAAGCAGCTAGTTATGCAATGTTACCAGAGTGGCCTCGATTCACAAAAGAAAAGAGTCAGTACCTTGAAATATCCACCAAATCAAGTCAACCCGGAGATATCATCAAGCCTAACCGGGTTCACTTTTGGACTAAGTATCTTCCTAAAATTGTTGCTTCTGCTAAATCTAGGAAAACAAGTCGACAACAAAGAAAAGCAAATGAGGATTGACACTACAGCACATGGAATTTAAGGCATCGTTAATTGAATTTTATGGAGTTTCAGCTTATCAAAACTTTAAAACATGTTGTGCTACAACCGAACACATGTCAAATGAACCTAACTTGTCCCGTACTATTTATCATTAACAATTAATTTCATAATAACAATTTGTTCAAATAATATTCCTCAAAAAAGTTAATTAAGGACCAGTATCATAGGTTTACATGTTAAACCTCATGTCTGTTTGAACTCTTATTTTTAAAGCCTGAAACGAACGAAAAACTGATAATGTAAATGGATATGTACATTGACTCTATTCTCTTTATTTCAGAAAATTTTCAATTCAATATCTCCGTTACAATATGTCAAAAATTGATGTCAAATTTGAGGAAAATTAAAGAAAATGGCAGAACACATGTAATCCAATGGGAAATGGTTGGGTTGCCAAAGGTCATATGAGAAAATATCCATCAATTCAGTTGCTCTCATTTATTGATCAAGGTGGAATGTAAATAGACAATTGAATTTGCTAACTTGTCTACAACAAAAAATTGATTTGTTTCTTCAGGTTTTACAAAGTTATGAGTCTCGAAAGTCAAAATAATTTCTCATAAAACCTCTCATTGAAATAACACAGGAGATCAAAATAGGTTGTCAAAATACGCTGATGCTATATCGGTAATTCTCACAAAGTAAGCTTTACAAAAAGCATGCACGAAGTAAAACAATTCAATGGTCTACTCAGAAATTATTTTAGATAAAAGTTTAACCGAATACATATTATATACCATTTCCCATTGGTAAACATGGGTTCTGCAATTTTTTTAAAAATTCCTCAACTTTGACATCAATTTTTTACCTATTATAATAAAGAGATTAAATTGAAAAGGAGCACGTAGGTTATCGCAAACAATTTCAAACGATTCTAACTTGAATTATGAATATTTTTTGATCATGAACATGGGTGTTTCTTTTAGATCCATTCATTATCTTCAAGAAAAGTATATATAAAAATAATTTAGTTAATCAGACCTAAGTGATATTGAAGGGGCAATGGACCAATCAACATACTTTTTCAAAAATGTTGACCTAATTTTCACCGAAAATGCAACCTATAATATTATTGTTGAATGCATAATTAGAATGTGCTTTGAGACATGTTTGATTTTCTAAAAGGAAAATTTGATTGCTCCAGGGACTTTAAAGATATTCAATTTGGATGACCAAAATGAACTGAAACCAATGGATAGCATGATATTTTTCAATGGAGAAATAACATGGGGAACACTTATCTTAATGCAATTAAGTTTTTCTTTCAAGAACTATTTGATACATCAAAATAAAGAATAGTAATGCATTAAACATTGTAAAAAATGATTGCATTTTTGGTGAAAATGGGGTCAACATCTTCAAAATGGGGTCAAAAAGTGTGTTGATGGGTTAATTGCTAGTTAAATATCTCCGAGTTTGTTTGAATTTATTATTACTGTGCATAATTTTCTTTGAGATAATGAATTGATCTAAAAGATAAACTTGTCTTCATTGTCAGAAAATAGTCATAATCCAAGATATAACCTTCCGAAATTGTTTGGGATAACCCACGTGCTCCTTTTCTGAAATATAGAGAATAGAGTCTAGGTACATATCCATTTACATTATCAGTTTTCCTTTGGTTTTGGGCTTAGAAAATAAAGTGTAAAAATACATAAGGTTTAACATGTAAACCTATGAGGAAAAATACTGATACTGGTCCTTTAACTTTTTTGAGGAGTATATAATGGTTTGATAATTTGCTGTTATGTATTCCCAAATGAAAATTTGGCAACAAGAGTTACGAGTTAAGTATTTTGTGCTTACGATAGTACGTCCATTTTCAAAGAATCTATTGATCGTTTTTTTTTATTTCTTATAACTACAAATACTTATAAATCTCTGCAAGTGCCGGAAGTGTATCTATTTTGTGCTAATATTGTGGATATTTTGTACAGTTGGGTTTTTCAATGTAAGTGAGGTTGTGGCCAAATAATTGAACTTTAATTTTGCGAGCAGGTCAACTCTGATACTTTCAAGAATTATTTATCATATTGAACAGTGAATCGTTTAGACCATTTATTTTGTACACAATTTTGTTTTAATGCAACTATTTTTTCTATCACATGCATTTTAATTGACTAAAGAGATCATTACTAGTTCTGGTGCTGATAAGGTTAGAAGCCAATGGACCACTGCAAAAGTAATTTAAAATTATTTTATAAGAATGTCAGTGTCAATTGAAGACATTGATATTGGTTGTTAATTATCATTTTCCATGATTATTACATAATGACATCTACATTGATGTAACACAAGAGATTTACAGCAGCTGCATTAGCATTGAGTAAAATTATGTAAAAGGGTTCATACTATGGAACATGTATAAGCAGTAAATGGTATATTGTAATCATGGCAGTAGTCTGTCATATTAAGATACTCAAATCCCTATTCATGACATTTTAAGATCCCTACTTCACATCAGTTTGTCAGATATTTATACCAATGTTTTTAATTCTTTTGTATACTTTCTACTTAATATATAGCTTCTTTTGTTTAAACCAGTTTCCAGCTTATCATGTCATGCTAGTTTTCTTACTATTTTCCCAAAACTTTTGCAGTTATATAGTGCCAGGGGTTCTTAGCAATACTATAATGAAAGACATGGCGACTGTCCATAGGACATTTCGATAAAGTTGTCCTGAACTGAGTTTGTTACATCTTACTCAATTTGGGTTGATGAACTATTCATGAATCTCTCTTTTTAATCGTATCGATTCCAAAATCTCAGTTGTTCTCAATTTAAATGACTTCTCAATCACAAATCAAATTCAGTATTTAGTTTGAATGAAATGAACAAGTTTTTTTCTTTGTTGTATTTTAAATCATTGTATATATGTACAGGGCATTGACATACATCCATACATTCAATTGCAGAGGCATTCCATACTTACTGCGGTTCGTTGTACATGATACTGATATACAAGTAAAACATGATTTCAAAAAACGTACTCATTTTCTTAGCCTTAAAAGTGTTTTTTAAGCTTTCGAGATTTTCACATTCATATATTGCTAGAGCAGATAAATGAATTGTTATCAGAATTTAAAATATACCACAAAAGTTTGAAATGTAATATTTATTTCGTAAATTGAGTGAAGCGTGAATTGGGACCCGGGTGGATACAACGTGTATCCATTCGGTTGCGGTCCTTGCGATCGCTTCCTTGATACACTAAATACCCCCACCCGTTATGTATTCAGAACATTAGTTTCTACATGTTAGTTAATGAGTAAATCATAGCACTTTTTAGATCTTAATTTGTCTCCTTCAAGTTATTTATTATCAAGCTCGGCATCATCCTCTGCTTTTCTCTGTTTCTTTCTCATTTGCTTTCTCGCTCCACATTTCAAAGTAGCCACAATCTTCGGGAGATATTCAGTCCAGAAGTAAACTCGGTCGGGTTTGATGATTTCACCAGGCTTGCTTGATGTGATGTTAACAGATATTTCTAGGAATTGCCTTTTCCCCTTTGTAAACTGAGGCCAATATGCTGGCAGTCCCGGATAAGTAGTTGGTTCGTTTGGATTTCTGAAAGAGTAAGAAATAAGGACATTTTGATTTCTTCATTATGCGAATTTTCGTTTAATGTGCATACAAATAAGTAACATGATTTTCGATTAATTCAATCATGACATGCCGATCTTTCTCCTTACCCTGTCTTGGCAAAGTTGCTCCAGTATTTAATCAGGTTGTAAGACAGCAGCTGGTCGAAGGCAGGCGAATTATTGTGAATCATTCCGAACACATACGGAACTTCAGTGAAATGATCTGCCCCTTCGACCCAGTCGGGATGTATGCTTGAAGATGGTCTATAGTCAAAATGATATTTGAAGGTTTGCCCGCCAAGTTCAGCGTGCAAATCAGCAAACTTTAAGGCTGGAATCAAATATAATTCATCCGTCAACAATTCATGAAGTACTTCAGCAAGCTTTGGACCATCAAAGTCTGATCCTTTTTGGATATTAAGATATGTGTACGCAAGTATTTCATAGATCATTTCCGCTACTTCATCATTACCATACTTGTTGCCGACTGCTCGGAACAATTTTTCGGAAAGATCTCTTAGAAATCCAACATCATTCCATGTATGCGCAGTAAGTGAAAACTCGCGTGGATTTTGAAAAAAGGCGTACAGTTGAAGATGATTGTACCCCTCGTTGCCATTGTGTCCGATTAGTAGATCTATACTTTTCAACATTCTCTCAGCCTGTCCGTTGCCTTTCCCACGTGTCATTTCACGGGGTGGCTTGACAAAAAATGTTCCATCCAAAACTGGACCCCAGCTCCAAATTAATCCCTCAACTTCTAGCGGAGAAGGAGGACGAGAGGCAAGTAGAAGTTCATCTTTATCTGCGCCTTGGAGACATTCAATCAACATGATAATATCAGTATCGTTACAACCCAATGGCCTCCCTGTCTTTCTTATGGCAGGTATCATGTCATTGTTGTTGAATGCATAATCTGTGAATATCGTCCCGCTTTGAGATATGACCCGCCTGTAACGCAAATAATATAACATGTCGAGATATCCTTTACAAACAATGATGGGATATGCAAAATGAAAAAAGTTAGTTTAGACATAATTGCAGAAAATCATTGTGAATGGGTCGTGTTTGTCTTTCGATCCCTATGTTGTTGCAAGTACACACTATAAAGAAACTATTTACTATCAATGTAACATATCAACCTGTTATTGATGTCAATATGCACATTTATACCTACTGGAAAAGTCCTTTGTTAGTTGGAGAAATTGCATGTTGCGTAACACTCGTCGCTCCTGCTGACTGTCCAATCAAAGTTATTCTTTCGGGATCCCCTCCAAATAGTGCGATATTCTCCTTCACCCAACGAATCGCGAGTTGTTGGTCCAATAAGCCCATGTTACCTTTTGTTATAAAGACAATTTATTTCATAATTATGTCATTTCTAAGACGCAATATTGTTAAACACCGGAAAGTATATTATATATTGCCAGCCTCTGGTGCGTTTTGTTTTATTTCATTGCTTTAAAATATATTGCAAAATATTCTAAATAAGTGTCAAGGAAAAAATTCGACAATGAAGATGCACAAATGCATACTGCGATACTATAGTTATATAAATGGCAAAAAGGAATGGTAGTAAAGCTATGATAGATGACAATCATTTTTTAGAAAATAATATATTTGTAAATGTATTATTTTTTCCATTTTCTTGTAATTTAATTACTAGGTCAGGTCATCGTTTTTGAACCTCATCAAGGGATCAATTTTTTGTAATTATATGTTACTAGGTGAGTATTAAATAATTATTCAACCTAGTAAATACAAGTAGTTTACATTTTACTAAAGTAAGTATGTAATAATGGACGCGTCGTTAACACAAAACGACACGACATCCGGGGCTTTATATGATCTATACAAAGTCACGTGAATATACAAATGCGAGGATTCCATTTTTTTCTCGGCAGAAAAATCAAAAGAGATACTGACAATCTTCATTTGAACTGTTGTTTCTGAATATTTTCATTCGGTCCTGTTGTGTAAATGTTAGCACTTTAGATTCCCGATGCCAAACTTCTGGGTCCAATCCCAGGTTGCAGCGACAAGAGCCAGCTAATGCTAACTAGTAAACCAGCGGTTTGATCACCTGTAGAGTGATACTAACTCGAGTAAAGACCTGTGCTGGCTTGAACTCTCTGTGGTCCTAGCTGTCATGTATTTCACTGATAAATACAGGGAGTTGAGAAATACAGAACGAGATACTTTTGGGCGGAAGTTAACTCAACTTTATTGACAGGCGCATGCGCCAGATTCCACATGCAAAAGTGAAAGCGAAACTAGAACGGATAGCACAAAATCTTTACACTAGCCAGGATACATATACCAGTTCCTGTCAGATTAATACGGGGAGCTGTTTCTACCTTTAGCAAGTTACCACAGGTAATAATCTTATATGCCCTATGGCGCCTGGGTGAGATACATGTATGAAACTCAAATGAAATAATATGATGACGGATAAAAATGAAAAATTTCGATACAAAAATTCGATAAGCTATCAAAGAGTTGTTTCAAAATCAAGATAGGTTGATTTAACTTACCAGCAATCACTAACACGTGCAGCTATATTGAGCTCTGGGACACCATGTCCTAAGGAAGTGACACAGTTAATCAGAAAAGAATTTAAACTTCGCACAACCCCTCATTCATTGGTTTATACATACATGTAGATTAGTACACGGTAAAAAAGCAGAATGCCAAATACACTGAAAATGCGAACGAGGCATGTCCAATATTGTCCAAGGTTCGCCCTTGGTTCATACTTGACTTTATACAAACCTGGAACAACACTATCTCCTGTACTGAGGAACCCAAATACATCTAATCTGTAATTCACCAAGACAACGACCACATCACCGATGACTGTGAGCTTGGCAACATTGAACAGGCGTGTGGATCCTAGAACATACCTGAACGTGAAATATGTAAATTATAACGTGTAAAAAACAATGCCTCGACTTCTTTCCTCGCCATTTAGGAACCATTATCACAACCCGAGACCATAAGATAAAATCGTTAAATTATCTAAAAAACTAGTATTTATTTCAAGATCAACAAGTAAACTACATGTTGGATGATTAGCGAAACGTCGAAAATAAAACATTTTACTCTGAAGTAAATTAATTTAAGTTATTATTAAGTTATTTTTATACTGTATTAATTACATGTACATGTAAATATGTTTGTAAAAAGTACTACTCTAGATCTGTTTAACTAAGGCAAATAAAGTAATAAATAAATTAATTAATACATGTATGAATTGAATTTAAACTGTGTGCATTAGAGTCCTCACCCGCCACCATGGATCCAGACCATTACTGCCTTAGGATTAGACCTAGAACTACCTGCAGGCGTCAGGATATCAAGGTACAGACAATCTTCGCTCATTTCAGCCGGTGGTGGAAATATTCCGGTCTTGTGCTGCATGCAAGCAGCTCCGTGTGAAGTCGCATCTCGTACATCAGTCCATTTTGTAATAATTGCTTGCGGAGGTTTGAATCTGAGATTTCCAACTGGTGGTTCAGCATATGGTATTCCAAGATATTCCACGTAAGATAGATCACGGTTTTGTAAGTATGGCGAATTGTTTCGATTTAAAAGCGACTTTTGAGTCCCTCGTATCGGTCCATCGGGTAGATCTACGATAGGTGTCTCTGATATTACCCCGCCTAATGTACATCCCCGTTGTGCTAAAATTACAAAAACGTTTATCCATATGGACAACATGTCGAATTGATGCAAAAAATACATTTTATTAAAGTGAATGCGTTGTTTATAATGTTAAAATCTCTCCTGCACACCCGATCTATCTTTTTTATTTAGGTGTCAAAATGCATTATACCAACAAAAGATTGATGATATGCCTTACCCCATTTTAAATTTTGGACAGAAGTATTCAATAGAAATGTGACATGAACTTTGACTATGTTTATATAAAAAGTATTTTGCAGGTCGAGTGATGATCGATGTATTCATTACGATTAAATAAATACGGGAACTTCTCGACTATAAAAACGATTTATACGCAAGGATGCAAACCGCCCCATTCTATTATCATTTAAAAAGTGCGTGATATTACAATGTCTTAAGAACTGATTGAAATAAATAGCGAGAATAAAGGGTTACCCGGGGGTATACCCCATTCTGATACTCATAGCATCGTTCTGTTTCACCTGAAACATCTCGGGGCTGAGAAGATTTGAGATGTCATGGTTTATCATGATGAGTATAAACAGATAAACTATTTCGAAAGGTAACATGCTGTCACAAAGATTGATGACTGAAACGTCTGCTATTGAAATATTTGCCTCTATGAAAAATTGCATTCGATTAAGCGAAATAGATCAAGGTTTGACCTGGTATGAAAAAAATGATAGATGCTATTTTTTTTTTCTTTGTAAACACTTGTGATCGCGAAACAGTGAATATGGTATTTAAAACGAGACATTAAAGAAAACATTCAGTTTGAACCTTTCATTTAATATTTTATATCTAAAGTTGATAACTACATATTTTATTACAACCTTGCAATCCCTCTTTCAAGGGTTTAAGTGCTAGTTTAGAAGGCTTATGTTTTACAACATATACATTTGAGATGTCATGGTTTATCATGATGAGTATAAACAGATAAACTATTTCAAAGGTAACATGCTGTCACAAAGATTGATGACTGACAACGTCTGCTATTGAAATATTTGCTTCGATGAAAAATTGCATTCGATTAAGCGAAATAGATCAAGGTTTGACCTGGTATAAAAAATTGATAGATGCTATATTTTTTTCTTGTGATCGCGAAACAGTGAATGTGGTATTTAAAACGAGACATTAAAGAAAACATTCAGTTTGAACCTTTCATTTAATCTTTTATATCTAAAGTTGATAACTACATATTTTATTACAACCTTGCAAGCCCTGTTTTAAGGGTATAAGTACTAGTTTAGAGGGCTTATGTTTTACTACATCGACCTTGCAAAAGGTGGAGCCATTGTGGCGGGCCATAGTTGTCAATGACAATGTCAATGACAACTTGTCATTGTCTGCCCGTGTCCAAGGCAAATAGTGAGTTTGTACTTAGTTTTCAATAGGTGGCGCTAAAACTAATAACATTATTTCACTCAGGCCTTTTGTCCTTGGTCCAAGATTGTACTGTGTTGCCCTTTTAAATGTGGTTTATGATATACTGACTAAAATCCTACCGTGGTGGAAAATGAGAGCACTGGGTGCATAATAAGTGTTTCGATAGCAGGAATCAATTATCCTAATTATTATCTGAATCAATTTAATTGTTTGGGGCTTGGAATTTCCATCTGGACGTAAGATAATATTGAAACACAGAAAATTACGATATAACCTTTGGTGGCTACGAAAAGTCAATATCAATATTATGTTGCCTACCTGTTGATGATTGGGAAATAATAAAAAACAAAACATTGGATAATCGATGTGATCGTTATAAATCTGTATTTATTCCATAATGGTGAAATCCCCTGCAACCTGATTGGTCTCTGTGACTTGAATGTATTCTATATTTACACGCACTCAACTTAGTTTGGGATTCAGAACGAAAATGACGTCACCGTTGGGAAGCGGTTCTGAATCCCGACGCCCCAGATTTCCATCGAGGCCAGACTGATACTGAATTACCTTCTCCTAAGGCCACTGTATCGTGGCCTCCGTCCAAACGGATAAAGTCCTGCATGTCTAACTGGTCGTGTCGTAATCATAAAATATGAAATCATATGTCCGCCATTTTCCACATTACAATTTGAATTGCGAGTTTTGGTCTTATTACCTCACCAAACATTCCAAAACACACATGAAGTGATCAGTGTATTAGTTCACATCTTTTGGATCGGTCTCTAAGAATTTACAGCCAGTTACTAATGTCAGACATTAACGACATTTCGTCCAGTTTTTGAAAATCGCCATTTTTCTTAATGATTAATTTATCTGGCGATTTTTAAAATATTCAATACATTTATGACACGGTAGTCAGCTTTTTTCAAATGGAATTCACAGTATTCCAGATGAAATTACCTCTAGCCAAGTACTGGCTAGAGACTCGAGTAAATACTGAAAACATCAATATAGCGAAAAGTTAACGCCGACGAGCGCTAATCTTTGCATTTTGCTATAAATCGGGCTATAAATAACTGATTTAAATATCAGGAAATTAATTTGTGATCATGGCAATTAATAATTTTAGGATAAAAATACGCTAATTCGTGAATGTAATATAACAATTTGAAACACGCACATTATTATCATGAAATCAATATGCCAGACGAAGAGTTGAAAAAAGATTCGCTACACTTCAGCTTCTGAAATTAAAAATTTCTACAACGTAGCCTACTAAGGGTCACTAGCAAGTGGTACAAATATGGCAGAGTTCGGTTACATATCATTTGAGTATTGACATTTGAAAAATTCGAAGATGCACGTCAAAAATCCAATGTCAGAGCTACACAATAAGACCTTTGTGACGTTTATATCAGCTATCGGGGTAATCGGACACACCTTGCCGAGCTATGTGTGTACACAGTGTATATTATATAATATCGCACCGGGCTTTACAATAATATGTTGTAATTGGTAGCGTTTTCAATAGTGCTGGGATACAGTAATAACTGATGGTTGTATCGAAAACCATAATTTAAAGATACTGGATATTATTATTTCCATTCCGTGATACTCGTTCTCTCATTGGTCAATTAGATACCATGTGACTAAAAATATATAGAGGTATTCCTTGTCTCCCTGCTTAGAAAACGTGTGAAGAGTGTATTCACTAAAAATGACGCCATTTTAATTGAATAAATAGTGGTATTCACTAAAAATGACGTCACATCACTGAATTCCCGGGAATTTAGTAAAAAGTATTTTCATCCGATATGACAGACGGTGAAGCTGTTTCACAAAGTCGTCCCAAGAAAAGGTTCAATACTGTATAACAAACGCGGGATAAAGATTTTACAAATGTATTCAAAATGTCAACTAATGGAAGCACAAAGACTACGAATCTAATTTATATATATTATGGTGTGACATCGTGAATTATAACAGAATATTGGCAAACGTTTGGAAATACGTTGAAACTAAACGTCTATTAATCTTATTCTACTTATCTTATTGTTCATAACAATATTGTGTACTTGTAACTTTGATATTGTGTGTTGCTTTAATAAGAAATAATAAAATAAATATTGAATTCTGTGATCGTTGAATATATTCGGGCTGCGGTAAATACACCTTCAGAAATATATACCAAATATTCCATTTTATTCAGGTGAATACATGTTCATCTTTCCCTCAGTATATTTCCCGCAGCCTGAATGGCAAGGGAAATATACCTGAGGGAGAGATGAACATGTATTCACCGAAAATAAAATAGAATATTTGATTTATTATATCATTTGAATCTTCTACAAATTAAGTGTATTTCTTTTAACCATTTAATGCATAGATACAATACATGAGCTCATCAGAATAACCACTCTAACTACAGCCACTCTTAGATGCAAGATATTGCCATCTTTCATCCTCAAAAGTCACACGTGCAAGATGACTTGTGACATCACTGGTTTATAAACATCAAGAACATGGCAACGGATGCACAATTGCTATGAGTACCCATGTTCATACTGCAAATATAAGCTGTGACGTCATAACAATGAAGTTTTGTTGCCGTGCGTATCCAAGTATTTTCTACAATATTATTGTGACGTCATAACAAAAACATAACTTTCTACCGTGGTATATACTCCGTGGTATACTTAGAGGTTATGTCATTATGACGTGAAATATGCCTGAGTTCTCCCAATATAGGCCGACCTTGGGAGGCTCTATATTTGGGCAAGAACGAAGGCATATTTCACGTCATAGTGACATAACTGATGTATTACATGCCTTTGTTCCCATGGTTACTTTGTATCAATGACGTGACGTCATGATATTATCATGGTTATTAAATAAATCTAATATCAAAACGAGGTAAGCGGGCTATATCGGGGTAATCGGGCAATATCGGTGGATATAGCTCGCTAACTTTCCCATTGACTTCCATACAAATGCTTCGCTAGGTATGTAATACACCCTAATATTTTTAATCATTTGATCGGTTCTTATCCAATGAGAAAACGAGAACCATTTCAATGATATAAGGTATGAGTACCGTAATCCAACACCAAATACGAAAATTCATAACAATACTTTGCACATATGGCGTTCGTGACCAACTATAAAACGCTTACCCCCCATAGTGTTATATATCAAAATGTACCTGTTCATATAGGGGTTCGATTGATCGACATCAAATTATAGGGAGTCAGGTTACTTTTTGAGATATCAGCGTCCATTTATTGTGACTCGCGTTTGCTACCACTTCCTCAATTCTGATATGATGGGCAAACGCGTAATAAACATGCTCACGTCGGAACTATTTTTGACCTACATCGCTATTTTCGTAATTCAAATGAAAGTTGAACTCCTCCTCTTTATTTTGATACCAAATAGTGGCATACTAGGTACCCTAGAAGCCAACTATGGCGTTATTTAGAACAAAACCACAAGTTTTTAAATGGACTATATAGGGGTCATACCTTTTTGCGGATGGATATGGAACCTCATACCTTAATGTGTTATGACATCACACTGATTTTTGTCTCTGCAACTTTTTTTGGCAGAAAATATCATTTCTAGTTCAAAAATGCATAAAAACGTCGGAACTGGCTGAATATGTGAAAAATTTATCCATTTAGGCTAGAAAGGGTTAATTTGCCCTACCCCAAATACGTCTAAATATGCTGGTCTAACTTTGCCACTGTGACGTCACAAATCTAACCTGACTATCTCTGAGTTTATTGAAGAAAATGATACGTCTGACAAACAGCTTTCATTCCCTATATGGCACACCTTCTACTAAGAGTTGCATCATTGACTAAATCTAAGACAAGGGCCTGTGTCCCGAGGATTTTGACTGAAATTTGGCCATTTTCGCCCAAATCTAACTAAATTGCAGTTTCCCTCACACCTGTATTTTGAAATAAATATTGCTACAATGTAGCAATTTGAAAATCACACATGCTTACTGTTTCTGTCGACCTGACACGTGTATCTAGCCTGTAAAAATGAAAAATCGCTACATTGTAGCAATTTCACTGAGATATGGGCCCTGAAAATCATGTAATTTTAGCAAAAAATGAAGAAATAACCTGCAATTTTGACGGAATTTCAGAGGGCTTTCTTTCATTCCAGACCCTCCACGGGCCTCTTATGACCATTCTTATACTCACAGAATGGTTGAAAGTGATTTCAAATCATTGTTTGCCCTACGCAGAACGAAAAAATCGATTCTGTTCTCAAAATCTGCTAGAATATTGGTCTCTGGCCAACTAGCAGACAATTTTAGGCCTCATATTAAGGTATGAGTACCGTAATCCAACACCAAATACGAAAATTCATAACAATACTTTGCACATATGGCGTTCGTGACCAACTATAAAACGCTTACCCCCCATAGTGTTATATATCAAAATGTACCTGTTCATATAGGGGTTCGATTGATCGACATCAAATTATAGGGAGTCAGGTTACTTTTTGAGATATCAGCGTCCATTTATTGTGACTCGCGTTTGCTACCACTTCCTCAATTCTGATATGATGGGCAAACGCGTAATAAACATGCTCACGTCGGAACTATTTTTGACCTACATCGCTATTTTCGTAATTCAAATGAAAGTTGAACTCCTCCTCTTTATTTTGATACCAAATAGTGGCATACTAGGTACCCTAGAAGCCAACTATGGCGTTATTTAGAACAAAACCACAAGTTTTTAAATGGACTATATAGGGGTCATACCTTTTGGCGGATGGATATGGAACCTCATACCATAATAAATACAGATATTCAACGATCACAGAATTCAATGTTTGTATAATATAAAGTGATTAGTTAGTGATTTTTATTTCGTTAATGTAAATATATAGGAAACATTTATAATAGTGTTGATCCTATTCATCTATTGCATCGCAAAATATTTGCAAAACTATCATCGCATACTAATTATGCTATCATTATTCTAAATAAAAAAAATCTAAATCAACGAGCTATATTCCATTCGTATCTTGATGATCGTGACTAAAACTTTATAGAAACGCTTGTTTTGCAGGATGTCACTGTTTGTACATCAGTTTGTCAATTACAGTTTCATTTACTTTGTATCGATTGCATGTTATTGTTTAACAATATTAACAAATATTATTAATATTGGCGATTGATGTGATTGTCTATTAAAAATGGTGTAGATTTAAGATGCGTTATTATTCAAAATATTGTTATTCCATTTTCACAAGATGAACATGAAACACAACATTTTTGCGCTCTTCGTAACCCTAACACTTGTGGGCAATGGTAAGTTACATTGGTTATTTTAATATTTTGCAATTTGCCACATCGGAGATATGTTCTATAATTTAATTGTATGAAAATGTTCAATTACTAGATTTGAATTCTTGTTGGCTTTCCCATTGGACACTGAATTTATCATTAATAGGAGCCTCGGTCAAATTTGCTCTACGGCGGTCGCATCATGGAAAATCTGCTTTGTAATGTTAATCTATAAATGTTATGCTGCGCATCTCTTTATTTTGGGAAGCCACGGCTGCCGTTCGGGTTCGGTGTCGAGGCGATGAACATATCTTCAACCTGTTAAGTATTCACAAGAATATGCGTAGAAGTTCAAATAAGATGAGATGCAGTTGCGGATACGTTTTAGCTATAACTCGTTGTGCTATAATCATGCTTTTATTTACTACCGTTGACGCATTCTCAGAGGGCGGGATAAGCTTTAAACTAACGATTAACTCGCGTTCTATTGACACGCCCGGTGATCGTCCAAAAATGATGGAGGGGGGATTAGGCGATTTATGCAAGAAAACTCAACAAATTTGGAAGATTTATTTTTTCAAGAGAAAATTTACAACTGAATTGCCAAATGAATAGGCGCAGTGCATGGCAAAATATGTTAGGTCATCTAGTATTTTTTTTGAACTGATACCCTTCTAAGGTATGAGATCTATTAAAAAAGGCGCATCATCACCAAAGTGCAAAAATCAATGTTTTTGTTATAAATCGGACAACAATGGTCTACACAACCTGTAATAAATAGGTATAAGGGACGTTATTATCACAATACTAATGACATTGCTCACCTTTTAAAATTAGTTTCCATGCGTTATACAAAAAATAATCGAAATAAATTAATTTGGGATGGAGGGGGATCGGATGGAGGGGGGGGGATCACGTGTATACAAGACATGATAAGAATTTATTCTTATGACCCCAAATTTTCCCATTTTTCATTCTCCGGAGATATAATATCCAGTTTATTACTGGGGTTCTGAGTTTAGTTTTCTTAAATGCACGAGTTCTTGTGAATTTGTTCCATCGTAAAGATATGAAAATCCCCCCTCCATCCCAAATTAATTTATTTCAATTATATTTGTATAACGCATGGAAACTAACTTTAAAAAGTGAGCAATGTCATAAGTATTGTGATAATAACGTCCCTTATACCTATTTATTACAGGTTGTGTAGACCATTGTTGCCTGATTTATAGCAAAAACATTGACTTTTGCACGTTGGTGATGATGCGCCTTTTTAATAGATCTCAAACCTTAGAAGGGTATCAGTTCAAAAAAAATACTAGATGACCTAACATATTTTGCCATGCACTGCGCCTATTCATTTGGCAATTCAGTTGTAAATTTTCTCTTGAAAAAATAATAAATCTTCCAAAGATTGGGTATCGATATGGCGAACTTTTTGAACACACGTTTCTCTTAAACCAGTCATCAAAAATTTTTGAAAATCTTACAAATTGTAAATTGAATGGCCATATTTTGAATGGTAACAATATAATTTGAAATAGATATACATACTTTCATCTATATTGTTTTAAAAAGCACATCAAACACTTGTTTTGTTCTTGGTATCATGTTTCCAGAGTGAAATGAAACATCTTTCCGAACCTCATTGGAACAAAACGACATAAACACAACATGTTTAGGTCTCTCAATATTGTAATTGTACAAAGGAAATTTTGGTTCATTTTAAAAAAGTATCTTGTTAATGAAATAAAAGTTTTTTTTTATTTTTATCTATTTTGGGGGGATTTTGTTTTAATTTTTTGAATACTTTTTTTAAAATGAACCAAAAATTCCTTTGTATAACTTTAATATTGAGAGGTCCAAAAACATGTTGTATATGGTATTTTGTTCCAACAAGGTTCGGAAAGACATTTTATTTCATTCTCAAGAATTGGTAGAAAGGAGCAAAAACAATTGCACTAAAAAAACAAAAAATGTTAACAAAAACAGTTATATCAAATATTTCTAAATAATTTTCGCATTAAATTGTTGTTTATCAGTCAACATTACATAAAATACCGTGTTTTTTACAGAATGTTTTCAATGATTGGTTTAAGAGAAAAACATTGTTGAATTTAGTTCTCAATATCGATACCTATCCTTTGTTGAGTTTTCTTGCAGAAATCGCCTAATCCCCCTCCATCATTTTTGGACGATCACCGGGCGTGATTGAATACTCTCTCTCTTTTTTCTTTATGTTTTGTAAATATGAAGGTGTTGGTTACAGTCAAGAAGTGTTCTTTAAGCTGCTTTCAGTCATTCCAGATAGTAATGCCCCAATCACAATTTTTCTGTCGCCGTGTATTTTCTCTTAAATAACACTGTGCCTGTAATGTTAATCATTATGGTTGTATAGAATGGTTCCGTGCCTAATATTGTCACTAAAAGTTTGGCTCAATTTGTCCACATATGTGTTGTCACAATCAGTTAAAGTCAGAAATTCTTAATTACGTTATTGTCGCCAAGAAGCATTTTTAGGTATATGGACGAAAACAGACTAAGTTTATTTATCACAATCCGTATTATATATTTTCATGCGTAACAATGATGTGTAAGAAATATTCATGCAAAGTTTCAAATCCAAATACTAACAAGAACCTCTTCTTTTTCACGTTATAATAATGTCACCAGATTTGTGAAAGTTACTGCCTGTTGCATGTATACCTGATATGGAGCTTATACCAATGTGACGTTTACCTTCAAACAAACATCAAATACTAGTAAACACATAAAATATTCATGAAATATACAGAATTTCAATGTATTGACCAAGATATTTCATTTGTGACTTGTCAAAAAAATATTTTTTGAAACGTATGGATAAGGACTTTAAACTACGTTACCAGATATCCAACATAATCAAAGAACGAAGGCACCGTTTTCCACATATATTGTACAACAGCCTTGGATGACTTGATATGAGACCCTACTGTGTCAGTTAGTAGTGAATTAATAATTGATGCGCATTAAAATGTCACAAATATTAAATAACGTTACCTTAAACTACGTGAGTCTTTTTTACGAAACAATCCTATTTGACTTGTTATATAACTACAAGCACAATGATAATTGGTCACATGGTTAGTTTTGGTGCGCTATGGCGCCATGTTGACTCAAAGCTGTGTATTATCTCTGACAATCAACTAAATTGCATCAAAATAGTTGAAAATATGTAAGGAAATACCCAACTCCATTTACAATCTCAGTAAAGAACATTTAAATGATTTTTGGATAATAATTTTGAAGCACATCATTCATTAGAAACATGGTATTTGTGGTGCAAGAACAAAATTTTCAATTTGAAATATATTTGGTGAAATTCGATATTAAATGTTGGATAAATTACGTTATGTTCGGTAACGTTACTTAAAACGATTGTCAATCCTTTTCTGACTTGATTTAGAGTTTCAAATAGGGGAACATTCTTTCAGAAAATGGGTAAATCAAAAGCAGTGATTCAAAAAGCCTATATTGAATGGAAAGGAGAAAAGATGGGGAAAAGTACAGAAAGAAAGGGCGCATGTTAAGGAAATGGTGGAACAGAAACATTTTTGAAAAAATTGCAATACCTGCTCATTTTATTTTATTGTACAAAATAAAGTATGAAAGCATGTAGAAATTTCAGGAAAGTATCGTCACAGTGTCTTCATTTATTGAGTCGGGTAAGAGGTAAATCTTAACTCCAGGGAATGCTGAAATTTCATGAAAAACATTCAAAATGAACGTCTTTTCAATTTTCCAATGTTTTCTCAAAGTTTCTGTAGTAACTTGAGTTACCATGGGCCTTTTACAAAGTTTATCAAAAGAAGATAATATGATAATGTTTTCCTGAAAGACAAGGAAATGCACAAATACCATCATACTTTATTTTCAACAGAAAATAACATGTGCAGGTATATCAATTTTTCAAAAATGTTTTCGTTATACCATTACATTAAGCGGTACCACATACACAGGGTATACCACACCCCGCCCCTTAAAAACGTTTGTTTCTTGCTTCGCCTCATGAAGTGCAAAAATTGAACCCCTGCCGCAGTGACGCAGACGAACCCTATGATAATGAAGCAGCTGTTATGTACATGATTGAAAATTATACTGCTTCAGTCTATGATGGTGCTTGGTACATTGGAAAAGTAGTTAATGTGGATGGCGTGCTACGAAACATCATTTATGATTAACAGACGGGAGTATTTTTAGTGGCCTTCACCAGATGTACTCTTGGTAGCCAGAACATGTACTCTGGGTAGATCTAGAACATGCAAACGTTCTTTGCCAAATAGTGGCTTTGATTCCCAAATGGGACAATGCTAAAGTTAAAGTTACCTGAAAGATTACCTGAACTGATCGATGATGAACTATTTGCCTCCAAAAATTGAATCAAGAGACAATGACGTCTGATGTGTGATTTTGGACAGATATGATTTGAAAATATGTTTTATTGTAAACAGTTACTAGTTCACGTTGACAGTACTGTTTTAGCGACGTTTCTAGAGATATTGAATTGAGTGATAAAGTTGTTATAAGAAGTTTACATTTTGCATAGACTTTGAACAATATATTTGCTCTCGTTATCTAATGACGACTATACCGTTTCTTAACAAGCGTTAACAAAATTTGCTGATTCAGTTCTATGATGAGGGGTCTATACATGTATACCAAGTACATTTAGTAACATTGTTATTCACAATATGTAATGATTGGTTTGGTTTTTTCATTGAAATGTCTTCTTGATCAGATTTAATGACACATGGAGCTGATGTTCTAAGATGTTAGTCTACGTTACCATTCGTTTAAATATAGTACGCAAATGCTATATGTTACATGAACATAGTGTGTTTTCATATAATGAGTTTCTCTTACATCTTGTATATTTAAAACGGACCAAGCTAATTCTTTGGAAATCACTATATTGTGCAACTGATTGAATTAAAAATGTCAGTTCCCAGCAATTAATCTACGTTACAACATAGGCATGTTCAATGCTTGAGTTTTTTACAAATAGATAACCATGACAGTATCCAATATTAGTGTTTAACAATGCAGAGATATACTCCTTTGCTCTGCTAAAAAGTATTAAACCGAGGCAATGGTCACAAAAGATTTACACTTAATGATTGAATGACTGACAAACATTATGGAAATTACAATTTTAAGGACAAACATATAAAATATTTGTAATTGAGCAAAAAAAAGTTCAAAAGCCAACAATCATTAATCCTCCTGATAAGTATCAGTGCCATAATGTCTGTACTTTAAGGTAGAAAAACATTTTATTGGGTAGCACTGTCATAAATTAAGAAGTATTCAAATCAATTAAGATGGTACCTATAACGTAATTTAAAATCGCACAAAAACTTTAGAGTTGGACCACATATTTCAGATCAAAATTACTACAAAACCAAAAGAGTCTAAAAGCCAATTTTTAGTATTATGCTGTCGACATATAACCTCATAAAATAACAAGGTATGACGTGAAACGGAGAAACTTTATTTTTATCATTTTCTGAAAACCGATCGGGGCATTACTATCTGGAATGACTGTTTATGAAAGGGAGAAACAATTTGGACCGTTCAGGTCTCTAGGGAGACTGTTCCACATGGTGATCGTTGAGCAATTGATTTCTGATTCCACTTCTTACTAATTGTTTTGAGCCTGGTAATTTCTGATCGTTGATTTCTTTAGAATTCGGTTCTTAATTGCTTATACGGTTCAAATATCCGTGATGCCAAATTATGTTCTTGCCCACAATTTATGTTTGTCGCTTGTACTTCGTAAATAGTGACTAGACTTACGCCAATTTATTAAAGTGCTTGTACGTTGCAATACCAGAAGAAATGACAGCTCTCCTATTATGTAGTTTATCTAACACCCCAGTCACATTCCCCACGGCCGCCGTGCGGTCTATCATTTCTGCGGCCAGTAGCTTTTCTACGCTCGCCGTAGAATTTCTGCGCTCTCATACCTATGCAGTCACATTTCCCACGGCAGCCGCACGGTGAATTTTAAATTTCTGTTGATAAATGATAATGTTTTCCTTTTATCTACATCGGGACAATTTATAAAAGTTATTCATAGTGCTAGGATGTAATATCAAATGAAAAGTGATCGTGAAACATTGACAAATAATGATTCAATCTTGTTGAGCCAGTTGATTTCTATGGGGACCTCAGAAATGAACAAATATTTTAACTCGGAGTTATAATTTCTACGGCGACCCCGCGGCCTGTAAAAAAACTGGATACACCGTACGGAGGCCGCAAGGCGAGCGTATTTTCCTCCGCTCGCCGCAGAAATCCACTGATTAAATTGATCTGCGGTCGACGTACGGCCGACACACGGCGACAAATGTGACTGGGGTGCTAGTGAATTCAGACGTCACGATCATAGTCTATACCGAGACACTGCATGGTAGTTCGGTTAAACGACTAAAGAATCGATTTGAATTTTCAGGAGTAGGGTTAAAGTATAGGGTCTGCAAGTTAGCGTGCGATGAGATGGGCTTAGATAAGTGTTCAAAACTGTGTAGAACTACAAAAGGTGTAAGTACATCCCCAGATGCGAGTAGGTAGTTACCAGTTTCACCATCAGTTGGCTGATTTGGCTAGCGTTAATTACCACGGAAGGTATATAACTTATAAGAAAGTTCCATTGAACGTGAATATTATCAGTTTTTCAAGTGGATCAATATTCATATGATCCATATGTGTCTGTTAATTATACAAACGAAAATATGTCTGGAGTAAAAGGAAATATCATCTGAGCAACACAAGAAAAGATATTTCACTTTTTGTAGTATGGTAACATCGTGTCTTTGGGGAATCCCCTTAGTTGACATTTCACAATTCTAGATGCAATTTTACACGTATACTTTAAATATTATATCTCTTTTAATGAAGTAAATCGTTAATGAAGTAAATCAAGATTATGTCTACCCGCATCTAGTATCTACGTCTTTATTTTCTAAAAGTCGAATGTAAAATACGTAGATTTTTTTAATTCTTTTTCGCCATAGTCTCATCAAATATGAAATTCCGAAGGATGGATAACCAATTTTTAACACGTAAAATGTCTCTTAACGTCTTTTTACGTTTTTGTTCCAACGAATTTGTAATGCTACGTTGACTTGTTTACTTGCAGGATGCTTTCATTGAGAATTCCTGCTGGAAGGATTGTTCATCGTGTGCGGTTCAGTCTAATGCAGCGACTGTCCTCAGGGAGTATATTCAATACTGTAATTTGAAATTTTAAGTTTAATTTCAGTTGAAATAGATTTAAATTATAGAGGTTGCCATCTGGTTCTGCAGTTCATGCAAAGGTCATGAACTTTTAATTATGTCTAGATCATCTAATCACTTCAGCTACTGCAGCCAAGCACTAAACATGTACTATTTTTAGCTAATGCTCTCTGTATTAATTAAGACAAAGTATAACAGAGAAAAATATAAAAATAATAGTAAAAACCATGGAGGAGTTTCAAGCCAGTAACAAACTTACATCTGAAACTATAAGGACACTTGAAGCGAACGGATTTGACTCTATTGAGGCACTCGTTACACTGCAAGTGCCTCAAGATTTACAGGCAATGAAACTAAAGCCTTTAGGGCAATTTCGCCTCCTAGAAAAGGGACTTAAAGCTCTTAAAGGAGACATAGATGGCCCTGGGATATCACCAGACGGTGCCCCTCGAGGGGAGGAGTACCAAGCTACTCATAAGGAGAATGAGGCTGGTCTGTCAGCTGACCAAATGCTGAAACAACTTGGGATAAGTCCCCAGGCCAGTGGAGTAGAACCAAAAAGGAAAGGTGAGCACCTTAAAATTGTGGATTTTATCTCGAGTGCTCTGTCTATCAAGGAGGATTACTCAGAGGAAGTGATGGCTATAGCGGGGAGCTCTAGCCTGATTCTCAAGTCCTCTGCTAAACGCCCCACCCTCACCAGTGTCACCATCCCACAATGGAACCAGGCAAGTTTGGCGATATTGTTACATATGCAAGAGCATTCTCCCCAAGTAGATGTACATTCCTATCTCCAACACCATATAAAGATAATGGAATTTTGTGAAAAGTTTGATTGGATAAGTATTTTATTATATGATGAGGAATACAGGAGGCGCCAGTATATACAAGGCTTCCAATGGGGTAGCGAAATAGCCCACCTCAGCACGACTCACCTGAGGCTAAAACCACCAAATATGAAATCAACTCAAGCAAGGAATAAACAGACTGCAAAACAGCCGGATATACAAATATGCAGGAATTTTAACAAAGGAGAATGCAAGTATGGAACTACTTGCAGGTACCGTCACGTTTGTCTAGAGGCAGGTTGTACTGAGTCTCATTCTGCCTTAACCCATCAAAAAAACTAACAGTCGCTGCAGTAGCACCTATAGCCCCTTCACCTCTAGGAAATTGTTTGGATAAATGGACTTATGAATTAGCTAATGACCCAGATAAGGACTTTCTTCTAAATGGAATTTCAAGTGGTTTTAAAATCATTGACTCAAATAGCAATCCTGTTCAAGTAGAGACTAATAACTATAGATCAGCACTTGATTTTCCGGCTCATTTTAAAGTGGAATCTCAGATTGTTAAGGAACTTCAAGAGCAAAGATATGAAAAAGTATCCCATAAACCAATAATAACTAGTGCACTGGGGGCAATACCAAAAAAGAACTCTGACAAGATTAGGCTGATTCATGATTGTTCTATGCCGCATGGAAATGGATTAAATGACTATGCTACAAAAAACAGTTTTAAGTATCAATCTCTATCGGAAGTTACTGCTTTAGTTAAGCATGGATACTTTTTATGTAAGGTGGACCTATCAGAAGCGTATAGATCAGTGCCGATATCTCCCAGTGATTATCTGTATACTGGCCTTAAGTGGAAATTTCGAGGTGACAATTCATATACATATATGATAGACAAGAGACTCATGTTTGGAGCACGGAAAGCTCCAGAAATATTCCACAGACTTACGCAATCTGTTAAGCGTATGATGATCAACAGAGGATTTCACAACATTGTTGTTTATCTCGACGATTTCTGCCTAGTTTACCCTACATATAAGGAGTGTCAAGAAGCAAGGGACACATTGATTGGATTGATCAGGTCCCTTGGTCTGAGCATAAACTGGTCAAAAGTGGAAGGACCTACACAGGTTCTAACTTTCTTAGGCATAAACATTGATACTATAAAAATGCAACTGACATTGCCAGAGGAAAATCTAAATAGCTTGAAAGCATTACTCATCGAATTTTCAAGCAAAAAACGCGCCGCTAGATCCCAGCTTGAATCATTGGCTGGTAAACTTCATTGGGCAACCCAGGTCGTCAAAGGGGGTAGGCATTTCCTCCAACGGATCCTGGATACCATACGATCACTCAAACGCAGCAAACACAAATACATGCTAGAGACTCAATTCTATAAAGACATAGACTGGTGGATTAAGTACATAGACACATTCCATGGAAAATCTTTAATAATGGACAACAATCCAGTTGTGACTGTCGAGCTGGATGCTTGCAATACTGGAGCAGGCTTATACTACGATGGAGATTGGGCATATATAAATTTCCATCGTGATACCCCTTCTCTTAAGGATTACCATATCAATTATAAGGAGATACTCTCTGCATACTTCTCTGTATTGAGATGGGGGCACACATGGTCAAATAAGAAGGTTCAACTTGCAACCGATTCTTCTGTTGCAATGGCAGTGATCAACTATGGGAGGTCTCGACATCCTGTTATTATGGATATACTAAGACATATGTTCTGGATATCAGTGACTTACAACTTTGATCTAAGAGCACACCATGTCAAGGGACTAAATAATGTGATGGCAGATACAATCTCCAGACTTCATGAACCCCATGCCCTCCTATCCTTGGAAGCCTTGTTATACCCTGGCCGCTTCCCTTATTCAGGAATGTCTGTTATGGACTTAATACCACACATGAGTTTTAATTCTCTGTTTTCCATTCTGCCGCAGGTCCACAACTGGCTGAGCTGGAAGAAGAATTGGATAACACAATCGCTACGCTACGCATGAATTGCTACACCCCCTCTACCAGATCAACGTATGCAGCCCAGCTCCAAAAATATCTTGTATTTTGTAACAATATGGGTTACAACCCAGTACCAGTTAATCAATTACACCTGGAACGCTATGTTGCTTCATTAGCTGGGGTCATTACTCCAGCATCAGTGAAACTGTATCTTAATGTTGTCAGGCTACTCCACTTGGAAAGTGGTTATGCAAACCCATTAAATAACAATTATAGGCTGGACACCATCATTTTGGGTCGCACAAAGACCCTAGGCAGGAAACCAATTAGGAAATCTGCTATTACTCCAACTCATTTGCTGGACATTAGGAAGCAACTAAATATGGATGATCCCCTTCATGTGGTTTTCTGGGGTGTCTGTTTAGTTGCTTTCTATGGCCTGTTTAGGAGATCTAATGTGTTACCTTCAGAGTTTGACAAGAGCAAACATTTGTGCAGGAGAGATGTAACATTTTTTCCCTGGGGGGTCTTACTTAATGTGAAATGGTCAAAGACTATTCAGTCTGGAGAGAGAATCTTGCAAGTGCCGCTTACTGAGATCAAAGGCCACCCCCTTTGCCCAGTATCTGCACTACTATCTGCCCTTGCTATTACTTTCCCCTCCAGCCCAGACTACCCCCTCTTTACATTGCCCAGAGGTAAACCTTTTCCCCCATCCCTGTTCTCATCTCTCCTGGGCACATGCTTAGCTAAGGCAGGTTATGACCGTACTTGTTTTTCACCTCATTCCTTTAGGAGGGGAGGCGCATCTTGGGCTCTACAAAGAGGCCTTCCCCCTAATGTCATCCAGATTCTAGGTGACTGGAAGTCAGACGCATATAAGGTTTATCTTGAACTACCTGTAGCTTCAAAAGTAGAGATGGCAAAATCTTTTTCAACTAACCTACCTTCTACTACTTCTACTTAACATCAAGTTTGGGTTCGGAGGTCATAATATTATATGCTATTATGTAACTACTTTAATGCAATGTACTGTTATGTATTTTCTATTGTATTATTACGTAACATCTATTAATTAACGCATTATAATATTATGTAACTTCTATTGTAGTTTATTGTTTTAGTTTAGTTAGGTACAATAAACTATTTGACCAACTACTTGTAGTTTTTTTTGCGTCTATTTTTCGTATTTGGCATTATTGGGAATTTAAGTTTAATTTCAGTTGAAATAGATTTAAATTATAGAGGTTGCCATCTGGTTCTGCAGTTCATGCAAAGGTCATGAACTTTTAATTATGTCTAGATCATCTAATCACTTCAGCTACTGCAGCCAAGCACTAAACATGTACTATTTTTAGCTAATGCTCCCTCCCACCCTCCCCTTAATAGAATTAGGGTGTACTGGACTGGGAGGTCATAATATTATATGCTATTATGTAACTACTTTAATGCAATGTACTGTTATGTATTTTCTATTGTATTATTACGTAACATCTATTAATTAACGCATTATAATATTATGTAACTTCTATTGTAGTTTATTGTTTTAGTTTAGTTAGGTACAATAAACTATTTGACCAACTACTTGTAGTTTTTTTGCGTCTATTTTTCGTATTTGGCATTATTGGGAATTTAAACTGCAATAAAGGAGGAGGGAAGTTAGCGCAACAGATTTTGGACAGTCATATGTTTGATTTTGGCCATTTCCTGGGGATTTAAAAAGGTGCATATGTTAGGCAAATGCATTACCTCCAGGAAAATCACTTCTAGAGACGATGAAATAATTTCGACTTTGAGACAGGGTAGATGCAAACAACCCACCCACATGTTTTTTCTGAAATGTTTTCCTGATTTTCAAACCCTTCCATCCTTGCTTTTTTAATTTTTCTTGCATTAATATGTTGCGTTTTGACACACAGTTTATCCCTTAACATATGACTGTCCAAAATCTGTTGCGCTAATTTCCCTCCTTCACGTGATTTATTTTTCAAATATTAATTATAGTTTCTACCTATATGCTATCGACGATATCATGTCAATTTACTATTCTAGGTCGTTGTGTAAGATTCTCTTTTACTAATTACAACTTAGAGACCCATTTCCTTCAGAGGTGTTTCATTTGTGAACCTTTTAGTCATATGAATAATATTCCAAACCTCAAAGCAACAACCTACAACAATTTTCCAACAGTGAAAACGTCGCATTGTCGTTATTTTCTGAAATTACAACCGACTATGAATTCAAAATACACAGGTCGAAAGATTCGAACCAATATCTCGATCATTACTTGTGAATTTTGGAATTTTTCGATAGGAAATAAGATCAAAATTCACAATTCAAATATTGAAGTGAACAAAATGGCGCTGTTCGAATTTTGTATCATGACATGCCCATATATGGGACAGAATATCGACGTTGCACTCCGGGAGTCAATCTTCTTGCGTTTTAAAACTTTAAATTTAGTTTGAAATGTGAATAAATCGCTAATACTTGAGACGGTCCATTCGCGTATTCACTTAGTTTAAGTTTTCATTATGAACTTATTGTTTTAAAATGTAAACAAAAAATGAATTCAAATAAGACACTTCAAACATATCTCTAAACATGTTTGAACATATAATGTATACATGTATATGAGAGAACAGATCAAACGATAAAGAACAATCAGCTTTTCATTAAAATGACCATTTGTTTTTGGTAATATCATAGATATCTAAAGTTGACAGATGCATATGATCGTCACTGACTTTATTTGCTTCTTTATTTTACAGCGAATTTTGACCAAATTGTAAGCGGCCACGATGGTGCGGAAGGTCCTGTTTTCACCAAAGATGGAACCTTTTACATGACTGCACTCCACGATGGTCAAATCCTCACAGTCGACTTACAAAATAAACTAGTATGAATTCAATAATATACAATTTGTCACTTCACATTACGAATAGAACGAATTCCTAGATTACTATAATTCTAAACGCACAACATCCTCCGCTCTTTTGTATTTAATTTCACCTTTATCATTTCTGATCAATTTACGAATTGATGCCCTCTCATCTTCAAATTCAAAAGCTGTAGCAAGTAACATGTTATAGCCATATGGACGAAGTATTCGCCACACAGTGTAAATAATTTAGAGCAGACGGTGGCCTACGACCTGGGCAAACGGTAGAATGTTTCCCGTACGTTGAACATGTTCAGGGGACTGTCGGCCATCTGCAACTGTTAGGGGCTTTGGGCATGCGCAAACCTTTATCCAGTCGAATAACGTTCGACGGAGTACGATTGAAACCGTTTGAGAACAGGATAATAGGTTGATGTCGACTGGTTGGTTGGTTGGTTGGTTGGTTGGTTGGTTGGTTGGTTGGTTGGTTGGTTGGTTGGTTGGTTGGTTGGTTGGTTGGTTGGTTGGTTGGTTGGTTGGTTGGTTGGTTGGTTGGTTGGTTGGTTGGTTGGTTGGTTGGTTGGTTGGTTGGTTGGTTGGTTGGTTGGTTGGTTGGTTGGTTGGTTGGTTGGTTGGTTGGTTGGTTGGTTGGTTGGTTGGTTGGTTGGTTGGTTGGTTGGTTGGTTGGTTGGTTGGTTGGTTGGTTGGTTGGTTGGTTGGTTGGTTGGTTGGTTGGTTGGTTGGTTGGTTGGTTGGTTGGTTGGTTGGTTGGTTGGTTGGTTGGTTGGTTGGTTGGTTGGTTGGTTGGTTGGTTGGTTGGTTGGTTGGTTGGTTGGTTGGTTGGTTGGTTGGTTGGTTGGTTGGTTGGTTGGTTGGTTGGTTGGTTGGTTGGTTGGTTGGTTGGTTGGTTGGTTGGTTGGTTGGTTGGTTGGTTGGTTGGTTGGTTGGTTGGTTGGTTGGTTGGTTGGTTGGTTGGTTGGTTGGTTGGTTGGTTGGTTGGTTGGTTGGTTGGTTGGTTGGTTGGTTGGTTGGTTGGTTGGTTGGTTGGTTGGTTGGTTGGTTGGTTGGTTGGTTGGTTGGTTGGTTGGTTGGTTGGTTGGTTGGTTGGTTGGTTGGTTGGTTGGTTGGTTGGTTGGTTGGTTGGTTCGTTGGTTCGTTGGTTCACTGGTTCACTGGTTCACTGGTTCACTGGTTCACTGGTTCACTGGTTCACTGGTTCACTGGTTCACTGGTTGATGTCGCCTATCGTCAACCATAGACGGGTTGTTCATATGAGCATGCCGCGTGAATACCATCGGTGGAACGGGCTCTCAGAGGGCGCTCTAAATGTTAATCGAACGAGTTTGCGCTCTACCCGAATAACATTATGTTTATGCGTTGAAAATATCATAACGTCTCCGTAACATGACCATTCTATTACCTTGAACTCGCCAAGTGTCTCATAACGCGATGTCGTTACCGTCTCCAGAGTTCTGACATCTTCGATTTATCCAGTTGTTCTGCGTTCCATTATCGGCAGACTGACTGCACTTAAACTACAGTAATAAAAACTATTTTCACAATATTAATGTCGTTTTTACTACAATTAAAGTGGTCGTATATTAAAGCAGAAATCAAGCACTATACGTAAAAGTATACAATAAACAGCGTGTTTCTACAAACCGATGTGTTGCGTACATTTACTCATCGTCATATAATTAAGAAATAGAATAGTTTATCATTATAATGTTAACATTATTATTATCAGAATGAGCTAGTTCACGCATGGATGCTTTTTAATTTCCAATATAAAATTATACTGGGTTCTTTATTGCTATTCAAATACGACCCTGGTTTATGATAAAGTAAAACATAAAAATAAAATCATTGAAATTGCATATGAAACTTAAATCTATTAATTTAAATGAAAACATAAATACATAAAATAGACAGTGAATCTTAAAATATAAATCAATTCGAACATACTTACTGTGTCTCACAAGTTCATCGATCGTTGCTTTTAGGTTTGTGCTTCGATAACATCAATCGATGTTAACATCTTAAATCATAAAAAACTCGTTCAAATAGTTCCGATGTTTTTTTCAAGTGGGTGTTCTAACAGTCTCAATTCCATTCATCAGTTCTTCATAAAATAAATAAATGAATAAGCCCCGCATTTACCATTTTCATCTGCAAGATTGTTTTCATTCATTTGAAACTCATTTAAAGATTGTTAGTCTTTGAAAATATACATTTGCTGACATTTCCGTTTATAGAGGGCACAGCTGAGCCTAATATGGATTGGTTTATGTTTTATAAATTACTAGAGGGGTGTTAGGTTGCAATTCATTTTTATTTGAAAACTATTTAGAAGGTTTTATTCATCAAAATAGTATACGAAAGTAGTTTGATGCAGAATATTGCAAGCATAAAAACTTTGTTGGAAAATCATAGTAATAACTAATTTTAGTGCATTAATTTATCGGTATTTGAGGAGAAAATACGATGATAACGTGGCATTTGTGGCAATCTTTTGGGCCGTTTTAATAAAAAGTGTATATGTTTGTGTTGTCATGTTTACTTTTACTTGGTAATATAAAGCATTCGTTCATTTTAGCCCAACACGTTTCTGAATGTTTTAATATTTATGATTTATTGATAATCATGCAATAGCATTATGGTTATTTACTTGTAAATTGATTTTAATGTTTTAGAGATGTCACATCATACAAGTAGCCTACTAAATGTTTGAGAAAGAAATAAGAGGCGTGACATTGTGAAAAAAACTTTTCCAAACCCACCCACCCTGTTATTTTATTATTTCATTTGACATATAATGTATTTTTACAACTTGCTAATGCTACGCTCAGGCTACTTTGTACTTTTCAGAGAATTTGGTTTATCAGTTGTCTAGATAATACTTGTCAAAAATTGGCTAATGTTTTGGGACACCCGATATATTTATTCTATATAGTCTAGTAGGAATGATGGTGTCCAATGCATTTACATACAGAAATTTGATGTTACTTTTGTCGTCTCGTGTCCCATGGTGTCTGTTATTGAGGTTGCATACCCCCATCCCAATTAAGTTGATATTTCCTTCGTACACGTTGTTATCCACTTTTCAACACAAATGAAACAGAAATGGGAGCACAAAGCATTTGAGGGGAAACTATTCTAATATGCATGTGATAATACTTTTTTCTTGCTCTCATGCCTAGGCAAGTGTCTTTGTTGAGCCAATAGTTGGTGGGTTTGTCGGAATGCCAGTAGGATTGCAATGTGATCCCGAGAACAATATTTGGGTTGCTGACGCGAGACTTGGCTTACTAAAAGTGACACCAGGTGGCACTCTCCGACAAGTAAGTTAGTGCTGTTAGATACACACTAATCTAGGCAGTAAAGATACTCTGGCAGTACGAAAGAATTAAGACCAAATATTTCAAGCAAAAAATATGTCAGTCAAATAATTTATTAAAAATGTAATATATCCGACTCCACCAGGTGCCTTCAAAAGCCCATGCCTGCATCTGAAATATAACGAATGAACCGATTTTAACTTTTATCGAATGATTTGTAAAATGAAGCCTTCTGATTTGATCTGTTCTTGCGCTGAACCAATCTGAATTGCTACTGAGATTGTCCCCGTTGATCATCATCAATAACTTATAATGCTAAAACCTTCAAGTGATTAACGCGGGACCATTAACTCTGCTTCCGATGACACAGAAATGGTTGTCCCGTCCGTATACTTTTTATAAACTAGGAAAATTACCCAAAGAATTAAATATACCATCTCTTTGTTTTAACAATTGTCCTCCGGGACCTATATCCATAGGAACCTCGGTCCGAAAATTTCGTAGGCATCTAAGTCCGGGGGATAGCATCCCTAAGGGACTATTTTTCCTGTTATACCTGGTAGACACCAATAAGTTGAGTTGAGAAATATCGCCCGGTGTCCGTGCAAAGTCTTGAAATCGACCGAGGAAAAGGCAAACCGTTGCTTCTTCGCTGCAGCATATATCACTGTTTCCCAACTTGTTACTTTAGCGGAACGTCAATGTAACAAAATGGATGAATTTCCTGGATACTAGTTTTTCTTGTTTTCTCGATTTAAACTTATTTATAAGTCAAGTTGCAGATAATAATTTGACACAAAGCTAGAACATATAGTCTACACATTGAGATATGCCGATTATTCAATTAGTACAAAATTAGTACGAATTGTGTTCTCAGCATATTTATGAGTGCTCATTGAATAATGAAAAATCAATGAAATTAGCGCTATTTTTATCACTCATCATATGAGTACCCATTAAGTACTAAAAATGCAATAACCCAGTACTAATGTCATCAGTCATGGTGCGTATATTTTAGTAACTATTTGCTGAAACGACTACTCAGTTAACGTAACAATTTAAGCGATGGTCTAAATGGATAAAATAACAGCTTTATTTAAAAATCAAATTCCAAACCGAGAGCATTTCTAGAAGCTAGACATTATTTTGTCTAATTTTGTGCCAAACGATAATTTGCAACATGACATACGTAATTTTAAGTCGAGAAAACAAAACACTCGTTCCCAAGAAGTTTATTCCGTCAAAGTAACTAGCTGTGGATCAGTGTTATATATTATTCTCACTTTAATATGATCATATTGTATCTATTATTTGAAATTGCAGGTGGCAACCATGGACATCAATAATGAAATTTCGCAAGGGTTTAATGATCTAATATTTGACTATCATGGTACTCTGTGGATCTCTGCCCCATTGGGTCCCATTGCCCCGCATAACCTCACATTTTCATATGAGGTAAACACCGAATTGCATGTTTAGACGGAAATAATAGAGACATTGTGTTACATTGAATATTTACTCGTGGGATTTCATAATACCTGTATGAAGGATAAAATTATCCTAAGAAACGAAGTATTATATCAGGCGTCCCAAAAAGAGTACTAAGAAATTCAAAATAGCATGTCAAAAATTCCTATAACGGAGCTCTGATATGAGAATTTTATACCAGCTATATATAATCTACGCACGCTCCGTCTTCACTGCGTTCGATGGGAGTCGAGCGATGCCTGATTAATTCTTTTCATTCATCCCGAATATCCAATATCCAATTCATTCTCAAATTCATTGGAGGTGATATTGTTAGAATAAATACGGAAAAGTATTTTTGCTTGGAAATGGATTAAAGAGTGTTTTTTACATTGACATTGGTGATTTTGACATACTGTCTTTAGTTCTAAAATACACATAAAATATGAGACTAATCTCTTACATATTCATGGCACAAGCCAAAGATACCCTAAAGTACCTCTCAAGTTTTCAACAAATTTGTCGTTTTCATTGCTGAGAAATCACTTGCCAAATTGCTTCCCATTTTTTGGTAGAAACGCTATAAAGTTCTCATTTAGTTTCTCCGGCATGGGCTAATATAAAATGCTATCTTGAATTTCTTAGTACTCACATAACATTTATTTGATCTCTTTCATATTTTTAAACCTTGTAACCGATACTCTTGCGCTATTGTGCACATTTTCAAATAATTCAGTTCATCAGTTGCCGAGATAATAATACTTGTCAAAAAGTGGCTCATTTTTTGGGTCACCCGATATATAAAAATATCTTAACCCGATTGGATGGTATCCTGAATCTTTTTTATCCACTCCGTTTCTTGTTCATCCCTATCATTTCACCATTTCAAGGATCCATTTGGGAGCGTGTACTGTTACAACGATGCAACTGAAGAGCTTATAAAGCTGACCACTGGATTCTTGTGGCCAAATGGTATAGCTGTACAACATGACGTCGATGGGACTCCTAAGAAACTGATTTTCGGAGAGTCATTTAATAAAAATGCACCTCTCTGGAGTTACGATATCGTTGGTCCTTGTCAGATTAAAAACAAGCAGCTTTGGGGAAATCTACCTGGTAAGGGGAAACCCATCATATCATGGGGCTACATATGGAAAATGTAAAACCTCGGACCCTGAATAGTTTACAATGGGTGTCGACTTTTGGCTTGCAACCGAAGATACAAAGGTACCTCAAGAAAAGTCGGAGATTGCCGAAGATTTTCTTTGCAAACGAAGTTGAACGAGGGTACCACGGATGTGAAGTGAACGTCTCTAATTGGTCAAAATGAGAAGCTCGGCATTCTCCGTCAGATTGAATCGGCAAAATTCGGTTTTATGGCTTACCTTCGGTTGCATGGCTTACCTTCGGCTGCATGGCCCAACCTCGATTGAATGGAAAAGATGCTGCCACACTTTGCAATAAATACTAAGAAAATGGATTAATTAAGCGTCCAAATTTATAGAGGGCGTGTATCATAACATATTTGTAAAAAAAGTAATGATTATTTCGTAGGATTGACATTATAGATAACATTTTAAAAATATCGTCATAGATTTGTGCATGATGTAATAGTTAAATATATCTGATTACAGTAAACATAATATCAGATGGTATGGATTTCGACAAAGAAGGAAACCTTATAGTAGCAGGATATGATGGCTTTCTTCATGTTTTCGGCCCTAATGGAGGAGCACCAATTTGTCGTATTAAGTGCCCCTTTACGGAAGCTTCAAACGTTCATTTTAAGCCTGGTACAAATGAGCTGTATATCACTCAGGATTCTTCCCAAGGTGTATGGAAGATGCAATGGAGAGCCAAAGGAATGGAACAATATTGTGACTTGGGACAGATCTAGAGTTAAGAGTTTTAACGCCCATTAGGGAGGTTAAGATTAGCGTAAAAAATATACGTGTACCTATCCCTATCCGTATGTTTGTTACGGATGCGTATAGGTAATGCGTATTGCAAAATGAGTTAAGATTAACGTAAAAGGCTACTAAACCGTATGCTACAATTTATGATAAAAATGATATCCTAATTATAAAGTGAAAACCATGCGATGGCTTATATGGCATATACCAGTACATGTCACCTCCAGGATCTGTTATACACTTGTGTGCTGTAGCTACTGTAGTTGGGAGGGGGTGTTGCTAGTGGGTCCGCTAATGGGGCAGTGACTTAAGGCGAAATGATAAATTGCTAGCATGATCCAGCAATGAGAGTGACCAAATAGTAAAATTAAACAATTAAAACCACGAGAAAATGGCTGACTTCATACATTTACAATAAGCAAAACTGATGAAGAATGTGTAAATTCAACAATTTCATGCGTCATCACATGGCATCGTTTAATCGCATCAATGAATGTGTTCGACCACTTAATTTCTATGCAGGTCGAACGAGAAATGTTTGTTGTTACTATTTTAAAGTTTAATGAATGATATTTGATCTACAAATGTCATAATTTGTTGGATAGAAACATACGTTTTCGAATTACCTATCTTCGGCCATTTATACTAGGTAATTACGTATCGCAAACCCTGTAACTTAGGTAAAATACCGCTTAGTGTAATAACAAACTACGTATAGGTATAGGTAAATGGGTTATTTACGCTAATCTTAAACTCCCTATTGTATCCTGTCTAACGTAACAGCAGGACCAAATTATTCGTTATTTTATAATCTGCAGACTGAAGAAAAATACGAACGCTTCAACAAGGGACAACTTAATATTGAATGATATAATATGTACAGTATATTAGAGTTGAATAAATAAATACAAGCAATTACCAGAATCAACGCAATCTTATTGAATATTGAATCCACTTGTGTTTGGTAGTTTCTGCATTTCGCCTACATACCCCCCAGGGGCAAGTGTCTAGAAAAATGCCAAACTTAGATTTTCGTAGCACTCAAAAAAAGTCTGTTACATGTTATATCACTTTAAAGCTAATAGGTATCCGAGATGGCGCATGATGACACCGCTCATGTTGGACTGACATCTGAACACCTGTTTTTTAATACCAACGGCAATGTTATCACTATAAATAGTCAAGGCGTAGTTGAAATTAAAGATAAATTCATTTTTGGCCCATGGTCTGCACGTTCACTGATCTAGAACATGATCATTCTGTCATTCATCTATACAAGAAATACATGCATTTGCTTTATCACCGGGATACCAATTTTGACTTTTCAAATTATTAATACATTCAATTACAGTGACAGTAAAACACAGTCTACCAGTACCAATTGTCATGATGCACACATTTTGATAGCATAAGGACGGCAAAGGACCCAAAAGGAGGTTGGATCTCTTAAGCTAAGTTCACACCACATTCAAAACCAATAAATGTTAAAAATGGGTATATTTCATGTAATTGAAAATAGCCAAAACAAAAATGATTTTTTCTCATTATTTTATGTATTTTAAAATAAAATGCCTTTATCTAAATTCGGTCAGCATACTTATTGATCATTCCGGTTGTAAATAACTTTGATAACTCGCGAATAAGTTGTGAATTTCGTGAATTTGTTGATGAAACGGGACAACACGCCTGTGAAAACATGTCATATCTCAGTCATAAATGGTCGCATATTTTCATTTTTGTTCTGTTGGCATAGAAAACATTCAGTCAGAGTGTGATGACAGCAGTGTATTTGCTTCTCACCTACTACCGATTATATATAACCATTATAGTAAATGTAAAATTTATTCTGTGAAAAACGTCACGGTCGTTAAAACGGGCCCAGACGGCAGTAGGGAAACTCGAGATAAATAAATTATCTGTATTTATCAAGTCTTTAGTTCAGTTTATCAGACCATCGTGTCACAAATCGTGATAATAGTTGTGATTGGATTATAATGAGCATGATCTGAAAAATTCTGAAGATTCACCGTTTTGCTTGTGAAAAACGACCGTGATGTTACTCATATATTGACAGTAGTCTTGATGGGAATAAGGCAATTTCCAAGAAAACAATATGTCCACTCCATCATGACAAAAAAGGATTTTCGAAATAACCAGCATTACCCCATCTATGAACTAATATTGTGCGAAACTGTGACAAACGTCACGCGTGAAAAACGTCACGGTTTTAGCATTGAACTCAAAGCAATAATTAGCCATTTTTATAAATCCCAGATGGATTGGTTTAATTTTATATGATGACCCATATTCTTAAAACACATGTTCAGCAGTTATTCAGTAATTACGCATAAAGATCAACTTATAGACAAGGAAACGATAACAGCTAACGAATTTGCCCTTTTGTAAATGTGCTTTTTACAATTTATACGTCTTTACAATAATACGTAACATGCAAGCAAATGACAAGTTATTAAGATATTCCATAAGCATAATTTATCGGAAAAGTCATAACAAAAAATGTTATATGAAGACCATTAAAGCCAAAAATAGTTGACCCTCAGTAAATAACGTTTCGTTCAGTGTATTCCCGGGGATCGCTGAAATCAATCATAAAGTCCCCTAATGTTTGCATTCTGTTTTCTTTTCAATTAATGCAATTATTATTAATGGAGAACAGCATAAACCAAAAACTCTAATTAAGTAATATGAAAGATTTAAGCTTTTCAACGATGTTTTTGTGTTATATGAATTCCATTTGCACGATCTGTATATGATCTGTAATATTCAATATGCCTTCGCGAAACGCAATTCGTTGGAAAAGAGACAGAGAAAAGCAAAAACTAAGCTATGCCCGAGAATATTAAAGAAAATGTATGGCAAGCAATTCAAAAATACACTCCTCTTTGAAATATATCGCCAACCGACTAACAAAAAGAAATCGGAAACCCAAAATACACGCTTCGAAAATGTAGCCAACAAAGCGAGATTAATTCTTTCAAGGTTCTCTCTCTCTCTCTCTAAAGCAAAACCGGGGTAACCCATTGCACCGAAAATTAAACTTCCAGAACGTCAAAGAAAAACTGAAAATCGCAGGAAAGAATTAAGTTTATGCTGAGAGTTTTGTGATTAGATATCAGAAACCGTTGGAAAAGTATCGAGTCTGACAAAAATAATTCGTTCTGGCGACTAAGCTAGAATGAAGCAAAACATAACTATAAGAACGTTTTCGGTCGCCATGAAAAATGTCCAAAAAGTGTGATGAGATCGGGACATCGATGAAGCGCACCGCAGACCAAAAGAAAATTTCATATTCACAGTGCAGATGATTTTTATCCTTTGGCTTCGTCAGCCTTAAATAAGTCAGAAATATCATCCTTATATCTTTCAAATGATAACGTACAATCAAGTAGAGATACCGTTTAAATATTTTAAATGAAAAAGTCTCTCTTTAAATTTGAAATCTTTAAAACTGACTTTTCTGATGCATGATTGAATGCCGTTAATGCCATTTGGGAATGAACATGTATGGTTGCCCTGCTGTTTGCGGTGCATGCAGAAAAGACTTCACTACGTCACCCTGCAGCTGGTCTACATCCATCGTAAAAAGTGTCTCAAATTGTAAAAAACAAATCAAAGTGTCTTACCTTATACACGATAAGAGATTAAAAGGGAACTAGGGTGATGGGTGCTTGACGACCTGGCATTTGCACCATCGATGTAAAATGTAAAAAAGCTGGTTTTTGAATCAGTGAAATTTTGGGGAAGTTGATTTAAAAAAGATAAATAATGTGGTTTGCACATAGTTATTGAAAGTAGAAAATATGTGTCAGTACATACATGGTATAAACTATGATTGCATATTAGTCCACATACACTGTATTTAACATGTACTTTAAGCTTATACATGTAATGAACTGCTATTTCCTTGGAGATAGTGAAACACGGCACGATTCTGCTATTCATGCTTTATGTCGAGTTTTGAAGGAAAATTAAACATAAAGGTGAAAATATAAGACACAAATACAAACTTGTTTCTTAATTCAGCTAGCTATAGTCATCAAAAATGCCCATTCGTGAATTAAAACTTCTCTTTAGTGAACATATAACTCATTGTCATTTGTTTTCAATTTTCTTGTGAAAAACGACACGCGGAAAAATGTTGATCCAGCCTAATGATCAATGCTCCCCTAATATTTTTTTTTATCATTTTCTATTCGTCTAAAGCATCATTTTTCATGGCCGAATCAATTCATGTTCCAATAGTTTCGACCCCTTTCAATTTTACTCAAATTAAAAACACAACGTATGAAAAAAAATCGAGAAAAATGATGGATTCAGATGTCTCATGTCGACAAGTGATGTACATCAAAAGGAAAATACTTGTAGTCCAAATTCATTTATGATTTTAAAGGACAGTAGAGTAGCATGAGAAAAGTCCTTGGTTTTTTGACAATGTTGCATTCTAATGTGAATATCTTGGCATATTAATCACGGACTTGAAATGTGAAAATCGTCACGTTTGAGACGGCCACTAATTTCAATTTGAATTTCCACCTGTTGTTCCTTGGAGTTTACTTCAATGCTTTCGGTGACGTGTGTATAAATGTATACAGATACATACTACATGTCTATTTGAAAAAATAATTTTAATGCTTTTTTGAATTTTTAACAAAATTTGTTTCACACTTAAGCCGTTTTCAGTGACCAACGGCGCTTTGATGGCGCTTGAAATCAATGTAACCCGAAATTGTTATCGTAATTGTATATTTAAGCTACAGAATTAGCAAAATCATGTTCGCTTGCACAAAGGACAACTGTCATGTATCTAAGCACAAATGCCAAATGTAAAGAACCAACAACTGTAAAGAAACATATAGCAGGAAGACCAATGCCATTGCTATAATAGTTTATTGTTATTTAATAATATGTGTCCAAAGTTTCAAACTGAAATACCACATGAAGCATTACAATTAAATATGGGTCCTGTTGTTCAATATGGCGAATCCTACATTGAGACTAGAGTCTTATGGAAAAAAAACAAAAGATAATTATAAATATTCGAAAAGTTACATATACAGGGCGTCCACAAAAAAAGTATACCCAACTTCAAAGCCATGATACCAGAATTCTGAGCATTTTTTTTAAAATTTAAAGGCTGCAGTATATGGCCTAGTTAATTCTCCATCAAATGGTACCTAGATCATTATGTAACTGTCATGGATGACTGAGCAATCAATACTTTTATGAAAGGTGGTAAAATCAGCAATGTGCCAAGTTAGCATTCAAGTAGGATTGACACAATGAATGTTTTTTTGTGTTCAAAACATTTTTAATGTTCAAATTCAAACTTTTTCCATGTTCTTCAACCTTTTTTCATAATTTTCCATAACTTTTTATTGCTACCTCGTCCCTCGCAGGAATTGGATCTTAAGAGCCTCTTGAACAGCAATGAAACTTCTACATGATGATATGCAGCCTTAAAGTCAATAGGATCCCCCATTGAAGTCAATATACCCTTGTTGAAATCCCCATTTTCTCAGAAGAACTCAAGTTGATTGAGTCTCAACAAGTAGATTCATGTTGGACAGTATTGCTAGAATCCATTTTCAATAGTAAGAATAGGGATTCTTAAACAGTACACTGCACTCGCTTTTTGTTGGCTCTTCTGCTCTGGTGTCAGTTGAACCATGTTTTCAGGCCTATTTTATAGTAATTAAGCTTTTTGCCAAATCTTTTTTTTCATAAGAGAGCTGCAGCCCTCAGTCCAGTTCATTATAAAAGTCCTGTCATCTAACATAATGTAACAGAAAAAGAATACTAAGCCAATTAACCATTGATTGCCACACGTGAAGATAACTTGGCACAGTGCTAAATTTACCACCTATCAGAATGGTCATGATTGCTCAGTCATATGTAACTGTTACATAATGATCTAGGTACCACTTGATGGAGGACAAATAAGGCTTTTTGCTGTTGCCTTTGGATTTCAAAAAGATTGCTCAGGATTCTAGAAATTTGGTTTTGAAGTTGGGTATACTTTTTTTGTGGACGCCCTGTATAATGTGAATGCGGAATAAAGAGAGACAAAATATCGAGAAGCATTTCATTTCAATCGATTATGTTGTTGCTATTATTTCGCTAACATTAAAAACAGTTCAGTTGATATAAATGATTTTCGATCATTTCACCAATTTGAATCGCGTATCCCTAGAGGGTGATTAAATAATCCAAATGTGGAAAACATTAGAATATGAACTGCGCATACAATAGTTGCCGATTTGGCCGGATATAACCTTCAGTATGATCAATGTTGACCTCAGTCCAAGGGAGTATCGTATTGCCTTCAAGACAGTACTTGTTTTACCGACTCCCATTGTATATATATCCACATGTAGAGTTTGATACGGACCAGTGGTCTGGTAATTTATTTAACGGACCAGTTGATTTTTCACATGTAAAGAAGAATGACACCCGAGTCACATTTGTCGCACGGCGGCCGCAAGTCGGCCGCAAATCAATTAAATCGGTGAATTTCTGCGGCGAGCGTAGAAAAACTACGCTAGCCTTGCGGCCTCCGTACGGCGTATCCAGTTTTTTTACAGGCCGCAGGGTCGCCGTAGAAATTATAACTCGGAGTTTTAATATTTGTTCAATTCTGAGGTCCCCGTAGAAATCAACTGGCTCAACAAGATTGAATCATTATTTGTCAATGTTTCACGATCACTTTTCATTTGATAATACATCCTAGCACTATGAATAACATTTATAAATTGTCCTGATGTAAATAAAATGAAAAAAAAGTATTATTTATCAACAGAAATTTAAAATTCACCGTGTGGCTGCCGTGGGAAATGTGACTGCAAAAGTATGAGAGCGCAGAAATTCTGCGGTGAGCGTAGAAAAGCAACTGGCCGCAGAAATGATAGACCGCACGGCGGCCGCAGGAAATGTGACTGGGGTGTAACACAACTGGTTGAAAGTGCAAGTTTGACGGCTGCTCTCAGAACCTTAGCTCAAACTATGTTCACATGTTGCCCCTTTTTGATTGAAAAGTTTATACTATAGGTGACAGAAAAACATGGAGCATAACACAATTTACGCAAAGTTTACAAACAGTGTTACGCGGAATATGGCATACATTCATGGTTGCGCGGTATTTGTGATACGGGTGAATATGCCATACCCACCTGCGGTATATGGCATATTCCGCAAATGAGTATGCGATTTTCCGTAGTGAATATGCGATACATTAATTTCAATGAATACCCGATACTCACCTGCAGAATATGTCATACTCACTTGCGGAACACGCCATATACAGCAGGTGAATATGACATATTCCGCAGGTAAAAACGTGATACAGAAAGATTTGGTTTGATTGGTTGCGAGAATCGACTCTAAAAGTAAAACTACGCTGGATAACCAATGAATATTGTTAGTGCGTCGAGTACTAATATATGAATCCTGGATTGATTGGGTAAGTTTATTACGTGAGATTGGTGAGTGATACTTCTGCACACGTTGATATATTCGATAAACTGTACTGTTGATTCAGTAATCATTATAATAATTTATAAAGTTTTACTTGTTCGTTCAATCGATGCAATTGACAATTGCGTACTTCCGTATCACGTTCTCATTTGTTACTGTGTATGCCATATACTGCAGGTGATTCTGTCATACACCGCAAGTGAATATGCCATATTCGTTGCGGAATATGGCATATTTTTGTATCGTGTTTACCGCGTAACAATATCTAGTATATGCTTCCCTTGCATTCTTTAATCTAATATATCTAGATAGAGAATCCGATGCCTGATCAAATATTGTCGTTATTGGCCATCTAATAGGCTGAAAATATGTCACCAAGTGTTAGCAAATATGACGATTTTCAAAATCATCAAAAATTATTGACCAAAACCCAAGAGGACTCTTTATTTGGATGACAGTACATTTTTCACATATAACAAAATAACAAGTTAACGAATGTGATACCATCAAACGTTATTTACACACAGAGTGCTGTATATATCAATAGCAGTATCAGTTATTGGAATGCAGCTTTCCTATCCAAACAAACTATTAAGAATGCAATCCTCCCAAACAATATAAATCGATTTTTCTCAGAATCGAATCTGAATCGATTGTTCCTATACAAATAAACAATTAATCTTACGAAACGTTGTTAACAGTGATGGTGAATTAACAGTAACGAAACTAGAAAATAAAACAGTACCTATTTACATTATACAAATAGCCGGGCTTGATTCATTATATTATGTATGCCAAAAATGTGGAAAGTCATCATTTCGTAAAGTACACCTTGTTCACATTAGAGAGCTGTAATGCAAAGGTACACCCCACCCCCTCCTCCCCCATTCGTTTGGCAACCGGGGGTCCCAATTTGAGTCACTCCTCTAATACGGAAATCCTAATTTGGTCACTTCTCAAATACGGAAGTCTCAATTTGGGTCACTTTTCAAATACGGAAATCCCAATTTGGGTCACTTCTCAAATACGGAAGTCCCAATTTGGGTCACTTCTCAAATACGGATATCCCGATTTGGGTCACTCCTCAAATACGGAAATCCCAATTTGGGTCACTTCTCAAATACGGAAGTCCCAATTTGGGCCCCTCCTCAAATACGGAAAGCCTAATTTGGGTCACCTCTCAAATACAGAAGTCCCAATTTGGATCACTCCTCAAATACGGAAATCCTAATTTGGGTCACCTCTCAAATACGGAAGTCCCAATTCGGGTCACTTCTCAAATACGGAAGTCCCAATCTGGGTCCCTCCTCAAATACGGAAATCCTAATTTGGGTCACTTCTCAAATACGGAAATCCCAATTTGGGTCACTTTTCAAATACTATTTATGTTTGGCGATTTAAAACAGTTCATCAGTCATACATTTCCGAACTATTGTAATTACTACATTAGGAACAAAACTAAGACTCAAGCATCAACGGTGTTGATATATGCTTTCTCATGAAAATGTGCTGTTGCCAAACTTGTGAAGGGGAGTGTAAGTGTATGGTTTCGATACGAAGACATGGATCTACAAATAGGCCATACTGCTGGCTGGGTCAATGGGTAAAATGAGGTAAGGTTTTATTTTTTAACTGAATAATTAATGTAATCAACAATACGCATTCTCTCTTATATTTGTTTATGACCACGTGTTCTTGACTAACAATATAAAACATATTTTGTTGTTTTGTACACCATCGACCTGAATGGATCATTGAGAAGAGCTCTTCAAAGCAAATCTCCCGGACGTACAGTTCGCTAATACGTCTCGCCAAGTGTACAGATGTGAAAAGATTATAGTAACGTACAGGAGTTTATCGTCATCAAGTAGGCTAAATGATGATTTCGAATATACAAATCTTATTTTGGCTTGTGTTAAATGTGATAATTGAGAAATGTAAGTCAACATTTTAGTGTTAATCATTGATTGTAAGTTGTTTTGTAGTTTATACCTTATGTGTCATGTCAGTATATTACAATAAGGACTAACAAATTGACTTGCTTTGGTTTTCAAAAATATATGACGTATACCGATAATACAAACACTTATTAAATTGTTTAAATTATAATTGTTAAAATATTCTTAAAAGTCGATAAAGAGATATGAACTTTTAAATTATTATGATTTAATACTGTCAACAATACAAATTCCATATATTTTTGATCAATTCCATACTGAATCAAATCATAAGCATTTGATTTAATTGTTTATTTGAAACAAAATGACAAATTGTTCATTTTATTCAGCAATTGAAGCGACTTTCTGCAAAGTTGATATCCAGGCATTTGGAGCGCTCGATTCTGTAACTTCTGGTCACATCAAAGTCAATGACGTCACCTACCTTCAGACTGACGAAAATGATTTCGGGATGTAAGTACAGTGGAAGTTAATAATAATTTTTCACTTATATTTTACTTAAATATTGTACTTAAATATTTTATGGAAAAGCATGTCAACATCTAGAAACAAAACAAAAAAGTTTGATAATGGATATCCGCGTTTATTTGTGAGGGGCTCAATCTACAATTGATTATCTCAATTCACACAATCTTATTTAGTCTATCTTTGTTTCTAATTTGTGATAACTAGCCCATCCCAATTTTTAGGGATAATAACGGGAGGAAGCTCAAATAATCGTCATATAATGACCTGACATACTAGTAATCGATCAAAATTTTCTTCCAGGGAGGTATAGCTCAATCGTTTTTTCTATTTGAAGATATCTATGCCAATAAAATCTATGATCGTAATATATTGTAAACACGTATCAAATGCTAGATATATCCTGGTTTATTATCGACCATGCGTTCTGATTGACATGGTGACCGATATAAGATTAATACCAGGTCGGTTTATACTAGATATTAGGGAGTTTAAGCTTGCAATGTGTTTAACGGAAAATATTTAGGCGATGCATTGTCATGGGCGATTGATCATACGTATAGGTCTGCGTTTCGATTTTATTTGCAAACTTAAAACTCTCAAAGATCGCTCTTGAAAAATAACTGTCGTTTATACAATGGATTTTATTCCAGATACTTTGCACAGCTGATTACCTGTAAGGGCGTTTGCAGAATAATTGGAGGAATTCAGCACTTTGATATCGCATCAAGTAGCGCCGAATCATCTGCATGTAAAGACTACATCAACAGCGTAAGGCATTTTCATGTATTGAGTGACCATGAGTAGACGACTTTATTTTTAAGTTATTAGGGGTATATATCGAATTTATTCTATTTTAAGGAGTAATAACCCCCATTTCTTTTTAATCCATCAAGCCCATCATCGGGCCAACGTTATTTAAATTATATATTAATTTATGGAATATGTTTCATTCATAAGCTCATTGATGACACGTTCATCTTGAGTGTGACTGCCAGTGACACATGGGGAGACGGACTACACGCCGGAACATGTCTCGATGAACTAGAAGCGAGAGGACTAGTTCAAACAGTCCCGTATGGCGTAAAGTATGTTATTCTTACATAATATATTTTAAATTTTACTTCTTATCTCAGAAAAAAAGTTACAATACAACAATACAGGTAGATTATTTGAGTTATATTATCATCGTTGTATACTATTTTTACGAACCTGTTTTGAAATGAAAATGACATCATTTATATTATGGACGCTGGTTGATAGACATTTTAATTAATTTGTACTTATGATATACCAAATTAAAGATAAGTGAATTCCCTATCCAATGGTATATAATATGACATTTTTTCATCAAGAAAATCAATATTTACTTTTGAAATACGAGTGTCCCATTTTTGGACCACCCTGAATAATTTCTCTCAGACCAATTTTACTTTCGTGGATCTCCATACCTCAAACTTACCCTGTGTTTTCTTTTGAAAGAACATGCCTTTTCTCACTCTTTAACTATTCATTTAAGTTCCCTTGATTTATGAGAGGGATTAGCGAACTCAACGAACGCTTGAGATCAATTTACTCGGAAAAGATTCGAGTTTATCGAACGGTTCATCGAATCTCTCGTGTGTGACACAATTGCAAAATACATTAAGAAGCCAGAGCAAAGTCTGACCCAGATTCGTGTGCTTGTAGCTCATCTGTCGCGTTCGTCTCCAAAGTGAACGACAACACAGAGAATGTGCAGAACCAAACAGCGAGTGGTGCAACAATAAAAGCCACAATTCTTGCAAATATCAATACGTCATCAGGTATGTTATTAGAATTCGAATATAAAATAAAAAAACAAATGTCTTGCTTTCTTCCATACAATCCAAAAGCTTACACGGCGTAACCATATTGAATAATATGATATGATTTTAGAAATGCGGTAGTAGTTTTAAAACAGATAGTCATAGACTATAGACGCACCTTATTTTACAAATACGAGGGGTGATCCAAAAGTCTTGGACGCCTCGCTCTAACTTTGCTATTTTCTAATATAATTACATGAAACTTTCAGATAGTAAAGATCAACATCTTAACAACTTTGTGTATAAGTTTCAACAGAAAATAATATATTTTAGCTACTTTTCTAAATATTTTTTACTACCGGGTCCCTGCCACCCGGAACGGTATTTAAAAATAGCAAATCACATCACAACTGTTATAATATGGCGAATACTTTAGGTGCAGGTGCACAACCTAACAACAGTCATGATATGAGACAATTTCCGATTTTCAGTCTGAGTATCATCTGCCATCATCATCTTCACATATTAAGACCTACTTTTCAACACATTTTCCACGAATTTGAACACATTTTTCATACCGCTTTACCAATGAATGGAAGATATTTATGAAATCGCCATTGCTTATGTGATACAAATGCTACTGGAGTGCCACTCTAAACCTCAAACAATGAGTAATAAAAAAATTCTTACAACCCTCCTTTTTTCCGGAGAAAAGGAAGAAAATCACACGGAGCCATATCTAGACTGTATTGTGCATATGGTAGCTGCTCAAGGTCAATAATAGTGAAAATATCTTGAAGTATTCTTTGTTCAACTTTGATTTCTTTCATGTTCTGCATTTCAGCAGCCATCTTGCAGCAAAAATGATACCAGAATGAGGATTGCTTGGCTGATGTCATTTTCTTAGAATTTGACATATACGGCCATTGTCCTAGGTGACATTATAACTAAAACACAATTAATTGGTTGCCTTGTAACAAAGGAAGTAAACCAACATGGTTTAACATTCAAAATTCAAAGAAAGATAGTGGTCAAGACTTGCGAAACAAGTGAAATGGCGGCAACATTTAAGACTGAAAGTTGCCATGTGCGAATACCGTTCCGGGTGGCAGGGTCCCTATATTAAAAACTATCTAGAAAACTACATAAAATCCTCGAAATTAATACACAAAGTAGTTAGATTGTTGGTCTTTATTATTGGAAAGTTTAAAGTAATTTTATCAAAAACCAACAAAATTAGAGCAGGGCGTCCAAGACTTTTGGATCACCCCTCGTAGTGTAGATTGTAACGTAATAAATGTAAATAAACAAATTCAAACATTTAGTTCCAGAAAACTGTGTATGGCGGTGGACTGAACAAGTGGATCCCGTTATAGATGTCGATGTAAATACACTCAATACACTTGATGCACCCCTGTCAAATCCTATTTTGATATGCGCAAGGACATGTGGAGAGTCTGGTCAATGCAGATCGTTCCACATCTCACAGGAAACAGGACAATGCATACTTTATGACGGGACGAGCCCAAATGATTTCAAAGACTCATATTTCTTTATGCTTGTATAAATTATAGTCGCCAAGAACATCTACTTTACATACGTTTAGGATTATATTGGTTTCATTGAGTTGTTCCTGTATATATATTAATCATATTTTGATTATTCTTGTGTCAGATGTGTAGCTATTCGTGTTAGGCCGATGTTGAATGTTTTAAACTAATATCAAGTAGTAGTGTAGTTCATATATAATAGTACCCTATATGTTCTTGATAATATTGTTTTCCTAAAATGTTAATGTTTTCCTATGTAATGATGTAGCGATTTCGTAATGCACCTATGCACCAGCGTCATAATTCTTCGCACAGCTCTATGAGCAAATCTCTTTAATATCTAATGTTAGTTACACTAAACTACAGATGTTTACAATATTAAATTATGTATATTGATTCATTTTTATCATTAATTAATAAACGTGTAGATATTATATATATGAAGGACATTAATGTATTTGAATAAGGTTGGTATTGTTGTAAACCTCATTCAATTATTACTTCTTCAAAATAACTAGGTCAACAAAGGTCAAATCGCGGTCAAATTAACCTAGGGTTCTGAGGGTTGTATTATATTATTAATTTTCTTTCAAAATAAAAGTTCTGACCTTCGTTGAATTTTCTACTCAATTGCTTCGACATCAACTTTGCCTTGTTAAACATTTTCTAAGAGGTGATATTTCTAAACATCATACTCATCCATCTCTAAACTCAGCTACAAATACTTCCCGTTAAAGTATGTAAACATATGTTGCCGTTCGAGGATACTTCACTTATTTTAACTACATCAATTAGTTTTTGACTTTAATATTGTCAGTTACAAATAATAATCTTAAACAGGTAATGCGCCTATTTTTGAAGTAAAAGGAAAAAGTAATATTTGAGACATGTTACTCACACACTCAATCAAATATGATAACAATTTTAATTTGGGTCAATACTGAAGTGAAAAAATTACTGACATAGAAAACAGCACTTAAAGTTCAGAGATCAAAAGAAGTGAATTACTACTTTTCACAAAGTGTTTGTTTTAAATAACTCTTGGATAAAAAAAGGGCGTATAGTTGAAAATCCTATAAAAAAAGAATGGATAATTTAAATGCAAACAACAATGCCATCTTTCAATGACATTGCTAAAAAACTTGTCATATATAAATTGATAGATCGAAAATATTTTTTCATGATCTAGTGTCAACTCTGATTTGGTCCGTTTGAGCTGTTTTTGGTGTCAAATAAAAGATCAGGTACTTATTAATTCATTCATGGAAATAATTTGAAGATCCAAAGTGAGAATTCATTTATGCATTTCGTTCCTTTAATATAATCGTTTTGGAAATGTTGTTCACAATATCGTTTATTTGGTGAGAAGGTGAAAACATGAGATATAAAATATGGCCTTTGATGGAAACTCGAAATAATTCCTTTTAGGAGAAATGATTAAGAAGTATAGACTCTCTAGCAATGTATATACATATATTTAGTATACAGGGTGGTCCAAAAAAAGTGAACCCCTGCAACTGGCCATATTTCCCGTATTACTTGCAGGAATTATTTTTTATTTTCACATGTTGTAGAGGAAGGTCTAAAATTTATGTTGGTACCATACATTTTTCTTAGTCTTGAAATTTGCAGAAATTATAAGCCCTAACCTAACATTACTGAAAATGGACAAATTTTGATTTTCAATATCCGCGATTCTTCAACCCTTAAACACCTTTCCCCTGAGAATCGTTTAAGCTGCAGTCTTAAAGAACTAATATTTTCTTACTTTGTTCAATTTTAAATCCTGCACATTATGGCTTAAAACTAGCATCCTACATTTGTTAGTTGCAAAGTTATTGTGATCCAAAGAGATGTGCTAAGCTTCCACAGACGAAAACATTTTCCAGTGAAATCATGAGCATACCCCTATATGATCTTGAAATGTCAATATCTTCATAAATCATGGACCAATTCTAATGATATATGGCTCAAAACATTGAATATTGGTTTTTCTTTTGATTTTTTAAAGATATTTGATGAAGGGGTTATCAGATTCCTGGTCACAGGGGGCAACTTCCTTCCAAAAGAGGCCCCCCTCTAACTGTTGGTGTAGGTAACATACCCCTGAACTGTTGAACAGTTAAAAATGCTTCAAAATGATCAATGAAAGTGTGAAATGTGTTTTCTGCTTGAATAGTGTCCCTTTTGTCATATGGTAGGGTTTTAAACTTGTATCTCTAACTGAAAGCTGTTTAAGATCATCCAATGTGTTTCAACAATTTCCGTGAATCACATTTGTAAAATTTTGTACAATATCTAATTTCCAGGCATGTTTGTTAAACGCTTGTAATTTCTTCAAAATTTAAGACTGGGAATAAATTATGGCATCAACCAAAATTTTAGACCTTTCTCTACAACATGTGATAATATGAGCCAATTCATGCATGTATTAAGAAAAATGTAGCCTGTTGCAGGGGTTCACTTTTTTTTGGACCACCCTGTATATAAAAAAAATATATACGTATATAGAAACCAGCCATAGTTTTCTCCTGATGACCATTGTGAATTATTGTGTTTTATTGATTATGGCGACGGCTTTTGTGAATGGATGTTGACCCTTTGAGACTTGGAGACTGGATTTTATCTATCCCACATCATTCGAGACTGGATGCTCTATCTTGTATGAGTGATTGAATCTGCAACTATTTTTGATGTTATGAGTATTGGCTATCAATTTCTAATTTTTTCTTCAACATGTATTGTAATGACTTCAGTATGAATGAAATGTCCCTTGGTCTTCTGGTCTTGGATTGTGATATCGGTTCTTGAATGGTGGGGGAAAGGGGGTATTAGACATTGTTTCTTATCACGTTAGATCATGGTTTTGGGATATATGGAGCTTGTTTTTCTTGACTGGTATGCACTTAGAGTTTGCTTTTTCTTGCTAAGTTTCATTACAAGTTTTAGTCCTTTCCCTTTGGCACTTTTGCTTAGATAGTGTATATATAGTATAATCTATTATCGCATTTTATACATAACATGTCAATATTGTTTACATATAATAGGCCTAAATATGTTTACGATGAAAAGTTATACAATGTATACTAAATAAGGCATCGACCTTTATCAGTGTATTTTTTATTGCTTCTACATAATCAAATTACATAACATCATATTTACATTACATCATATTTATAATACTTCACAATAAATATACATTTCTTTAAAAAATTCATGGCTATTTTATTTTTGAGCAGACATAAAATATTTCCCTAACTTCCATATTCATATTTATGTGACAATATATTCTTCACCGTAGTTTTAATCACCGCCATCATATTTCAAACGAGTTACCTTGAAATATCAGAACGTCATGCTATTCTCATATTTGTAAAACTTAATGTGACTGTCATTCACCATGTATTAAGCAGCATCAATTAAATAGTTTGAAACATTGGTGACAAAATGTTTCCTGTTGAATGTCGAGTCTCGCATCATTCGAATGTAACTTTAGGCGATTTAGAGATTTTCAGTGCGAAGGTCCGCCACAAAAAAATCTGCAAGATTGACCGTTATAATCGAAGTGTAGATTTACCTGTGAGTCGGGCAGATTTGCAGACATGATTTTCACTACTCAACTCTCCAAATCTTACGTTATTACAAAATATTACATCTCAAACATTTTCAAAGGCTAGTTCTATAATGCCGTGGTCACATTTGCTCCGATTTTTACTACGGCGCCCGGCCGATTGAGTATTGTGTTCAAAATTGTATTCAATTTTTAGCACAATACTCAATCTGCCGATCGCTGGTGCTGAAAATCGGGGCACATGTGATCACGGCATAACAACATCATTGGTACAATATCTATATTACCTTCGGGATACACCACATACCCAAATCCTCTCAAACAATAATCCTCATATATACATTATTTACAATAGAACCACCACGAGCATCGAGTTTTCCATTATGAGTTTGCTTATTTCAGTATGTCATAGAATTGATTGAATTAAAGAATATATTCTATGCACTTCTTTCCCGCTTCGAGTTTACATCTAATTTATACAAGATGCGTTGCACATCCACCGTGACATACGTTACATCACACGTTATTTTATTTTTGGAATTTAAATAACATATCTTGTCGTCTCCATGGGATAAAGGTTGATATTCTAAATACTTTTAAATTTTATATCGGAAATATATATATAGGAGTCGGATAAGACTAGGCTCCAATTAAAGAATGACAATGGAGACATTTCTAATCATTAATAATATTATTGTTAAACTTCTAACCGTGATTTGGCGTCCTTTTGGAGGCGCATATGTTACAATAACTCTGCAACAAGTGAAGATTTTTTATTATTTCAATTTTAAATAGTTTATGCAATAACATTTCATAATATTATGTTGAGGTATGCAGGGGTGCGGTACCCATCTAGTGGGACCCCCTTTTCCCTAGACCTCGCCTACGACTTAACAATTAATAACGATGTAAGGGAGTACAGGGGACTGGGAGAGCATAAAATTTTACAAATAAAATATGTTATAAATGGTATCACTTAAAATAGGGTCAATAAATGTGAGAGGTATACAAAATAAGGTTAAAAGAAGAAAGGTTTTCAACATGACCAGGAGACTAAAGTTTGATGTAATGTTTCTACAGGAAACACACTGTGCAGCGAAACAAGGAGTCCAATGGAAGTTTGAATGAGGTTTTAAAGCTTTCTTCACCCAGTTTAGCACACAAACAGCAGGTGTAGCGATACTATTTTCACAAAAAGCAGACATTGAGCTTATACACAATAAAATTGACAAAAACGGCAGATATATCATTGTCAAATGTAAAGTAGCAGGTAAAAAAAGTAATATTGATAAATGTATACGGACATAACTATGACGAAAGTAAACTCTTTGAGGAACTCATGGAAAAACTTGAACAAAACCGGGACTACCAACCGATATGTGGAGGAGACTTTAATGTGCCACTCAATCTACTCTTATATAAAGAAGGAGGAAACATAGCAAGCCATAAAAAGACACGAGCACAAATCTTAAATCTCCAGGAAGAATGTACATTAATAGACATATTTAGAATTAAAAATCCAAATTCCAAAGTGTATACTTGGGAAAATCATAATAGCACAATAGATGCAGATTAGACTATTTTCTAGTAAGTCACGAACTAGCACAGAACACAGAACAGACAGCAATAGAAAGAACCCCAGCGAACCAATACAAAATAGCAGATCATGAATTAATTTATATATGTATTAAACTTCCAGATCAGCCAAGAGGTCCAGGAATATGGAAAACGAATGCCAAATATATAGGAGAACCGGAATATGATAATTTAATTAAAGCAACAATCCGTAACACTGAGCAAAGGAAGAACTTGAGCCTAAATGAACTATGGGAACTAACAAAATACAACATTAGAAAAGTGTCTATCGAATACTCAAAGGCTCAGAAAAAGAAAACAAATACAGAGTCCTACTACTAAAGGAAAGTAAGGCAAAAGTCATTGAAAATTAAATCAAAGATGCAAATGAAATAAGACAGAAAGAACCATAACTTTTCTCTAGAAAACGGTCTATTAACTACAGAACAAAGACGCGGAATAATTACAAGCATACCAAAAAAGGGCCAAGATGCCACAAAACTGAAAAACTGGAGGCCAATTACACTTTTAAACACAGATTACAAGATTCTTACTAAAACAATCGCTAACCGAATCAAAAGTAACCTAGAAAAAGTCATAAATACAGACCAGACTGGTTTTCTTAAAGGCAGATACATAGGGGAAAACATAAGGCTTCTCATAGATACAAATGAAAGACTTCAACAAGAAGGCAGGAATGGTATAGTAATGATGATAGACTTTTAAAAAGCCTTTGACACACTAGAACATAACTTTATCTATAAAACTATGAAATACTTTAACTTTGGAGAACGAATAACAAACTGGATAAGAACAATATATAAAGACAACACAAGCACTATCATCAACAACGGATATACATCAAATTACATAAACATTGAACGAGGAGTACGTCAAGGCTGCCCATAAAGCCCCTATCTTGAATAAATAAATTAAAAAAAAAATTCATAATATAACTATGCAACGTTTATCTTGGACCAAAGAAAAATTGATTTAACATAATCACACACGGTCAGATGTCTTAGCATTTTGTAGCATTTCGTAGTATTTATATATAACAATATATTATACTGTATATATAGGGGTTATGCACTGGGAGGTTTTGGATACAGGGAATATCCCGAGGGATATACAATATATCTTCCCGAGGGACCGAAGGGACCGAGGGAAGATGTATTGTATATCCCAAGGGATATTCCATGTATCCAAACCGACCGTGCATAACATGGTGTATCTCATCCTTGAGTGGGTTTAGGGTAGATATAACCTTTTCCACCTTTTTCAAATGACAAGATATTTATGTTTAACATTTTTGTACTATTCTTTTTGTTCAATACAATGAAATTGTAACATTTAAACATAAAAAATTAAATTTTAAAATAAAAAGATTAAAACTTTTGATGTTTGAACTTTTTTAAACTTTTGAAAAATTCCCGGGAGCGGGATGAATAATTATATCTGCCCGCATTTGGCCTGGAGCGGTACATATACAATATATCCTGCCCGCTCCTCAGATACGATATATATTCCCGGGTGATATCTACCCCAAACCCACTCAAGTATGAGATACGCATATTTATCCAATGGTTACAAGAATATATATCGAATCTCAGGTGAAGATATATTTGATATGTGGATCAAGATATCATATCTTAGCAAAAAATCTCCAAACCATCGTATATCACTTCTCAAACCATCGACTATCACTTCTCAAAAAGTGATATTCGATGGTTTCAAAAGTGATATTCGATGGTTTCAAAAGTGATATTCGATGGTTTAGATTTTTTCAATAATTTTTTGTCAAATTTTTTTCAAAAAGATTTTGTCTATGCTTCAAAAAAAAATTCAAAAATTTTTTCCTTCAAATTTTTTTTCAAACATTTTTCCTACAAAGTTTTTGAAACCTTCAAACATTTTTTCCTACAAAATTTTTGAAACCTTCAAAATCTTTTTTCAAAAATGTTTTCCTTCAAAGGACGATTCTCGGTTTGGAGAACAGTCTCCTGGGCTAATAATTTTTTTCATGAAAAATATAGAAATATTACCCAAATTAAACTATGAATATTCAAAAGAGGACATTTAAATCTACAAGATGTAAAAATAACAAATTGGTCTGAAGCAGGGATAACGCTCAATTAGACCGATTCAATAAAATACGAGTCTCGATTTGGGGAAAGAAGATCATCAGTGTACTGCGCTAATATTTGTTTTGCGAAAGATCTAGAAATATTACCCAAATTAAATTATGACTATTCAAAAGAAGACATTCAAATCTATATTATGTAAAAAAATCAAATTTGTCCGAAGCAGGGATAATGCTCATTTAGATTGATGAACTTCGTTCTCCAAACCGAGAATCGTCCTTTTTTAAAAAAAACTTTTTTTGAAATCTTTTTTAAAAAATTGTTTTACCATTCTTTTCGCTGGGTTAAGATTTCCCATGGGATAAACGGACAATCCTATGGTTTTTCAAAAATATCAATTATATCCACTCATGGATATAAATATCTTCACTCATTCGCTGCGCTCACTCGTAAAGATATCAATATCCACTCATGGATATAAATGATATTTTTTCTAAACCATAGGATATTCCTATATTATCCTACACTTAGTACTAAATACTAAATGTATAATAACATGAAAAAATAAATTTGATATTTATTGGCAAAATGAATATCCGGAGGATATCGTAACGATATACTCCGGGCGGAGGATATCGTGACGATATACTCCGGAAAACCCAATATGCGGAGGATATTGTGACGATATACTCCGCTTGTTGATTTCCCGCCAAATTGACTCCATTTGGCATAAAATTCATTTTGCAATGATATTATTCATTTAGTACACTCCTTGTAAGTGTAGGATAATAAGAACATCCTATGATTTTTTTAGAATATCATTTTAATCTACTCGGTGATATTGATATATGCACTCGTTCGCTTTGCTCTCTCGTGCAGATATCAATATCACCTCGTAGATAAAAATGATATTCCTCAAAATCATAGGATATCCTATAAATATTTTGGTGATAGTGGTGTTCTTGGATACGCGTTGTAAAAAATAACCATTCAATCTTCATCAAGTTCATTTAACGAGAAAGAAAATTTATTAATTGGAGATTATAGATATATTATTTCATGGAGATTGCAAGATTTTTTTACATGAAATTACAAAGAATGTACTCTGGGTCCAAGCGGACCCCAAAATACATTTAAGGAGTAATGTAGTGGTTTAGCAGCCACTCCTGAGACATACTGGGGATGCCCATAGGCATAGTTGTTAATGATTGGACACAACAACCTGATAGAGCCAACAGAGTACATGCTCTAGACCAGTATACTCGATTGGTAGACATATACTCATTTAAATAGTAATTGAAAAAGTAAAAAGTAAAACATATTAAAGAACTAATCTCCTGAATCAAGTGTAAAAATATACATTCTAGAATGTGTTTACTCATTGTAGTGGACTTACATTTAATGTTTGATGTGCCTTGAACCTACACAAGACAACGCGCCTCATTCCTGCATTTAGTTCTTTGATCCTAAAAGCATAAATCCATGGATTCATCGCACTATTAGAACACAATAGCAACCTAAAAAACTTATTAAAAAGGTCTAGTTCTGATTTATCATGAAAGATCCACCCAATTACAAATGGCAACCAGCACATTGCAGACAGTGCAACTACTATGGTCATAGTTTTCACTAAACGAATTTCTTTGACATATGCAACTGCAAGGGTGTTATGAATTTTGCTAAGTGCTTGGATATGTTTGGAGCGATGTTTGACTGCAACAATCGCAACGACAATGTGTGAAACCACGAAGACCAGAAAGAGAATAAAGATATTCACATTCACAAAGATCTTGTAGTATTGATTGAACACTTGACTCGCACATTTTTCTTTGAACTCGTCAAAAGTGTCAACGCGTTTGTAGAACATGAAAGAAGAGACCCCAACGAGATAAAGCCAACAGACTGCGATAAACCACAATGCGCGAGATCGTGTTACAATTTCTTTGTATCTTAAAGGCTTTGTTACAGCAATAAAGCGATCTATTGCAATGCCAACCATGCTTAAAAGAGATGCACCTTGCAGACATACCTTTGAGTAGCACTCTGCGATACATATATATTCATTTTGTACGACCCCTTCAAAGATGATTGGTGACATATATCGGCTGATAACATATAATGGTATGTCTAATGCCCCGATACAAATATCAGACATTGCTAGGCTCACAAGAAACATATTTTTCGCCGAACGCAGCTTTTTGAATAAAACGATACTAATCAATACTGGCAAATTGCTTCCACATATCAACAATGATAGTAAACAATAAAGTGTAAGTATTATTATATCCGAAGCTTCAAGACCTAGCAATTCATGATTATGTAAATATTCTGTCAAGTTTTTTGCAAAAGCAACTGTAGTTGATTCATTTGTACTTTCAAAATGTTCAGGACCAGGAGAGGAACTTGACATTTCGTCAGAGTTATTATTATATAAACCAAGTTGATTGCTCATTACACTAGTTGGATTATAATTGTCAGCAAGAAGTTAAACAAAGTTAGACTCAGAAATGTGAGAAATAGTCAGTATCTAACATCATATTAACACTTGCAACATTCAGTTCTTCAGAGTAAAAAATGAATGATTATGGAACCGTGTTCGAAGCTCTTTAAGGAACTTTTAACATAGGGATACAAGTGTTACTGTGTTGACACCGAGTTCTCTCAAATATCATTTATGATACAAGTGAAAACGTTCAGTTTTTACGCATTTCAAGCATTGTTTTTAACCATGATCCCCTTTTGAGTACTTTTTAGCTTTGAGATTTATGCTTCAAGTGTCAATAATGAGTCCTCTGATGCAACCTTTACACATATGATACCATTTTGAATTCTCTAAAGCAAGTTCACCATCAATAACGCAAATTTCCGATGATGCCGCATCGAGTCCCTTAACATAATTTCTGATGCAATCTTTCACAGTATTAGTCTATATCCAGCATAATGATCCACACTGAATTCTCAAAAATGACTAACGCAGACAATGCAACTATCCACGCCTAGTTGTTCAATTGCAACGTTCCTTAAACACAAATTATGTAAGTGTCCACACCTTGTTCTCAAATGTGACTTTAGGCGGACAATGCAAGTATCCACGTTTAGTATTTCGAGATTACATGGACATTGTCCACACCTAGTTCTCAAATGTGACTTAACGCCGATGATGCAAGTATCCACGTTTAGTTTTTCAACGTAAGTTTAACACGTAATATGATGCAAATGTCCACACTGAGTCCTCAAAAATGAATAACGCAGACAATGCAAGTATCCACGCCTAGTTGTTCATTTGCACCGTTCCTTAAACACAATTTATGTAAGCGTCCATACCTAGTTCTCCAATGTGACTTTAGGCGGATAATGAAAACATCATCGCTGATTTCTCCTCAATAAAACTGCCACGGCAACTATCACGCGGTTGAGTACATTTATTCTTTTTTATTACAATTTTTAGATATTTGTTTACATATCAGTATAAACAAAGTAGTCAAAATGTGTACAATTTATACGTTGATCTATCGAAGCAATAGACACGATCTTTGTATTCTGAAACAGCTTAACTCAACTATATACCAAATAAGAACTTCATGTTGAATATGATTCAAAACTGTACGAATTGACACTATTGTATCTATTTATTCATTTATTGCACATTGAATAACCTACGCGTTCAGTTATTCTCATGCCGGTAGTTATTGCGATTAGCACCTCTAGATCTGAGTTAACACATTTGGAACACGAGACAAGGAGCCGCCCATACATTAACCATACAGACTGCTTGCGTCATAGTGAAAATAAGAAAGTCACATGGTGTATTTAGCCAGTTCGAACATTTAGCTTGCTTTGCACCGAACGCAAGGCCAAAAACCGAATACTCTGTTCCTTCAATTCTTGCATTGCTTAAAGGTGCAGTAGCCGGAAATCGGGAATAATTCCTTAGAAAAACTCCAAAATAAATCGTCGGTGCCTCAAACCTGCCCCGAAGAATGGCTACGACCTGAACTTACTTTAATCAAAATACCGGAGCCTGAAAAAATCACTCACCTAGATATCGACGACGGTTTTCGTTTGTCGTAAAATTGACCTCATTTAACTACGCCGTGGAGACACACAACCTTTAGTTCCTTCCGCCGAGTGGGAAGGACGAATAGATGGCATTTAAAAAACAAAAATATAGTCCAATTATTGTAATTACATGAGCATCACCAGTGGTTGGATTTTGGTAAGTACATGAATAAAAAAAGTGTATGTATGGACCAACTCTGAGACATGATTTGATGTGATTGAGGTCCATCTGTCAAAATCAGAATGACATTTTTGACATTTTCTATAGATGGCGTCTTCAACAGGTGAGATCTTTTGATTTTCGTGAGGAGTTTTGATTCATACTTTTTTGACTGACAGAGGACATACTGGCCACGGGGTATGATGGAATGATAGCAAAACATGTCCACAAATCTTCGTTTTCTCTGGAAGACAGATCGTTTGTATGGGAATACGCATGTTATAACAATTAGTTGGGTTAACCCCGTCTGGCAAATTAATTATTGTTTTTAATTATAGTTTATTGTCATATAATTCGTTGTTTAATGTCACGTGACCTACCTATATCATAAATGTACAAATCGTAATTTCACAAATTGCCACGTCAAACATTTCCCACAGGCAGCTCCGTCTGTATATAGGTAAGTATATTTTGTCAAAACCAGGAAGAAAATTTAGAGCAATGTACATAGGGTAGTCCAAAAAACAATACCCAAGTTTAACATATGATGAACATCATATTGTTTATGTTAAATCATGCCGTGTATTATACTGCGATACTTTATGGCATGTCATTTGGACTGATTATCATTTCATGTTTGTTACATAAGTAAATACATCTTTGTATATTCCTTTTAGCTACATGGTGGTCCGCATATAGTAGTCATTTTATGAAATAACTCCCTGATATTTATTCATTTGTACATCATTCAATTTACTATCAGCCTATTTTATTTCATGATCATCAAATTGAGAGGCACAATGTTACAGCACTTTAAAGTGCATGCCCCAGTGGCAACTATTGCGTTGTAGGGAAACCTGCAGACATCGTCCAAAATGTCCATACCAGTAGGAATATGACAAAGATATACTGTATGAAAATGACCTCAGAACTACAATTGCAGACTTCAAAAGTGAGACTATCGGTATCATTCAGGCCACACCTGCTAAGGAATGCATTCGAATCATTGACAACTGTGCAGGTATGAAATGACTTACGTCATGAAATATGGTAAGTTTGGTAGGAAATTGAATGAACTCAGTCGGCCGGGTGCCAGCCGATGAATCGGTGCAAATGTGACTCGGGCATTACTGATGTGATACCGATAATAAACTGAGATGATAACATAGATAAGATATAATTGGGATATTTCCGTTACATTCTCTCTACATATTGACTCGCTGTTGCATTATCACGCACCTTTTAATGCACATGATCAAATATGACAATGTCAAGTACTTTACATGTAGCCTTTGTGGTGCTTATTGTCAAGCTTATTGGATCTGAATGTAAGTAAAAAATGCAAAGATTTTCTGTTTTCATTGACTTCATTGTAAACTGTTTTCGCAGTAGCCAATAAAAGAGAACTATTTTAATAATCTTTTCAGGTTTCCTGTTTGAGAATGGAAACAGGAACGTCGCATTCAAGCTATATACGAGGTACACATAATTAAATGTTAGTCCTTAATGTATTTGTGTGAAATATATTTATGATACTTTCGCTTGGGACATTATCGTTACATAAATATAAATACCCTGATATCAAGACCTCTCCCTCTAAAAATAAGTAATGTTATGTAGCTGCGGTATTTGATTGTATATTTTATACCAAAATATATTTATATGCTCGAAGAATTCGAGTCACACCCTTATGCTCTGTATATTTCAAGATCTGATACAAAAGGGAGGGTCATTGATGCAAGAACTCTGTTTAACTCCAACTTCAACAATAAGCTCCAGACAAAATTGATAATACATGGATGGTTCGGTGACCTTCCTAAATTTGATGCAATGATCACGGAATTGCTTGGTAAGGTAAGAGTTAATGAACCAGTTATTTAATAATGAAATGGCGATTGACAAAGGTGACCGAAAATTTTGCGAAAAGGTTTGATTTGGTATATTACTATACATGTACCTTTTGATCCACATTTAAAGTTAAAATGGCTGAAAATTACTTTTCTGTAAAATTTTGTTGCAGCAATTGCCTCATCACCTACCTCGTGACTGACTATGTCCATGGTGACATACACGTACATGTACATATGTTATGCATAATATGAGGTTATATAATGGTTCTTTCTGTATATCGTGTTTATACTCGAGTGAGTATATGATATATTCACAAGTGAGCGTAGCGAACGAGTGAATATATTATATTCTCACGAGAGTATAAAATGCACGATATACAGAATGAACCATTATATAATCTTATTATGCCACTCTAAGTTCAATTACAGTTGATTCGAACACAATCATAATAGCAATTAATAAAAACCATAGCCAACTCAATAATGCTGATGTTGATCTCAACCATTTATGACGTGGCTTGATTCTAGCAAAACATGCCGGAACCATTTATGACTTAATTCTAGGAAATCATGAAAATTGTCATGATTTTTTTATTCATTAGTTCCCAGAATGCACTTCTACAGTGGTATACGCTGGAGTGTATACGGAGGAGTTGTATACGATGACGATATACCACTCTCCACTGTATATCGTTGTTATAGACCAATGTTATACAACTGTAATTGGACTTAGAGTGGTATGATATGTCATACACCTAGCGAAAGATCCAGTATATCTTGTTTAATTGTGTGTAAATTCTCGAAAAGGTGAATTTGAATATGCAGTAGCCTTGGGGATTACACAAGCATGTAAAGGCCTGATAATGTTTTAATCTTAATGCTGTTCCTTAACAGAAATTTTGGGATTTATATGGCGAATAAGGCTTTGAAAAGTGATTCAAAACTACACTCCCGGTTGCCAAACTTAAGACGGGGTTGTATGAAATTATATGAAGTCTTTCATCGTTGCCTTAATGTCTTTGACCTAAAACGGATATTAACCTCAAATGCTAATCCGAGATACTGCAAAAGTTATTCTTAAAACAGAAATACGATGGTATTTTAGGAAAATATGAATGTGATTCAAGTCAACTGGTCGAACTGGTCATCTAACCTGGACTATTTTCAAGTGGTGGAAGAAGTTCCGGAAGTTGCAGCAGAGGTGAAGCGGTTTATGGATACGCTAATCCAAGATGGCGGGCTATCTTTAAAATATGTCCATCTTATCGGCTATAGTCTTGGGGCTCAGATAGCTAGTCTTGTTGGAAAGAAATATAGAAACCCAAGGATACCTCGTATTTCATGTAAGTATAAAAAGGTATGTCTTATAGACTAATTTAAGTATAGCTTGGATGCATGCGTCGGGAAAAATGACCTCAACACACGTCTTTACTACCCTGACTAATCGCCATCCGCCGTACACTCGTTCGGGAAGCGAGCGTAGCCAGTGTGCTGAGCGTTCGTTGGTTGCTCGCTATTCGCGAGCGATGCGTTCGTAGATCGCCAGCACTCATAGCGCTGGAATTAAGAAATATATACGCTTGAAAATCATTTGTTTATACGTTATCTATGATAAATCGAGATTCGGTAGTGTGAGTGTCATTATTTTTAATATATTTTTTTCTCATCATTTCATGATTTTGTTGGTTCTTTTTTCTTGGGACAAACATTTCCAACAATGTACAAATGATTGATTTACAGTATTATGTTAACATTGATATAGGTCTCGATCCAAGTGGAGTAGGGTTTGACAACAACAATCCAATGGCAAGTGTTCATAAAAGCGACGCCGTATTCGTCGACGTCATACACAGTTCCATAATTTCCGCTGCACCACGTGGTGATGTAGATTTCTTTCCAAATAACGGAATGGGGTCCCATTCTCTCGCCCTGAAGCTGTTTGAGGAGTCTATTAGAAGACGCTGTGACTTTACCGCTAGATCATGTTCAGATTGGGATGCATTCCAAAGCAAGAGGTAGTTATAGTAGTTTTAAAAAATATAGTTTATTCTTCAATAAGATAGTTCTGTGAAGAATAAATAAATAAATAAATAAATAAATAACGTCAAGATGAAATTTATCATAATGACGTCGACAGGCCTCCCAGATTTCGACTAAAGCAAAAAAAGATCTGTACTTTTATTGGTATCATTACGCAGTACTAAAATTCAAACCAAAGTTTTTTCATTTGGAATTCAGAAGAAATACTTCTCCAAACTTATGGAGGGGAGTGTATATTATTATTTAAATTTCAAAACATGTAACTCAATTCTTGAAGTATATGAAATTCGTTTTAGGTGTGACGACAATGCGTCCAATGTAATGGGGCTGGATGCAAAGCCAACAAACGCCATGGGCAAACTGTATCTAAACGTCAAGACTGAAGCGCCATTCTGTTAAATGTAGATAGTGTATCAAATGTGTTAAATAAATGTAGTTAGAATTGAAGTCCACCGTCACTAGAATGGAGTTATACACGTACCGAGCTATAGCTAGATAATGGCATCTCCACGGAGCTCGTTCGAGCTAGTAAATATTGAATTCAGGCTTGTTTCATTAGATGGTCACAGAAGTGTTGTCCAACATTGGCAGACATAATAACTAAATCACAATCACTTAGTTTGATTAAATGTAATTTCTTAAACATCCTAATAGAATATTATCTACCCTGGAAGTTAACATCTATTATCGCTTGTCTTGAAATAATTGTCAGCATTTCCATACATACAATCCGTTGACCAGATTAGTTTATGGAACAGGGTAGAGAGTACAAATAATCAAGAGCAGAATCCGTTGACCAGATTAGTTTATGGAACAGGGTAGAGAGTACAAATAATCAAGAGCAGAATCCGTTGACCAGATTAGTTTATGGAACAGGGTAGAGAGTACAAATAATCAAGAGCAGAATCCGTTGACCAGATTAGTTTATGGAACAGGGTAGAGAGTACAAATAATCAAGAGCAGAATCCGTTGACCAGATTAGTTTATGGAACAAGGTAGAGAGTACAAATAATCAAGAGCAGAATCCGTTGACCAGATTAGTTTATGGAACAGGGTATAGAGTACAAATAATCAAGAGCAGAATCCGTTAAGCAGATGAGTTTATGTAACAGGGTAGAGAGTACAAATAATCAAGAGCAGAATCCCTTGACCAGATGAGTTTATGGAACAGGGTAGAGAGTACAAATAATCAAGAGCAGAATCCGTTGACCATATGAGTTAATGGAACAGGGTATAGAGTACAAATAATCAAGAGCAGAATCCGTTAAGCAGATGAGTTTATGGAACAGGGTAGAGAGTACAAATAATCAAGAGCAGAATCCGTTGACCAAATGAGTTTATGGAACAGGGTAATGAGTACAAATAATCAAGAGCAGAATCTGTTGACCAAATGAGTTTATGGAACAGGGTAGAGAGTACAAATCATCAAGAGTGGGCTCATCAATATAAAATAAATTTCTGAACATTGATAACAAAGCGTTCATATTTTATAAATGCCTAAGTTCTTCCTAAAATGCTTCGTAATCCGCATCTCAGCTTTCTGTCGTTTTGAACGATTAGAAAATTTCTAGAGTAATTGAGGAAAATAATTAATCTATGCTGACTTCGATATACCATCCAATGTGATATCAAGAATCGCTGAGGGTTATAGTGTATATTACCACCTTGCCGGGCCAGTTCTAGGGGTTTTGGTGCTAGTTTAGAAGGCATTCATTTTACTATATCGACCTGAGAAATGTGTGACGTCACACCAAACATAACCCCCCCCCCCTATCACACCAAACTAGTTCTTACCCGTTCTTGCCAGTCCTACGAAAACGTCGTAAAACGGGCTCAATCTGACTGTGGTTGGGGAAATATGTCTAAAATAATTAGTTACTTCGTTCATAAACAGTCTTCAATACGTCTCATCGCATCTCATTCGCAGTTCGTTCAGGTCGCACCACGTCGGTGTGCAACGTCGTATAACGCGTCCATTGGTCTAGAAGGTCGTCATGACCTGATTACAGAACGGTTTGGTCGCCATCGAATTTTTAATCGATTCAAAATTCTAAATCACATTCCCTGTCCGGGAAAGTCCATGAAGTTCGTAAACTGACCGTAGAACGTTGTAGCTACGTTCATTCAATTCGCACACAGTTTAAAACCGATTCGGCAACGTTTTAAAGAACTGGTTCTGGTGTGATTAGTTCTCACTGCGTTCTCGAAAACGGGCTTCAACTGTATACGAACGGACTGGACCTACTAAGAACCGTTGGGATCTATTTACAAACTTCATCGAACGTACTCGAACGGGTAGGTCCTCTAGAACTTAGACAATGCTCGAAATGTTCTCGTGGTCGTCACGTTCTACAATTAGAACGAGTGACAACGTACTAACGACGAGCTGGACGTACTACGAACGGAACCGTCGTACTTCAATCCTACTAGGGACGTTTTAACTACGAGTTGAACTGTCTGCGGACGTGTTGAGAACGAGGTAGAACTAATTGCAAACGGGTTTAAACTGATTAAGAACGTATTTAACACTGCTTATGAACGAGTTAGCAAAAATATAGCTAACACCAAACAAGTTGCCACTGCGTTCCTCAAAACTGGTTTTAAACTGTGTGCGAACGGAATGAACGTAGCTGCAACTTTTTAAGGTCTATTAACGAACTTTATGAATGTTCTCAGACGGGAATGTGATTTTAGAATGACGACCATACCGTTCTGTAATCAGGTCATGTTGACCTTCTAGACTAAGGGACGCGTTCTACGACGTTGCACTCCGACGTGATGCGACCTGAACGAACTGCGAACGAGATGAACGTATTGAAGACTGTTTAAGAACGAAGAAGCTAATTATTTCAGACATATTTGCCGACCACAGCCAGATTGAGCCCGTTTGACGAGGTTTTCGTAGGACTGGCAAGAACGGGTAAGAACTACAGGTAGTTTGGTGTGATAGGGGGGTTATAGTGTGATAATTAGTTGTACCTCGTTCTCAATACGTCCTTATATGTTACTGTGAACCTTTATAAACAGAAAGGACGTTATTCGGTCGAGTTGGGTCTGTCTACGAACAGAATGAACGAGCTACAAACGGACTAGATTGGGGTACTCACGGTTGCAATTTACGCCTGACTACTCAACGTCGAAATACGTAGGAGTAGTAGTAGGATTGAAGTACGACACGTCCGTTCGTAGTGTGTCCCCAGTGCGTCCCCCGTGCGTCCAGGTCGTCTTATAATTAAGTACGTTGTCACTCGTTCTGATTGCAGAACGTGACGATCACCAGAAGATTTTGAGCATGCGCTAAGTTCTGGAGGACCTACTCGAGCTCGTTCGAGTAGTTTCATGAAGTTTGTAAACAGATCCTAAACGGTTCTTAGTGGGTTCTTAGTACGTCAAATCCGTTCGTGCACAGTTTAAGCCCGTTTTCGAGAACGTAGTGAGAACTAGTTTGGACGATCAATTTGTCTTCTTTCTAAATATAACAAAATTAGTCGGTTATAATATTACATGTAAAGCCCGCATAATTTGTAAAATCATGATATTTTCAATGTTTTTACTAGATCATGTCACCCATAACCAGGACATTTCACATTAATGTCAATTTCTATTCAGGATTTAACTGATAAAGTGAAGTACAGAGGAATCGTAATAGAACATCCCGTTCGTCAAACATAAGCCACGCTCCACACCGTCGTATACTGTATAGTAGCGCTATCTTTCTTAAGTTTGTAAACATATTTACTACTGAGAATTTTCTATGGTTATGCAGTAGAATTTGAAATGGAAACATGAATTTGTATAGGGTCTTAACTCGCTCATATAAATACCCAATACGGCACAATTGTAATAGATTTAGTATTCATGTTCGCTAGCTCAATGTCCCATAAGTCTTTTAAGACTATTTCTAAAGAATGTTGATTTAATCTTATTTAAACCCTGGCGAGAGAATACAGACCGACCAAATATTTAAACAAAAAAGAACGCGACACAGGGAGGTGCTAACAGAAAAAATGATTTTAAGTTAGTTCTCTGATTTTACACGTTATAAGTAAGTACTCAAACTTCATAAAAATATTTGACAATCTCTTAACACATTAATAAAAGTATATTTAAACGATTTGCTTAAACGGCATTTTATTGTAAGGGAATAAAAGTCAAATAAAGTAATGAAAGGGGTATAAACTTAAATGACAATGCGACATTGAGAAAGGACGTAAATACTGTTGCGAAGGGAATTCGAGCTAACATACACTAGTAAATTAGTGAGATTTTTGGATTACAGAAATTTATAAAATATCGTAAGTACCATAATTAAAGTAAGATTAATACACCGACTATTGATTTCGTAATGACGAGTAAATAAAGTTCAGTAAATGTAGATGTATGGAGATTTATTTTAGCTTTCTAATAGGAAACCGATTCGTGAACAAACGAATTCGCTACCGTATGCAAATACAAGTAGGTAATAATTATTTGTTACAATTTTCTATTGAGATTACAGGAATAGACTTATCATTATCATTTGAGGTAACTGTCAAGCTTTCCATTATTGTATTGTTTTCTCGGGGCTCTATTGGGTTAGTTAGACATTCGTATATGGTAGGTAGGATATCAAATGAAAGTCAACTATGTACAACCAGACATGCTTGCCCGTAGCCAGCTTTTACCTGGAGGGGGGCTTTTTTTCAGGGGGGCGCTTTTTCACAATTTTGGCTAAAAATTATGCGGAAAATTCTCAGAATGGTTAAAACTGCATGATTTTGAAAGAATTTCTGGCCAGCTCCCCTAGCTCCCCCTCTGGCTACGGCCTGACATGTATCTGGAGTTATCTGTTAACAATTTTGTCATGGAACTTTCCAACGTCTCTTGGAAACGGAAACTTCAAACGTCGATTTATTTTCATGTTTTGACATGTTTCTGGCTATGTTCCTTTGATACAAGGAGGTATGTTAAATGGTATATTTAAATTCATCTTTATTCTTGCCACTTGGATTCTTTAAAAACTGGATCTAAAGGGTAATTTTATAGACCATTGTATGGTTTTAAGTCCCGTTGATTTCGTGACTGCTCGTTTACTGAAATCCTAGGCTTTCTTTTTACAAATGACACGACCATACAATGACATTCAAAGCTCCAGTAGGCCTATATATCACTTAACTTAAATAGTTCGATATTGTATTTTATATGGAGTTGACTAAAATACTAGTCGATCAATATTTTAAAGGGTACAAACACTTTTAACCACATAACATGAATCCAACAATACGCGCACGAAAGTCAAGCATCTTGTTTGTGCTGAAGACCTGTAGGTTATGCTATGCTGGTTAAAATAAACCTGGTGTGGGGTGCTACGGGATGGCATTATTGCATGATTCGATAAATTAACAATATGGTTAGTTCGTATCTTGTGTGCAATTTCAAACATATTTACCTGAATGTGGAATGAATATGATTTGTCCCAGGCCTCGGCAACTAATCAGTTTAATATCATTTTGACCTATAAAGGGTACTTTCTTAGACAATATCCATGTTTTTTCCTCTCATATTTGCCATTTTCCCTGGTTTATGCCTAAAGCCAAAATTGGCCGTGCTGCACAACCTACCCAAATTATTTAGAGTAAACCCCTGAGCGATAAGATATATGGAGTTTAGTTCTTGGGATATGATCGTTCAAAATGCGGAAGTCGCTCTAAAAATCAATTTCTTGAAAATCCGACCTTTGTAGAAGCCATTTTCAAGTAATCGCTTATCACAATGCTGATTTTTCTTGCAAAGTTCCCGAAAATGCAAAAAAACGCGTGACCCCCTCAAGTCAATCTGACCTATTTGACATCTTACTTAACCAATTATCTGACAAAAAATAATATACTCTTGCGAGCGTATACGTATTGAACATTTTTTCTATTGTGCCATTAGTTTTAATATACCATTGACTGCATTAGGGTTAATATAAAGGTTTTTTCCAGTAAAACTAACACCCGAATCCAACAATTGATTTGCTCAAATTCAATTTATGTTTTCTTCTATGGAATATAGTAAACCGCGGTAGGGAAAATAATGGCTTCCTTTGACTTGTAATTATATGCTATTAAGAAGTGAGCATGTCTTGTTGCAAGTACGTAATGTATCATTCAATCGATACTTCTGATACCTTACAGAATAATACTAAATACCCCAAAAATTATATGGATCGAGAAACGCATATTAACAACAAAAGTGCTTCTTAACTTTTCACAAAGGCTTGTTATTTGAATAATCATTATTTCAAATTGAAATTGATTTTATTGTGGAACAAGTTGGCTTTCTTTAAATTTCCCGTAAGAACGGCATTGTATCCAACATAGTCGTATATTATATAAAACAACTAATTTTGCATTGATTTGTACGACAGTATAGCACACAGACCTTTGAAAATAGGACCACTTGGGTGCAGTGCCCATTTTATCAATGGAGAACCTGAGATATTTTGGGGACGTGCGTAAAACGTTTAAGTAAACTTATCAGTGGCTTAGGATTATATTGACGAATGACGGACTTGCCGTCATTATCTAATTGTAGACCCAAAATAAAATAAATTGATACCCTTATGATCGTTAACAATTGGATAGTAACGAATTTCGGTGATGCACGTGTTTTTACAAGTTAAAGTTGCTTCAAATATATGGTGTATCTGGCCTACAAATAGTAAATTGATTGGCTTGACAGTTGATTGACTTGACAGTTGATTGACTTGACGGTTGATTGGAAATCTTATTTGAGTCAATAAAAGGGAAAACACGAGAGGCAGTTATCGAATAAAGGAAAACAAAGGGAAATGAAGCAAAAGACAAAGCAAAACAAAATAAAGCAAAACAAAATAAAACAAACAATATGAATATTTCGAATAAATAAAAAGAATACAGTATTATTGACGGACTACAAATCTAAGTATGATCAACTTAAAAACATTTTGAATGTGAACCTGTATATCCAAAAGCATTTCTAGATAAATCAGTTGAAAGAGTAAGCCACGCGAGGCTTTGAACATAAATTGATAGCAAAGGACTCATTTGTACTGTATACGTTTACCTTCAAATATGAGAACGTTATGCTGATATATTTCCCGACTGAATTAAGAGCAAATAGCAAAATACAAAGTCCTACGAAAGGTTGGAAATCTGTTAAATGAAGAAATGGAAATACAGTACTGAATAGTTGACAAACTACATATCAGGACTCAATCAACACTATAAACCCTCAACTAATTCATCAAAAAGAACATAATTTAAGAGATAAGGATGGAGAGAGCAAGCCACGAAACACTATGATTTTATCACTCGCTATCTAAAATCAAATGCCTTTAATACTTCATATAAAACGTTACATTTTATTCTGAATAGATCCCAATGTACCTCGAGTGAATTGTCTTAAACTATTAGAGTCGATGTAACATAACCCCCCTATCACACCAAACTCGTTCTTACCCGTTCTTGCCAGTCCTACGAAAACGTCGTAAAACGGGCTCAATCTGGCTGTGGTCGGGAAATATGTCTGAAATAATTAGCTTCTTCGTTCGTAAACAGTCTTCAATACGTCCATCTCGTTCGCAGTTCGTTCAGGTCGCACCACGTCGGTGTGCAACGCCGTAGAACGCGCCCCTTAGTCTAGAAGGTCATCATGACCTGATAACAGAACGGTATGGTCGCCATCGAATTTTGAATCGATTCAAAATTCTAAAATCACATTCCCGTCTGAGAACGTTCATAAAGTTCGTAAATAGACCTTAGAAAGTTGCAGCTACGTTCATTCCGTTCGCACACAGTTTAGAACCAGTTTTGAAGAACGCAGTGGCAACTTGTTTGGTGTGATAGCTATATTTTTGCTAACTCGTTCATAAGCAGTGTTAAATACGTTCTTAATCAGTTTAAACCGTTTGCAATGAGTTCTACCTCGTTCTCAACACGTCCTCAGACAGTTCCACACGTTGTTAAAACGTCCCTAGTAGGATTGAAGTACGACGGTTCCGTTCGTAGTACGTCCAGCTCGTCGTTAGTACGTTGTCACTCGTTCTAATTGTAGAACGTGACGACCACGAGAACATTTTGAGCATTGTCTAAGTTCTAGAGGACCTACCCGTTCGAGTACGTTCGATGAAGTTTGTTAATAGATCCCAAACGGTTCTTAGTAGGTCCAGTCCGTTAGTACACAGTTGAAGCCCGTTTTCGAGAACGTAGTGAGAACTAGTTTGGTGTGATAGTAGGGTAATAGATCCTGCTACTCTGGCATGAATCTGAATTGCGCAAACAGTAACTAATGGGTCTAAGGAGAAACGTGGATGGAATTACAATTCCTAATTAATAGAGATATTAGCATTCGTGTATCGAGTGTTGTTCGATTAAGTATAAGGTTAGTTCTTACTTTCTGAGGAGGCTTATTGAAATTGTCTTAATAACATTAAAAGTACAATGCAATGATACTGTAAAAGTGCAATGTATACATTTTGCATTTCGCTCTATCAAAATGCATTCGTATTTCAGTGCTAGAAAAGCAGCACTGAGAAAATGGAATGTAATTGTATTTTTAATCTTTGGTTAAATAATACTTTGAGAGTGAAATGCAGGATTGCTTTGGAAGATTCAAAAGGAATAATATTACGAAAGTGAAATAAAAAAATTCCTTTGATATACAATTAATACTTTAAATAAAAATGCAAACACTAGAGAGGTTAAGCTACACGTATTTAACAAAACTTGAACGTGAACTTCAATGCGCGCGCAGATAAATGACGTCAGATTTGTTTATTTCCTGTGGGCCAGCGTGAAGTTTACAAGTCTTTACATGAGATTATCATATTCGTGCAATTTACATACGCGTATTCAACAAAGCATGAACGTGTACTTCTATGCGCGCGCAGGAAAATGACGTCAGATTAGTCTACTTTCTACAGGTAAGCGTGAAAGTTACAGGTTTTTACGTTTAGATAAGTGATTACACGTCGCTCATTACGTGATTGATTTTTGCTATGTTCTAGGATGGCCCGGGAGCCCATATTTGATACAAACAATCCTACTTGTTATAAGTGTAAGCCCCAATCCTTAATTGGAAATAAGAAGACATTTTAATGAGTAAATGACAACTTCAAATGTAATCGTTTGTTCATTCCGTACAATATAAATAAGAAGTGCCAATTTGATACCCGGGGCTTGGTACAATATGGCTACTAAACGAAATGAAATGACTACCAGGGCCTACGATTGCCTTATCACTACATTTGATTTGCCTGAATCTGAATGACTGAATGACCTGAATTGATTGCAAATTAAACAATTTCACAATTAATATGACACAAATGGTATATCACATCAGATGTGCAAATATAAAGTTTGCAATCGATTCAGGTCATACTTCAAATTAAAAGATTATACATTTTTTCATCATTTTTTCCTACAAAATGGCTATAGAAAAATGCTTCAAAAGCAACTTTTACACTTATGAAATACCATACAACTTTGTAAATCCAAAGATTATACTGTTATGTTTCATTAATTAATAACATATTTGGATAAGATGTAGGGATGTGTACGATGCAAATGGATTTTGACGGACACACAAAGACTTCCTGGTTTGGCATCTCTACCTCTGTACACTTTATGATTGAATATTGGCCCCAATAAGTGGCCCATTCATCAATACAGTGCTGAATATAGGTCAACAAGATACATAAGTGTAATGATAAAAGCAGTATATTTATTTTGAAAAATCGGATGAATTTATTTTGTTCATTGGGAGATCATAATGGAGGGCGCACTAGATCATTTAATTGTGGTTGAATATGAAATAAAGCAAAAATAAAAAACACAATGTTTTTAAAGGGATCCAACACCTTACAAAACTTCTTAACGGAGAGGAATAAGGGAAAATGCTTGCCGGATTCTGAATCTGTGTATTTTTTAATGATTTTTCACCGTCTTAGAATTTCAATTTTTTTCCTTTGAAAAAATGAGATTTGCATTGTTTTCCAATTAAAATGAGTAAACATGAATAGCTCGAAATCTAACGGTGAGATTTTGTTTTAAAAAATCATGGTTATCGAGGCTAAATATAGCTATACAGTAAACATAAAAAAGCAATGCTTGGACTCTTCATATTCACACAAAAAATTAATTAATAAATGAGGTTTGATATTTGTGAGAACAAGTTGTACGAGGTGCAATGCTCTACAAACACCAGACTACAGGGTGGATTAGGATCAATGACACACATAAAAATTAATTTAAAAATATTTCATGATAATTATCTCAAACAAAAGCAGTTGGTGAAGGATACGTTTCATTACACTCAATAAATAGTTATCACTTTTGACGATATATACATATCTCATGGGAATGTATTTCCATCTGCTCAAGATATTATATTTTAGCTTCGAAAATCACAATCGTTTGATAATACATTTGTCTCAGAATGATAGGCCACCCTGTAGCAATGTAGCTTTCACTTGAAGTGTACCCTTGAGAATAATGAACTTACTTTCAAATTGGTCTTGCTTTTGTGGTGTATGTGGCTTTTTAGCAAATCTGCCACGCTCATTTCTTTCCAGAACCATCATCTTGTTCAAATGTATCACTATACGCGCATGTATAGACAGATGACATATATATACATATAAATTATATATTGCACCTGTATTTACTTACATGGGAATAATTGTTCCCTTTGGAAAAATGCAAATGCATGGACATATATTTTCATCTTATATATGACTTCAAGCTAACATATTATTTCATATTTATATTTTCATAGTTAGTTTAACATGAATAATAGATCCATGAGAACAATATTCTTTGTTTTTTTTAAATTGATGGGTTTACTGTGAATTCAATAAATTACAATTTGCAAGGGGTAAGTATACTGTATGAGCTGGCTAGTGGCTTTGTATTTTATGTTAGGCCAGGGTAATTAAATTAGTTGTTTCTCTTTCTTCTATTTTTCAAAATTGATACGGGAATGACAGTTTTTATATTACCTTTTTTTGTCTATCTTAAATGCTGATGAGGGACGGGATGATTTTTTTCTTTAAAATAACTGTAAAAACAAATAACTAATTTTGAAGGAAATAAACTGGGTTTATGTTGAATTTATATGTTGAATTTAGCCTACTTTACTGGTATATTTGATCATATATCAGTACCACGATATTGTCAATTATCCTGATCCATAAAAAGTAAAAAAAAAGTGTTTCACACGCCATGGATGCGCGCGAGGTACGGTGTTTTTTCTCAGAAATGGCAGAAAAAAGGTGGAGGGGGATAAGGCCACACGCGGGCAAGAATGAGAAACAACTAATATTTACCCTAACCTTAGTTCATTCAGTAGTTCGTTTTTACTGCAAAGTAGTGTTTTTATATGCAGCTTAATAGCATAAAATATGTTGAATGAAGCATATGGTGTGGATAAGTCGTGTGACACACAAACTGACCAAATACATGAGGGTATTAGCTACTTTTCACATAAACCAAAGGAGGACAGTGCTTTTATTTCAGCTGGGAGCTTACCTCCACACGACTGATCATGTGACCATGGTGGTGGTCCCCTTTAAGCGACCGGATTCGAACCCAGGTCTAACGGACACGAGTCCGAAGTGCTATCCATTACACCATAGAGACATGACTTTTAAATACGCTCACCACATAAATATAGCACCACGTCCACTGACATGGTTTCAGACGTGTAGCTTAACAGAACATTTTCTTAAACGTGTACTTGAGCGTGGACTTACGCGTTCAGGTTCACGGTTTGCATTTATACGTGTAGCTTAACCTCTCTAATAAGAGGCTTTAACACCTAGTTCAATGAGGGAGCTAGGGTTGCCAAACTTTTCGAGGGGAGTGTTAACTTCAATAATACTATGCGAGTGAAATCGAAAAATAATGCTGTAATCAAACTAAATCATATGGCAATGGAGTCATCTCCCATGCCCTTTCAAAACACAATGTACAAAAGTATTAGTTTTCGTGGAGATCTACAGGAATTTGGACAAATATTGTTAAAATTACACTGTAGTAAAATCGGTAGCCTACTTTGTGAACAATGGCGGTGATAGCGAGGTCTTCTCATGTAAATATTAGAGCTAACGATGCCAGGAAAGTTAGTCAATAATGTAATGGATTAGGGGTTCATATTTTGTTTCTGCATATTAACAAAGTGTAACAATTTATTACAAACGTCAAACGTAAACACTGGAGACTTTAAGCGTGCGGTGTTTTTCACAACGTAACCGTGAACAGAAAGTACATGATTCGATATAGTAATGTGCATAGCGCGCATACAAAATAAGTGCTACTTAGTTTACTTCAGATACCCGTTCAGCTTCAGTTTCTTGTGTAGAACGGGAAATTTGCAATTTCACGGCGGGGTGGTTAAAACATCTTTCCACTACTACTCCATTGGTATATGGGCGATTTATACGTATAGGTTGTCGTTTCGATTTTATATGCAAGCTTAAAGTCTCTGCTGACACATGTGGTGTATGTCTTTATGACCAATTGTCTTAATTGTTTCGGTTCATATACAAAAGCAATAATGATTGATATATGAGCCAGGCCACAGAAAAAGGGGTCTTATCACAGATTTGTTTCTCTTAAAAAGCACAAAGAGACCTTTCAAATGAGCCATGGCTTATGTCTAAACAACTTTTTCTTGCAGATATAGACCAAAAGATAGATTTGAATTTAGCACATTTTCCTCTTAATCTTGAGCACATTTTTGACGGCTTTTTAATTTTAATTCTTAACACAATTTTAATTTTTGTGATAATACCGGGTTTCCTATGGCCAGGCTCATATGTTGAATAATACACGTTTCATACAGATCATGTTAGCACAACTCACCTTGAATAGCTCATGCTAGCTACTTGCACAACCAATTTAGAAATCAAATCGTTACACCAAAGTGTACTTGATGAATAATTCTGGATGAAAACAATGGTTAGAAAATTAATAATATTTACATAAGAAACTCCCGATAGCACAATAATGCGCTACAAAATCTACTACAAAGCCAACTATGCTAACAATGTTTAATAACAAAAATCAAAAGTATTGATAACATTTACTCTGGGATGATCTAGAGAATAATACAATAAAAACCAATAATTTAGTCTAATAGTAAAAAATAGGAAGTTCTTGTACAATTACAGAGTCATTGCCTCGATACAAGCAATTCGAAATACTGTAGATATATTGTAATTCCACAATTGTCAGTTTGAGTTCCTGTAAATGAAGCGAGGCAGTCGTCAATCAAGAAAGTTAAAATCTACACTCCCCTCCATAAATTTGGCAACAGCCTATCGGAAGTCCCCTTTGACTCGCATGTTTGTTTATCTCAAAATCCGTGTGGTTTAATTGAGTCATTTAAGTATATATATTAAATACTTATACATCTTTCAAATACGTTATTTATTTATTTCCAGAAGGAGGTAACCAATGAAGCAAGAACTCAAATGACGTCATGACGGCTAATAACCAATCAGCGCCTGGCTTGTTTGAGAGCTCTAAACTCTATTCCCTGATCAACCAATCAACAAAAAGCTCCATTCTCGCCGCCATTAAATTATGCGGCCAGCTTAATAGTGACGACATCAAGCAACGATCTGAGGTCGACCTTGCTACATATCTACATTTAGTTGTGTCAAATGTGCCAAACATTTGGAGGTATATAAGTATAAACTACATCCCCGCCTTCTCCGTAAGAAAAATATAAGGATAACCTACACCCCTTAAATTTTGCGACAAGAAGTCAAACTGGATAACGTTTTAAAGCCTGCTGATTATCTTTGAACCTGTGTTACAAGGGAGGGGGTCTTCGATTCTAGACTTTGGGGAATGTAACTTTAGGCCTACTTAACTATTGTATTTCCGTTAACAGAATTAATCCTGATTGTAGTTTTACGAGGGCTGATCAGAAAGTAATGGACCGTTGGCTCTAACTCTGCCAATGTTCAGCCTTTTTGTATGATTCATATGAGCCAACGGTCCATTACTTTCTTATCACCCCTCGTACATTCGATTGCTAAATGAATTCTTGGGAATAAATGTGAAAAGGGGAAAACATTGACTTTTACAAGATAAAAACTCCCTTAAATATGGAAATCCCTTGAGCTTTACATTTAGAGCATCAAAATAAAATTTGGCCAATATAAGGGAAAATGTATGGATATGATTTAGCCCTACTAAATCATCGGATTGTTTCAGTGAATGAATCATTACTGTATTGTTAACCGCATTCTTGTCAACACACATAAGAGCAATGTCGAGCAATACATTGCTTAACCTGTGTTATAAATCTTATAGGAATAACAACGAGGACATTAATATCGTCATTCCACTCATCTACCGACTTGCCGTAAAAGGTGTCGCTGTAAATGCCCAGAATAGTAGCGGTAATACGGCGCTCCATCTTTCCTGCCTGAAGCCCAAAGCGGAACCACTATGTGATCATTTACTGCGTATAGGTAAGTTAACATGGATGTATGATCAATTTGTAATTAGATTCTAAACAGCTGAAAATGAATACCCTTTGCATTCGTTTGACTTCACTTCTTAAAAGAGAGCTTTGTCTTCACTCTTTCAAACTAAAATAAACCTGTGAACTCACCGCGCCAATCAGTGTTCGTCGGCCAAATTTGACCGATGCTCTATATATGGTCATTCTTTCTGACGTCATCGTTGAGCCCGGAATTGACCAATGACATGCATATATTTAATTAGAACGCATTTGGCGTATGTTTCTTCAAGCTCGCGGATTGGTGGAAGAAAGGTCAGCGCGTAGGTCAAAAGTGATTTATTACCCAAACTGTCACCGGTACCTGTCGTGGGGGCGGGACTACTAAACTGTAATATGGTATCTACTTGGCAGAAAGTGTTGCCATCTCTCATTCAGATTTTTTCTTGGGCCAGACTTCCATTGACTTCCATATTAGGATCTTCGAAAAGTGAGTTTGTTTCATAATTTATCAAAAAGTGTTGCTCGAATCTGTTTAAAACTTGATTGATTTATCATGCGATGACCCTTTTAACATACTTATTGTAATATATTATCAAAAGTTGAGTTGTTAAACTAAATAAACCTAGGATTTTAGAGAAATCAAACATTGCATCAATAGAAAGGTTTTTTTAAAAATCATGGAAATTATTTAAATAACATAACTGTATGAATCAAAGTTATTCTTGTAGAAAATTGTTCAAATATGCCATTTAAAGGAATGAAAAATAAGTCATTAGGGGTCTAATATGCAAATCTCTTAAAAGAGATATAGTAAGATTTCAAAAGCTACTGTATATGGAAACTGTGCTATTATTGATAAGGGTTCATGTATATCTTTCGCAAATTAAACTGCATCTCATTTTACATTATTACAGTTTTTTATTGATTCAAGAACATATTTTAAGAACAATTGCGCAAATTGATTCATAGCTGCATTCCCCTGGCTTTCTTCTTTGGAATACAATCTGTTCTCTGGCAATTCGCATCGTAGCATCTTGCTTGACAATCTCGACAGTAATTTTTCCTAGATAAGAAATGAAAACAAAACATGATGATCAAAGTAGAGAAGTGTAAAGGATACAAAGGGTCAACGAGTTATATGTAAAAAGCAAATATATATGCTTCATAAACATATTTAGCGCCAGTTCTGTTAAAGCAATTTAGTGTCTGTGTTTGTATTTTTATGAGAACGTGGCAAGAGAGCCATACATATTACATACATAAATGGGTAAACATCAAAGCACATGGCTTCAATCTGACAAAGACGACCTGTATTCTAACTACATGACTGTAACTAACGTTTAACGTTTTTGCTTTTTAAAGAACATGCCTTCATATATTTGTTCTTTGTTACCTTAAAGGCCCCGTGTAACGTTTAAAACTCGTTGAATTACAATGCGGTGTGTAAGATCGCAAGTTTGCTTTTGCAAATATAAGTTCAAGAGTTATAGTCCATGGTATGACTTCCGAATATGAATGTTCCGTAGCACACTATAGCGCAGCAATATTTGAAGCAATATTTATGGAGATGCATATGTCTTGATTCTTTTAAAATACCATTTGCTGAAAAAACTTCCGGCTTTAGGGTCGAAAAATGTATTTCATCACAAGGGGTCCAAAAACGTAAATATTTTGATTCGAACTTTTATACATTTTATAAGACTCTGACCGTGATTCTAACCATACGAACAAAAAAATAGATTATTGTAATGTAAAAATATACTTTAATTTTACTGTGGATGTCGGTGTTTAATTAGTGTAATTACGCAAGTGTGTTTTTCAGATTTTGTCTGATTTTTCAAATATGAGCCAAGCAGATTAAATAAAATTGTGTGGAATATTTAGATAATTTATGATTTGGAATATATTAGTTTTCTTACCATTTAAAACATTTCATTACCAGATGTTTTCCATATAATCGCAAGGGTCAAACAACAAATTATTGTTCATGTTTTATAGAACATAATACAATAACAAATAGGTAGGATTTATATCAAATTAAATGTTACAGAGGTATTTAAATGTTCATATATTCCAAGGGCATGTCTAATAATCAGTTAGAGTCATATTGCAATCGAACGCCTTACAATTCTTCCTCGACGTTCATTGTGGATATCATCAAGTTTTCTGATGGTTGTTTCTTCTTTGACCTTACCGCTGGATATAAGCAGATTTTAGGAAGATAATGATAACCATTTTTCTCAATCATTCAGGAGTTCGACCAAGTCTTGGTGTTTTTTTATAAGCAACTGAGCTATATCTAAATACGAGAAAAATAATTTCCAGCTGTAGTCCCAATTAGTCAAGGAAGAGCAATAGGCTCTTCTTTATTTTTAATGTTCACCGCTGAATAAGAGTCCATATCTCAAAACGTATTGAGACCTATTTTGTGAAAAACTTACATAATTTAAGCATTTGTAATTCTAATATAAAAGTGATTAATTTGTAGCATTAATCTTATTAATACCTGAGATACAATACAAAACGTCGATGCACTGATTACAAAATGTTTTGGTATTGATAAGAAAAATAACCTCAAACGTATAGCTTAGAAACCTTGATCATATATTTAAAAACAGTTTTGTATTATTTTCTGTTGCATTGTGTTCTCCAAATTGTGAAAAATTGGGATTTTATTTTTTGGTAATTTTTTGACCTCTGTTTATGGCAGGCATAATTCACCCTAAAAGCCGGAAGTATATTAAACGGTTATGATAAAAATTATTAGGGAACATATGTAGGTATGTTAATGTTAGGTCAAATATCGCTGCGCTATAGTGTGCTACCATCTCCTTTATTAGACGTCCTAGAGATTTCATACCATGGACTATTAAACATCTTAGTAGAATCATAGTATTTATGTCGTATTTATTTTACACTTACACGCATACTCCACCAGGTGGCGCTTTAACCATGTCACATGGGTTACCGAAGCATTGAAGCTCGGTTCTATAATAACAACCTAAATAAAACAAAATGGGTTAATTAGTTATGTCGTGAGGAGTGTGCTTATCCCAGACGTACTGCACGAAACGACAAATATCCGGGTATTGTAACGCCCTTGAATTAAAGAGCATAAAATCCTATGCACGGTGACCGATCATTTTTAGCGACTAATCATATAAATGTTAAAAGAAACAGACATTGCAGCCGTGATATACAGTAGTCTATATCATTAATTCACATAGTTAAAATTCAAATATTGTTTGCAAAATTACTTTCTCTGTCGCAGTTCTCTATGTAATTTCCTTTGTATTTGAAATATGCATTGCAGCCGCCGCAATAGTTAGTCCTAGAATATCAAAAAGATAAAAAAAATATAATATATAAGAGCATAATATACTCAAATCATAGGCACGCTTGTCAATTGAAATCAATAACTCAAATGCGAGCAGGTAGTTACTAGTTTCACCACTAGGTGGATCGTTCGGGGCGGATACCATGGTGGATATAGTAGAAAGTTCTCTCTAAATTAAATATAAATCTATTTAGTGGTTCAATTTTCATATCACCCTTATGTATGTAATAGTTATGCAAACCAAAAATAATAATTTTCAAATTTGAAACAATTTTCAAAACCATATTTCTAGATGTACTTCTACATAAAGATTTCAAATATGTACTTTTACATAAATTTCAAATATGTACTTTTACATAAATTTCAAATGTGTACTTTTACATAGATTTCAAATATGTACTTTCATATAGATTTCAAATTTGACATCACTTTGACTGAATTTTGAATATTAAATGACGTAAATTAAGATTTTTCTACTCGCATTTAGTCGAATGTGTAAAGTCTACGTGCTTTTCACCCCTATATCAAATATCAATACGGAACGTACTCGCATGCTGCTTTGGGGCAAGCTGGACATCCTCTTCCTTCCCCAACATGTCTGAAGTCACATGGACTCATGAAACAATTGAAGTATTCCCTGACAGGACATTGTGGCGGTCCAAATGACACATCTAAAATACAGCATACAAATTAATATTAGAACCATTGTTCCTTTCTGCCAACGCGTGCGTTTTCGTTCTGTACACATGTTTATAATTTCCCCGGGTTTGGTTTGGGTCGGCGGGCAAACTTCTTTGGTCCAATAGTATAATATGTACTTGCCTGCTTCCGTAAATCCACCAATGCATAACAATATCGAGAGCAACACAGCGTACAACATATTTCCAATGCTATTTCGAAATCAGTTACAAACTTTACATAGATTTGATTGTTTTTATATCTAAAGGAGGAAATGAATATGCCAAAAATTGGAAATTGAGACAATTGCATGTACTATTCTAGTAATAACAAGCCCACGACATTAACACTATAATTGCGAACTCGAATTAGTAATAATTTTAGGGAAATGGTGACAAATGTTTAATTAATTGTTACAGTCAGGGTTTCTATGGATATAAAGCTCTTAATCACAATTATTGATTATTGATTACACATTTCTGATATTTAACGGTTTAAATTTTATTTTATTAATTTGTTTTTGATGTTTGGAACATACGGTTAAATAACACACTTGCGTACAGTTTCCTTGAGTGATATCTAAATAAATAGATACTATGAACAATAAGTATAACATGTACGTTGTAATCATGTTTGACTAATGTAACATTGCAGGTATTGACCCTTGTTTGCCTAACAAAAAAGGATGTAGAGTGATCCATTCCTACAGAGGCCATCATTGTTACATAGTAAAGAAACAATCAACCGCAAGATCGGGACTTTGGAATGCAAGTAAGTCCAATTTTTGGGATTGGGGATTTCAATCTCTGATTATTTCTCTACACGATTGTACACGTGTCAGGCCTGTAGCCAGTAGGGGTCGCAATGGCGGATCCGGGGGGGGGGGCATGCCCCCCCCCTTTAGTGGACCTAGAATTGTTTTACTTTTCGGGCCCCAACATTTTGTAGGGCCTCAAAAAATGGGCCTTGTTGGGCATAATCTGGACTTTTAAGCCAATTTATCAAAAACGGGCCTTAATTTTGTCTTCGTTCCTGATTCAGTAGTTTAGTTTAGTGAAGTTTATTATTGTCACAGGCCTATTATTTTACATAATTATACGTTCAATTATTCAAAAGCCCCAAGCCAACAATGGCTTATGAGACACTGTCCATCTCAGAAATATTGCTAAATTATTAATTTTGAATAAAAAAAGAAATCTTAAAGACACACACATTATCTCTATAATTCCGACTATACGAGAAAGATAGAAGTATAATGCATGAATTCATGAATATTTTTAGTCGAGCTGGAGGACAAAGAACTTATAGAGCAGTTTATGCAATCGTGGTATAGGGTCCAAGTTAAACGCAAACATAAAACACTTATTGACGTCGCCGATGAGACAGGCAATATTGAGATTCTAAGATTGCTGAAGAAATACACCATAAGGAACGAGATCGTCTCAGCAGCGTTTGCCTGTGACGTCGACCTAGTCACGAAATATCTAGGTAAGTTTTTTTCATTTCGCACTGTTTTTGATTGAAATCATGTTAGTTCATTTATGGACTCTTCTATGGAAAATATCACAACAAAAAACAGTAAAGACAAGACTATGTTGATTAATTTGTAAAATTTAAGTTTTAACCTTTGTAATGCTGTGTTTATGTTGCATGTGGACAATTAAATAATTCAGTCTGTTGTTGTGAGACTAACTAAATGACATAATATCCAAATAAGAAATGTTGTGCCCTTTAACATTGATGTACATGCAGTTACAAAATGCAAAGTTATCCACCTACTAAACATATGTTTAAATTCCAGGAATGGGTAAGCAAGTCAAATATAGTATGTGCTAGTGACGTAGGCATTACGTCATAGAAAATATCGATTACTATCGAGTAACTCAATTGTCAAACTATCATTATTTCAAATGACTTCAAATCGTTTTTCGCTTAGATTTGGAATCATTTAAGATGAATACATGCTTTGTGGGCGCTGCTATCGTTGATATCTGTACAGCTGTTTGGTTACATGGTTTATTGTCGAATGAGTACAATACTCTTTGTAACAGTTTCCCATCAATGACAGTGAATATATTTTTTATATATCTTGTTCAAATGCGTTTTGAATAAATGTCCATTTGTAAAGATGGCATGAGTATACATTATAGAAGGTATGTAGTAAGATGGGGATACCCCATAATTCATATTTGAACCTTCTCGATGTAAAATAAAACTCTAGGTTAATATTTACATTGAGATCCATCTATGAGTTATGGGATATATCCTCTTCGTGTATATAATGTAGCCATTGATCAGCAATGGCAAATGCGCCATCTTTTGACAGTTTAGCAACATTCACTACTCGTATATATATTGGATCAAATGAAATATGAAAAGTATATCAATTGTCATTATTGGGAAATAAATTACATTGATCTGTAAGCTTATCCTTCGTACGCATTGTTCAATGGTGTACATTCAATGGTGGTTTTTAATACGTATTATATCTTGTATTTCTTCTCTATTACAACAATTATTAATCATCAAGTATTGCAACGTGATATCTTAAAAATGCGAATTCAAAAGTCTATTGTTGTAACCATGGATATAATGACATATTATACTAATCTAGTAGTATTAAAGAGAATAATGGATTTTGGGGAATTCCGAACTTTTTGACGTTTCCAACGATCTATTGTATCCCAAGAATGTCTAAGGAAATCGACTTTATGAATAACCATTTAGTTTCTCCCATCTACAAATCAGGGCACAAATACACAAATACACAATGGCAAATAAGAAATTAATGTATAACTTAAACTATTTCACCAATTACCTGACAGTGAGTGTGTACCTATAATTTGTGTGGCCATTGGCTTCAAAGCTTGTCAAAGTGATGGTATCCTCGAATATCTATTTTTGTGTTCTGGTACCATTTTCATTTTATTTCTACTGATCTGACTATACTTCGTAATGCACTTTCTGAAGATGCCATTTGGTTAGAAAATCACTTGGGTAATTATAAAGTTAACTGAAGAGAGGTTGCTTAGAAATAAGAAGATTATTGTTCTACTTTTTTATTACGTAACGGTTTGTTATAAATTCTACTGCCTAATAAAATACACACTTTTTGTACTTCCATACTTCATTTTGAAGTCCAATTAATAGCTTATTCTCATGCCTTGGGTCAGAGAAACAGACTCTAGGCCTTTGAAGGCTTTAGTATTAATGACACGCGCAAGCGCATAACGTTTTTTAATGAGTCAACTTAAATTTGAATGGTTTTGTGACCAAATGACAATATAACCTACGTCTGTTCTCGTAAATTAATGAATGACACTCCCCGATAAATTTGGAAACTGGAAGCTTCAATTAAATAGCGTGTTTAGCTTATTTATGTTTAAAAGCAAGTTCGTTAACGTCGACGACTTCCCTAATTATAACACTGGGTCAAAAAGGAGACTTCTAGTTGCCAGTCTTTTGTTGGGGAGTGTACACTCACGTGTGTTTTTGTATCGTGTGTTCTTATTCTGTGTGGTGTGACTTAGTATAATAGATAGTGCGTTAGTATATCCCCATATAAAATGATTGTTTATACATTAATTATTGTCCTAAAATGAAAACATATAACTCTAAAATGCTAATAACCACCTGTTTTCTTATAATTTGTTTACCACGTTTACACTAGAAGTTATGTAAATTGTAGAGTTTATATATAAATGTACTCCATAGAAGTTGTAAAGGTGGCGAAAATGGAAAAAAACAATTCTAAAACAATAAAGTCGAAATTGGCCACTTAGACTTGATTGACTATAATTACGGCCATACGTCAACCAAAATGCACCAAATTCTCTTTTTCGATCAACAATGGTATCAGTGGACTGAAAAAGAAGCACCATCCTCCAAGAGTCCTTGTTCTGCTTTTAAGAAATTAGTTAGCCCATGGGCTTTCAACTAGTTTAAAACCCATGGTTAACCACAGATCGCGAAACCACTTACGCCATCTTTGATATAAAATTGTCATATTATTTTCCCATACTGGTTGGTTTTCTAGAAATGCATGATCTTATGCACCACCTATACAGTTCAATGTTCCATAGTACGTTCTAAAATATTCATCAAAAGCATTTTTAAGGAAGACAAAAACAACATCCTCCCCTTATTACAGCGCCGTCCTCATCGCATCCGTATTTAACAACGTTTTTACTTTTAGGCAAGATAGATTTCGACCTTAAGGATCCATCGTTCATCATTCCAAAGCCTTTGTCAGTTGCTCTGAGTGAGGTTGGACCTGTAACCAAAGATGTTATCGCCATACTTCTTAATAATGGTATAGACGATGGAACAAACTACGCAGGTGATTGTGTGCTCAAATATGTACATTTTTGCTTTTATATATCATTGAATACATTTTAATCTTTTAAAATAAGGGCAACTATTAAGGTAGCAAGAAGTCTAAATATAGTGTTACGAAATCAAATAAAAAAAAACACCCTGATTTCAAGATATGCTGCAACTTCATTATACGAAGGTTGCTCCAGATGTCTTGAACTTGCTTCAGAGATTCAGCAGAGTAGGCCATTTTAATGTTTTTATGGAATTAATATTCATCTGTTTTGTATTTTTCAGAAAATGTCAAAAACGCAAAGGAATCCTTCGAGAACTGCGACTTCTACCGAAAGGTCCAACTATGTGACAAAGAAAGTCTTGAATGTGCCCTCGAGCTGGTCGAGAAGGATGAAGTGGATTTATTCTCTAGAAGCCACGAGGAATCCACATCAGGTTGGACGTTCATGCATCTCCTTGTCTCAAAGTACTTAGAGGTAATCAAATCATCATATAAGGTTTTATTTTGTTGTATAATATTTCTATATCTTTCTGGCTTTTAAAATATTATAAAAAAATGTTCGATGACGCGTTTTGAACAATTTTTACACGCTCGTAGTTTCAAAAACTCTGTATTAATTATGACTTTTTTTAACTATGAATTGAGCCTTTTGTTTATTCAATATCAAAGGTTGATGAGCTAGTCGTTCGGAGAATGTTGATCAGACTCGCATATAAACTTGCTCTGAAGGGGCTCGATGTGAATGCCAGAAACGCTAAGGGTGATACTCCTCTCGTCATGGCAGGCGTGCTCGGTGATCAGACATTATCTACCCACATGGTTCGAATGGGTAAGTAGTATTTGAATACCAGCTTTTGTGTCAACCCAACTCTCTGTGATTAACTCGAAAATAATCATTGAAAAAGAACATGAAACAGTGATTACAGTAATTAATTACAACTTACATTGATTACAGTAAACTGCGATCAGAAACTAACAAAAAGGAGTATACATCTCATACAAGTTTGTCTTCTCCTTCCCATCATGGATAAACTTTATTTTGCATAATACGTAGGTGTTGACCCTGGCAGAGCAGCCCCCGATGGACAGACCGTCAATGTAGAAATATATGAAGACAAAGGAAAACTTGTCAAAGACAGACGCTACAGACGCAAGGATCTTCCCGGACTATGGGTAGCAAGTACGTATACATGTTTTAAAATGGCATTCTACCAGGGCCTTTCATTGATAAAACAACAATTTAGGGAATGTCCATTTTTCTGGACAAATCGGACACGTCTCTTTCAATATGATATAAAATGATCTGACCTTCCGTTTTACGAAAACGAAAAATAACGAATAAAATAAAATGATACAACACACACAATGATTTCAAAGTTTTATGTCACCACTCACAAGGGGTGACATATTGTTATAGTCTCCAATTTTGTGGACGGTGTCCGATGTTCGACTGCATGGTGTTCTACTTCGTTCAGTTTTCAAGTTAATGCAGTTTCCTATTGCATAAAATATCCAATTGAGTGACTGGTAACAAAACCTTCATTTTCAGTTGAGGATAACGACGTTGAGAAGACGCTGAGATGGTTAAAAAGCCAAGCACGCGTAGGCGTAAAAAGATGCGATCGTTATTTGAAGGATGTCAGCCGTGACTTACGTCACAATGACGTCACGAAACTGCTGGAAAAATACGATCATATAAATGAGTTCGTAACAGCGTGTTACGCGTGTAACCACAAGGGAATGATGGCTCAATTGTCTTTGGGATCAGGTATGTGCAAATATTTTACATTTTATTTGTTGGAACTTTTCGCACGTAATTTCAAGTATGTCAGCAGACAAACTTAACTCATTAATTTTCCTCCAAATTCACGTATTCTTGGTCATCAGTCTTTGCAACAAAAACATATGTTGCGTACGTGTATCCGCTAGCCTATACTAGTATTCTCGATAATACAGGCTTATTCTCAGATACTTTGTCGTCTCTATGTATTGTTAGAATCGCCACGAGAGAAATTAATAGACACATAAGAATTAAGCCATATAATTTAAGAGATTTTGAACGTGAACATGTGACATTATGACCCCCAGAGATTACTTTTCTCTCCTAATTATTTTCCTTACATCTTCATATTACTCAATTTGGGGAGAATTAATCCCTGGACGACAATAATTCTACACGTTCTCAACAAGTTCTATTCAAAACGTGTTGGTTAACATCCATTGTTTTAGAGAACTTGTACGACCCCTTGGGATTACCATTCCCCTATCAATTGTTTCTAAAAGGACTTAAACATTTATTTTCCAAGAAAGTTCATACTCAATCGGAAAAGTGAATACTACGAATGTAAGAACTTATCACAAGACTAGAGGACCATAATTCTACACGTCCACGAACACGTTCTCCAATAAACGTAATCTAACATCCCTATCAAGTTCTACTCTTGACGTCAATGTCCAATCGTAAGATATGTTTTAGCCTCATTAAAATGTATTTATTGAACAGATAAGTTGAGTTCATAACATATATGCATAAAATTATTTGACCATTAATTAATAGATAAGCGTATTAATTATGGCGTTGACAAATTTAACCCTATCGCATTTTACATCAACATATCTCAAACTCCAGTTCATGACCTATATTTTGATTAGACATTCGTATGAGCAAAATCTTTTTGACTTTTACAAACTCAAATCCGAGGCTTGTCTTGGAAAAACATCTCCATCCGTGTCACTGCTTCTGTCATTTAAATTCTTGTTAAAGCATGTATCAAAAATAAAGAACAGTCCTCGTAGAAGTATATTTTCATCTACCTGTTCTTGGAAGCTAGCAAGGCAGAGTTCAAGGTTTTCGTATTTGTCAAAAATACTTTTCATATAATCGCCTGCGTTTGCTTTTGAATCCATGTCGCAGTTGGATAAAACAGCCTCATGCACTAACGCCCTCTTTCTTTCAGCTTCTATGATCATTGGTAGCCATTCGTGGAACTTTACATGAAGATGGTGGACAATTTTTACCACTCCATATTGTTCTATGTCGTCTGATAATAACGGATGTCCCGATGCATTATGGTCTAGTCCCAATGAGCTGTGGTCAACGAATTGTTTATATTTCGCCTCGTTTGTTTGTATAACGGCGGACGCTTGAACGATCGCTGCTTCCTCGTCATCATCAAGCGTATCCGGTTGTTTTTGGACGTTTTCCAAGGCTGTTGTTGCTATCTCTTCTAGCATTGAGGAGTAGTCGTCCACATGCTCAAGCTTTGTGATCTTCTTTACTTTGTTCATGATTGAGAGAATCACAAGATTCAACACTGGGGTCAAGTGTTCCTTCATGCTGCTAACTATCGCTTCCACGTATATAGCTAACGTTTCTTTGTCTCTATCGCAACAGTGATCGTCACTGCTCGATGAACAGCATAAGGTACCTTTGACACCATTGTGATCGGTGTTATTTTGAAGTAAATCTTCCACATTGCCACTTGATGACTCTTTTGCTATTTCATTTTCTTCATCATCAGAATCCTCCTCTAGTAGCGTTGCTCCCTCATTGATGACGTCACAGCACATCGTATAGAATGTCGCAAGTATAAGGCTACTGTAACGATAGTCCACGTCCTCGATGCTAGCCTCTAAAAGCCCAGACTCGGCGTCTTGAAGCTCTGTCAGGCCCCGGGATACTGGGAGATTATTTTTATCAGCCGTTCTTTGCACCCTGTCAATAAAACCAAGAAACAAAAGTGCATTTGCGTGTTCTCTGATGTGTTCTTTTTGATTATTTTCGTGATCGTTATGTATGTCGTCATTGTCGTCTGCAAATTCAGGTTTTGTCGCTGTGCTTTTCCGCCGTGATGCAGTATCCTCTGGAAATACACTCGACATATAACCAGATTCATTTCCCTGAAAACTTAAAATGTCACCTGTTGAGGAATCAAGTTGAGCAATAAGAGCGCTTTGTAGCGTTGTAACAATGAGATTAGTGCAATCAATGGCTGCGTTAAACTGCCATAGGTCAATTAAGTCACGTGACGTACCAGTGCCTACGCAAACTACGCGATTTATGATCCCCAACAACGTTTGCGCAAAATGAAGAGCTTCATGGTTTGACTCAAACAAAATAGCCATCTTTTGTTTGTATTTAGTTTCATCATCTGGGTCAATATCGCCTGTGTCAGGGTCATGGGGATCATAAAGTCTTTCCAACATATCTGATAAATCATCATCTTCTTCAACCTTATCGCAGACACACTCAAGATGACACCACAGTTCTGCCATATTGGATTCACACTCTTTGCAAATCTCACTCTGTTTTAGACACATACATTTTGCAAGGTTCGAATTCGTCCATTTGTCCGTATCGATATATTCTCCTATTCGACCGAGCGTTTCATCGTATTGTTCTAATTCATCCATTGCTACCTGGTCGAGGCTGCGTGGTGACTCGATCTGTTGATCGTCCAATTGAAACAAGCATTTCATGGAGGCAAAATTGAGCACAGTCCCCGCCGCCTGGGCGGGTAGAAAGTTATATATTGACGACGTTGCATTTTGTGATAAGAATAATGAAGCATAGCCTAGTGACGAAGTATCCGATTCATCTTCGCTATTGTTGTTTTCCTCATAACATGGCGTCCCGGGTGGGGAGGAATTGTCATCAGAGGAGACACTTGTTGAAGTTGTGTTATCGTTGTAATTTTCAGTGATTTGAAACTTGTTCAACAAGAGTTTACTTCCTAGGATATAGTACCAGCCAGCCACAACCAATGCTTTTAGACTAGTTGCGTTATCGCTGTCTGACAGGGCCCATTTATCCAGACAACATAACAAAGATATCCCATTGATGTACTGTTCCGTCTCGAGCATAAGTTGCCTACTGTAAAAATCACTTATAATCTTATCCCTGGAAATAAGGGGACTAGAACACGGCGATTCGTCCGTATCCGTGTCGCTTGTCCCAGCGGACCCAACGCTAAACCTCACCCTGCGCTTCGGCTGAGACATCGAGCCTTCTGAAACTTTACGACGCAGTATTGATGACATCACTGTTGTTCTCCAAAATCGGCCAACTTCAACTTACTCGTGCTAAGTTGGTAGCTACTATTTTGCTCTTATATTATCATCACGTTTGCCTGGTAAGTTAAAGGCCAAATATATCACACGATATATCATCTGTTTATACTCTAGACATAGTAGCACAAATAAATACACATTCCTGAGAGATTCCTATATAAACTGCATAATAAGGACTTCACTGTAAGGTTTGTTTTGTGTGATGCGTACTGTACGATGCGTAGCGTACTATGCGTAAACACAATGCGTAATGTAGCGCACAGGTTGGCCTATATGTATATCATCCAGGTTGCAGGAACGACACTGAAACAGAATAATGAAATATTCTATAACACATGAAATAATATCTCAAAATCAATTTATGAGTGATTTGGAAAACAGTTAATGCACAAAACCTTAAACAGTAGCGGCAGTTAACAAATATTTCTCAAAGCAATACTAAATATCAAACTGATATAGATCCAACACGCAGTTACGTATCTATGGAGAGGAAATGATCTACTGTAGGTATCTTGTCATTGTTTTAGATCATCTTACATACTAATCACTCGTTGTGGCTCTTTGAACGCATACACGTCTCCTAATTCAAAATAAATCAAAGTGACCTTCAAATCACACTAGCCTACGAGGTTACCATGACAGTTCTTGTCTCAGAGGTCTCAGACGTAGAAAATGTTCAACTTGATTCCAGAACAATGATTGCGATTGTACTAAATGATGAACGCTGTATGTAAGATATAAAAGATATAACACGGTACTGTTGGAGCATAGTCCAAATTCTACTTATGATCACGATAAACTTGTTTTGAAACTAACACTGGTATTGTTTGTTCTGAAACTACAATTCAGGACACAGCTTGTTGTATTAATAATGACTATGCGTCAGCGTAACTTCGAAGTTCAATCCGATGCACAGCTCACAGGCCCGTAGCCGGGGGGGGGTTGATGGGTTCGAGCGACCCCTGCCCCCCGCCAAAAAAATCTTTCAAAATCATGCAGTTCTTCACCATTCTGAGCACTTTTTAAGTGATTGTCACAAGTGAACCCCCCTGGAATTTGTCAAAAGGTGAACCCCTTGGCAATCCTGGCTACGGGCCTGGCTCAAGAAATGTATTAATTAGACCTGCTCACAATGCAAAGTGCGTGTGTTGTTGGAAATTCATTTATCATCGGTAAGCAATCTGATTTATCAGAGTCTCTCTTTATCTAGAACCTGTGAGAGACTCTGATTAATCATAAGACAAAACATCTTCCTACCCTGCGTATTCTCCAAGTAAATCAGTAATCGGTGCATGTTATTGCCTTACAGGGCTCCCCAAGAGGGGGCAGCGAGGTCGCTTTTGTCACTTTTAAAATTTCAAAATTGTCACTTTGTCACATTTGAGTACAAACGTTACGTTTCTTATTTTGTCAGATTCATTCCTTTTAGTCAGTCAAAGCATTTAATGCAACAAATGGTTTGTTATGTTTTATTGTTTGATTACTGGCTAGATTAAATCATCTCAACTTGCATCTATTTACATTAAGAACGAATTGTCTATTTTTGTCACTTTCAAAACAATTGTCAGTCAGATAAATGTACAAAATTGTCACCTGCAAGCATGATTTATTTGTCACATTTGTTCATTTTCCTTAAAGCAGATATAAAATGGTATTTTTAACCTAAAGGAATCAATATAATTTTTTGATAGATGTATTTGGACATGTTTTCTCATCAGTAGTGTGAAAACTATTTCACTCTAACGATCGTTATAGCTGCTTAATAAGCAATATTCGAATTGGTTGTGACGTTATTGGCCCCCACGTGATCTCTCACTGGTCCCCACGTGGCCCGTTTTGGTCTATTAGATCATGACGTCATAATGCCAAAATGTTTTGTTATTTGTTTACACAACAATCCTATGGTTGCCGTGACGTTGTGATTACTATGGAACCAATAAACCAAAGCTATGTTTTGTATATGACGTTACTAATCACGTGGGGGCCAATTTGATTTATCAGTTAGTTTTATTTCCTTATCTACAACCGTTAGCAGTTTTCTAACATTTATTTTATAATGGCTATCGCAAGAACTCTACGGTGGGGTTACAATGGAGAAAACCGCATTTTTGTAGCTGCAAGTTGAGAAAAGCTATTTCAGTTGTCCTTTAAGTCCCATTTAGTCACTTTATTAGAGGCCAGGTCACCTTATCACATACCCCTCGGGGAGTCCCCCTTAGAATCACGCGGTAGTATCTCTTCGGGACGTATCGAAACCACTCCGTCCCGAAAAACCGTTAATTTGAATTTAAAACCTACCCCAGTGTTTGAAAATCAAGGATTGTGAGTCTCACACTTCACCGTTTTTCTTCAAACTTGTTCCGTACAAAGCTTCACAGAAATACCTTTCAGTCGATACATTGTTTTCGTGTACAAAGTACCTCGTTTTGGCGGCGTTTTGGTCCCAAAATTGGGAATAAAGTCAAGTTATATTTCCGTCAATTTTATAAGTATTTCCCCCGCAGGATATGTAGATAAAAATTCAAACATAAATAGGCTTTAACACGGAGTTCAAAGGGGAGCTAAGGTTGCCAAACTTATGGAGGGGACAGTATCATGTAAAAGTATATTTTGTCACCAATTACACGAAACCTGCTACTGCATTATTGAAACTATTATCCCGGTAAAGGACCTGTTTCAGATTCTATTACCGCCTCCCCATGAACAAATATAAAGGAGCACGTAGGTTATCGCAAACAATTTCAAACGATTCTAACTTGAATTATGAATATTTTTTGATCATGAATATGGGTGTATCTTTTAGATCCATTTATTATCTTCAAGAAAAGTATATATAAGGATAATTTAGTTAATCAGACCTAAGTGATATTGAAGGGGCAATGGACCAATCAACATACTTTTACAAAAATGTTGACCTAATTTTCACCAAAAATGCAACCTATTATTATATTGTTGAATGCATAATTAGAATGTGCTTTGAGACATGTTCGATTTCCTAAAAGGAAAATTTGATTGCTCCAGGGACTTTAAAGATATTCAATTTGGATGACCAAAATGAACTGAAACCAATGGATAGCATGAGATTTTTCAATGGAGAAATAGCATGGGGAACACTTATCTTAATGCAATTAAGTTTTTCTTTCAAGAACTATTTGATACATCAAAATAAAGAATAGTAATGCATTAAACATTGTAAAAAATGATTGCATTTTTGGTGAAAATGGGGTCAACATCTTCAAAATGGGGTCAAAAAGTGTGTTGATGGGTTAATTGCTATAGTAATATCTCCGAGTTTGTTTGAATTTATTATTACTGTGCATAATTTTCTTTGAGATAATGAATTGATCTAAAAGATAAACTTGTCTTCATTGTCAGAAAATAGTCATAATCCAAGATATAACCTTCTGAAATTGTTTGCGATAACCCACGTGCTCCTTTATCTGATATTTCAAAATCAATGTACAGGTTTAATTATAACATTTATGTGTACACTAGTATTCTGTTGACCTATATTCAGCACTGTATTGATGGTTAGACCATTTATTGTTGCAAAACAAGATTCCAGATTTTATTGTGTTTCAAACCAGACACTTGGTTTCCTCACAAAATCAAATACAGGACAATTACATATAATTAAAGTTAAAAAGCAACATCTTCACAAACATTTAAATTATCAATTTCAAGCAAACAGTTATAGTTATACTCCGTATGGATGCTAAACTTAAGACTGGTGTTAAGAATCGACCAAGGCAAACCTATGTAAAATTACACAACGATGAACAAAATGTTTTAGAATACAACCCCACGTTTGTAGTCATAGACTCGGCGGGGCGTAGTGGAAGGTGACGGGACGTATTGGTCAAATTTGAAGAGATGTGTGGATGATTTAGAAACTGCTGCGTTTGATGCCCAAAAATCAAGACGTAGCGATAGAAGGTTGTAATGAGAGTCCATTCTGAAATTATGGGCGAGAATGGGTAAAAGACTGGCGAGATAACTTGACTTACAGTTGAAAGTTATGAAAATTTGCTTTATCTCACAGCGGGGGACCAAAACGCCGCTAAAACGAGGTACTTTGTACACGAAAACAATGTATCGACTGAAAGGTATTTCTGTGAAGCTTTGTACGGAACAAGTTTGAAGAAAAACGGTGAAGTGTGAGACTCACAATCCTTGATTTTCAAACACTGGGGTAGGTTTTAAATTCAAATTAACGGTTTTTCGGGACGGAGTGGTTTCGATACGTCCCGAAGAGATACTACCGCGTGAGAATGCACCATCTAAAATTCATTTATATGTGTTTTCTTGGTGGGTCTTATTTTTACTGTTTACGATACTTTCTTTTCTTACTGTTTTTTGATTTAAAGTTTTATATCAAAGTTATCATACTAATGATAAATTGGATTATTTTGGACGGAATATTATGTTTGCTTTTTATGGTCACACTCTTTACTCTTTAGGCTTTGTATACATACATGTATTTAACCAATCGCCGTGTCACTTGAGGGCTGTGTAGTTAAGCCCCCCCCCCCCCAACATATAAACGAATCCACTAAACGTATTCTTGCGAATAGGAATTGAGTAAAATTCGTTCCAATTAATATACGTACGTTGTGCATCGTTTGGGTGTTCGTATGTGTAAGTATCCCTTCGGAAAGCTTCGGACGACTTCGGAACCATGCGCAAAGATGTGCTTCGGTTTGCATTTATCCAATTCGCAAGACTGCGTTAGGTGGGTTCGTTCATATGTGAGGGGGCTTTTAATGCCTTCCCCAGTATCTTCATTGTCAATTGATCTCTTTAATTGATTTGATTAGTTCCTTTAATTTTTGGCTTGCATGAAACACTTTCTGCAGTCGTTCTCACACATCCTGTGTGTTCCATGAGGATCTCCACATTGATTGGTTAGCGTTGGGGCCCGTTGGGTATCTGTCAAAATACCTTCGCGGAGAGAAGAGAGTACTAAGGTCTAAGATATTACGATCAAAAGAAGAAGGTTCATTTGGCATTTTGTCCACGAATGAACCAAGAATGCTTTTGTCTTGCATCCACTTTCTGAGAGCCTAATATCATATTTAGACCAGGTCCATGCTTAGACCTCAAGAACCTGTTTGCGCCTTATTTACTTGATATAACCTTGTACATTCACGTTAACATCTCGAGTATGAGTCGATGTTATCAGTGTACTTTAGTGTACATTGACAGACCCAGAGTAACATTAGATATGTACATATCAATGTAGTAATGATTTTGACATTTTTACTGCCTCATTGTGTATATTTATATTGTGAAGGTAGATCTTGAGAGCAATATGGCGCAAATGGCCATGGGTTCTTGAGGTCTACGCATGGACCTGGTCTAAATATGATTAGGCTTTCAGAAAGTGAATGCAAGATAAATGCATTTTTGGCTATTTACAAATTACAACAAGAAAAATGCCAAATGAATCTTCAAAAATTAAGTTTGCTTTTTGTCTGTTCGCCTCGCATCAACTTTTGGGAACTATACTACGTGCCCCAGTCGTTCAACTTATAACTGTTGATGGGAATGAACTTGCTACAACCGTTACAACATGACCTACCTTAAGGAATATCGATTACAGATCTGAAAAGCGGCCTATGTATTAATTTGTTCAACATTTAATTCCTCCCCGGGGAACGCTCTTGTACTAAAACTGCTTCTCTGTTAGAACGAGTACTTATAAAACATGGCATTTAGATATGCCGTAGCGATAGGTTTCAATTTTGGAATTATGCTTTTACAATTGCATTTCCCGCGTGAATTACATATTAATTGATGCCCTGGATCAAATAACAATGTAATATCTCTTGTATGAAGCCATCTACTAAACAGTTGCGCCAATTAAAGGTAATACTTGTTATACAATTGTCTCTCGCACGTAATAGGTTTGATCAAAATTTCACATATGATGTGTTCCCGAGAACTGTTCAGCATTTGAGGAATGAATACCGAAATTCCATGATTTACTTGTATGTCGATATGAACGATAATTTTTTGATCATTAAGACCGGAATCCCAGAGCGATTGAAGTAATTGGTAATTAGCAGAATAAGATCTAATGTCATAAATTTCTTATAAATCATAGAATCAAGGCCTTACGGAATTAGCTCGCGTCAGGTCTACAACACGTTCCTAAGAGAATCGCCACGTGAACGTGAAATAATGGTCCTCTTGGATTAGCTCTTCAATTCCTAGTATTCCTTGTCCAATTGAGAATAGGGGAAGTGGTAGTAATTTGGTCAGTGGAAAAAAACAATTTGGATAAGGACAATAATGTATAGTGGTCATACCATGGGCTTTCAATTAGAGTTGAAAGCCCATTGTCGTACTATTACAAATCCACATGTTAGTTATCAAGGTATAGTTGGGAACAAAAATAAATGACACATGGTTTTTCTATCACCAGTTCCTAACCATGGTTGTCTGAAAGCCCATAATTGCCAAAATATCCCTTAAAATTTGTATATTTTACATTTTGTATAATCCCATCCACTGAGATGTATGGCCTCTTGAAAATTCTCTTATTTTAACATTGGAAATCCTCACTTCAGCAAATCCATCTGTCATTTATTTAGGTTCCAAACTGCATCTTACCTTCTCCCTGCATGTAATATAGAAAACACTAAAGTTGAAAAAGTACGTGCATTCGATCAAGTAACTGGCCTTGCATATGTACTATGAACAATAAGTACAATGCCATGAGGAATCGTATATACTAAGTACATGTATCCATACAGTACTTATTACTTACTGTTATAGTAAATGATATGGCGTTTTTATCCACGCTGTTTGTTGTTTCATCAGCCTATTAATTTTCAAGTTAAACAATCCATAACTCATCATACTTCCACTGCGAGGAATACAAAACAGTCAGCTATATACTGGTGTATATACACAACTGCATAATGGCACACATAAGTTATAACTAAGCCGTTGTTTACCATACCTGTTGTTTCCTCCGCTATATCTGTCTGAATGTAGCATCTGGCCCGAATTTAGACTCGCTACGATGGCCTATTAAATGCTCTCAAGTAGGTGGACTCAAGTACGATGGCCCATAGTGTAAACATATAGGTCGATCTTTGATTTTTGAACTCTCTTTATCAGCGATAGTATTCAAACTATCTGTCAAAATAGAAGGTCAAACATTAAGCCATCAGGTTATAATCCAGCGCCGTTTCAATGCAATAAGCCGAATCATTTCCATACAAACATTACATACAATTGTATTACACACCTGGGCGTAATTCACGAGGATATTAAATTATATGACGGTAGAATAAATGCATTATCTCAGAATCACACTCCCCTAAGTTTGGCAATCGCCCCCCCCCCCCTTGGATCACTTACCAAAGCTTTTGTTAGGGGATTTTAAGAAAAACATCTTTGTCATAGGCCTACATTTTCGAAATATTATCATAAAAGAACAATGTCATGCATTATCCTACCATTGATGGGCTTTGATATGTTTTGATACATTATCCAATAAAAATGTCCGGTTTTCAAAGTTATGGCGGGGAGTGTAGATCCGACGTGAAGTAACCGGAGCACTTACATGTACCGTATTCACATTTACTTGCCAAATATCTCGTTTTAATTAGTGCACTTTATAGCAATCAATCATAAATGTGTCTGAATATTTGCTAACTACTCGTCTGTTCTGATGCAGCGATTCTTCAAATATGCCATTCAATACACATGTCATTTATTAAAACACAGCTATAACGTAAAATATCATCTCGATGCCGTGAAGTATCATGGACAACGGATTAAATGGTTTTAACCAGAGATAAAGAAATCCTAAATAGCATTGGTCTAAATTATTCATTCAACAATGGGGGGGGGTGTATAGAGGGTCTTGGAAATGCATATACAATATTTTTCAGCTCTCTTATACCATATACAATATTTTTTCACCATATACAATATTTTTCACAGCTCTTATACCATATACGATATTTTAGGTGAAATACAATATACGATAATTTTGAAACTGCTTTTGATTAAAGTTTGGATATTTATAAGGAAATAATATTATATTAGGAGAGAATCCATGTACTAAAGTAAATGTATTACAAGAACACAAATGTGTACAATATGTCCCCACCTATGGGTGATCCTGTCAAATGGTTATCCTAAAAATGAGTAGACAAGACTTTACCGACACAATTTGAGGACGGAGATTCCAAAATGGCCACCTTAAAATTTACCAAGAATGCCAAAAAATTAGTCAGTTCTAGATTTTCATACTAAGAACCACCCCTGAAAATTTGAAATTGATCCGTCACACAGTTAACCAGAAAACATGTACTAAGAACCTCCCCTGAAAATTTGAAATTGATCCGTCATACAGTTAACCAGAAAACATGTAAACAAGACTTTACAGACAAGATTTGAGGACAGAAAATCCAAAATGGCTGCCTTGACATTTATCCAGAATGCCAAAAACTAATCTGTTCTAGATTTTCATACTAAGAATCATCCCTGAAAATTTGAAATTGATCTACCAAACAGTTCACCTGGAAATGTGTAGACAAGACTTTACAGACGAGATTTTAGGACAGAAAATCCAAAATGGCTGCCTTGACATTTACCCAGAATGCCCAAAAACTAATCAGTTCTAGATTTTCATACTAAGAATCATCCCTGAAATTTTGAAATTGATCTACCAAACGGTTCACCTAAAACGCATAGACAAGACTCTACGGGCAAGATTTAAGACGGAAAATCCAAAATGGCTGCCTTGACATTTATCCAGAATGCCGTAAAAATAATCAGATCTAGATCTTCATACTGAGAATCATCCCTGAAAATTTGAAATTGATCTACCAAACGGTTCACCTGAAAATGCGTAGACAAGACTTTACAGACAAGATTTTAAGACGGAAAATCCAAAATGGCTGCCTTGACATTTACCCAGAATGCCCAAAAACTAATCAGATCTAGATTCTCATACTAAGAATCATCCCTGAAAATTTGAAATTGATCTACCAAACGGTTCACCTGAAAACGCGTAGACAAGACTTTACAGACAAGATTTTAGGACGGAAAAATCCAAAATGGCCGACAATAAAAAAGTGATTATGAGTTTTTGCTGAAATCTTTTTACAAAATTATCACATATAACTACTGTTAACAATAACATAAGCTTTTACAACAAAGTACACCTGAAATTATTTATAAAGCTACTAAAAAGTTAAAGTATGAAAACTGAAAAACACCATTCAATATGATACAAAGTATTATAGTGCGCTAACTTTTCTTAAAACATTCAAAATGGCTGACATGGCTGAGCTAACAGGTCCAAAACCTAATCAGATCTAGAATGAAGTGAGCTGAACAAGATGTTAAAGTTTTAAAAGCAACTGTGAAGCCGTTTTTCTTAAAGTTTGCAGACAAGGATTTTAGCATTTGACTTCAAAATGGTTGACAGGAAGTAGGTATCGAGTAAATTTTTTTTCATCCACATCTGTATGCACTCATAAGTTATCCCTGAAAATTTGAAGGTGATATCTGTAGCGGTTTTGGAGAAAACTGCCGGACGTACGGACGGACAGACAGACGGACAGACAGACAGACGGACAGACAGACGGACGCGCCTAGGTCGACAATATGGCCCCACACTATGTGGTGGGGACATAATTAAAAGGCAACTAGACTCCACATACATACCACAATGATTTCATTTATTTCATTATGAATTAGACACCATTCGGGTACATCAGCATCAGAAAAGCTGTGACCACATTTTATTTTCAGGTAAACAAGTTGATTTAAAACACATTTATGATATAAGATTCATGATTTCTCTTTAGTGATTTAGCAACCTACTTTGACCAAAAAAACTAACTATGACATTGCTGCAATTTGCTAAAGCCATTAGCCCATTACCTGTAAAAGTACCATAAAGATATTCAAAATTAGCACAAAACCTGCATCATTGGAATGGGTGGAACCCAGTGCTCCTCTTTCTTATGACCTACTTTCCCATGACTTATTTAAATGTCCTTCATAGTGAGCCAGGGATAAAAATTCTTGAAACATAATTGATGCAAAATTGAGAATGTTGAATAAAAGATTCATCATGTGTTCTATGAAAATAAAGTTTGCTGAGGAAAATATTTATCAGATAGATAATGAAGATTCACAATGCACAATAATTTTGTAAAGCAGTTACCTGGAAATTTAAAACAGTTTCAGAAATAAAGGACTTCACAAACTTCCATGCAGATAATTCATTTTTGATTGGACTCGAGTCTGGAAACTAGAGTTTGAAATAAAGGCAAGATGAGACTTGATTGTTTAAACATTTGAAACATGAGACACTTCGGGGTTTCAGATAAGGCAGCCTCAAAGACAGTATAAGTTAAACAAAGGTGTGTCAAAATTAAGCAAATTTCCATGAAGGTCAAACCACATGTTTCACAAATGATTTCAAGGCAAAGATGTATTGATGAGAATGAAAACTACTCTATGTAACTAGAAATAACTTTCTTTTAAAGGACCACGGACGGTATCGCAACAGATTTCAGTCATATATTGGATTTTGGCTATTTTCTGAGGATTTGAACAGGTGCATGTTTTAGGCCAATGCATTAACTCCAGGACAAGCAGTCATAGAGATTATAAAATAATTTGGACTTTAAGACAGGGAAGGTGCAAACACCCCATCAACATGTTTTTCTGTAATGTTGTCCTGATTTCCAGCCCTTTCCACACCTGTTTTTCAATGTTTGTTGCATCGATCACTCTGTTGGCATGGTTAAGATCTTTAAATGAAAATATGATTCATGCAGGGGTTTTAAAGGGGTGAAAACAATGGATCACATGAGTTTTCCCTATGGGAAAATAACATGGGAAATACATGTACTGTTTTTCACTTTATCCCAAATAAATCTTATTTTAGAGGTTAACTGTGTCTCAAAGTGCAACATATTGGTGCATCAAACATTGAAAAAACATATGTGGAAAGGGCTGAAAATAAGGACAACATTTCAGAAAAACCTTCCCTGTCTCAAAGTTCAAATTATTTTATTACCTCTATGAGTGCTTGATCTGGAGTTAATGCATTGGCCTAACATATGCACCTGTTCAAATCCCCAATAAATAGCCGAAATCCAACACATGATGGTTTCATGGGCTTTCAACTAGAGTTGAAAGCCCATGACGGTTTGAAGACCAAATAAACACCTTTTGCTATATTATGCTATATTAGCATTGTGATGCTTGTATTAAAACATGCGCTGTATGAACACTTTATACTCAAATATTTTCATGATTTATCCCACATACCCCGAAACACGAGTAGCCATAGTGACCATATTTTTCATCAAAGTTAAGATGGTCAATAACATTGACTTGATTTTCGGTAAATTCAACAAATGTTGAATATTTATTTTTTCAAGCAAAAGTTTACAATTGAATGGCTACATGAATAGGTGCAGTGCACAGGGAAATATGTTAGGTCTTCTTGGATTTTTTTTGAACTGATGGAGTTCTTAGATAAAAGGTCTATTAAAAAGGCGCAGCGTCGCCAACGTGCTAATGCCAATGTTTTTGCTATAAATCAAGCAACAATGGTCTGCACGACATGTAATAAATATATAAGCGACATTTTTATATCACAAAATTCATTGCCGGTTTTTTAAAATAATTTTCCAAATGATAGATAAAAAATAATCGAAAATAATTAAAATTGAACGGAGGGGGAGGGGGAGTGAACGGAGGGGGGGGGAGTAAAATGTCTTTAAGGTGGAAGAAATTTCCACAAATTCGTGTACTTGAAAAATGAACTCACTTACTCAGTTACTTGATGTTACAACTCTAAAAAGTGAAAAATGGGGACATATGGATTTATTGGAAGTTTTCATATGTCTTATAGACAATTTACTCCCCCCCCCCCTCCATTCAATTTTAATAATTTTCGATTACTTTTTATATAACGTATGGTAACATGTTTTACAAAACCCAATAGTTTTGTGATAATTACTTCACCTACAAGTATTTATTACAGGTCGTGGAGACCCCTGTTGGTTGATTTATAGCAAAAACATTGGCATTTGCATGTTGGCAACGCTGCACTTTTTTAATAGATCTTTTATTTTAGAACTCCACAGTTAAAAAAAATCCAAAAAGACCTAACATATTCCCCTGTCCACTACGTCTATTCATTTAGCCATTCAATTGTAAACTTTCTCTTGAAAAAATAAATCTTCAAGATTTGTTGAATTCTCTACCGAAAATCAGCTAGATCTACTCCCCCCTCCGTTCATTTCTTCTGATCACCGGGCGTGATTCTTATTTGAGACTGTATTTAACACCTCCTGTGAAAATTTGAATGAAAAGGGCACAAAACTCTTAGTTTGAGAGGGATTTTCTCTAAACTAACAGTATCGATTGACCTGGAATTTGAAAACAATTATAGAGACTACTTTTCCATGTTTTTCCAACACGGTTACAGTAAGAGAGTTGGCACAATGGGGGAACTTTAGGGTACAATTTCTTCATAATTAGCCTTCTTTAATTCTAGATACCATATACCATATTTTCTAAAATACCATATACCATATTTTTTATATATATACGATAAATTTTGCCCCCTCTTATACAATATACAATAAATTTTCAGCCTCTTATACGATATACAATATCTCTATACACCCCCCCCCAACAATGTAGCAAGGACCCGATTGTTCAATTTATGGTAAATCATTCAGAGGGGCCGAGTGGAATGAGTATCTAGGCAGAATCACTTTTTGTCAATTAAACTTGTAAGCAAATCTAGAAGGACAGCAATGCACTCTATTTGAGAAAGTACATTTTCATTTAGGGCGTCGAACTTCTTTTTTTCAAATAAATTATAGTTTTGTGTGCAATTAACCTGTGGTGATTCATTCATACTTGGGAGTTTCAGCAATATGATATTTTTTCGAAATGAATATATATGTCACATTTGTCAGAGGTCACACATTTTATCATCCAAACCACAATCAAGCTTAGGTATACAAACATTTTTCGCCTAAAGTATGAAAGTATCCTCTCAAATAATATTGCACAGTAAAGTCTTTGTTCAGACTGTAACTTGGCTAATTTTTCGAAGTGACGGTCGTTTTGACGTCATTTCATAATCAGTCCAATCACATCTTGTTGAATCAGACCAACCTTAATATGATCAGTCCAAGCAAATGTCGTTGCCCCAGACCTACCTTAATTTGATCAGTCCAAGCAAATGTCGTTGATTGAGACCTACCTTAATTTTTCTCCATTGTCTAATCATCTCATCACATCAGTATAGAGCTGTTTCAAATCAAAACTAGAGAGCATCAAGATTGTATTATATTTCTTGTTATAAAAAGTCCTTCACAATCGTTAAAGAGGAATACCCAACCGCGCTTCATTCAAACGGTCTTGTTGACCTTATTTCGCTGTATCCTCATAAAACCGTGTCATATTTAAGAATATGCATACGTGCAGTAAATAAACATCACTCACCATTCATTTGAGCTCATTTGCATTGGAAGTTACCAAAGACAAAATAGCCCACGGGAGAGCCATGTTCGATGCAGGTGCAGATCGTTTGCATTGAATGGAATTCTTCTTAAGAGGGTAGAATTTCCCTTGTATGTTTATTTCTGTTCTTGCGATCCCTTATCTTTTATCATATGTAGATTTATACTTTTGTACTAGATGCTTTATAGTGTCAACTTATATGAACATTATTTCATAGAGTCCTACGCGTATTCTCACTCTCGTACTTGCAAAACATACTTGTTCAGTTATCCCGCCATACAGCGATTTCCCGCTTTGTGTTATATTCACATAAAAATGAGATAAAAAATCAAGTTCACGGTCTTATTTTTTATGGTGTATTAATATCATTTTAATATTGTACAGTCGTGTCGTGTTGATGTATGTATTGTATTTGAAGTATGAAAATTGCCATTTATCAAATACATACACCGAATTGCTATTATGAAAGCTAGTTATTATAGTACATTGCCCTTTTTGAACAAATGTTGTTTTTATTGACAACAAAGAGTAAAATAATCAATAAACCATTTTTTGCGGGTAGCCTGAGTGTGTACCTATAAATATTAACACCTAACTTGATTAATTAAAATTATTCCGTACACTGCCATTTTGTGTTGGATGTTTGACGAGTGTGATGCCATCTATTTAGAAAGCATATTCAAAATATTCAAAAATAAATTACTGTGCAATACTTTCCGCAGATGACTTTACGATACGGCTTTCACGATTGCATGTTTCATTGAAATAATGGCAAAATAGTGAATTGAAATAAATATCGCAAAATTAAAGTACAGGGTGGTAAAAACGGCAACCCTAGTTTTTCCTAATATCTTTGTCATTCTTAGAAATAACTCCCTGATATTTTACACAGTTGTACATCATCAAATTTCCTACCAACCTACTATATTTCATGACCATCGGACTGATAGTCATAATATTACTGCATTTTAAACAACATGCCCCAGATGGGCACGTGTGGGCTGTCTGAGCTGGTCTGTTATTCAAATGAACTCCATTTCCAACTTGATGCACTGGTAAACTTGGGAAGCCAATGCAAGCACTTGATGAAGTAGTGGAGAGGCACCTTCACACAGAAAGATGCACAGTTTAGAGTGTTCTCAGAAGATAGGGTAATTTACCTTTGATGATAACAACGGATATGCAATAACTGTCAACATCAAACTCTGTGATTCCTATGGAGTTCTTGGGGACTTTAGGTGAACCCAGGGGGGTTGATAGGCAGCAACAGTGGTTCCAACAAGACAGAACCATACCCCATACACCCAATGATGCACAATAATGGCTTTGGGACCATTTCAATGACCACATTATCAGCAGTACAACAGACAATGAATGGGCACCCCATAGCCCATATAAGGCCCAATTGAATCTTTACCAGTGGGGATACCCCCAAAGATAGAGTGTAGGGTGATAACACCAGAAAGACATTTGACCTCAAAATAAAGATCACGTGTGTCGTTCAGGCCATACTTGCTGAGGAATACAGTTATGTCAGTCACATGTTTGGAAGATGTGTGGAGGTTTGCCTACAGCACGATATTGGAAAACTGGGGCACCCTGTTTAAAGTGCTGTAACATTGCGACTATCAGTCCAATGTTCATGAAATAATACAGTCTAGTATAAAATTGAATGGTGTACACGTGTACCAAATATCAAAAATGACAAAGATATGAGGAAAAATTAGGGTTGCCGTTTTTTTACCATCCTGTATTTTATATTACAAGGTAAAACCATCACATCATAAAGATTTTGATAACCTTTTTGTGTATGTGGCCTAGCAGATGCGTCCCCATCTACAAAAACAATCTCCATCATCATGGCTTGCGCTTGAAACCTAGCTCTTTTCCACTTCTTTTGCATAGTTCATAGTTCTTCTTTTCTCAGAGTCTCATTTTCAGCGCCATAACAAAATGTCCAAGGATTGTTTCAAAAAGGGGGCGGGATGCAACGGTACAACCCTCTGCGGACACAAGAAAAGAACTGTTAATCAATTCGTTTAGATCTTGTTTTTATTTTAACGTTCTAACCCATAGCCTATTTACCAGTTTAACAGTGGTGACCCATAATGCATTTCGAAATCGTATGCTTGGCACCAAAATTCCTTAAAGGGACAAAGTGCGTAAATGAAGTCTCACTTTTGATCTTCATAGTATTTCCAATGGATTAATAAGTACCCGATCTTTCATTGGACACCAAAAAAGCTCAAACAGACCAAATCAGAGTTGACACAAGATCATGAAAAAATATTTTTGATCTATCAATTTATATATGTCAAGTTTTTAGCAATGACATAGAAAGATGGCATTGTTGTTTGCATTAATTATCCATTCATTTTTGATAGGATTTTCAAGCATACGCCATCTTTTAATCCAAGAGTTATTTAAAACATACACTTCGTGAAAAGTGGTAATTTTCTTTTTTCAATCTCTGAACTTCAAATGATGTTTTCTATAGCGAGTAATTTTTCTTTCAATTCAGTATTATCCCAAATTAAAGTTTTTGTCATATTTGATTGACTGCGTGAGTGACATGTCTCAAATAATATTTTGTCCCTTTTCCTTCAAAAATAGGCGCATTGCCTGTTTAATTTGGCTTTAAATATTCAAATTCACTACTTCATACAGGGACTTACATCCATAGTAAATATGACTGTATTTTCTATTTGTAGGGAAGGAGAAAGTAAATATTAAAGATGAATATTTCCACGTGGGATTTACTGAGGAACGGAAGTCAGAATGGGTGCATAGGCCTCTCATTGTGACGTGTATGGAATTGTGCGACGCATCGGTGGTCGAGTTCCTTATTCAATATGGCGCTGATCTTACAGTACAGTATGAAGGTAAATCAACAATAACGGATAACGATTTTCGGACTTCAATCGAAGATGACCCAAGATCTATTGTTTCCTTGTACATCATCTTCGGCCGTCTTGGTTCTCGATTGAAGGGGGAGGGGGATGATAGACACCATTTCTATTCACGTTTAACGGATATACAGGGCGTCCACAAAAAAAGTATACCCAAATTCAAAGCCAGGATACCAGAATTCTGAGCAATTTTTTAACAATTTAAAGGCTGCAGTATAAGGCCTAGTTTATTCTCCATCAAATGGTACCTAGACCATTATGTAACTGCCATGGATGACTGAGCAATCAAGACTTTTATGAAAGGTGGTAAAATCAGCGCTGTGCCAAGTTGGTATTCAAGTAGGATTGATACAATGAATGTTTTTTTGCGTTCAAAACATTATTAATGTTCAAATTCAAACTTGTTCCATGTTCTTCAACCTTTTTGCATAATTTTTCATAAATTTTTATTGCTACCTCCCTCGCGGGAGTCGGATCCTAAGAGAATCTTGAACAGCAATGAAACTTCTACTTGATGATATGCAGCCTTGAAGTCAATAATATCCCCCATTGAAGTCAATACACCCTTGATGAAATCCTCATTTTCTCAGAAGAACTCAAGTTGATTGAGTCTCAACAAGTAGATTCATGATAATGTAACAGAAAAAGAATACTAAGCCAACTAACCAACTAACTAACTAATCGATTGCCACACAGGAAGATAACTTGGCACAGTGCTAAATTTACCACCTATCAGAATGGTCATGATTGCTCAGTCATACATGACAGTTACATAATGATCTAGGTACCATTTGATGGAGGACAAGTAAGGCTTTTTGCTGTTGCCTATGTACTCCAAAAAGATTGCTCTGGATTCTAGTAATTTGGTTTTGAAGTTGGGTATACTTTTTTGTGGGCGCCCTGTATAATGGTCTGTTTTTGTTATGACAGGTTTACACTAGTCTTAGAGTTGGCTTTTCTTGCTAGGTCTCTACAGATTTTGGTCCTTTCCCTTTGGCATTTGTGCTTCGATATTCGTGTGAAACGAAAAAAAATTCCGAGAGGTCACGTCACGATTCCTACCCATCATAAGTTGATCAATTACAGCCAATCTTATCAATTTAGCCTAAATTTGTATCATCTACTTGTCAAATTGGAAAAAGTCAGCGTTAAATGTTTCATTATTTTTAGAATGTGCTCCCTGTGGTCCGGTGGCCTTCTGGGCGTATAGGGACGACATTGATAACTCCGTCTCCCTTGTTGTTGCCAATCAAGCTGATCCAGATTTGAGAGACGAATGTGGCTCCACAATGTTACACAAAGCTGTAATAAAGAAACAGTATGAAGGCAAGGCTGACATCATCCGGGTTCTTCTAGACCGTGGAATAAATCTCGCGGCACGTGACGGGGACGGGAATACACCACGTGATCTTCTAGATATTCACGATGTTGAAAATCGTGACGTTTTAAAACAGCTTATAGATGATTTTGTGCTGGACTTAGTATCTACTAATCAAATATACAATCTAGAAAATTTAATCCTAGAAGGATATGAACATATAAACGACATCGTACACACTCCGAAGAAAAAGAACGCAAAACCTCAAACCGGAAAGGAAATAGCTCTACTTAAGGAATACAAAGAGATCTCTCAGCTTTTAGATGAACTCGAGGAATACCAGGTATTATTATATCACTGTCTACTTTGCTACTGTATGATTGGTCAAAGCCTGGTCACGTGTCACTATTTAGGATAAGGTGACATTCATTACCCATGCACTATTCTCACTGGTAGATTCAGGGGGTGGGGCAAACCAATCAATCGTTGGCAACGTTTTTTTTATCCATTTTGGGCCCAATTTTTTTTATTCTAGTATATTTTTGCACTGCGAATTTTAAATGTCTTTATATAACTTATGATCTGTTTTAGGAGATGATCGCTAACCTACACAAGCATGCTAGAAAGGGTGATCTTCGCGCTGTATCCAAGACAGTTGGTGAAAAAAGGGCCTCCCTTGGCAAGGATAAAGGTGGTCGATCTCTGCTTCATATCGCTTGCATGTTCAACCATCCACCATTAGTCAAGTTTCTTGTTGAACAATTCCCACCGCTTCTACACTCGCGAGATACTGTAAGTCAAATGAGAAAACTTTTTTCGACGTTATATGTCTACGATATCAAAGTGTTTCACCTTGTTGAAAAAGTAATGCGTTACGAAGTCACACGACGTATAAAATGTTGAGTTTACACGTTAATATGGAGGTTGATTTTAAACATAACGAAAATCGGACTTTATGACAATAATTTCAATGAATAGGGATACCTTTAGCTACGTTACCCTACTATCACACCAAACTAGTTCTCACTACGTTCTCGAAAACGGGCTTTAACTGTGCACGAACTGATTTGACGTACTAAGAACCCACTAAGAACCGTTTGGGATCTGTTTACAAACTTCATGAAACTACTAGAACGAGTAGGTCCTCCAGAACTTAGAGCATGCTAAGATTTTTCTGGTGATCGTCAAAACGTTGCCGAATCGGTTTTAAACTGTGTGCGAACTGAATGAACGTAGCTACAACATTCTACGGTCTGTTTACGAACTTCATGGACTTTCCCGGACGGGGAATGTGATTTAGAATTTTGAATCGATTCAAAAGTCGATGGCGACCATACCGTTCTGTAATCAGGTCATGATGACCTTCTAGACTAAATGACGCGTTATACGACGTTGCACACCGACGTGGTGCGACCTGAACGAACTGTGAATAAGACTGTTTATGAACGAAGTAGCTAATTATTTTAGACATATTTCCCGACCTCAGCCTGTCAGCCAGATTGAGCCCGTTTTACGACGTTTTCGTAGGGCTGGCAAGAACGGGTAAGAACTAGTTTGGTGTGATAGGGGGGTAATTAGTGTTTTACCTGACTTATAACTTAGGCAAAAATGTGTTTTAATAGCTTTGATTTCATGTTATGTCACTGTTTCATCGTTCAACGTACGTTACCATTTCAAGTATCTTCGAACGCCACTACACTACTGCGTGACAGTAAGCGAGGGTGACAGACAGGAGAACTGGCAAACCCTCATTGCATTCAACGGCGACCAGAATTCCAAAGAAGTGGTATGTATTCTCAGGCTAAGGGCGATAGAAATAATTAAATAAAGATGGCAGGCCAGGGTAATTCATAATTCTCTTTGGAGTGCTACTGCCATCATTATATCAGCCCGAAAGAGTAGAAGCCTAGCGATCAACGTAATTTATTTTACGGAACCTTTGGAAATGCTTTAATTTGATACAATCAGGCTGCAAGACAGAGTGAATATATTGTCATGGTGATCGCTTTCTCCATGCATGACTTGCATCTCAGTGAATAGTTGAGATAAATGCAATTGAGTTGCCAAAGTAGCCATGACTTCGACCAATCGGAGTTTGATCTTCTATCGTAAGGCTGTAACTCAATAATATTCCGTGAGCATATGTACAAAGTTTTAAGAATATTGGTTTAGGAGCAGAGAGATGGCAATTTCTTAGATCTTACCTAAAGGTCACCCTGTATTGGTCAATAGGGAGGTTCAGCTACGTGTCCTAACTTGTACGTGTACGTGGACATGTAGATTTCATTATGGTCGCCTGGGGATTAGTTCCCTTTGTGGAATTCACTTGCCCATTTGAGTATAAAGGTATAAGGAAAAAACGTCTGAGTATGATCCTAGAAAAAACAATGACAAGGGGATAATAATCCGATGGGCATACATACATTACACGTTCGCGTACAAGTTCTCCTAAAAACGTGTAGCTTAACCTCCCTATAAATCCCTGAGGGTCGATATCTTTTTTGCACCCGGGTGGATCTAATTATACCTCGCCAATTTCATGAATGTACCTAAATCTTCTATTAACAATGTTCTTTAGAATGGCCTCTCAGTGTATGATTACACTCTGCTTCAAGAGGAACCTATCGAGACCAAAAGCAAAACCCGTGGTAGACGAGTTCATGACTTCAGAGTAAGTAAAGGTGGTCACTAGTATAGTCAAAAGCTAGCCATTTAGAAAACCATGGTTACCAAAATGGTAAATACTTGAAGGTATTAAAACATTAAAAGTGCAAAAATGAAAAAGGTAAAAGATTATTTACAAAACAAAGTTAGAATAAGAAGCACATAGAACAATGTTTTCATAGACGGATTGCTTCTATGGTCCAGTAATCTCTCCATGTACGTTTAATTCGTAAATTCAAACTTGTTCAAAATTTTTTCGTTCCAGCCGGATGGTCTATGCGAACGAGAGAAAGTAAAAATATATGGAGAGCTTGGCGAAAGGTACGGTACATACCGGAAGTTGGAAAATGCCATACGCAATGATCTCGCAGTTCCGGAAGTGGAGGCAATGTTAAAGCATTTCCATGGTGATATGACCAGAGATGATTTAGACATAAAACTTTTATTCCTTTGTGTTGATTGCAAAAGAACGGAGCTAGCGAAATTCTTCATCTCAGAAGGTTACAGGACGCATATACCAATGGAGGTAGGTTTGGCTAATTACAATTCACGATTCTTATATGTTGACATACATGTTCATGTAGGCAATGTCTAATATGGTTTGTACGAAAAAAATAAAATTACCAAATACTTTCTCTCGAAATATATAGACTGACAAGTTTGTCCTGTGCTGTCTATGGTTATATTTTTTAATTGAAAGGATTATATGTATTTGCAAATTTTTATATTCATATATTATATCTCAATTTTGTGTTTTATGAAAGTGCAATCGTAATGTTTGTGTAGTGCTACACAACGCTACATATTGTATTTTGTTGTAAATTACTCTTGGTTATGACTAACATTGCAGAGGCTCAATTTGAAGAGTACCAATGGGGTAAGACGTGTAATGTGAACCTAGATAGATTTCAAAAAACACCCCGTTGGGTTTTTTATTTGTTTATTGTCTAGCTTGCTACAAACCTCTCTGGAAAAATGGAAAATCATTTTTGCAGAATCGGGAATTTGTGGCAAGACATTCTATGTATGAAATGGTATTTCTTTTTGTCTTGTAGCCCAATATATATTCTAATAGTTATTATTCAAAGCATGCGCTGTCGTTTTCTTTCTACCTTTTCGGTACTGTCAATTTATGTTACTATATCCATGTTTCACTTTTTGCATGTTACCCTTTGTTCATTTCTCAAAACATTCTTTACAACAGGAATTTCAAATTCTGGTTTTATAATGACGCCATGGTCTCCATGGTTACAACAGTGGAATTCGGAATTGCTTTGATATGAATGAAATGAGAAGTATTAAGCTTTTTGATTTTATTTATACTAGAATCATTAAAGTAGTCAGGTTTAGCCAGACAAATGTTAAAATATCTTGGTCATTAGACTACAATCGGGGGTTATACGTAAATATAAGAAGTATAATCTATAAGCAATTATATAATTGGATAGATAAGAATTCACTTGTTTTACAATTCTGATTTCATGCACAATTAAACGCAAGGTGTTTCGTTAATTTTAATTTTAAAAAATTGCTTGTAGGTCTTGAAACCAGTTCTCGGTGAAGATGGTGAGGATTCTGAAGAACAACAGAAAACAATTACAATAACGCTGCTAGAGAGTGCCAAATTACAGGACATGCCTGAACTTGTCCAGCTCATCGAAGGATCGTCTGCTAACAGCAGGGCGCCCTCTGTCGTAGATACAGTAGAAACTGATACGCATGCGCAAGATGACAAATCTGAAGTAAAATCTGAATCGGGAATTCAGGCTTAGATTCGAGTTTAAAATCAGTCATTGAAGGAAGTCCGTCCCCTCCAGGAATTTTACGTTCCACAACAAAGAACTATTTTGGCAGTATTTTTTATGTTTTTCTGTGATATCTTTGATTACATCATGATTTTGAAGTGTGACAAGTTACGATGAGAACTTTGTTTTTATAGTTAGTTACATTGTACATACTAGTAAAATAATATTTTTGAGATTTAAAAAAATGTTTTAAATTGTGTACAAATGATAAAACTGCGAGGAATTGTGCCTGGTGAATAATACAAATAAAATAAAATACCTAAATGTACTAGTTTGTTTTCAAAACTAAGATTTGATTTTATAGATACCTATTTATATTTTTTAATCTCCAAGTGATGCGATATAAGTTGCTGATCGTGCATGTGTATTGCAACGTCTGCAGGGAGAATGAACGATATTTTTCAACAAAGCTAACGTCATTTTTCTATTTACCTGGGCCCCGTTTTTGTACCGTTCGTAGTAACGAACGTTCGTAAGTCGATTGTTTAATTTGCGAATTTCGCAAAGTTGCATTTTCGTAAGATTCGTAAAGTTACGAACGATTCGTAAATTTACGAAAATAGTGACGTCATGCCTGTTTTCGTTCGTAGATTTAATATCACCTCTGACCCTTTCGTAACTTTGCGAACGGCCTCTTATTTATTCATTTATATTGTGATTTGTGACGTTTTGTCATTCTAAATTAGAGAACACAAAGGGCAACACCGTTATCAACGTATTATCAACCTATTTCTATATCTATTTTAGTACTTTTCATGGAATCTTTATTTTTATAAAGTTCTTATTGTATGACTTTGGTTTTATTATTTTGATCAACCCTGTTTGTTGTACTATCTGTCCTGACAACTGTTGAATATGACGTCAACCAATTCGTAAATCTTACTCTAAACAATTGGAAAGTTACGAATGACTTACGAAAGCGTACAAAAATGATCCATTCGCAACTTTACGAATTCGTAACTCATTCGTAACTTTTTAAATATTTACGAATTTACGAATTGCGAACGTTCGTTACTACGAACGGTACAAAAACGGACTCCAGGCTATTAGTAATTCACAATCAGCAGTCAAAAGATTTGAACTCATGGCCACTTATTAAAGCCACTAATTTCTTGATCACTTCTCGTGTGTTTTGAATTTTTTGTTTGGTTATAACCAAAACTTGCAATTCAAACTTTGAAATGAGAATTGCTGACGCTAGCTTTGTTAAAAATATCGAGTTTGAATGGAATCCAATCCCGGGGATCTAATCCGCCTTGGTCTGAATGTTGTGCTGTTGCAAAAGTCTATCCGGCTAGCTAAATATTTAATAAAAAATAATCACATTATCATTTGATTGGCTGGATGCATTTCGGGCTATGGAATGCGAGAATGAAGTTTCAGTGAGAATCTACGACTAGACAGATGCGATTGTAAAAATGCAGGTTACTCCACTGAGAAGTACAACACCATGGTCACACGAAAAACACTACAAAGGCACGAATGGAAAAAAGTTCATAAACCACCAATTGAAACATATGTCTCTGGTTTAAACTAAGACTAGAAAATTCCATTTAGAGAGCGGTAGAAAAAGCAAGACTACATGTAGATAATTCAGATGGAAGATATGATGGGACAATTTCACAGATAAATGCTCTAATGTAATCCAATGGGAAAATATTGAAATCTTTGGATTGATTTTGAAAAAACGAGGATTTTCGGTACATAACCCCATATACCACGGGATAGCTCCATATGTGCCCTTTCAAATCAAAAAAAAATTTGCAGAGAACACCCATTGAGAAAAAAAGATATGACCGCTTTTTCCGCCATCTATCCGAATTTTAAACAATTTTCAATAGATTTCAAACTCAAGACCACCGTCACAAAAAGTCAAATATTTGAAGTGAACCGAATCATTTCGTCATACTTTTGGTAAAATTATATACACACAAGATAAAGAAAATAAAATATAAAATCTGTACATTTTCACTAGTGATTGCACTAATAAATCTTGATTTCAATCCACCATCATCCCGATTTTAAATTTAGATTTTTTGTCTACCTTTTCACTAGCGCCATCTGTGGAGTTATCCCGATCCGTTGACGATCTTTGTTTTTTCTTCCGCTCTCTATAAGGAAGGCAATTCCGGAGCTATCAACTTATGCTTGTCTGCTGGTCTTGAGTGTACTATCCTTACTCAGTTAGTTTATTTCGTGGTATGAGTAAAGTAGTTTTATTCAAAACCTGTTTAGGGACTTCAATGGTATACTACAGCACCATCTTTGGACAGAATACTCTAATTTGAAGGCATATATAATGCTCAGAATAACTGGGAAACATGTGATCATAACAGTGAACGTAAAAATGAACAGTGGAATCTTTGGGATTATTTTATGCGGATGGATGACCTTGGTAGTGGTGAATTGGTCAATGTACATAAATATGATGGCGTTTTGTTACTCCAACCTATGTTAGAGAGTAGAACTTTCTATTTTCGTGAGATATTTTTGTTGAAAATTTCTTGACATGAAGGTGAGATGTTTTGCTGTATTTCTCTGATTTTATTTGAAAATCGATGGGCTGCAATTTGAGAAACTTAACGTCAATAGATAAATCAAATCATTAAAAACGAGGAAAAATGTCTTGGCTTTTACCTTTCTGGGAAACTATATGTTTTTTGAAAAAAAAAACTTTTTCTTACTCTTTTTATCGTTCGTTTACAGTGTCTATAACAATATTATTGCATACTGGGTGTTCCAAAAGTAACGGGACTGGTGCTGGTATTTTGTTAAACATGCACCAATTGTCTTCAAAATTGTACATGATGTACTTTCATGTATTGTTACTAGAGTAGAATTGCAAAGTTTTGACAAAAAGTATGAAACTCAGGTAGAGTTATGGTTGCCATGGTAACATGACATCACGATACCCGGGACAACAGTCCATGCAGAAAGTTTTATGTTTTGTACATTCCATATCAAAGTTGAAATGCAACAACTGGACGTGGGAATTACATTTGCATTATATAATTTGATATTCTTATGTATCACGGTGTATAACCCAAACGCTCCTACATGCACGACGGAGCGTTTCATTACTGAAATTAAACAAAGAAACGCTCCGGAGTAGGAAAACTGACTTGGCGGGAATGATGAGCCGTCTGACGATTTCCCCAATAATGGGAATAAGAGGTATGAGTTACATATTTCGAGTACACCATTCGATGGGTGTGATATTCATGTTGTACTTGGCTGGCTGTTGACGTTTGAAGCAATTAGGAAGAGCTGTACGAAGCAGTATAGTTATCAAAATTCAAAAACGTATTTGTCATTCTAACGGTCAAAACCCCTTTTGTCGATACATGTGATTAGTTGAGCTAAGATTAGAGCACCAACGTATAGTTTAGTCAAATTCCAATGCTTCAACGCACCATACATTATCGTAATAGTGATTTGATGACCGAAAATCCAGTCTTAAAAATGATGACATTCTCATATTCAAGAAACGCTCCGATCTGGTTAACACAGTGAACCGGAAACGCTCCGGTAGTCTAGATCAGTTTAGGAAATATATAGCTTGCCTTTTCTTTTCAGGAAGAGAAAGAAAAGATCTATTATACCCCTTGGTATCAATATAAGAAAGATTAATTCACATATAAATTTTCGTTTTTTTCTGTAGTTTTATGATTTAGCACATATGTAGGCATGACATCATCTAATGTAGGCTTAAATCAGCTAGTTGCACGTTTAGCACCACCAGGTTCAGATGTTTCAATTTGCCTAACAAGTACAACACGTTTTTGAGAACAACACTCTTCTCTAATAATCTGAAAATTATATCAAAACAAAATGGTAAGAGCGTTTCTAAAATTGTGTTCTAAATCGACGGAGCGTTTCGAGGAAAACAAGCGATTTCTCGAGAACAAGTAATGGATTTGGACTGGGATTTTAGGAAATGAGAATATACGAGTTTGTGATCTACTACTTTAACAGAAAGATTAACGTTTTCATAAAAATACTAGTTTAATTCGTAATTTGTGGTCAAATCGTCATCTTCAGATTCGTTCGATCTACACTACGGAGCTTTGATCAGGCAAATAACAGTTTACGACCAGAAGTTGAATAAATCAGATCTTTGCTCACGGTATTGTTCATCGAATGGTACATAATATTTCACCATAACATATTATATGTAAGAGAAACGAGAGGAACAATACTTACGGTCATAGTGGAATCTTCATTATCCGCCATTTTATTTCGCTCCGGAGCGTTTCCGCGTAAATGAAACGCTCCATCGTGCATGTAGGAGCGTTTGGGTTATACACCGTGTGTATCCTCTACTTTGAAAAGTAGCCTCCTCTTTGATCATGCAGTAGCACTCTGTATCCATGACACAAACACATTAGTGAACTCAATAGTCCTATTCGCGATAAGAGTTCAGGTGGTAATTTCCATAAATATTTCCCATGGTGCATCGCTTTGAAAGGGACAAATATTTATTGGCCCGCCGAACTAGTCAAATAATCTGAACGTTTCTCAGCTTCTGATCTTCCATCAGCCCTCAAGTATAGTTATATGATCCAATCTATTGAATACTAGTAATCAGAAAGATAATCGGAGATTCAAAGTATTTCAACTACAGATTTCTTCGGATTTGGGGATTACGGTTCAAAAAGCCTTGTTATATATCTTAATTACATTACATACCTATCATTTGTGCAAATGCAACTCTTCATAAATGTTTAATAGAGTCGCAGTGCGGCATTGAAAAAAGCACCCCTGTGTAATCAAATGGGAAAGAACCCGGGTGTACACGAAGTTGTACCATACATGAGAGCTCTTCAAATGGGAGGTAACTAAACTGAACTAAACTAAACGTTATCGCGTATTGGTATATTGAATATTGAAGACATGTCCCGCAGTGTCGATTGGACAACTTTGAGAAGGTCATTCTCATATTTAAAGGTCTTACCGCGCTGTAGCATTCCATGCTCCATGTAAGTGAAAAATTAGATATTGCCTGATCAAGAGTATGCTGCATGGTCTTAGACATCAAGACCTACTACCTCCTCTATAGCTGCAGTGGTCTTTAATGCTGACTTGATGGGAGGCATGTCATCAAGTGGATGACTGACTTTAAATTGGGTCTTTTCGAGAACTCAACCGTGAATTGTGCAGACCGTTGATATTCCAGGAAATTGAATAAATATTATCATTAAAAAATCATATTTGAATCTTAGTTGTATAGCAACACCATAGCCAAAAAAAAAATAAATAAAACAAACAAAAATTTTGTATTATAATAGGTGAATCAGATACTTTCTTCAGTAACACAAAAATGTTAGATATCACATTTTCATGAAAAGGTTGTCCCGTGTATTGTGATGTCATGTTACTATAGTAACCATAACTCTACCCGCATTTTTTCATTTTTTCTGAAACTTTACAATTTTACTCACAATATTTTAAAGTACAATTTGTGAAAATTTGAAAACACTTGGTGCAGAATTGACAAAATGCCAGCACTAGTCCTGTTATTTTTGGAACACCCTGTAAACACCTATGAAACATAGAAATGGCTTGTCAGGAACAGTTTGAAATTTTCAGTCTTGAACATTTTTCTCAATTTTCCTGTGAATTTTACATTTGACTTATTCAATTATCATCCCTCGAACGGAAAGAGAATGAATGTTGTTTGAAGCCCTGCGTATGGAGGGTATCATTGCCTTGTAAAGTACGCATGATAAATAACATGAATGGTGACTAAAATGGCTTTAAATAGCGATATAGCATATAAATATCGATATAAATCGCAATATTAGAAAAAGCTGGTTTATATGAATTATAATACATGTACAGCAGCAGGGCTGTATAATACGTTTAATTATTAACCAGGGTAGTTAGCTATGAATTTAGAAGTACTTAGGACCATAGTTTATGAACGTTTATGGATACTAGACCTAGGTATACAGGCAACCTTTGAGACTGTACCATCGGACGATCACACCGAGCTATAGAGGTTTTACTACAACGTACGCAGGATATATTTTATTATCCTGTTAACAGGTGAGTACACTGCATATTAAATGTCTATTCCAATGTTTTATTTCCGTCATTAAACCGGTCCGTAGGCACAAACATGTTTTAATGTCTCTGAATAAAGTGGATATGCTATTTACGAGTAATGCATAGCATTCAATTTCACTCATATTTTATGATCGGATTTTTATTGAATGAAGACTTGTTCGTTATTATTCCAATTCACACTGCTTGAACATTTACCTTTTATATTAATATTGCGGTGCAATATTCTCATATAAACATTTCAACATTACACTAGAACTTTCGACTGAGATAAAATATATTATTGCATCTTCTTCAAAGTCACGTGGGATGCAATTGCTTCATCCAAAACCTGCATCATCTTCCAATTTTAAATATGACATCAATTCTGAATGATACATAAAATAGTCGATAGATTATTATAGAGGTTCGTTATCAAATACAAGTTAAATTCTGCCAGCATCTATGTAAGGTAGGGTATGTTATTTTATTTAGAATTTCATTTTATTTTCATTCCATGATGGTTTTTGTAACATCTCAGTTATTTTTTTTTGTGTATGAAGAACTATTCCATGTGTGCAGGTTTTACATCAAATGCTATATATACAAAATAAACTCAGATGTAGAACATGAGACCAATATTGATTGCAAATAGTATTAGACAGCATTTGAAAAAACAACAAATATAAACATCATCCTCAGCACCATGAAGTACTCTTGGAAGCCCCCCCCCCGAGAGCGCATGCAACTAACGATATTGAAATTCATAATACGTATTCAGTTATTTGAAATCCAATTGATTAAGTTTAACATCTAATCCAATATATCCAAAACAAACTCAGATGCAGAACAGAGACCAATATTAGTTATTTGTATATGCTTCTGCATTTAGATCAGAAACTCATGATCATTGGAAAAACTAATAAAGGTTATCATTTGCATTCGACTAAAGTACATCGTTCAATTAGTCTGAATTCATATCTACATGTAAGTATATATCAATAAATAATACAATTGATTTTTCTAAATCACGTGTCATTTCTCCTATTTCAGGGTGAATATCTGGGTATATAGCAATACTAAGATAAAAAAAAGTTCATGTGAGGCAATATATAGAGATATAAAATCATGGCTGATCCCGATGCTGACTATGTTTGTTCACTGGACGAAAAGAGTCTTAAGGTTGCAAAAGAAGAATTGTGTGAAGACCCGGATGAACGGCTTAGTCAGGTGAAACAGCTCAGAGCTTGGATAGAGACACAACCTCATCTAAAATGTAAAACAGGTACATTGACTCCTGGTGTCAAAGAATATTTCTAGTATATAGAACCCGTAATTCAATCTTTACCCTTGACCTTAGTCCACAGGCCCGTAGCCAGGGGGGGGTCGCAGAGTCCGGGCGAACCCCCCCCCCTGGCCAAAAATTCTTTCAAAATCATGCAGTTTTTCACCATTTTGAGCACTTGTCAAGTGATTTTAGCCCAATTGGGCCAAAATTGTCAAATGTGAACCCCCCCCCCCTGGAAATTTTTGAAAATCCTGGCTACGGGCCTGGTCCATCCAACTCTGATGTCCGTAGTATAAGACCAGTAACACAGTCCCCTGACATCAATCCGACTCCTTTTATATTCAGACAGGTGCAAAGCATGTGAAAATAAATACAGGGTGACACAAAAAATGACACCCACCTTACGTTAAGCCTACATAAATTGTTTGTTTTTGGCTTGTACTTTCAGGGAAATGAAGTCCATTCAATCAAACACAAAATAATGTAGTTGTCATTGATAACATAATTATAACTTATTTTTAAAATTATGTTTCAAAAGATGGGTGTCATTTTTTGTGGAAGATCCAGTTGTGCCAGCAAAGGAATAGACACATTTTGTAACGCTTATATGTGGGCTTCTAGGTGAGCAGCACTAGTCACCTGAAACTGCTCGAGGAGTTGCAAAATGGAATGTAGTTTTATAATGCGAAAAAACAAGTCTGAATTTCTTCAGACAAAAAAGTTATGAAACATTGTGTGAGTGGGTGTCATTTTTATTGTGTTAAGCGGGTATTAAATATGTGTATTTTGCGGGCAGCTTCTATATTGTCAGTCATCATGTACATTTCCTATTATTTTTAGATACCATTTTCCTGCTAAACTTCCTAAGAAGATATCGCTTCAGTCAGCTAGAGACAAGAAAAATGCTTGACTACTTCCTAACGATTCTTACGGAGATGCCCGAATGGTTCCGAGATTTAGACCCCTTAGAACCACATATAGAAAAGGCTTACTGGACTGGGTAGGTTTCACCTCTGTTATGAGCTGAGCCCCGGTGTAAACCTTAAAGGGTAGGAGGTCCTATCAAATTATGGTCCTGCTCTCCATTGATTTATATGGTGACCTAAATACACATCTTTCCCTCATTATCTTATACACAATCAGGGCCAGAAAGGGCCTTTAAAAGGGGGGACCATAATCCCTGGGGGACCATAATTTCTTTCACAACGGGAATATGTGGTATTGAAATCATGCTTGTTGAGCTATCATTCGCCCGTCGGTCAAAATATTAACAATGGGGGGCCCCCAACAATTTTTGTACAAAAGTCGATTTTTAAACATTTTATTTCTAATTCCCTGACCTTGATGAGTTAATTATGGTATATTAAAGTATATTTGATCGTTAATTTACAAATCCTGGTAACTTGACTCTAAAGAATGGTCAAGTAACAATGAAATAATTACGAACAAAAATATTATTGGACCAACTAGTTTTGAAGTCCAACGCTCATTTCATTCACTCAGGGCGTTCACGATTAGTAGCTGGTGATCCAGAAGCTATCAAGGGTGAGGGGCACATTTAAAGTCAAATCCTAGGCAAATTTTTAATAATTCGGCCTGAAAAAGCCCATGCCCCGCTGTATATATCCGCCAGTGTATATTCGTTTATTCGTTCAGCCTTATTTAACCTCATCATAAATGTATTAAGTCCACTACCATGAAAACCACAATTTTGATGATTGATTTTAAGAGTGACAGTACCTTATCAGACGGCCTTCATATCATTCTAGACACCTTGTTCCTTTGCCCCAACGGGACGATAAAGGCAGGCGCGTTGTGCTAATGCGTCCTGGAGTCATCGATCCAAACACTAAGGAATTCACCGGGATGCATGTGTCAAAGGACAACAATTGCATTTTTGGTGTACTACAGGGGGAGGAAATGACTCAAGTAAATGGGATGATATTTGTGATTGACTATACTGGTATGACAACTAAACACATGTCATTTTATGGGATGGATCAGGCCAGAAAAATGTCAAAATTCATGGTAAGTTTAATAAAAGACAGATTCATTTTGTGTACGTTAGATGTAGTGTGCACCAACTTGATATTGTGTGTTTTTAAAGCATCAGATGCATTTGAATGTGTCTCAATGATACTGTGGTTCTTTGTGGTATTGTAGAGACTGATTATCATCTTATTTTATCATGTTAAATTGAAACATAGAACCAAGTCCCTGATGTGAAAAAGTCACTCCACCTTTACAGGAATCGAACCCAGAAACTTCCGATTAGATAAAGAGTCTTGTATTTTAGGACAAATTCCCCGGGAGGTTTAAGGAGATGCACTACTACAACACCGGATCGGTGTTTGAGGCAGTTATGGGAGTAATGAAGCCATTCCTGTCTCAAAAGATAAAGGATAGGGTACGTATGCATAAATCATAGAACTATTGACCTCTCTAGATGTATATTGAAAGCCCATGGAGGAAACGGTCTTGATTTTCCTTATTAGATACTCAAAATTTTGTCAAATATTTGAAATCTACATATAGAATTAGATCAAAAATGTGTTCATGCGTTCAAATAGTAATAGTAGTAAATAGTAATAGTTCTTAAGTTTGTGACACCCCCCCCCCCTCTTTCCTCTCTCTCTCTCTCTCTCTCTCACTGTCTTTATTCAACCAAAGATGAGTACTTTTCAGTTCGGCCGGGGTATTCATTATACTATATACAGGCTTGTCTTTGTTGTAGATGATAATGCATGGTAACAATCTTGAGAGTTTATACAAGAAAATTCCCCTGCATCTTCTCCCGGAGGAGTATCTCCCTGATGACTACACTGGACCAAATGCAGGCAGTGTAAAAACTATACTCGGTAAGGAAAAGTCCCGGGGAAAAGTAACCAGGATTCAATTGATAGGATTTGATTAACGCAGAAATACATGTATGTCGGTATTCAATTTCCAGTTCCAGTTTTTTTACCTTCCACTTATCAAGTGACGCGTCTATCGTGGTCTTTTCTGGTTAGTTTTTCAGCTTTCTACAATCTAGGAATATCACAGGCATCGGAACAGCGACGTTCTGAAAAGAAATTACCTCCCGCACCACACTCTATGTAAAATACTTGGTACAGGTACATAGAATGTGAGGGGTAATTCTATATATTTCGATGCCCGTGAGGAACATAATTCATCTTACACCTAATTTAATGTATTATCATATTGATAACCATAAATGCTTAACTATGTATTTAAAGTATTACATATTTTTCAGAGGACTTTAGGAAGCGCATGATCGAGCCAAAATTCAGAAATGGTCTGATAGAGGGTTCTACAGAATATGGCTACGTTGATGAGAGATTACGACCCAAAGTTGAAGAGGTGCAGGCAACTTTCAGAAAGCTAAATGTGGACTAAAATACACTAGACGAAAAAACTCTTGCAAGTCTGGAATCTTGGTTTGTTCTTTGGATGCATTCTCAAAATTCATTTCGTTCGTTGCGTACCTTCACTACCTGTAAGGCACAGGAGGTACTGATTGCACTGGACGAAAGGCTCGGAGATTGCTTTGGATGTACACTTGTGGTCTACTTTTTTCAATAGGGAACGTGTACAATTATGGTTAAGGCTAAGTTCTCCCCTTCATGTTATAAATTGCGCGATTGAGTATAAAGATATTAAAGAAATTGTGGAAATGAAGTCCCTGGAAATAACAGTTGAACTATGTAACGCTTGATATCTTATCAAACGATGCAGTGATTTTTTAACAAATGTGGACATGTACAAATTGTACATTCATTTCATCAAGCAATTTGAAATTTTTGTAACTGTTTTTCCCAAAACAAGGGATACAGATTGAAGATTCTTGAAAAATAGACGTGACAATATCAGAAAAAACATCTGAGCCAAATATGGCTTTATCAGCTCAGATTCTGCTTTAGTGATATATGTGTGCGATCGAGGCATAAGCATGCCAAAAAAGTTTTCTTTCAAGATTTGTTATGACTTTTACAATAACTGATGCAACTTCCTTCAAAATTGAGCTAGACGCTTCAAATAAAAAGCATTTCAAAGCTCCTTTCTTCCTCTATCTCATGGTTTTATTTTAATTGGTTATGGGGGGTGCCATCGCACCCCTCTGGCTACGCCTATGGCCTGTCAATTAAAACATGCTTTTGCTTGAGACCCAGACAAAATGACAAACGTTGCAATATGTGCATATTTTATATATAATTTATTACTAGTTAAATGTACAAATATTCGAACATTGCAAAAATTAGTTATAAATATAAAAAGCTGACACTTTTCCATGTGAAATATATATGTGGCCTTCTTTAGTCTACTACTTTGGAAAATAACATGTTTTGAACCTAAAAATCATCAGCCTACAGTGCAGTAGACTACTGCAAGAATACAAATAATACAAATACACTAATACAAAATATTACACCTGATAAAAGGAGTAACAACTACATAATGGAAGCATGATTTCTACACATTTTTGGTGCACTAAAATAACCCAAAATTTTCCACTGTTTCTGAATTTAAGACTAACAGTTGACTTTTGACAGATCTTCATAATGTACATTATATTATGGTATTTATGCAAAACAATTTAATTCATAAATAATTTAAAGTAACATGTTGAGAGTACATTTCTAGTTTTGCAGATCATGATCATTACTACCAGACTTAGAATTTTCAACATTAATTAACTAGATAACAGCAACTCCGCGGAGTAGCAAATCCCAACGAACAAAATATCAATTACCGAATTCCAATCACTAATACTCATTACTTTGGTTATAATTGAAAAAATTAGATTTTAGAATTGCGAATTCCTGCAAAGCAGCCATTTTGAATTTTCAGAGATACAAATCTGAAAAATAATACCATAATTGTGACCTACTCCAAAATTCCTTCAATTTGAGTATAATATAGCCATACTTTGAAGGGATCGAAAAATTATTGCGAAATCGTACATTAGACGGCCATTTTGAATTTTACAAGGCTCGAATCAGAAAAAAAGATACAATATCTGCAATCTACTCTTAATTGCCTTTCATTTGAGTATAATAAAGCTATACTTCAGAAAGATCTAAAAATTAGGGAAAATTTCTGTTTTCCTGTCCCCCCATACACGGCCCCTGGGGGTCAGGATGAAAAACACAGAATATATGTGAAATGGATAAATGTTGTGAATATACTACCAAAATTTCAAACAATAATATTAATTACTTTGGCTTAGAATGAAAAATTTATGATTTTTGCATAAAACTATTCACCAATATACATCTTTCCACTAAATATGAAGAAAATCCATTTACTAGTATTTGAGTTATCTTCCGGACAGACGGACGGACTGACTGACGGACTGACGGACGGACGGAGGGCTTCACTATATCCCTACCGAACATCGTTCGTTAGGATAATTATCCCATCGAACAAAGTTCGGAGGGATATAGGGAACGCCTCCGTCCGTCCGTCCGGGCAATAACTCAAATACCGTTGGCCCAATTTTGTTCATATTTTGTACACATCTACCCTTTAAAGTTCTGCTCGAAAGCCGATTTTCAAAATTTTAGTGCCGATTTTACAGTAATTTAGGTGCAATATGTAAAACTGTAATAGCAATATGTTTTAAATGTAAAAAAATTATATAGGACTTTGATAAAGCTAAAAATGTAGATATTAAAGAAGCACATGGCAGCCATCTTGAAAAATGGCGGCCTTTACTCGTAATTTACGATTTTTGCTGTAACTCAAGAAGTAGTGGATCGATTTTGTTCATATTTGGTATGTGAATACTATAAGCATGGCACACTGTCTAATGAAACTTTTGGTAGAAGGCAGCCATTTTGAAAAATGGTAGCCATTTTAACTTATTTTCCTATAACTCGAAAAGTAGTGGAGCGATTTTGTTCATATTTGGTATGTGAATACTATAAGTATGGTACCCTGTCTAATGACACTTTTGGTAGGAGGCGGCCATTTTGAAAAATGGCCGCCATTTAAACATAATTTATTCGGCCTTTACTCGCTATTTAACGATTTTTGCTGTAACTTGAAAAGTAGTGGAGTGATTTTGTTCATATTTGGTATGTGAATACTATAAGCATGGCACACTGTTTAATGACACTTTTGGTAGAAGGTGGCCATTTTGAAAAATGGCCACCATTTTGAAGTATTTTACCATTACTCGAAAAGTAGTGGAGCGATTTTGTTCATATTTGGTATGTGAATACTATAAGCATGGCACACTGTTTAATGACACTTTTGGTAGAAGGTGGCCATTTTGAAAAATGGCCACCATTTTGAAGTATTTTACCATTACTCGAAAAGTAGTGGAGCGATTTTGTTCATATTTGGTATGTGAATACTATAAAAAAACACATATTACTTCTTCTGATGACAACTTGGCTAGTGAGCAACCATTTTGAAAATGGTGGCCTTTCTTATGTGTGTTATTTTATGATATTTGCTATATATTTTGTTTGTAAAAATGCCAGTCATTTCTGTTCGATGGGATTCGCTACGCTTTGGCGTTGCCGTTGTTCTGGTTTGACCATTGATAGTAAGGAAGAATAAGTCATGCATTAAATTGTAGAAATCAGACATTGGAATTAAAATCCATGTGCTGCAACCGAATTAAACATTTATTTCCATCATTAACCCCTTCAAATTATGATAATATTTAAGAGGTATCTTCTCTAACCTATCAACTATTAAAAAATGTGCAAATATTGAACAGTGAAAGCAAAATTAGAGAAGAGATGTACAATTTACTAACTTCAACATATGAATATTAGTAAACATTGGTTTTATCCATATAACATTAGCTGATTCCCAGGAGTACACAGGTAAATTGTACACCTCCGAGTGAACAATTACTACGTATATGCAGCGTTATGAAAACATATAGGATTCTGCAGATTGTGATTGTAATCACAATTTGAATGATAAAAGCACATAAGGCAACATTCAAAAAGCAAAACAACACAATCCCCTACAAACCATATGAACCGTACAAAACCAATAAAAGCAGGATTGAAAGTGGAAGGCTATCTGTAGGAAATAATCGATAAAATGTTCAAATGATTCAGGAGAACATGACTTACACACGATTCACAAATCAGATATGTTATATCCAACTATTACAAATACAAGTACAGTGCAACCTCAACCTGTGTAATCAAAACACCACTGCGACAGACCAAGAATTTGGATTGGTAGGTGTTCAAATTCAGAGTTATTTTAACATGGAAGTCTATGGCAGATAAAAATGGGACTGAAGAATTCTTGACACTATGAGGTGTTCGAATTGGTGAGGTGTTTGAATATATAAACAGGTTTTACTGTTCCACTGGGGGGTCCAGGGGGAGGGGCCCCAAAAAGATTTTGGACCCCAAAATTTCGTTGGGCCTCAAATGGGCCTTTATGGGCAAAACTTGGCCTTTTTGGGCCTTTTTAGCCAAATTATCAAAATTGGGCCTCAAATTTTCAAAATTTGGGCCTTAATTATTGGTTTTAGGGGCCCAATTTTATTTCCATGCAAGCACGGAAAATTTCTTGTAGAACTTGAAATCTGCCCCCCCCCCTTGCTAGTTCCTGGATCCACCAGTGTATACTGTACACAGGTACTACTTTCTACATGTATTATATACAGACAGACATAGAAGATATGCATGTTTCTTTACAGTGGAAGTTCTGTGACAGAAACACAGTCTAGTGTAAAGCCCAAATATAAACAGAACCACTTTGTCAATTGATCCTCAATTTGAGGCATTTGTGGATTTATGCGCTGAACTGTACATAGATTTTGCGGGCATTGTGATGCACTGTACATATATTTTGGTTGCCCTAGACTGTACATACATCTTGAGGGCTTTGTGATGCATTACACATTTTGTGTGCTTTGAACTGCACTGTACATTCATTTAGTGGGCTTTTTGATGCACTGTACATATTTTGTGAGCTTTGTGCTATGCTGTACATACATTTATAACGTGCCGAGTTATCTCTAGTCCTCTATAGCAACTCGGCTTATACAACTAGCACCTAACAATTTGGCAAACTAAATGTATACACTAATTTTGCCAATATATTTTTAAATAAGTTTTTGGCAAAGTTAAACTGCCAATATGAGACAGGCAAATGGTGGACTGTCCATTCTCAAGAAAGTTTTACTTTTGCCTTAACCTCATTTCAATTTTTTGATCAGGTATTGCATATTTAGAAGAAATTGGTTCAAATACTGAAATCACTTTGACTGCAGCAGGAATTCCCCCCCCCATTGTTGCAGTGCATTAACGTGTACTTTTGTACATCTGCACACTAAAGGGATATAGTGACTGGACACTTTGTGAAAACATTAATTTCAGGGGCCCTATAGATCAGTGTACCCCACACTATTTGGTTTGACATGCCGTAAAAGGCTGCACACCTTATACATGTTCATACTGAAATATGCTTTAATCTAAGCATCAAAATACTGACAATGCGTGCAACATTGGACCAACATTCTTCAATGCTGGAGTGATATCATTTTAAAGAGTAGCTCAAATTATGCCACAAAATTTTCCTACGGCTTTCACAAATCATAATCTTCTTTGTGACACATTGCTGAGTCATAATGATAGATTTTTCCATCAATGGCGACAGGGATATGGATTTCAGATTCATTGTTTCTGTTGATCATATTCACTATCAATGCTGTTTATGAGTAACAGATATTTGATTCACATTGACATGTCATTGCGATGTATGTCGAGGGCCAATCATATTTATGTTGACAGTCATTCCTATTCATGATGAAGTTGATCCTATTGACAGTAAAGTCAATCCCACTCACAGTGAAGTCAATCAAATTCATGATGAAGTCAATCCAATTCACGATGAAGTCAATCCAATTCATAATGAAGTAAATCCCATTCACGATGAAGTCAATCCAATTTGCAATGAAGTAAATCCTATTTACAGTGAAGTCAATCCTTTTCATGGTGAAGTCAATCTTATTCAAGATGAAGTCAATCCAATTCATGATGAATCTTATTGTTTGTGAAGTCAAAATTTAGTTCACCATGAAGTCAATCCAATTCACAACGAAGTAAATCCTATTCACAGTGAAGTCAATCCTTTTCATGGTGAAGTCAATCTTATTCAAGATGAAGTCAACACGATGAATCTTATTGTTTGTGAAGTCAAAATTTAGTTCACCATGAAGTCAATCCTATTCACCTTAACAGTCAATCCAATTCATAATTTTTGACTCCAACTGACAAATGATCATGATCATAACTGAAACAACAGCCTATCAGCCAAGGTTTGCCAGATAATGATATCCACATCAGGCCCGTAGCCAGGATTTGCCAAGGGGGTTCAGTTTTTGAGAAACTCCAGGGGGGGGGGTTCACAAGTGCTCAGAATGGTGAAAAACTGCATGATTTTGAAAGATATTTTGGCCAGGGGGGGGTTGCTCGAACCCATCAAACCCCCCCTGTCTACGAGCCTGCACTTTAGAGAACTCCTATACATTGAAATAATATAGGCCCTATATTGGCTGTATTGTCTCAGCACTGGGGTGCCCAAGCTCTAGTAGCCTTTAGAGGCCTCCTTTGCTGCCAAGATGAGGGGGTGCAGACTGGCCAGGGGTTTTGCCAGGCGTAAGAAAGGATGCTGAAAAAAGCAAGGAGTAAAAATATCTTAATGTGGAATTTCAAATATATAATAACAAAATATCTTGAATAGATTTACTTTTCAAATCTTTTATTTATACAATATAACATTTGTCAAATCATGTGCTTTGATTCCATGTTTACAGACCTCATGATTTCAAAGAGTTATCAATAGTTTTTTAATTTTTCTTATTTTAACACAGATCAGAAAAGCTACTGTGTCTTCTAAAATCCGAAGGACTAATGTAAGCAAAAATGCAATCAGAAGTACAGATATAAATATAGATGGCATGTGTGTATAGTGATACCCTGCCTTTTCATAAATATTGAACAATTTTCAAAGAAAGCGACGCCAAATATCAAACAAGGACCCTGTTTAAGTTCCGCAGCGATTAGTAAAACAATACTTTCACTCACCCTGAGGAACTCTGAGGCTGAGGGTCTTTTATCGACATCAACTTCAAGACATCTATCCAAGAAATCTTGGAAGACAGGAGACAATTTATGTTTGTCTTTAATCTCAGGTTTGCCATTGGTTGCTATGAGATACAATGCCTGCAAAACAAACATGATATTTTTAGTTTTAAATAACTTTTTACAGGGGCTCTTCCAACATCTTCAATGTTGGGCAGCATCTGTTCTGTGGATCCATGCATCTCTATGTGGTGTTCACCTTGACCTTTGGCAATGCTGTTGCCATGGATACAGCTATGGCCCCTCAGTCCCTGTCCCATTTGATTTTATAATTTAGAATTTACTAACTCAACTTCTGTCAATGACATGACCTTTAAACAAGAATTTTAGAAATTTGCCATAAATGGTACCTCTGAGATAATATAGTATATACATGGGCATACATACATAGTGTTTTATATCATAAAGCATATGATATACTCTTTCAGAATCAATAGGTTTTTAAGTCATTCTATAAGTTGTCATGGTTACAAGATTCCAAAAATACATTGGGTTTGTGATTGGACGTGATTTGGATGTGATATCACGTCCTTCGTTATCAATGTATGTGCTTTATGACGTCATATCATGTCCTTCGTAGCGAATGAGTTAAAATACTCGTATGTTGTCATATTCATCTCTCTGTACTCACCCTTAGAGGATTCTCATTGAGATATGGTGGTTCCCCTTCAATCATCTCAATAGCCATTATTCCTAAACTCCATATGTCAACCTTAGGTCCATATGCTTTTCTGTAATAGAATATAAACTAATGTTATGTCCATATGCTTTTCTGTAATAGAATATAAACTAATGTTATGTCCATATGCCTTTCTGTTATTGAATATAAACTAATGTTATGTCCATATGCTTTTCTGTAATAGAATATAAACTAATGTTATGTCCATATGCTTTTCTGTAATAGAACATAAACTAATGTTATGTCCATATGCTTTTCTGTAATAGAATATAAACAAATGTTATGTCCATATGCCTTTCTGTTATAGAACATAAACTAATGTTATGTCCATATGCCTTTCTGTAATAGAATATAAACTAATGTTATGTCCATATGCCTTTCTGTAATAGAATATAAACTAATGTTATGTCCATATGCCTTTCTGTAATAGAATATAAACTAATGTTATGTCCATATGCCTTTCTGTAATAGAATATAAACTAATGTTATGTCCATATGCCTTTCTGTTATTGAATATAAACTAATATTAGGTCTAAATGTCTTTTTGAAACATCATTTATGTAATGCCTTTCTGTAATAGAATATAAACTAATGTTATGTCCATATGCCTTTCTGTAATAGAATATAAACTAATGTTATGTCCATATGCCTTTCTGTAATAGAATATAAACTAATGTTATGTCCATATGCCTTTCTGTTATTGAATATGAACTAATATTAGGTCTAAATGTCTTTTTGAAACATCATTTATGTAATGCCTTTCTGTAATAGAATATAAACTAATGTTATGTCCATATGCCTTTCTGTAATAGAATATAAACTAATGGTATGTCCATATGCTTTTCTGTAATAGAATATAAACTAATGTTATGTCCATATGCTTTTCTGTAATAGAACATAAACTAATGTTATGTCCATATGCTTTTCTGTAATAGAATATAAACTAATGTTATGTCCATATGCCTTTCTGTAATAGAATATAAACTAATGTTATGTCCATATGCCTTTCTGTAATAGAATATAAACTAATGTTATGTCCATATGCCTTTCTGTTATAGAACATAAACTAATGTTAGGTCTAAATGTCTTTTTGAAACATCATTTATGTAATGCCTTTCTGTAATAGAATATTAACTAATGTTATGTCCATATGCCTTTCTGTTATAGAACATAAACTAATGTTAGGTCTAAATGTCTTTTTGAAACATCATTTACGTCATGCCTTTCTGTAATAGAATATTAACTAATGTTATGTCCATATGCCTTTCTGTTATAGAACATAAACTACTGTTAGGTCTAAATGTCTTTTTGAAACATCATTTACGTCATGCCTTTCTGTAATAGAATATAAACTAATGTTATGTCCATATGCCTTTCTGTAATAGAATATAAACTAATGTTATGTCCATATGCCTTTCTGTTATAGAATTTAAACTAATGTTATGTCCATATGCCTTTCTGTAATAGAATATAAACTAATGTTATGTCCATATGCCTTTCTGTAATAGAATATAAACTAATGTTATGTCCATATGCCTTTCTGTAATAGAATATAAACTAATGTTATGTCCATATGCCTTTCTGTTATAGAACATAAACTAATGCTAGGTCTAAATGTCTTTTTGAAACATCATTTATGTAATGCCTTTCTGTAATAGAATATAAACTAATGTTATGTCCATATGCCTTTCTGTAATAGAATATAAACTAATGTTAGGTCTAAATACTTCATATGCAATGTTGTACTTTTAGGACATTATGTCAACCTTAGCTCTATATACCTTTCTGTAACATGAGATCATTTAACGCTAGGTCAAAATACCTTTCCTTTATTAAATTTCATTTATTGCAAAGTCCTAAGTCAAGATCATTTCATTTGGTTTTATCTTCATGAGCATGTTTCCATCTTTGGCAATGATAGGTTCTTACCCCAATCCTACAAAGATATAGTAATCACAGATACAAGAATATTGCGATTCCGCGTCGCCACAGAAAAGACACAGAATTTAAGGCTTACCTTGTGACGACTTCAGGAGCCATCCAGTAAGGGGTACCAACCATGGTAGACCTCTTACTTTGTTCTGGGGATAGTTGAGCACAGAAGCCAAAATCAGCTGAAAGTACAACATATTTAGTAAGTTAGTCAATATTTACAATGAGATATTATTAGATGTGTGACATATTAAAATGTCACCTCAAGGAAAAGAAAAATATCACACAAGGCAAACCTGACATCAAACAGGACTTTCCATGTCAGTCAAATGGTCAGTTATAGAGAAACACAATTTGAGTACATGTATAGTTTAAGACTTACTTAGTTTTACGCCACCATCCATTCCTAGTAAAATATTGTCACTTTTAATATCGCGATGAATTACATTGTTCTCATGTAAGAACTCCAATGCTTGGAGAGTCTGAAAATATAACGGACAATGTAAGTGCAATGTAACATGTTTAATATTTTAAGAAAAAATTGCCAACTTCCAAAACAATATGATTTAATGTGCAAGGAAACAATGTCTAGTTCTTCCCTCTCCGTCACTATTCAGAACATCATCTCAATTAAAAATCGCAAGACTCTGTGATACAAACTATTGAAGTCTATTAAAGATAATTATACAATAATATACATAGGAAATATCCTGAGTTATACAAGTGTCTTTGTTTATATTTGAATTATCCAAGTTTGTTTCACCTTGATAACTTCAGTCATATATCTTCTACAAAAGGGATATTATCTCTAATTAATTATGAAATATATTTAGTCACAAAATTCACATTAATTCATTTCACATTGTGTCCAATATGTCTTACCTCTCTACACACTGAGGCTATTTGACCCTCATCCATACACGTTTCCGTGACAACATCAGTCAGGGAACCACCAGCCAAATACTCCATTACAACCTATCAGAACACAGCAAATATTCAGTCCTTGAACCATATATAAATGCAATAAATCTTAAAACTGATCTCTCTCAATGTGTATTTTTCTGAATAGATATTCAAATGTTTTTAGTGTAAAATTTTACATGGGGACATGAAATACCAGATTGCAATTTTCCCCAAACCTGTACATTCACAGTTTACTTGTATTTATGAAATAAATCTATTGATTAATAAAAAACATAGAGTTTCATCTTCATGTGTAGATAAGGTATCTTTCAATTTTGGGGTACTTCCTCCTCTTAAGCACTACAAACTGCATAAACGGAGTCATAAATTCTTACCCACAATTCCTCTCCAACAAGGTAGCTATTGAGATAATTCACAATATTTGGATTCTGATTTTCTCTCATGACGAGGATTTCGTTGATTATGAGTTCCTTCTTCGGTTGCTGAGACAAATTCATTTGTTTGATGGCTACTTCACGCCCAGTAGCGACCTCTATTGCTATATACACTGTACCAGATGCACTGGAAAAACACAGAGAAAATTATTAGTTTACACAGCTTCCTTGAAGACTCATATAGATGGCACTTCCTTAATCATTGCTAGTATGTTACTCTTATCACTTGTTACATCGGGGAGCAAATATCATCTTGACTTTAAATTGGAATACTTAGCTAGTAGTTTTGGGTTGTAGGCTTGTGTAAGTACAAATAATATTGTGAAAATAAACACTAATCCTAAATAATCATCTCTATGCCAATGACCAGTCTAATAGAGAAGCTTAGCGCCACCTAAACAACTTCACACATCGTGTTTTGCTATTTCATTGGAAGATGGATCCCAAAACTCAATGTCAAAATTTGAGAAGAATGTTAGAGTAGTTTCCTTTCAACATCATCTTATGCTCTTATTTAACATCATATGATCTCATTTCTTATAAATGGTCATTTGAAATAATCAGAACATATCACAAGGAAGGCTTTAACTCACCCCTGACCAATTTTTTCCATTTTTGTATATTTTTTATTGGGATCCCCAACTGAGACTATTGTCCGTAATTTTTCTAAAATTTCTTCATCTGTCATTTTCTTCTTTTTGGGCCTATCTGTTCTCGCCTGTAAACCTGGTTTGGCTTCATCAGGATCTACTGGTTTGGTATACTGAAATTGGAAATAAACATATAATGAATAGGTTTATTTCATAAATAAAATAGCATACATGCAGAGTGAATGGGGCAAATCGCCTTCCAGCATTTCATATTACCATATAAGAGTAATTTTATCTTACTGAATATGTTCTATTTCATTCTGAGTATGACATTATATTAATTATAAATACATGTTCAAGTACGAGATAAAGTCATGTGATAGTCCAAAAAGGGAGTCATAGCAAAACCTCCCCAGTTAACCAAGTTTTCTAAATAATTTGATAAACGAAATCAGCATTGTATGGGACTGATAAACGATTTTCTGAAAAATATCACACGGATCTCAATAATATCAGAATGTACCATGGCTGTTATTGTACTGTTAACACTACAGGGCATATAAAAACAAGGCATTAACATGACAAAATGTCACCACCTAAAGGTCAATTTGAAGCAAGTTGAAAACAGACCTTTTTTGACCTTTTTTGACCTTGAGAAGGTCATTGAAGGTCAAATGTCAAATCTAAAGTCAGATTTGAAGGTCAAATGTCAAATCTAAAGTCAAATCTAAAGTCAGATTTGAATTTCTGAGAACATGTAGATGATTTTGAAAAAAATTTAGTCAATGTGAAGCAAGTTGAAAAAAGACCTTTTTGACCTTGAGAAGGTCATTGAAGGTCAAATGTCAAATCTAAAGTCAGATTTGAACTTCTGAGAACATGTAGATGATTTAGAAAAAAATTGAAGTCAGTCTAAACAGTATTTGTAAAGTTATAGGAAGTTGTAAGAAATTGTTACAGACGCCGGACGCCGGACGCCAACCTCCAACCACCAACCACCAACCGCCGTCACAAAAAAAACGGAGACCATAACAATATGTCACCACTTTTGGTGGTGACATAAAAATGCAAGAAGTAGTTTTCTCATATGACTAACAAAGATACAGCCATCTTTACCCCATGCAAGATATTGCCATCTTTCATCCTAAAAAGTCACAAGTGCAAGATGAGATTTACTTGTGACATCACTGGTCTATAAACAGTAACAACATGGCAACGGACACACCGTTGCTATGAGTATCCATGCTAATTGTACAAAACCAAGTTGTGACGTCATAACATGGAGCTTTGTTGCCACGTGTATCTATGTATTTTCTTCAATATTGTTATGACGTCATAACAATTGAAAGATGAAGATCAATTAATTTGAAGCTATTTTTCACTCAGTTTTATGATAAAATGGTGAAAATATGGCATAATACAGAGTCATATGAGAAAAACTTTCTTGTACTCGTACCTGTGCAATATCGTCCATTCTTGACTCGCTTTCATAATGTTACTTTATCTCGTCTTCGACTCGATAAAGAAGAATTATCAAAGCTCATCAAGAATGGACAATCTTGCACAGGTACTTATATAAGAACCTCTATATCTCGTAAAATCACAAAACTAGTGATGAATACATCAATTTCATTTAATGTACCATAAAGCCATGTCTTTCCTCTTTGCAATGATATGTCTATCATTCACATGTGGTAATGGTTGGGTGAGAAATCCTTCCATTTGCACAGTGGGTCAAAATCGGCTCTAGACCAAGTTTTAGATATTGAAAAAATCAGTGCAAGGGCTAAGTGCCAATGGAAGTTCCCCTGACTTGAATTGTTGTGACTTTTTCTTTTGGAGCTATCTCAGGAGTATCTGTGCTCACAATTCCTCCACCAGATGTTGCAAAACCTCGAGAAAAATTGCCCATGGGCTGCTTTTCTCTGCTTTAACCCACAGATGACTCAGGGCTGAACCATGCATGACGTGGACAGACGAGCGCATCTTTATTTGCAAGGAAGTGGTGGCAATTTGGAGGGGTATAGGATGTATTCTTGCAAGAGTATGAACACTTTACTGTCTATGTCACACCTGTCACACCTTCTTCTAATAGCCCCATATGCCCCTTGTACTGACTTTTGCAATCTTTAAAACTTGGGTCCAAGCTGAATTTTGCCACACTTTGTAAAATTAATGATTACTCGGCCAGAGATGACTCCCTGTAAATGAATGATATTCCATTGCAAAGAGGAGTAATTTGGCTTTTTGGTACACTGAATGAAAAGGATGCAGTCAGCATTGGTTTTATGTTTTCTTCCAATATTGCATCGGGCTCCGTACACTGACTTTTGCGATATTTATAACTTGGTCCCAAGCTAATTTTGGCCCACTTTGCAAATGGAATGATTACTCGCCCAACCATGACCAAATATCAATGAATGATATATCATTGTAAAGAGGAGACACATGGCTTTATGGTGGTGCATTGAATGAAATCAATGCTGTTATCACTGGTTTTGTCCTTTTCCGGGATAACAGTCTGTTGCGTTTTTTTATATGCACTGTATAATTGAGGAATTTAACAATTTGTACGCTTTAACATCATCAGCCAGTGTCAATTTATGAGTCACTAACTCACATATTGCAGAACGCTACCCATACCCACTATAAATCAATAAAAAATAAAAAACAATACCAGTATAACAAAAATATGAAATATACTTACTATAGACTTAGTTTTCTCAGGGCGAGCAGCTATTGGGGGAGGGGGAGGTTCATCATCTGGAGGAGTACTGGTAGCCTCAGGCTTACTGGGCTGCAAAATGCAATACATAATATTCATAATTTGCTCAATTCATTTGATTGATCTCTATAATGATGTACAGGGAGGGCCAAAGTACAATTCAAAATATTTATAATTTGCTCCATTCATTTGATTGATCTCTATAATGATGTACAGGGTGATCCAAAGTACAATTCAAAATATTTATAATTTGCTGATTTAAATCTATTGATCTGTATTATGATGTACTGGGTGGGAAAAAGTATATGTAAGTAAGAAATATAGTTTTTCTTACAAGGTCTCCAAAATACACCAACCAATCTATTGTCGATTATGTTGTACAGGGTGGGCCAAAGTATAATTTAGTATGAGCAATAGTTTGTCAATGTGTCAAGCAATATGCAGGTAAACTGTATTGTCAATTCATTTATTAGTGTTCATTGTCACAGACTTTATTACAATTTTTTTGTAAGTCTGTGACAATGAACACTAATAAATGGATTTAATATTACCAGATTATGAACTTATTTAATGTAATGTATTGTCAAATTCTGGAATCACTGGAATTACCTGTTTTAGTTTAAGGGGTTATTCAAATGGGGGTTGTGCTTAAAATTGAAAATCATGAATAGAGCAAAGTGCCTTTGAGCTATCAGCATTAAATATATTTTTATGAATGAGCACATTTTATACTTTATTTAACAAATACATATTTAACAGTAAAATCAAGCTTGATAATTTGCTACAATTACTACATACAAATACATGTAAATATAAGGGATAGGGGCAGTAAACAAGAACAGCCTAAACAACAATGTAAAATATCACTGAACATTTTCATCTAATTTATCTATACTCTAAAAAACGTGTAGGTCTTAAAGCCAAATCAAAACAATAAGCAATATAGCAAACCGGAAAAGTGGAACACCTCAGTAAATTGAACACATTCAAAGTAGTAGAACACTATTTTGAGGAATAAAGTATGTTTCACTTAGGCAGGTTTTAATGTATTGTAAAACTTGTCTTAGTGAACACTTTTGGTACCTCTATAAAGTGCTCCACTTGGGAGGTGTTCTACTTAATGAGGTTCATTTAACATTAAATCAGCTGACCTAATAGTCTCTGAAAAGTGTTCCACAAACAGAGGTGTTCCACTTCTACAGTTGTTCATTTTTACAGATTTCAACGAATCAAAAATAATTAATGAAAATAATATCAATTCTCCAGATTTGAAGAAAAAGGATTGATGAAAGACTCATAAAACATAGTAAAATGAATCAAAATGCAAATAAACTAAATTTTATAATCTTGACAAAGATTGCTCTAACTATTCATAACTTCACAGGGATAATTTAAAAACATCCAAATTGGACAGTGATTAGCTCAGACAATCATGAATGCAAGAAGGAATAGGACATTCAAAAGGGATGTTCATGAACACAATGAGGATATTCATATATTTAAAAGGGAAGAATGTGATTTACAAGGGGCCATTCATGAATGAGAACATTCTTCAACTCAAACTGAGCACTCATGAACTCAACCAGGACATAACAGAACTCACGAGGGACATTCAGGAAATGAACAGGAACATCACATAAATCAAAGGGAACATTCATCAAATCAAGGATATACTAGAACTTACTGGGTACATTCATGAACTCAACAATAACATTCTTGAACTCATACGGGACATTCATGAACTCAATAATAACATTCTAGAACTTATAGGAGATGTTCATGAAATCAACTACAACATTCTAGAACTCAAAGGAACATTCATGAACTCAAGGATATTCTTGAACTCATATGGGACATTAATGAACTTAACAATAACATTCTAGAACTTATAAGAGATGTTCATGAAATCAACTACAACATTCTAGAACTCAAAGGAACATTCATGAACTTAAGGATATTCTTGAACTCATATGGGACATTAATGAACTTAACAATAACATTCTAGAACTTATAGGAGATGTTCATGAAATCAACTACAACATTCTAGAACTCAAAGGAACATTCATGAACTCAAGGATATTCTCGAACTCATATGGGACTTTCATGAACTCAACAATAACATTCTAGAACTTATAGGGGACATTCATTAATCAACTACAACATCCTAGAACTCAAAGGAACATTCATGAACTCAAGGATATTCTCGAACTCATATGGGACTTTCATGAACTCAACAATAACATTCTAGAACTTATAGGAGATGTTCATGAAATCAACTACAACATTCTAGAACTCAAAGGAACATTCATGAACTCAAGGATATTCTCGAACTCATATGGGACTTTCATGAACTCAACAATAACATTCTAGAACTTATAGGGGACATTCATAAAATCAACTACAACATCCTAGAACTCAAAGGAAATATTCATGAACACTATTAGGGTCTCACCGATATATCAGAAGTAGAATTTAGTATACTGCTCAGTTCTACACTTACTGATTGGGAACTCTAAACAGAATACAAGTACCATGTCATACAATAGTACCATGTCATACAATAGTAGCATGTCACACAATAGTAACTAGTCACGCAATTTACTAACATGTCACACAATTTAGTAACATGTCACACAAAAATAACATGTCATACATCTCAAACAAAAAATGATACCGATAATTTAAAAATAATTTCTCATTTTAGTGATATGTCTCTGATGATCCAACCAAGTTGTAAAATTTTATCCTGTCAACTACTTCTATCTAAATAATGATAAATATTGATACAAAATCAGTGATTTAGATACATTAAATGGTTTAATATCTTAAATTGTTGAATTTTTGAATCAACTACTGATAAGGAGTGAATAATTTCTGCTATCTGACTGGATTAATTCTTGAGTGTTTGATTATGTGAATTTCAATGACATCTTAATTGACCCTTTGTGATAATAATTAGAAACTATATTGAACTCAAATGACCTGGGCTGAAATAATTTTTCACAAACCATATAAAATACTTTTTTGATTTGGTACAAAGTACATCATAGGGATGTTTGTCAAACATATCAGAAACAATTGGAGACAGTGTAGTATCCTTATAACTTGAAAAGGAAATACAGAAAAAGTTTTAAATAAACTGAAATGAACATCAATTTTATCTTGAAGAAAAACTCATGAATGAAAACATGAAAGGAGCTGAGGCAAGATGCATGTTTTAAATTACATGTACATGTATATGCATACACACATACTCACTTTTCTCTATATACATATATATAAACTCACTATATATGAACTCACCGGTGTTATGACTGCTCCTGTTGCGAATCTGTCTTGTAAAGTCGGCCGTGTATTATTGAGACCTGAAAAATGATACAGAAAAAGTGCTGCATTAAAAGGGTTAAAATACACATAAACGTTGAATTGGTAACTTACATATTTAGTAAGTTTAAATTTGAGAATTCAACTTGAAGTTACGATATTTTCGTGTCACAGAATACAGGATTTAAGGTTTATAATGAGTAGAATGATTAATATAACTTGAAACCTTTGAATTCAGGCTTGCCAACTGATTGAAAGTTATTGTTACCAGTCATTGCAAATGGCAATCACATTGTAAAATAGTAATAGGAGAGCAGTGTACTGCATAGTTATTAACCTCAGCAAATGTCAACCTGTATATCCCAACACCAATATCCCGACAGATTTTGGTCTCTCAATGAAAACATTTTTTCAGTCCCACTTTTGAACTTGCCATAAACTGCCATGTTAATAATCCTAAGAATATGTGAACATCTGTATATCCAAGTTTTATTACAAATGACTTAATGTAATTAACTAGGCAAAATATTACAGGGTGTCCATAATGTATCTTTACAGTCTTTGTGAAGAGACATTTGGGCAACCATGTGCATCCAACATTTCATGTGAATTCTTCTTTTGTTCCAATTTGGAGATATTTGATGACTGTAAAAGTCATGCCCTGTTTTCTGGCATGTGCTGTAAGGGAAAAGCAATACTTTCCCGGAAGTCCATTACTTACTTAGTGGTTTTGAGATATTTGTCATGTACTTAGATTCCTTTGTTTCTTTATTAGAGCTGTCATAATACTTTAATACATCCAACACTGCCTGTGGATTCTTCTTTTGTTCCGATTTGGAAATATTAGATGACTGTAAAAGCTTTGCCCAGTTTTCTGGCATGCCCTGTAAGGGAAAAGCACACATTCAATAATATTCTATAAATCTGATGATTGAAAGTTTAATGGGAGCTAGAACTAAGATAGATGGCAGTTCACTAATTTTCTTTAATGGGTTGCTCTCCACACCAATCTGGAGATTTTTTGAAGCAATCTATCAATGATATTTAGTATACAGATAAACTCACTGAATTCTGCACCATCTATTGATGCCATTGAAATACTTTGTAATAATACATAGTAACTTAAAATCCCAAAATGATGGTATTTGCATTACTCCAAACCTGAGGCTCTAGCATATCCAAAATCCTTTGAGCAATCTGGTTTTCTTTTTACCAACTACATGTAAATGTCCCTATAATTGCATGGAGGCTGACAAGTGATTACTTACTGTGAATTCTCCCGAGTGGGGATCAAACCCCACATGGACTGTGTGTTCAAAGTTTGAGGGTGGAGATATTACTGGCTTTTCACTGGGTTTCTTGCCCCCTGGAAATACAAAGCACAACAAAATATTCATTTATTTGTTATCTAATAGTGAAATAATGTCAGGGTGATAAAATCTTTGATTTCAACAACAATAAAACCTGTCAAGTGGAACAACTCTGTAAGTGGAACACCTTTATAAGTGTAACACCTCTATAAGTTGAAGACCTCCATAAGTGGAACATCTTTAGAAGATTTTAACTTCTATAAGTGAAACTCTTCTCAAGTGGATCACCTCTCTAAGTGAACACATCTCTAAGTGAAACGCCACTGTAAGTGGAACACCTCTTTAAGTGGAAAACCTCTAGAACAACTTTATAAGTGCAACGCCACTGTAAGTGGAACACCTCTTTAAGTGGAAAACCTCTAGAACAACTTTATAAGTGCAACACCATTGTAAGTGGAACATCTCTATAAGTTGAACACTTCTATAAGTGGAACACTTTTCACAGTCCCTTGACCAACTGTGATAATTTTGATCAACACCTTATGAGCTGAACAGCTACGAGGTAAAACACTTTCTATAGGAGCCATGGGTGTTCCACTTACAGTCTTACACAGGTTTTACTGTATCTATATTGTGGTCTTTATGAATCAGAAACACCTGAAAGCCAATATGATCAATTTAAAATCCTACTTTAGTATATATGGTCAGGACAAATCTGTCAATGGGGCATATTTTTGTCTTCCAAGCTTCCAATCTAATTTTACTGGATTTACCTTTATTCAAAATCATCATGAGAAATTTTCTAAGGGACTAAACTACATATGTATATCAATAAGAGGTTGAATATTAAATTACAAGACAGTAAAGACAGTAAAAGCTTTCAATTGATTGCTATGTAAGAATATGATATTAGCATTTATTGCAGAACAAGCTGGTCTCTAATCAGACACTCTTCTTACAAATCCAATGATGTGTCTCTAATCAGACACTCTACAAATCCAATGATGTGTCTCTAATCAGACACTCTACTTACAAATCCAATGATGTGGAAGTCTAGCACCTGACTCATCACCAAGACAACACAGTGACTAGAAAACAACCCTTTGGAATAGTGATCAACAATTTTGTCCTACATTCTTAACATCTGAAGTGTATATGGAGATCTGACTCATTAATTTCCATGAATAAAATCTAACTAGTTTGATCTCTGATGTGCTTTCTGATTGGTTAAACTCTCAAAATTAAATTATGGCAATAGACATTTTATTCTTGCATCAAATTTCAAGTCTCCCTCCCATCTTGATCCCTCAAACATATGACTGAAAGAATTCACTGGTTTACTGGTATGTCCCCCTCTCCCTACACATATTTCCTATCTTTAGGCAATTGTGTATTTTGTAAAGGGTTGCCCAAGGGGACTTCATTTATTTCTTGGCTATAATCACAGTAAAACCACCATACATGAAACACTCTCTTTACTGGCCTATATTGTTTCTTGTATATAGACAGGTGTTCCTTACGGAGGGTGCTCATTAACATGCAAATCAATGGGATCTGAATTGAAAATTATTCCATAGAAAGGTGTTCTTTATAGAGGTGTTCCATCTGACAGGTTTTAATGTACTACAGTAAAACCTGTATCTAGTGAACACCTTTAGAGCCACAAAAAGTGTTCCCTGTAGGTAGGTGTTCACTACAGTGAGGGGAGTCAATGTAGAAGGTTACTTGAAGTGGTGTTCACTTAAGAGGGGTGTTCAGTCTGACAGGTTTTACTGTTTTACATTTATGTAAGGCGTTCATACCTGCGCATGACCAAGCACTCATGATTAATTTCATATGTTCATACACCATGTATGTATCGTAGTTTAACACCATATGTATTGTAGTTTAACATCCAGAGTGTTCATTGCATAGTATCCAGATTTTGTCCTTTATATGTCTCTGATGTTCATATAGATTTATCTTATTGACACTTCATTGATGACAGCCTCATTTGATAATTTGGTTATGTTTAAATTAAATTATGTTCATAGGACATTGCTGGTTTTACCAATGAACTTCATATGTTCATGAATCAATTATACAATATTGTTTTTGTATGAACTAATAGTTTCATATGTTCATATTAAGCACATATATTTTGGTAGTTCCACAGCCTCATGACCACATAGCATTGAAACAAATATGTTGTCGTAATAATATCTATGAGTTTCATTTCGTTATTCTCTATTTTTGATGTTCATCAACATCATCAATATGTTGTTTATCATCAATTCTGATCATCTTTATTTCTGTTCATCATTATTTTTGATTTTATTTATTCTTTGTCATTTTTATTCCCAATTATTATTATTCTTTTTCATCATTATACTTTTTCATCATTACTCTTGTTTATAATTATTCCTATTCATCATTATTCCTGCTAATCAATTTTCCAGTTTATCGTTATTCTTGTTCATCATTATTCAGTACCATCATCATTCCCAATCATCTTTATTCCTGCTCATAATCATTCCTTTTCATCATTACTTCTGTTTATCGTTTATCCTATTCATCATTATTCATGCTCATCATTAATCCTATTCATCATTATTCATGCTCATCATTAATCCTATTCATCATTATGTCTGTCCATCATTTATCCCATTCATCATAATTCTTATTCATGATCATTCGCATTTACACTGATGTGATAATATTCCACAAAAACATTTAACATTACCTTCAAACTGATAACATTATTTTACCTTACTGAGGTGATTTAACCTCAATCCCATTCCTCATTTACCCCTGAAGAATTTTGTGTTTTAATTACCATGTGATGTACATGTCTATATATCTATATTTATGCATTCCATTCTATTAATTCATTAATTACAGAATCATATCCAATCAAGTTGTCTATCCATTGGCATATAAAGTATTTGCATCAAATATATACAGTCTCCATGTTAAATACAGGTATTTTTCAAAATATGAATGCGCTTTACCACACACACGTATACAAATGTTAAATACCGTGTATTTCCTATATTTAATAATTCTCGTATTTCCTGTAAACTTGTACTGCTTCCGTATTTATCTCTGCTCATATTGCAGTGGTTATACAGGCAACATCTGCACTGTCTTAGATTCTATAGATCCAATGACCTATTACAATCCCTGAGCTGCTATTGAAATTAAAGTCACCTTGACCAGACTTGAGAAAAATTATTGATGATCTAATATGGTTTAATTTTACAGGATTTCTCTCACTAAAATTTTAATGACATCAAAGATTTTCAGGCATTTTTATAGATTTTCAGGCATTTTTATAGATTTTCAGGTATTTTCATAGATTACCACATTTCATATTGTTGACATTGTGTCTGTTTACGTTTTTCCTTGCTTATTCCACTCAATTCAATTTCTCTCTCAAATCTGAATGAACTAAATGATTTTCTGGCATTTTTATATAATATAAAGTATCTATTACATGCTTGTTTACTTTATTCCATGTTGGTTTCCCTCCTTTTCACTCTATTTCATGTTTTAAAATTTGACCCGTGTGAAGATAGTTTGTCAAAAAGTGGTTTTCTTTATAATATATATTTCCTCTTCAGTGAAAGCAGAATATTTAGGAAGTGTGTTCTTTGATTTAAATGTGCTTTTACATATGAAAACAACAACACAGCTTGTAAATAAATTGATGAAAAATTGCCGAGAATGATTTCCTATTTGTATTCTCACATTAAGCACTAATTCACTTATTTCAATTCAACTAACTGTTCTTCAAGGTCAATAGATTATATATTCACCATACAAGCTCTGTGTATATTCTATTAATTAATTGACTAATGCTATACAGATCCCACATTGCCAATTAGGAGTGTAGTCATTGATGCCCTGTTCATTTCTATTCTTAGATTCGGCAATCATTCAATTTCTGTTTCTATTGCATATCCCAGAAGTCTTAACACATCCAAGGTTGACAATTACCTTATAGAATACCCTGCGTGCAGAGTCTAGTTAAACTACACTCTACCGAGTAGAATCCATATTACAGTTTAGTAGCCCCGCCCCCACGACAGGTACCAGTGACAGTTTAGGTAATAAATCACTTCTGACCTACGCGCTGACCTTTCTTCCACCAATCAGCGTGCTTGCAGTAACACACGCCAAATGTGTTCTAATTAAATATGCGCATGTCATTGGTCAATTCCGCGCTCAACAGTGACATCAGAAGGAATGACCATATATAGAACGTTGGTCTAATTTGGCCGACGAACACTGATTGGCGCAGTGAGTTCACGAGTGAAGAGGAAGCTCTCTTTTAAGAAGTGAAGTCAAACAAATGCAAAGGGTACTAAAAGAAGTACACGTCAAGCAAAATCAATACAATTATTTTTACAATGTCCATTAAGAGGGGAGTCTCAACTCCTGGGAAGTGTATTAATAATTGTGCAAATGACAAATATTGCGGCTCACATATTAATTATTTTTTGAGATTAATGATGTCATTAGTGATTTATTGTAATAATTTCAGTTTTCTTCCTAAATCCCCTGTGATTATTTGTTGCTATAGCAACTGTAGTGCAGTTGTTATAACAATTGCCCAACAAGGTTGTCATTACAAATGTAAAAAAAGCCATACTACTCATAACAAATGTTTTTAAAGGCTGAACATTAAATTAAATCTCAAACATGGTTACTATAGCAACTGTCTCAACTTAGATCATAGTTACTGTATTGTGTAGTTGCCATGTCAATCATTTCATAATGCTGTTATAGCAATTGTCAGGATGGGTGCTATGGCAACACTGCAGGTGAAAACTGGTTTGTATTTTGTTTATGAGGTAAGAAATCCTTAACATCATAAGCACTGACTATGTGTCTACATACATGTAGTTTCATTTCCAAAATGTTAAAGCTTGATTATTCCAAATATTTTTCGCCAATGACTAGACTAGTACTTTGTGACTAATTGTTTTGACTTTCACATAAGTATATCTTTCGTATTCTTTAAAATTCCCGTTTGATCGAGACAGTACGTCATCCATCCAATTCAACGAGGAATGCTGACTCGTGACTTTTTACTGCTCTTTAAAAAGGCTATTAATAGTTCCATTTCACAAAGTATACAATACTGTTTATATATTTTAGCCTTATATATATAATACTACATTGTAGAACTGTCCATACACATTAGACTATATTAGAATCCTGACATCAATGTTTTTAGTTTATTTTGGTAACATTTAAAGCTATTTTCGTTAATAATTTTCCATATTCTGTGTATAAATATTTAGCCTTATCAATGCTCTATGTAGAGGATGGTTGACAATTTGCTTAGTGTGTGGTACCCAAGAATATAATACCATAATTGCTTTGAAACTGTCGGGAAGGCAACAGAAAAAGTGACTGAAAAGTCTAGATAAAAAGCAAGGAGCTGTATGGACCGAATGTCAAGGTCACCAAAAAGTGTGCAAACATCAATGACATGGCAATATTCATTCAAATTAATTGGGAAAATTAATGAAACAATTGTGCATTTCTAGAAATTTTTAAAATGGGCTAGGTCGTTTTAACCTTTACCGAAACTTCTCTTGAATACTAGATGAATAAACTTTGAATAAATGAGAATTGGATGCTGAATCTCTGAGTCATACATTTACAGTTTAAAACATCAGAACATTTTTGTATTAATGGGATCCATTCAATAATATCCTCGATTTGAAAGAAAGGGAACATTTAATGTTTGATTTAATGTTTGATGTTTTGCATTATTGGATGGCCTGATTCCTGGAACCCCAGGTGCTATTTTCTAAATTTTAGTCAAGATTTTTGTAAAAAGAGTACAGCTGCTGAAGCTTAACTGAAACTGAGAAATGTCTTTTATAATAGTGTGTCAGTAAAAATGGTATACAGTAATACCTGTGTAAGTGGAACACCTTTGGTACCCCTAAAAGTGTTCCTCTCGGGAAGTGTTCCACTTACAGAGATCCACCTTACAATAAGTCAAGGTTGAAAGTATTCTACTTAGTCTATGGAGGTGTTCCACTTAATAGAGGCTCATTTAGCAATAAGTCAATAGGTTGCAGGACTGTAAAAAGTGTTCCACTTAAAGAGCTGTTCAAAGAGGTGTTCTATTTTACAGGTTTCACTGTATTTAGCTCACTAGTGAAATGTTTGTGAAATAATTTACCAAGTTATCCACATCATTCCAGATAACAGCAGAATTAATAAAATACTCATAAAGTTTTAAACACATAATATTACATTACATCCTGTGCCAGTGGCAAAATATGACATTAATGTTCCAAATGTTATAAAGTATCACACTTATCAGAATTCATATGCATGCTTTTATGATTGCATCGATGATGTCTGTTTACGTGATATTAAATCATTACATTATCAAATCATTGAACAATTGTTAAGCAAGGTTCACTTTTGATATAATCGTAACTTAAGATTCTGAGAAAACCTAATCGTTGTATAAATCATACATAAACTCACCTTTGGGGTTCTTCAATTTCTTTTTTCTTTCTTCATCTGGCTCTTTTGGTAAAGGTTTCATATCTACCGGATTAGCGTCTCTGAAAGTACAAATATATAACATGATTAAGGTAGCTAAAGAGGTAAAGGTTTCATATCTTCGTCTCTGAAAGTACAAATATAAAACATGATTAAGGAGGCTAAAGAGGTAAAGGTTTCATATCTTCTAGATTAGCGTCTCTGAAAGCACAAATATAAAACATGATTAAGGTGGCTTAAGAGGCACTGCATATTTGAGTAAGAACATGATTAAGGTGGCTAAAGAGGCACTGCATGAATAAAAAAGATGATTAAGGCGGCTAAAGAGGTAAAGGTTTCATATCTCCTGGATTAGTGTCTCTGAAAGTACAAATATAAAACATGATTAAGGAGGCTAAAGAGGTAAAGGTTTCATATCTACTGGATTAGTGTCTCTGAAAATACAAATATAAAACATGATTAAGGAGGCTAAAGAGGTAAAGGTTTCATATCTACTGGATTAGTGTCTCTGAAAGTACAAATATAAAACATGATTAAGGTGGCTAAAGAGGTAAAGGTTTCATATCTACTGGATTAGTGTCTCTGAAAGTACAAATATAAAACATGATTAAGGAGGCTAAAGAGGTAAAGGTTTCATATCTACTGGATTAGTGTCTCTGAAAGTACAAATATAAAACATGATTAAGGTGGCTAAAGAGGTAAAGGTTTCATATCTACTGGATTAGTGTCTCTGAAAGTACAAATATAAAACATGATCAAGGAGGCTAAAGAGGTAAAGGTTTCATATCTACTGGATTAGTGTCTCTGAAAGTACAAATATAAAACATGATTAAGGTGGCTAAAGAGGTAAAGGTTTCATATCTACTGGATAAGTGTCTCTGAAAGTACAAATATAAAACATGATTAAGGAGGCTAAAGAGGTAAAGGTTTCATATCTACTGGATTAGCGTCTCTGAAAGTACAAATATAAAACATGATTAAGGTGGCTAAAGAGGTAAAGGTTTCATATCTACCGGATTAGCGTCTCTGAAAGTACAAATATAAAACATGATTAAGGAGGCTAAAGAGGTAAAGGTTTCATATCTACTGGATAAGCGTCTCTGAAAGTACAAATATAAAACATGATTAAGGTGGCTAAAGAGGTAAAGGTTTCATATCTTCTAGATTAGCGTCTCTGAAAGTACAAATATAAGAACATGATTAAGGTGGCTAAAGAGGCACTGCATATTTGAGTAAGAACATGATTAAGGTGGCTAAAGAGGCACTGCATGAATAAAAAAACATGATTAAGGCGGCTAAAGAGGTAAAGGTTTCATATCTTCTAGATTAGCAACTCTGAAAGTACAAATATAAGAACATGATTAAGGTGGCAAAAGAGGCACTGCATATTTGAGTAAGAACATGATTAAGGTGGCTAAAGAGGCACTGCATGAATAAAAACATGATTAAGGTGGCTAAAGAGGTAAAGGTTTAACATCTACTGGATCAGCATCTCTGAAAGTGCAAATATGAGTACATGATTGAGGTGGCTAAAGAAGCACTGCATATTTGAGTAAGAACATGATTAAGGTGGCTAAAGAGGCACTGCATGAATAAAAACATGATTAAGGTGGCTAAAGAGGTAAAGGTTTAACATCTACTGGATTAGCGTCTCTGAAAGTACAAATATAAGAACATGATTAAGGTGGCTAAAGAGGCACTGCATATTTGAGTAAGAACATGATTAAGGTGGCTAAAGAGGTAAAGGTTTCATATCTACTGGATTAGCGTCTCTGAAAGTAAAAATATAAGAACATGATTAAGGTGATAAAGAAGCACTGCATATTTGGGTAAGAACATGATTAAGGTGGCTAAAGAGGCACTGCATGAATAAATACTTGATTAAGGTGGCTAAAGAGATAAGGGTACATGATATAGATGGACAAATTAAGGTAACCTTAACTTCCTCAACTTCCCAGAGTATTCAGACCAAATAAAACAAAGACGATATTTATCAAGAGTTTAACATTTAGATTTACAACAGGTTTATAACAGGTTGTTTACTTCTCTCCTGTTGTTGTTTACAGAGTAAATGCTAAATTTGTATCCTATAACAACTCAGGTGTTTATTTAATTAGATATAGGATCTAAAATAAGATAATTAGAAATTGTAGTCACGACTCTTCAATTATCAAAATACACCAAGGTTATCTTTTAGAGTACAGTGAACAATATTGTACCTAAAAAATGTATTGAGCATGGTCAAAAGCTGATCAGTTCAGGATTTTAATACCATGAAACATTCCTGAAATTTTAAATCAATCTGTTGAGCAGTCTGGCTTGAATTGCACAGCCAAGAAAAGTGAGATGCAAAACTAACATAGAGATGTTGTACCTTTTAACAGGCATGTTAGAAACTGAAATATCAAAGTTATATTTATACCTTAAAGAATTGTCGGCTTATCTCCATTTATATTTGTTCACTTCCCTTATCATTCACATATTTAATAGTGATGTGATGTGTGATCCGTGTATTCAGATAAGAGACAAAAATGGTTTGAATTGAAACATTCCACAAAAGTAGACTTATATTCCACAGATGATCATCTTCCAGTTATTGGGTATTACGAAAGAAAGAAGATGTAATGCATATCAGAATGGCCATTGGCCCAAAAGACATTTTTGATTTCAAAAAAACCAATTTGCATTTTCTCTAAAAATATCACTTGGAGTTCTCATGTTAAAGAGGACAATCCAGTGGAGCATGCCCTGATTATTTGGAAGGATCTAAATGGGATACTACCCTGCGCGCACAGTCTAGTTCAACTACACTCTGCCTACTAGAGACCATATTACAGTCTAGTAGCCCTGCCCCCACGACGGGTATCGGTGACAGTTTGGGTAATAAATCACTTCTGACCTAGGCGCTGACCTTTCTTCCACCAACAATCAGCGAGCTTGAAGAAACATACGCCAAATGAGTGCTAATTAAATATGCGCATGTCATTGGTCTATTCCGGGCTCAACGATGACGACAGAAGGAATGACCATATATAGAACGTCGGTCAAATTTGGCCGACAAACACTGATTGGCCCGGTGAGTTCACAGGTTTTTTTTAGTTTGAAAAAGTGAAGACGAAGCTCTCTTTTAAGAAGTGAAGTCAAACGAATGCAAAGGGTAATGGGATAAAAAAAGAAAAAAACAAATCTATCATGAAAAAATGTTACCACTAAGAAACCTATTGCAATTAATAACCAAAAGTGTAACATTTTGGTACAAACATATAGAACTAAACACTTTTTGGTGGTGACAAAATAAATAAAAAATGCCATCCATATTCCATAAAAGTGTCATCCACTACACTCACCTATTAAGAACTGGACTAACTGGGTTCGCGGAGGTTGACGCTCCCGAACTGTCCAGATGATATATCCCAGAATTCCTTTTGACGTGCCACTTCATAATTTCTTTTATTTACATTCGTAATTACAATAACTATAAATGACGTTCAAATATATGCAATTACCCGACAATTATCCAACAAATCTTATCCCTCACTTATAGTAAGAAGTTCAGTTAAAAACAGATTATATTCTGTTGACTAAAAATAGATTTTCATCTTAATTGTAATCTTATAATGTTCCAATTATTAAAAAGAGTGATTCATATTCACATCTTTGTCTTTAGTTGTCTTGTGATTTAACTCTCAGTTTCTATCTACTGGCTTGTATTCTCTTACGAAGCTACTATCTCATTTGCTTAACTACAGCGAACCTTAACTTTCTAAATGTTGTATTCCACCCACTTTAATTGCATCTTACATTCAAATTAAGTGTGGTTACCTGTACTGGACAGAGCTCATGTCCAAGTTATGATAAGGACCCAAGCAGTAAATCAACCCTTGTTGCTATAATTCTTCGCTGTATCCACTTCTATTCTAACCTATCTGTTCTTCTTGGAAAATTATATTTTTGACATTTCGGAACAATTAGAAAGATAACATATATTATATAATGTAAATATAATTTCACTTATCTGCTATGTGGTATTTATAAAAAAACTCATTTAGTAATTTTAGTCCCCGGATGATTTATTTTAGCTTTATCAAGCCCTTCAAAGAAAAAATAACTGTTCCTAAAGTATTGCATAATTACATTTTATCTTTAGTTTAAATAAATCTTGATTTTTATATGATAAACAATTAAAAGTTCATCAATAGCAATAATGCTAGATTCAAAATTGAATACAGGAAAATATGGTAGAATTTCTGAAAGGGAGGGTTGAGAACTTTGAACATGTAGTTAAATACTTGGTTTTTATCAATTTCATATTTGTTTATCACTAAAAGTTTCAGGACAAACTATATACAAAGTATGATCTAAATGTTGACCCCCCCCCTCCAATGACTATATGAGCAACATAAAATTAACTGCCAGCATATGATTCCACTAAGGCTTAAAGGTCCTAAATTTTGTTCTTATCAATCTGAAGGCAAATATCTATATTCATCTTCATATAGATGAAAAACTATGCCATCTATAAATTGATTTTGTTTTAAATTCATATTCTGAATGATTTACAATAAATAAAGGAAACATATTGATAAAAAAAAACTTAATCATAATTTCCAAATTATATTTTTCATATAAATAACTAATTTGAATTTTGTAGTTTCATGATTTTCGGAGATTTGAAATATTCTTATTTGATTCATACACATATGAATTTTGTACTGTTGCTTTCATACTTTCATATAACATCATTTAGTATTATCTAAAATGTGAATCAAACAGGTATGTTCAGGATATATTATCATTGTGCAACCATAGCAACATGATGGCTGTATAGAAGATGTTTCCATGGTAACAAATGTAAACACAGGTGAGAGTGAGATAAATCAGTTATCACACAGGTGTTTATTCTTATTTCAAAGCATTTTACATTTACTGCATTTAAATGTTACTGTACATTTTTCCAAAAGGAATCTGGCCTTTAAACGAGTACTGAAGGACCTAAATATCATGAGCTGATAGACAGGGAGGGTATATTAATTGTTACATTTGGTCCTAAATACTCCTATGTACACTAATTGTCCTAAATTTTTCACCATCTTGCTCCCATGATTGAGTATCATACCCCCATAGTTGAACATGTTTCCATGAAAAGAGCAAAATTATCCCCCCCTCCTCCCAGTTAATATTCTTGAAAAGCACAAAGATCTTTTGAATGTTATCTGACAATACAGGTGGCATTCAATGAGTAACTATTAATAATTTAGTAATATATGTCTTTTATTGACTCTTTAGATGTCATATCATGACATATTAGTCACTATTAGGTAGAGCAGTTCTTCCCATTGTCGTGTTGAAGAACTGATATCTTTATCCTGGCTAGGACCATCCAGTGCCAGCCTTTTATCGAGTTAGCAGCACTCTAGTAATCGCCGGTAAAGGTCAGCAGTCATAGGTCAAAGACAAATCACAAGAAGTGCTGTGATCTGGGTTTGAACCCAAGACATCTACTTTTCAGCCTGAAGCCAGTAATAAATTCGTAAAAATTCAATTAACACTGTTGAGGGGGGCCAAAAGCATTTTAAAAGCATTTTATTAACTACTAACATGGCAATATAAGAGTGAGTATCAGATTAACATTAATCTCCCTACCTTTTCTTTTTCATCATGATGTACAATCTTGACCTTGACCTTCAATGTTTGACCTTGACCTTCAGTGATGAGTGACCTTGGTCAATGTTCCAGAATCACTAAAATACTCCAGATATTCAAATTGAACTCAAACTTATATGTATGTTTTTTATATGTAGTTTCATTAACATATGTAAAGGTATGTGTATACATACTAAGGTTGTCGAGTGTTAAGGAGTGTACAGTTAATATTAATTGCACTTTGTTCGACCTGTTAAAAAATGTTGATTTAAAACAATCGTGAAATATTGAATATGACTACGGCTCTTTATCAGATATGCAAAAACATAGACAGGAAGTGATTATGTTCCGGTATATATTGCTCAATAAATATTCCATCTTGGAGAGATTTCAAACAATTTCTAGTTCAAAAGTAAACTATGAAAGGTAGTTTCATTTATCAACGATTGAGTATGGAATCTAGGAAATATGAATCATCATATAACAATTAGTTAAAACTATTACAATTAAAATTTAGACCATTATTAGTATTATTCTTATTCCAATTTGCGATTATTTTATTAAAGTTTGGTTATAGTTTTTTATAAATTTATTGTAATGTATTAAATTGTTTGTTTTGTTTGGCTCAGTCAATAAACCCAAAATTAGAAATTATAAGAAAAATATAATAAATACATTGAATATATTTAAAGCAAATCTTGGTTATATATTCAAATATATATATTCATTGCCATAAGAATTCTGAATTCTGATTCATTGTGAAAATTGCCAAATGGAAAACTGAAATTTTACAATTCACTCTTTGTTTTTGTTATGGCATGTTTTGGTATGACTTACAAATTTCTGTTACATACTCTTATAACTATAATACCATTAAGTTTCTGTTTCAACTTTTCTCACTTAACCATATGTGCTATGTAAACATATAACATGTGACAAGCTGGGACCATTGACAATTTGACATACAATACACACATACAATACACACCAACTTGAAAAATATGCAGATATGCCATCTTTTTACCAAAGTCAAAGACATAACTTAATATTTATGGTCAATGTACCTTACAGGCAGAATCAGATCTATAGGGGAGACAAAAGTACAAGCAAAATGTTAGACAATTGACCTACCAATCTATTCCAAATACATTGTTGTAAAATTTTTTAGTTTTCCTGAAATAAAGTTTGCACTTTTGTTATTTTTAGAAAATAGACAAGGAATGACATGAGCCAAAAATATTCTAAAATATGGGATGATCTCCAAGTACCAAAGTTGCTAAATAACAAAGTTGTTTTTGTTATGTTGGGGGAGTTCAATAGTGTAAAACTGTATGTATAATTAACATGTTGAGAGGGAGGGGGATTAACCTGTTAAACTAAATCAGCTGTTTCCCACAAACAAATCCTTAGAAAATATGAACACCTTACTTGGCGCCTCCTTACCTCTTGCATAAAGACGACTTAGCCAGGTTGACCACAGCTCGGACCATACACAACATTCACAATGTAGCGGCACAATGTATATTTGCAAGCCAATAAAGAAGCACAATGAAGTAGCACAATGTATCTTGATCACCTAATTTTCTTTTCCTTGGATGTTTACTTGAAAATGTTTATGACCACAGTAAGTTTAAACAAAGTTATGCATTAGTAGTTATTTAAAACATCTAGCATCAGCACAGTGTGTAACATCAAAGTGTCTTCCAGAAACATTTTAGATTATATCCATCCTAAATTTTATCACTACAGTATATCGAGCACAAAATATCTCTCAGGTGACTCCTTCCTTTGACCATTTAAAGTAAATATTACATGTACTTGGGTTGTCTTTTAGTTCTCATCAGTGTTTGAAATTGTTCATTAGCTTATTACAAAGTATCCAGAGTGAAAAAAACAGTCGATCGAAATTACTTCCTTAGGATGCAAATGTTTATTTTCATCCGTGCTATTAAATCAAGGTATGGTTTCTAGATTGCCAAGCATGGATTCATTAGTCTACATTCATAAGAATTGCCCTAATCTCAGCTCCCAAGTGTGATTAAATAATCCAGGATCAATGTTTGAGAGATACTGTTATTCAAAATAGTCTGTGTTATTCATGATATTCTGTGTTATCCATAATATTCGGTGTTATTCATGAAATTCTATGTTATTGATGATATTCTCTGTCGTTCATGAAAATCTTTCTTACTCTAGATGTTACGTTATAAATCTAAATTTTATTCGTTATTTTGCCATAATATGTTGCTATCTGATACTATGCCCATAAGCATTTCACTGAAAATTCTGTCTGCATTCTTATGCCATGAGGTAGATGTGTTAACGAAAACTGTTATATGACGGTCTTATATATAAAGGATTCACCTCTTTGATGTTATTGTTTACATGTGATTCACTGGCCTCATTTTCATAACTTAGCCTCATTCTGGATATTGGCAGACGTCTTGCGAGGCATGCGTCACCGAATTATGAATCAGGGAAAGAGTGGTTTGACAACAGATAATTTCTCAGTACTCTATTAGATTATGACCCGTACAAATAATCTTATTCTGGCTCCCCTCTTTTCAATCCATATTCCACCCCAGAAAAAAGGCAAAATAGCAAGGAATATTTAATCAGATTGAGTAAAGTTCGTTTTAATACATTCTATGTTTTGAGGTATTGGCTGTAATTATTTGAATCAATTGATTAAATCGATACATCTGAATTGTTTTTTTTAAATTGCACAGGAGTATATTATAAGTATATTGATTTATGTTCATAGCCCTGCAGAGTGTCTGGCCTTTTTCCACAGAATAAACTAATATGATTTGTAATGTCATGAAATAATATTATGAAATCTCAAAATAAATCTGATTTCATTTTGCCCTTATATGTTGCTGAAAACAATTGTATCTTATTTACAGTGGCTGCCTTTTTTTAATTTTTCATAGAATTATCGAGAGATAATATGGCAGGAATTCAAACTTTGAACAAAGGGCAAGAGGAGGAAACACAAAAACTTGATCTCTTGCCTGAGGGGCCAAAACTCGTTTTGAAATATGAAATTAACCCAAACTCATATGAAACTTACTGACAGTCATTACATCTTTTGTATTGCAACTTATAATATCCCTGACATAAGTTTTTCAGATGAAGTTTCAGATGACTAGCTCTAGATGCACTTTTATGCACAAAAATTCATACTTTTGAAATCAAGGGGGAAATATATTTGACACACTGTACATGAGGTTTCATTAGTAACTGGCGCTTTTCTCTGGAAAGTTGCCTGTTGTTTTGATAAATTTTCCAACTGTTTCCATGTTTAAATTATATGTTTATGGTTTTCATTCACTTTGATTATGGAAAGAAATTCCTATTACACCCCTTAATACTAGAAAAAAAACAAAAAAAAACATAAAACGAAAGTCATGTTTGACATTGTTTCACATAGTCCTAGTTTCTCTAATGCATTTAATTATACTAGAAAATGAAAAATGAAAATACTAGAAATTAACATATTTAAAACATATTCAAAATCATGTTTGACATTGTTTCACCTAAAACCAGGTTCTCTTAACATATCAATCACTGTGACTTAACATGGGTACCAATAGCTCGAAATGAAAATACCAAAAACACATTTATTTAAAATCATATTTTCGACGTTATTTCACATAAAACCAGATTCCCTAACATATTAATCACTGTGACTGCTGCAATGTACTTGCAATAACATGAGTACCAGAACCTCTGGTTAATCATTAATGCTTCAGGAAATAGTATCTCATCAACTCACAAATGACTCATACAGCAAAATCTGTTTCATGTAAGCACCATGGGGACCAGATTAATAATAGTAGACCTATGTTAGCCTTACTAAAGTGTAAATATAGGGGGGGGGGTTCTATAGGAAATAAAATGTGCTTGATTGTAAGGAAAATGGGGTCCTTCATAAACACTTTATTTAATAATTTAACAGTATTTTCTCAAAGCCAGAAGTTCTTTTGATTATTTCTCCATAATAATTTTGTTTATGATTTTTGATTTTTTTACAATTTTGTTTACAATTCACAAATACATTTCACTGGCAGACCCATACCCCCCCCACCCCAGTGGGCCCAGAAAAAAAAATTGGGTTCAAACAAAAAATTTGTAGGGTCTCAATTAGTGGGCCTTTTGGACATTACTGGCCTTTTTGGCCCTTTTTAGGCCAAATTATCAAAGAATGAGCTCAAAACACAAATTACCCTGGTCGTCTCCCAATTGGAATCATATTCACTTGGTCATCCCCTTTCATACCCCGAATGAGTTTTAACTGAAACCCTATGCCTTACCTTGACAGTGTACTGGTTAGTCTGACGGGAGGGGCGGGGGGTTTCTCCCCTTCTTCTAAGTCTGATGACATCACAATGTGTCCCAGTCACCTTTCAGTGACTAACTGAATATCTGCAATCATAAATAACACTGATACAATATACAGCTTTCTAAAATGATGGCCAATTGTACATTCAGGAGAATACCCTTTGTAAATCATTGTTCCAGTGCCCTGATGTATAACTGAATTGAGGAATTTAATGCTTGCAGGTAACCCATAACTGATTAAATCAAATATGAGTCAAAACACAGTTCCTTTGATTTCATTTCATTCATTTTTGAAAACAGGAATTTTGAGCTGGCATTGTTGCCGCAGTATTGTTTTTTAAGTTTTGATATAATCTTGTACATCCATTTGAATAATGTAAGAATACGCTGTCCTTTAAAAAAATTATTAAATGTATCAATGGTTGATATAATTTACTCAAGTCTCTAGTACTTGGCTAGAGGTGATTTCATCTGGAGTGAACTCCATTTGAAAAAAGCTGGCTGCCGTGTCATAAATTTATTGAATATTTTAAAAATCGCCAGATAAATAAATCATTAATTAAAACGGAACCGGCTCGGCTCCTTGATGAGATATGACATGATTTCATCAGCATTTCGTCTAAAATTAAAACAAAATGGCTCCAAGAAAAATGGCGATGTTCGAAAACTGGACGAAATGTCGTTAATGTCTGACATTAGTAACTGGCTGTAAATTCTCAGTTGGCAATCCAGAAGATGTGAACTAATACACTGATCACTTTATGTGTGTTTTGGAATTTTTGGTGAGGTAATAAGACCAAAAGTCGCAATTCAAAATGTGATATGGAAAAATGGCGGACATATGGTTTCAAATTTTATGATATGACCAGTTGTTCATGCAGGAATTTATCTTTAATGGAAGGCCACGACACAGTGGCCTTAGAAGAAGGTAAGATACAATATCCAGTGGGGTATAGGGCAAAGGGGTGTAAAGTTGACGTGTGAGGAAATGTTGACACTTACTTATTAGAAGTAGAATTTCCGTTTTTGGCCATGTTTAAATTCTGGAAAAATTAAAATCTTGCGAGCTCTCAAACCATGCTAGAAAAATACACCCCTTCGCCCTATTGCCTAAAATAATTCAAAAAATTAATAGAATATCGAATATTCTTCAAAACGAGGTACCTGGCAAAGGTTATCTCACCTAATAACGTGTTCTCAATAAATGATACTTTCACGTAATGAGACACAACAGTCATTAAACTGTAACTGAATTTAGATCTATCAGTTTCTGTTAGATATTCCTCGCCCAGAGTGCAGCCTGTCTACAGCAGCAGGTCTCAGATTCAATTTGAGAGGCTGATCCCTGTTCCTACCACATTTAAAGTTAAGTCACTATTTTGAATATACTGTTCTTCATTAACATACCATCTAAACAGTGAATAGTACTATCTTTCAGCAACAGATAAGATATTCACTGTGAATCTGAATGAGTCATTTCACCGGTTCGGAAATGCCAAATTTCAAAGTAGTACTGTTCGATATATCACCACCTAAAACCGCTCAAACCTTATCAACCTTTGCAATACATACAAGTCCAAAGGTTGACGAAGTTTCGTCTAAATCGGATAGAGGTAAATAAGTAAATACTAGAAAATGAACTTACATTGAAAAGTTTTTTGTACACAGGAAGTCAATATGGCGAAGTCTCGTTTAACTCTCGCATATGCGCGAGATCAATAATCAAACGGCAACGCCACTGCATAGAATAACCCCAGGAACATTTTTTCTCCCGGGATATGTAATACCACAAAGAAATAAGGTGAATATGTAGATTGAAAACAATAACGGTTCATATAAGCATATAGTTTGCACAACTGCAAGAGATTATCATCATATTTTATTCAAATTCTATCACTGTGCAGTGTTCTGTCAATAGCACTTGCACTAATGTTTATTGTAGGCCTACAAAAAATATCCGACTTGAAAAATATATTGATATGATATGATGTATACTGCAAAGTTATCCTTTTCACAAAAATAAGACTAAAATTGGTCATGCACATTTTTCTCATTTTCAAGGGGTGCAAATGGATTTTCAAGCGGGTGCAAGCATATGCCAAGGGGAAAGTAGTAGTAAGCTTAATATTGAAACTTACGGGTTGACAACTTCAGTTGAAAGTCTTTCAAAAACTTGAAGTCTTGGCTGGTCCTTACTGTGGTATCAAATTATATTCCCAAATCTCTCTAAAATCTTCTTCAAAGTGTGATTATTGATTTTTTCAAATCATGTTCATCTGAACACGTATGGGTGGAAATACCCCATAATAAAATTAATCAAATACATATCGTTTATCGATTGATGCTGTGTCGTTTTGTATTATTGTACGGTGTAACATTTTTTACCACAAAAAGTCGTTAAATAAATTATTGAGAATAATTCAAAGTGAAGTTTGTAACCTTTGGTCATAAGTCAATCCGAAACTACTCTGACATTCCTTGTTGTACAATTAAAATCAATTTCGCATTTACCAGAATTGAAACTCACTTTCCAGAATTTTACAATAAAAGGAAGTGGGTGGGTCAAGGTGACAATTAAAAATCATTCATGAAAGTAGTCTATCGCATAGCGGGACTGTTATTTATTCCATGTCTCAAAAGTACTGTTCCAATGTAGTAGGCTTAACAAAATGATCAATTGCTACATGTAAAGAAATTAATTGTTGATGATTTGAAATTTATTTTTTGAAAATTTGTCACAAAGGTTTTTGCTCGTTTCGCTTTTATAGGAAATTAGCACGAGGATATAAATAAAAGTTACACGACTTTTCTCATAACTCAACTAGTCCCCTTGAGAGTGGAGTGTCAACATATTGAGGTGTTATTTAAATAAAAGAGAAATTAGCGATCACTGGTAAACACTCATAATTTACGTATCAGTTACATTTAAAATAAATCAGCCAAAAATGTCTAATATTAAGAAACTTTTTACGGGGAAGCTAAACAAAGTTTCCCAAAAGGGTAAAACGAAAAATTCTCAAAATAAGCGACGTCCTTCTGGGTTCATTAATGATGGTGAAAACATTGATGTCTTTTTTGAAACAGTATCGGAGGATGCCAAACGTAAACAACGTCGAAGGGGAACGATAGATTGTACACCAATCCACACCAATGTAGGAGTCACACCAATCCACACCAATGTAGGAGTCACACCAATCGACATCAATGATGAAGTCGATGGCGTTTGTGATATTAACACCAATGAGCACATCAATAACGCTGACAAAACAGCAGAAAATGCAATGCATAATCAAACTGATACCACCAACAAATCAAATCAAACTATTCATGAAACTGATCATATAACGAGTAATGGAAAGCAACACGCGAATGATTTGGAAAATGAATTTGCAGTTGCAGATGGGGACGAAATCACGGGTGTTAATAATGTCACAAAGGAGAAAATACAAAAGAAGCCGTTACAGAGAGAAATCAACTTAAGTCTTTCATCAGCGAGCAGCAGCACGTCATGTAGTGGTAACGTAATTAATTTTTATGTTATGATTTCTATTTACAAATTCAAAATTATATTAAAATCATGGAATTCTCGTTAAAACTTGAGCATTAAAATATGAAATCTAAATACGTTACCATCCTGTTTTTGGTGTTTGCTTAGTTGTATCTTTTGTTTTAATATACAGGGTCAGACTATGAAATCAACAATGAGGATTGGAGAGGATCCGTCACGTGTGAAGATAACGCTACTAGTGGACCCGGTGGTGGTGTTTCGCGACACATGTATGACACAATTAACATGAGGAACGATGATAACATTGGGGTATTGCATTTTAGTATATATATTTTTTTTTAAATAGTCTTTATTCAGCTTTTGGTCATTTTACATAACATAAACAATGACATAAAATAGATAATTCATACAATTTTCATTTTAATAGTTTTGATACAAATCCACTCTGAACAATAAAATTCCACTTTGAACAATAAAATACATTTTAGTATATCAATTAACTATTGGGGTATTTCTTTAAAGTGTTTTATGACATTATCGAGACAAAGTGTAATATTGAGATATTTCTTGAAAGTATCTGATGAAAATATTGAACTATTGCTTGAAAGTATCTAGTGGCATTTTAGACGTTATTAAGAAGGTACGTATCATATACGAAACTTGACTTTTGCCTGAAAGTGTGCTCCAGATGGCGTTTTCGGGCATTGCTTGGAACTCCGGGCTGGAACTATTGATATCGTGATCGAAAGTGTCTTATAATATTTCAAGGCATTGTTTCAAAGTATCTCATGGAACTGTTCAAGTACTCCTTGCAAATATGTTGTGTTATTTTTGAGACATTGCTTCAAAGGTATCTACTGAAAGTTTTGCTTGAAAGTATATTGTGATACTAATGAAGTAATGCTTGAAAGTGTCTTATGGTACTGTCAAGAATTTTAGACATTGCTTGAAAGTATTTCATAACACTGGTGAGAAATGGCTCCAACGTACATATGTATCTCGTGTAACCTTATCCGAATAGCCACGTGTACCTGTCACTATCTACTTTTTTTCTTTTCTATTTGCTTCATGTTGTAAATTTCGAATGATCACCCAAAATGTTAGATATACATTTTACCATGAAATGCAATATGATATGCTCTACATGTGATGAATCACGTCTTTAATCGAATACACGTGTAATAATCATAATCTACTTAACATTTTTTAATCATTAAACAATACCTCATTTAAGGCCTCGAGGGCAAATCATCTGATCTCCAGGGGGGGGGGGGGTCATACCGTATATTCAAAGAAGAAACCTTTATGTTGGGTTTGGAGGGAGGAAAAGACACATGCCATATAGGATTCGCATTTTTGAATTAAAATCTTTGATAGAAGAGAAAAACTATTTTGGGACTAATGATTGATCTGAAGAAAATTGAAATAATCAGATCGAATATAAGAAACCAATGTCGCCAAAATCAAATGGTCCGCACATATTGAGCCTGAGCACTTTACATACTTGACACTTGAGGAGAATCACTCTCATCGGTTTACATGAAATCATCATGACTTTTTCACACCCAACTCTTAAAAATCTTCCTGTAACGTAACGTCATGTATATTTCAATTGTACCTTCTTTGTACGCCTCCAAACCACCTGTGCTTCATGTCACATGAGTTTCATATGAAATGCTCATATTTAACATCATATAATATGAGATAAGAGTTTACAACAAGGGGAAGATATATCAAGACATATACTTGCTATTTGTGAATCATTTCAGTGAAAGATAATCAGCCTTTGTAAAATGCTCGGTTCAGCATTTCCCTTAATAGAAATTCGAACTTTTGTCTTTGGAGAAATGTATTTTATGACACCCAAATTCACTCATAATTCTCAAAGGCGCGATAGAAACAATGAGAAAACATGTTTATGAAAAGATGGCAGTAAACTCAACATGTAAGTACACTAGTACAGTACTGTAAAACCTATCCAAGTGAAACACATGTGGCACCTCGAAAAAGTATATTCCACTTGAGACGTGTTTCACTTAAGAGGCACATTTAACATTATGTCAGTTGGTCTTGGGGCTCTGAAAAGTGTTCCACTTACAGAGGTGTTCCCCTTCTAGAGGTGTTTCACTTTAGAGGTTTCACTGTATGTAGGCCATATCTGTAAAATATGAACTGCACGGCTGCCATCTTTATATATGTCTAAAACCTAATTCTGATGTTCTCTTCTCCTCTATGTTATCTTGTTGTTCTGGCAAAAATCATTTCATTTACAATTATACAGTATTAACAATATAATATGATTTATTTGTACTGATGCCCTGTTAGGGCCAAACGTACAACCAAAATTAAAGAAATAAAGTACAGCAAAAACAACAAGGCGATTATATGCAATGAATTTGAGTAAAATAATCCGATTAGCAGTCAAACCCTACTTGTTGCTATTATAGCCACTCTCCATATTCATCTTCTGAAGTGTATTATGCATAGGCTTAGGTCGATAGAAATAATTTTCAAATAAATAAATAGAAAAATATAATACTGGATTCTGTTGGTGCTGCCATCTTTATATCGGCCCAAAATCTATACTATTATGACATCCATTTAACAGGACAAGGATGAACTGATACGGACGTTGAGGAAACAGCTGAGCATAACAGAGATCAAGCTGCAGGAGGCGACAAAGAGTGAGGTGCTGGCCAACCAACGGAAGATCAGCCTTATGTATCAAGTTGAGGAGAGGGACGAGATTAAACGAACCTACCAGCGAGATGTGGTGAGTGATGTTGGTCACTGGCATCGGAAATATCTAAACACAACCTTGTGTCCTTGTTGCTACGCACATAAAAAAAGTCAATCAAATATTTACCATGTGGTCCTTTTAACTCTCAAAGGACCGGATTGTTTTCATACCAAGTTTTTCACTTTCAGTGCATCAATTTTGTGGATTACATGTTATATTATGGTAAAGTACATTGTTTTGATGGCAAAGAAGAGATGGAAATCTTTAAAACGATATCTTCATCTTGAAAAAACACAACTGGGAAGATATTTTTCTACTTTTGGGAAAACAGCCATCATGGACTTAAATTCTCTGGTTGATATATCAGCCAGCAGTCCTTTAAGGGTTAAGAAAAAGTTCAAAATGTTTCACAATAAGGGTTTTGTATTTTTGTCCTACCCTGTACAATAGGTGTTTATACATAATTGGTTTAAAATGGACTGGACGGGTATCTATATTTATATGTATAAAATGCTCTATATGTTCCCACTTGAGGATGAGTCTCAGAAGACAATAGAAAGACTATCCAAGAAGATTATAACTCAAGAAGATCAGTTGTTCCATCTTGAAGACACCAATGAAGAACTTACTGCTAATCTCAAAGAGGCCAATGCCAAGTAAGAAATGCTTAACGTCATATAAAATGTTTCTTTTGTTTAGGCATGGGCTTAGATGTTAATGTCTTCATCAATGATGGTTTCAAAATTTTTAAGGTCTATTAAGGTCTTCATACTTATATTATGGTTCTAAAATTAGGTCTTCACAATATATTGCTTACATTTAGGTTATCAAGTTATGTTTGGATTGTTTAAATGAATACTAGTCAAAATTATAGTTAAAATAGACAAAAATCCTCAAATAATGGATGAGTCAAAGTAAATACATCTTAGTGCTGCCATAAGGAAACACAGATGGCATATATTGTACACGTATGAATGGAAAATAAATTAACTTCATGTTATGTAGGATGAAGCAGAACAGTGTATTAATGGCTGCCACTGATGATACCCTGAGGGAGCTTCAAGAGGAAAATAAGCACATATTACATCAAAATGTAATTCTTGAAGAAAGTGTTTCAAAACTGAAAGACCAAAAAGAAGGTTAGGAATATTTTTTATGATTTAAGTACAAAGGGAACCAAGTATTTTTAGTTAAATGCCTACTTGTTTATTAACAGAACGACATAGATTCATTGAAGCATGGCATCAGACCAACAAGAAATGACCATTGGGCACGAATCATTGTAATACCCATTATGAAATCCATGAATCAAATAGGCAAATTAGGATGAATTTCATAAACTTAAAAAAATTTTCATCAATAAATGATATCTTAGGACTATGGTGCCATCATATTACCAGAAAAAGGTTCAAAGAGGGCAACAATTGCAAACTACCCAATTTAGCTTTACAATGGAGTTGTACATGTAGGTCTAACAAACAATGTGTCATTTTAACATTTGTAGTTATGGACCATCAGAAGTGGGAACTAATTCAAGAATTGAAGGAAGTCAAAGCCCAACTAGATAAGGAGAAAGCAAGAGTGACTCAACAAGAAAAAGAAATCAGTCTTCTTAAAACAAGCCTTAAAGCAATAAAAACCAAGATGGAGGAACAAAAGCATCCAACTAACGAGCTCAAACTTGTGTTGAAAGAAGGGCTCACATCTTTGAGAGATGATATCCTCAATGGACAAATCAGTCCAATAGATGGAGCCACTGTATTTCAAGATGGCCACCACAAAGGTCAAGGTCAAAGAAGAATGAGTGATTTTGAAGTATCTCAGCCCAATAGAAGAGGCAGTTTAACATTGATGGGGAATATAAGCAATCGACGAAGGCATAGTGAACAGCTTGGACAGCTGCCACTTAGAGGGCGGAATGGTTTGCTTACTCGTAGAGGAAGTGAGGTTCCTATTCCATGTATTCTAGAAAAAGATATAACTGATCTGACTGAAGAACACCTAGAGATGAAACACTATTTTGTGTAAAGGCAGTTTTTTTTCTAGAATTTCTAACAACGGGCTAAATAAATGAAAACAACAGCAAAATCAATGGAAATCATTTTAACATGGAAATGTTGAAAAGTCCCTAAAAACAATAGGCGACTGTGAAAACCAGTGAAAATCACCTGTTGCCTGCTGCTAATGAAACCACTGAAAAGCATTAAACATTTTAACACTTCTTGTACAATGTTATGCCATATCTTATACACTTTTGAAGTATTAGTAAAATCATAAGTTTACTGACTTTGACTATTCAAATGAATCTTAGATACATGTACATGTAGTTGTCTTTCATGCACACAATAGTTTGCTAGGAATTATTTTAAAATCAAACGTTCAGCACTGTTGGCCCCACTATAGGAAAATGTACCCAGTTCGATCAAGCAGGGCCTGTATAAGAAACTAAAATATATATTTATTTTTTTGTAAATAATTTCAGTTTTGACTTATTGGACTATATAATGTACTCAGCATGCCAAAAATGTAATCAGATCTTCAACACTAGTCTGCTCTTCCATCTGTAAAACGTTCATTTGGAATGGATGAGCAGTTTTACAAGAATTTTGATGACAATGTTTATATGACATCACGTCTGCCCATCCACCCAGCAGCACAAGACAATGCCAATACACTTTGGAACCTTCAACTTGAATGTACCTAGAATCTCAGTTGGTACGGGATACATGTGTTTGGAATTGGGAGGTTTTTGGATAGAGTGTTTGCCCTGAGGGAAATATGAGTAAAAGCATCTTTGAACAATGACGTTTTAATGCCAATTGGTACCATTGGAAAGTTACCTGTTTATAAAAATATAGGTGGATATATTATGTCAGACAGATGTGACCAGTGCTTATACGACTCATATAATAAACCGCTAAGGCCAAAGCCACTAGTGACATCTATTTATCTATCCAAAGAGGAAGTTCTTCCAACAGCACACTCCAAATCCTTTCAAAAAGAAGCAACTGTACATTTTGTTAAATGTAATTATGTATTTATATTTTGACCCCAGTATAAGTATATATTACACATCATATATAAAAAATTAACAATACCTTTTGATATATTGTAAATGAATGTAAATATAACTAAATCACCAACAATCATTCACAGTTACTGCAATATAAGTAAAACAATACACAGTATACTATGTTAACAATATACACATGTTAAGTTTATACAAAGACAATAATTTTATCTCCTATAAAACAAATACAATTTATTAGATCTAGAGTATCTATCGGTATCAATTTTGGATTATTAAGAATGGTGAAGTCAACTCTAAGAGTTTTTCCTAAATTCCTATAATAAAAGCGTTAACTCTCAACTTACTCTCGTACATGTGGATAACAGAAATACATTTTACAGATATTTCAGAAAAATCACTGTACCATAGTAATGTTTCATTATTAAGTAACCGGGCAAGTACAGGTAAAATAAGTAAAAGGTAATAATGGATTTCTTTAAACTTTTTAAACAATGGAATAATAACACAGTCTTTCTTACTGAGACAAGCATCAAACATAAATGTGTCACAAACCAAAAAGGTTTGAGTTAGAAAACTACATTTCTTATTAAAAAATGTTTAATCTGTAATCATTTCAAAATCTTTTCCTTGAAAATTATTATTCAATACAGTAGAACCTGCTAAGTGAAACACAGTCAGTGGAACATCTCACATGTGGAACAGTGTTTTTAAAGTCCCACGGCCTATTTACACCATGTCAATGAACCTCTGGAAGTGGAATACCTCCCAAGTGGAACACTTTTTAGAGGTCCAAATGGTGTTCCACTTACACAGGTTCTACTGTATTACATTTTTAGGTGTAGCTCTTATTTAACATTTGCCATTTTAAAAAATTCTTAAAGAAAAATATGAACATGTCATGAATCTTCTGATTTAACACAGTCAACTATACAAAATAAAACCTGTCTTAGTGAACACCTCTATCTACACTCCAAAAATCAAATCTGATTTTTGACGCTGTTTCGGTGCCAAGTTACAGTACGTTTCGGCACCAAATGGACTGACTAGTCCAGTGCCAAATTTTGGAGTCGAAGGGTTTCAGTGCCGGAACGGTGCCAGAATAGCGCCAAATTTTTTCGATACTGAAACGGCGCCACATTATATTGGCTGTGTAGTGAACACTTGTGTACAGAGAACACCACTTCAAGACAAATTTTACATTGACTCCTGTAAAAACCCTCTCAGCTGTGAACACCCACCCACAATGAACACTTGTTGTGACTCCATAGGTGTTCACTATACACAGGGCTTACTGTATTCCCCAAAATACCTCAAATTGACATGCCCATTTTATTAAATAAATAAACTATGTAATACATATATTTATATGTAAATAATATATAAATTGATCAGTTGTTTGGTTTTAGGGAATGTAGTGATAAAGAAGAGATACATCAGCTGTATGTTATAATGGAGACTATATTTGTTATTAATTAAGCACTAGGTGTTTGAGTTGTTTGGTTTAGGTCATTCAAATGCAATATTAAACTGATGTCCCAAATGGTCCATAGGCCCATTTTAAACCAATGTCCCAAAAGGCCCATAGTAAACTAATGTCCCAAAAAGGTCCATATTAAACTGATATCCCAAAAGGCTCATATTAAATTGATTCCAAATGGCCCATATTAAACTGATGTCCCAAAAGGCCTGTAGTAAAAATTTGTCCCAAAAGGCTCATATTAAACCGATGTACTAAAAGGCTCATATTGAACCGATATTCCAAGGGCTTGTAGTAAACCATTGTCCCAAAAAGCCCCAAAGGTTCATATTAAACTGATGTCCCAAAAGGCCTGTAGGCCTGCTTGAAGTGTTTTGAAACATATCAGTAGTTTATCCTATTTCCGCATAAAGCTGAGAATGGCATCATAATCAATAGGCCTGCATAGCGTGAGAGTCAATGACTTTTACACACTAAAACATTTCATTGTGCTTTATGTGTAGAAGGTCAATATTTTCTGATATCATATGTTCCGAGTATTCTTGGGTTTCCTTAGACCAATGATCATTTTCTTGTGAAACTTATTAAATTGAAATAAGGGAAACATTTTGTTTTTTGCTTTGAAAAACATTGGATATTGAGAGTCCAATACTGTAAGTTTAGGGTTCAATAAGGTCTAACAAACAGGGAAGGAAATATAAGGCTCTGGGCCCTCTTAATATAATAGTTTCACAAATTATGTTTGTAGTTTAAACCTAGCCTAGCCCTAAACTCTGATAAATATATGTGGTAAGTTTATTCCTCCTTGGTAATATCATGGGCTTTCAAGAGTTGAAAGCCCATGGTAATATCATACATGTAGCTCTGCGAATCCTGGGAAATTATAACTTCGTATTCGGAGCACATTCCTCTAGTGCAAGGAAATCTCATTTGACGTCTTATTTGATCGTCACACTGGTTTTTGAGAACTCTGATAAATATGTGTGGTAAGTTTATTCCTCCTTGGTAATATCATACATGTAGCTCTCTGAGAATCCTGGCAAATCAACTACGTATTCGGAGCACATTCCTATTGCAAGGAAATCTCATTTGACTTCTTATTTGATCGTCACACTGGTTTTTGAGATATACCATGAACATGTTCCGTTTCAGATTCCTGGTCTGAAAAGTCAACGAGAATAAATTCATCTTCCTCGGCATCCACCCAATTCTCTACCTGGTGTGTCCTGGATTTTATGTGGTGAGTCATGGCATGATCTGGCCGATCGGAATGTAAGTCAGTGTTGGCGTTGAAGCTGGCAGTGACTGGGCTGGGGCTTGTATGACCAGCACGTTGCCTCTTTGGCCTGAAAGAGTTAAATATAAAAACATGTTTACAAGATTCATGACAAATACTTTTTAGACTGCGCTAAGGGAGTGCTGATTCTGAAATAATATTCTTACATTTTTCATGTTTATCATCTTTGTGTGCATAATATGGCCTAAAGTGTCATCCACCTCTATATCTGTATTTTTCACGAAATGTTTGAAAATAAATAAATGAAATTAAAGAAAATGAAATGAATAATAAACAAAGCATTTAAATTTCATTCCATTGAAGTATCTTATTCTAGATTGAGCATTCATCTATTTTCGATAGGGACATTTTAAACATAAATGAATACAAAATGGTGTAGAAATATGAGAAAAGTGTATATACGCTAGACTACCCAGATAGCAAGAAATGTATTCACTACCTTTAAGTCCCAATAGTGATGTTATAGGTGTCCCATAGCTAGCTCTATGTTAGCCTGCAAGATGCAGTGAAACATGGATGAACATTATAATTCAAATAAATTTAAACAATAAACACTTGTAAAATAAAAGCGTGCATGCATTTTTCAGCTTCATTGTGGTCAGTTTAAAATGTCTTGATGACTCTTTTTATTGGGAGAAATTAAACACCAAATTATTTTAATTTTATTTTTTATAAATATCTAACCACAATGCAGCTTTAAAGAAAGTACAACTGTATATATGAAATAGATGTACACATGCAATTTTTAAAATTTTAAAAATCAAACTAAAACTTTATAAACAAAATTAAAAGGTCAATGTACAGCAGAAACAACATTAAGTGCTTACAATGTAACATGCCAGGGCTGCCAAGTTGCCGAGGGGGTTCACTTTTTAAAAAAATCTATCGGGGTTCACTTTTAACAACTTTGGCCCAAAAAGGATCAAAATCACTTGAAAGGTGCTCAGAATGGTGAAAAACTGTATGATTTTGAAAGAAGGGGTGGGGGGGGTTCATGCTCATGTATAACCAAAATTTTTTAAAGTAGGTAAAGATGTTAAATGCAATTCAAATTGATCATTAATAAAAAAGATGTTTTAATCACTTTTCAAAAGTAGGTATACATGTAGGTAAGTTTGCCCCAACTGCCGAGGAATGGATCATGTGGAAAAATTGGATGCAACGATCAATTTATATTTGTAGGATGCCTAAGGTTGTCACAAAATAATTAAAAGTGAGCAAGAACTAGTCCCTTTCCAATGGTATTTTGTTTCTAACAATATTTTTAACTTATGAGTTTGATAGAAGATTAAAAGTATTCAAATGTCAACTGTTATTCATAGCTTTGGCAGGATAGTTGATATGTATCATCCTATTAGAAAAATTACTGATATTTTGAAAGGGTGAAAATATATTTTGAAGAGTACAAAAAATATGTGAATGGAAGTACATGCATATCCCCTTTAGAGATACTGTCAATCAAGAAGGCTATTACCAGAGTTAAGATTTATGCAGTAGTGATCTCCCTAGTATGATCTTAATGGTTAAGGCTTGCACCCACCTGAGAATCCATTTGCACTCGCAAAAATAATGTAAAAAAGGCAAATTTTGACCAAATGTAGTGTACTCTAAATTGTGAAAATAAGAATTTTGCCCCCTCTTGAGAAAAAATCATAGAGAGAACACTGCAAAGTTTATAGATAGTATAGTAGAGAGTATATAAGCGTGCTGCATTCAATCACAATACCTATTATGCGGAAAGTTTGTACCTTCGAGACCTCAGTTGCCATAGAGACATTCTCCAGAGAACTGGTGCCAGAATGAGGCTCAGTGTCGTCACACTCAGAATGAGAAGATAAATCTGGAATCAATCAGAATCTTGGATTAAATGTAGAACAGTACATGTATAAATAATTCTTAATGCAATGATCAACAGTATGCATTCAGTAGGCTCATTCAGCCTCAATGTCTTCAGGTCTTGGTGACTATTTGTTTATTGGGAATACCCTCTAAGACTGTAACAAAGTTTGAAGTAACCCTAGATTGAACAACTATTCATTTAAATATGGTCAGTAAAATTGAGTAAAGGTAGAGACTGGCAGACCACAGTCTAAGTTCAAATAGGATTCAGTGCAAGTTCATATTGAATATTTCAAGTTAAAATGAGTGTGGAATTTAACGTTTATTTTTTCTACTCTAAGCATACTTCATACACTTCTCTAGAAATGAGTCCTAGCTGCCTTGCTCTAGAGCCAAACACAAAGGAGAATTCGAATTGGAATTTTTTTAAGTTAAAATGGGAGTGTCATCCGATTAGATTTTCTTTGCCAGAACATACCTCTCTAGAAATGAGTCCTAGTTGCCTTACTCTAGAGCCAAACACAAAGGAGAATTCGAATTGGAATTTTTTTAAGTTAAAATGGGAGTGTCATCCGATTAGATTTTCTTTGCCAGAACATACCTCTCTAGAAATGAGTCCTAGCTGCCTTGCTCTGGAGCCAAGCACAAATGAGATTTGAAATTGAATATCTTAAGTTAAATGGTAGTGGATTAGATTTTCTTTGCCAGAACATACCTCTCTAGAAATGAGTCCTAGCTGCCTTGCTCTGGAGGCAAGCACAAATGAGATTTGAAATTGAATATCTTAAGTTAAATGGTAGTGGATTAGATTTTCTTTGCCAGAACATACCTCTCTAGAAATGAGTCCTAGCTGCCTTACTCTAGAGCCAAACACAAAGGAGAATTCAAATTGTAATTTTTTAAAGTTAAAATGGGAGTGTCATCTGATTAGATTTCCTATGTCAAGACATACCTCTCTAGAAATGAGTCCTAGCTGCCTTACTCTGGAGCCAAGCACAAAGGAGAATTCAAATTGTAATTTTTTAAAGTTAAAATGGGAGTGTCATCTGATTAGATTTCCTATGTCAAGACATACCTCTCTAGAAATGAGTCCTAGCTGCCTTACTCTGGAGCCAAGCACAAAGGAGAATTCAAATTGAATATCTTAAGTTAAAATGGGAGTGGATTAAATTTTCTTTGCCAGAACATACTTCTCTAGAAATGAGTCCAAGCTGCCTTGCTCTGGAGCCAAGTACAAACGAGAACTCACTGACTTGTGCCAAACCGGCAGCTACTATCCACTTGTAGTGTTTAGCTGACTTTGGAAGTAGGAGACCCAACACAAACACACTTGTGAAGAACTGAAAAAAATGAGATTATTTCACTTAAATGCAAAATTCAATTGGGTTCTAGTGTGCATATCTACAGCTACAATCCACTTGTAGTGTTTAGCTGACTTTGGAAGTAGAAGACCCAACACAAACACACTTGTGAAGAACTGAAAAATGAGAATATTTCACTTAAAGGAACAGTATTAAACAGTGGACTGGTGTGCATATCTACAGCTACTATCCACTTGTAGTGTTTAGCTGACTTTGGAAGTAGGAGACCCAACACAAACACACTTGTGAAGAACTGGAAAATGAGAATATTTCACTTAAATGCAAAATTCAATTGGGTTCTAGTGTGCATATCTACAGCTATAATACATTTGAAGAGCTTGACTGAATTAGAAAATTAGACAAGCAACACATATATACATCTGTGAAGATCTGTAAAATACATATAAGTACACTGTATAATATAATTATACAAGAACACAAATGTATACAAAATGTCCCCACCAATGGGTGATCCCATCAAATGGTTATCCTGAAAATGAGTAGACAAGACTTTACTGACACAATTTGAGGACGAAAAGTCAAAAATGGCCGCCTTAAAATTTACCCAGAATCCCCCAAAATTAGCTAGTTCTAGATTTTCATACTAAGAACCACCCCTGAAAATTTGAAATTGATCCGTCAAACAGTTAAACAAGACTTTACAGACAAGATTTTAGGATGGAAAATCCAAAATGGCTGCCTTGACATTTACCCAGAATGTCAAAAAACTAATCAGTTCTAGATTTTCATACTAAGAATCATCCCTGAAAAGTTGAAATTGATCTACCAAACGGTTCACCTGAAAACGCGTAGACAAGACTTTACAGACAAGATTTTAGGACAGAAAATCCAAAATGGCTGCCTTGACATTTACCCAGAATGCCAAAAAACTAATCAGATCTAGGTTTTCATACTAAGAATCATCCCTGAAAATTTGAAATTGATCTACCAAACGGTTCACCTGGAAATGCGTAGACAAGACTTTACAGACAAGATTTTAGGACAGAAAATCAAAAATGGCTGCCTTGACATTTACCCAGAATGCCAAAAAACTAATCAGATCTAAATTTTCATACTAAGATTCATCCCTGAAAATTTGAAATTGATCTACCAAACGGTTCACCTGAAAACGTGTAGACAAGACTTTACAGACAAGATTTTAGGACGGAAAAAACCAAAATGGCCGACAATAAAAAAGTGATTACGAGTTTTTGCTGATTTCCTTTTACAAAATTATCACATATAACTACTGTTAACAATAACATAGGCTTTTTCAACAAAGTACACCTGAAATTATTTATAAAGCTACTAAATAGTTAAAGTATGAAAACTCAAAAACACCATTCAATATGATACAAAGTATTATCGCACGCTAACTTTTCTTCAGACATTCAAAATGGCTGACATGACTAGGCTAACAGGTCCAAAACCTAATCAGATGTAGAATGAAGTGAGCTGAACAAGATGTTAAAGTTTTAAAAGCAACTGTGAAGCCGTTTTTCTTAAAGTTTGCAGACAAGGATTTTAGCATTTGACCTCAAAATGGCCGACAGGAAGTAGCTATCGAGTTAATTTTTTGTCATCCACATCTGTATGCACTCACAAGTTATTCCTGAAAATTTGAAGGTGATACCTGTAGCGGTTTTGGAGAAAACTGCCGGACGTACGGACGGACAGACAGACAACCAGACGGACAGACAGACAGACGGACGGATGAATGGACGGACACTATGTGGTGGGGACATAAAAAGCATAATGTAATAGGGTATTTGTATTGGCTTTACATGCATCTGCAATTGCTATCCAAATATAGGTGGGGGAGGGGGTGGCCGAGTAAGACAGGGAGTTTATAAGTGTCATTTGACAATTCATAATTTCAATTTATAGGCCAGTCAACTTGGTGTTGGGTGTAAAATAGTATTCAAGGTATCAAATTTTGAACTAAGTGCAGCTGCAATGAATTGAGTAAATTATGCAATAGGGTTCACTTAATTAATTCCTCATTCCATTGAGTGTATTAACATCTTTGCAAGTGTGCTTCAGAGTGTCAATTCCCAAATAGATTGGTTCTACCCCACTGCCTTTCTGCTAAAGAGATCAATACCTTAAAGCCAACAACTGCCATTGTGAGTGTGGTCAAGATTGTCACTTCATATGCCAGGAATGATGGAAACACATGGAGACCTGAAATACATGTATATAGTAAATAAACAAGTAGTGCCCAATTTAATCTAATGCACTATTTTCAGGTAAATAAAAACAGTATTCCAACACACACAATCACAACATACTACAATTGTTCAGTAGTGGCAAATTAAGAATTTCTGGGGAAAAAATATGATGTCACGAACAGAATTTGAGTTATGGATTTTATATGGTAATGAGTTTCGATCCCATCATTAAATGAAATGGCAGTTTAAACTTACCGATTGAAGCAAAGAAAATTGAACCGAGGAAGTTTTTGATTGGTTGTATAAGTGAATCAATATGCTCTGCTAAATGGTGCCCTTGTGCACTGACTAGAATCCCAGCAATAAAACACCCCAGCTCCATGGATATATGTAGGAAGTTGGTTATCTGAAATTGAAGAAAACACATTAGTTTAAGTCTACCCTGACTACCAACACTACCTCCTTCACCTCGAGGGGCTCTGCTGGGGAGTTCTTCAATCATTGTCAATATAGTAAGATTCTTGCTTTATTTAAGAGATCTTTACCACATTCTCTCCAATAGCTGTCACTTTTGTTGCAAATAAGGCATTTTTGGCAAGAAAAATTCCCATACATGATATTCCTTGGGATTTTTGACTTCTCTCATATATGGGTGCTCTTTGTAATGGGTTACAATGGAAATTTCAATTTTAAAAGCGCCCTGAGCCTTTTTACGGCGAATACAGTATTTCAAAAATGTGACAATCACATGATGCTAATAGCGATGAATTGCATAAAACGATCACATGATGCCAATGACAACTAAGTTCTATGATGCCAATGGCAACTAAGTTCTATGATGCCAATGGCCACTATGTGTAAGGAACAATCGTATGATATGACAATGAAGAACAAATGCATTAAAGAATCATAATGTCTAATACTTCATGATTGTATGTGTTTTAGTCATTCAAGTTCCTAATAATGTTGTTTTCATACTCACAGTAAGCATTAAGAAGGCTATAGATATAGTAGCCAGCATGGTCAATTCATTACTGTCTTTCTTCACCAGGTATCTGTAGAATGGGCCAACAGCATACTGAGCTAGCAACCAGGCCAACATAACTGTCACACAGAGAGCTGAAATATAAACAAACATAGCTATAAACCAGGTCAATATCACTTTCGTTCTTCACCAGGTATCTGTAGAACGGGCCAATAGCATACTGGGGTAGCATCCAGGTGATGTATGGGGGAGGCGGACAAAACACTATATATGTTCACATTGGATTGTGATTTTGGATAATTTGGGGTTTCACTTCCTTATGGCTGGTGTCTCTTGGATGTTTTTTCTCTTGCCATGTTCTATAACCATATTTGGTGTTTTTCTGTTTGCACTGTACTACATATTTAGCAAAAAGCCATTTAAAGGCCCACTATACTTAATTCAGAATAAAAAAAAATTCGCATAGAAAAAGAGAGATCATTAGACATGCATGCACATGTTAAATAAAGTAAATTATTTTTAATAACTGTTGATTTAAAAGATGGCGACACTTGTGTAAAAATGAATGTATCGTGTAATACAAACAACTTTGCCATTTTTCAATGTCATTGATAAAAACTTGATATATAAAGCTTGACAGAAAATATTTTTGGATAATTTATTTTAATCTTTGATGTAGTCCGTTTGAGCTGTTGTTGTTGGTGTCAAATGAAAGATCAGGTTCTGAAATTCAAATTTAAGTATTTATTTTGCCCAAAAAGGTTAAAAATATGCAAAGTGGGCCTTTAAGTATAAAATAAATACTGTTCACTCGACAGTTCTATAAGTCAAACTTACCCCCTCCCAACTGTGCAAAAAGAATCATAAACTGCAGAAGTGGTCCCTCTGAGGAAGTTCCATGTTGGGCTAGAGTGGGGAGTAAGGCTATTAAAAGGCCCAGCAGGACATCTTGCATGATCAGGATGCCCAGTAATACAGTGCCATAATCTGTGCCTGAAGGTAGATATAAAAGAAACATTTAGGCACTGAAGTAAGATGACATGGAAAATTAGAAGGCTGCATGGTGTAACAATGTTTGAATAGATGAGGTGTTTTTTAAACTGATGCATTTAATGTCAAACAAATGTAGATCGCAGCAATGGAGGTCAGTAATAAGCTCCTATATGGAAAATGTGGCCGAGAATGATGAAGAACTAGCTTCAAAGTAATGTTTTTTTTGTGGTGTAGTTAGTTTTGATATGCTACTAAAGTTTGGGCAAAGGGTGATAATAGTGCATCACTCCTACGTATTACCTTGAATTAATGTTATACTTCGCAAAAATGTAACACGTCTGAACAACCCCCTACTTGTTGTCATTAAAGCACATATTCCCCAAAATCTGGTGAACTTCATAAAGTGTTGCAATTAAAAATCTGCATGATCATTAGTTGTGTTTCTAAATAGAATATGTTAAATTAAGAGCTATCACTCCCTTTCTTCACTGCTTTTCTCATCTAGTTTCAACCTAAAGGTTTACCTTGTTCAGTTTAATGAGCTCTTATATTATAGGTGGATTTATTTGGTGTTTGGTACAGCTTATAAATTGTTTTCCAATTTTGTTTTCTTTTTGGGTTGCATCAAAATTAGTGATAAATATAAATTAATCAGATTCAAAAAAAAAAAAAATTCTTACTTCAAAAATAAATGAATTAAAGCTGAAAATATATTGTTTATGTTAAATTTCGCAAATAATCTTCCTTTTATTTGGTCAAATTCAAATATATTTCCCTTCCTTGACCCTTTACCAAAATGAATTTGTCTCAATTTTGAAGGTGCTAGATTCTAGCACTACAAACCTAATTTTAAATGACTGCTTCCATACAAATACCTGCATCCTCATACTATTGAACCCATGAAATTCACGCTAGAATCTAGCACTACAAACCTACAAATACCCGCATCCTCGTACTATCGAACCCAATAAATTCTACCCTTTGCATTCGTTTGACTTCACTTCTTAAAAGAGAGCTTCGTCTTCACTCTTTCAAACTAAAATAAACCTGTGAACTCACCGCGCCAATCAGTGTTCGTCGGCCAAATTTGACCGACGTTCTATATATGGTCATTCCTTCTGACGTCATCATTGAGCCCGGAATTGACCAATGACATGCGCTTATTTAATTAGAACGCATTTTGCGTATGTTACTTCAAGCTCGCTCGCTGGTTGGAGAAAGGTCAGCGCATAGGTCAGAAGTGATTTATTACCCAAACTGTCACCAGTACCCGTCGTGGGGGCGGGGCTACTAAACTGTAATATGGTCTCTACTGGGCAGAGTGTAGTTTAACTAGACTCTGCACGCAGGGTAAAGAAATTCACTTTCTTTAAGAAAAGAATAGGGTCATGGGCGTAGTGCTATATTTCTAAGTAATACACCATCGCAGGAACAGTAATTGAGAGAAGAAAAAGGAGCGTTTAGGGGGGTCTGGGGGGTTCCCCACAGGAATATTTTGAAATTAGGTTTTATTTAGAGCGAATTTGCAACCCTCTGGTACGCCTGTGCGTACCAAGCATATCGGGCGCTACGCCTATGAGGGTTACACACATTTTATTATCTATTAACTAAAAATGCAGCTTTTAAATTTTGTTATTTCAAACATTTGCCCCTTGCTAAAGTCAAAACAGAAATGTTTGTGAGTACTTTGAATTTAAAAAATAAGCAATCAAATGTATAATGTGCAGCAAAGCTGTGGCCTTTTGTAATTTAGGGAGTTTCAGCCATGTTAATTTTTCCGAAAATAACATGGCAGAGAAGTATCAAAATACCAGAACAACGGCAACGCCAAAGCGTAGCGAATCCCATCGAACAGAAATGGCTGGCATTTTTACAAACGAAGCGCAAATATCATAAAACAACACACCAGAAAGGCCACCATTTTCAAAATGGTTGCTTGGAAGAAATAATATGCTTTTAAGTAGCCACCACTAAAATTTTTGAAAAATCGCACACGTACTTGTAAAATAACACACATAAAAATGATGGTCATTTTTCAAAATGGCCGACTACTCCCCAAAGTTTTATTAGACAATGTGCCATGCTTAAAGTATTCACATATCAAATATGAACAAAATCGCTCCACTACTTTTCGAGTTATAGTAAAATACGTTAAAATGGCGGCCATTTTTCAAAATGGCCACCTTCTACCAAAAGTGTCTTAAGACAGTGTGCAATGCTTATAGTATTCACACACCAAATATGAACAAAATCGCTCCACTATTTTTCGAGTTACAGCAAAAATCGTAAAATGACGAGTAAAGGCCGCCATTTTTCAAGATGGCTGCCATGTGCTTTTTTAATATTTACATTTGTAGCATTATTAATGTCCTTTATAATCTTTTTACATTTAAAACATATTGCTATTACAGTTTTACATATTGCACCTAAATTACTGTAAAATCGTCACTAAAATGGCCACCATTTTGAAATGAGCGGCCATTTTGAAAATCGGCTTTCGAGCAGAACTTCTACCCCCATAGGGTATATGTGTACAAAATATTAACAAAATCGGGCCAACGGTATTTGAGTTATTGCCCGGACGGACGTACGGACGTACGTACGGACGGACGGAGGCGTTCCCTATATCCCTCCTAACTTCGTTCGATGGGATAATAAGAGGACACAGATATGATAGCTAACCTAGAAAACAAACTAAAATATACAAAAGTTAGGATAAATATAAATTAATCAGATTTAAAAAACAAATAATTATAACTTGAAGAAATTAATTAATTAAAGCTGAAAAATGTATTGTATATGTTAAATTTTACAAGTTAACTTCCTTTAATTCAGTCAAATTCATATATATTTCCCTTCTTGACAAAGCTTCTTTCGTAAAATCATTGACTCAATTTTGAAGGTGCTTTAATCTAGCACTATAAACTTAGTATGTAAACGTAGATACATAAAACATTAGCATCTTACCACTTATGAACCCAAAAATTCATGACATCACAAATATGAAAAGAACTACACACTAATTATTGACTCATTCAATAGTTGAACAATAAACACAAATAAATCAAATAGTAGTACAATTTGGCAACCGTTTTAATATGACAGTTTTGCCGATCGAAAAATATTGCATCAAAGGAATTCTGGGCGATAGGGAATAACAAAATATTGCTTGTAGGCGAGATCAGACAACTTTGACATTCAAGCAGATATCGGACAAATTCATAAAAATATTGTTTTGAACAATGAGACCAGTGATTATAAATTCTGGAGTGTGCTCTCTGAGGTCCACATGGAAAGATTTCAATTATTTCAAATTTTGACATGGATTTGATTTTAAATGCTTCTAAATGAGCTTCAAACACTTACTATGATTTCTTTTTGTAACATTTTGACTTCCTCAATTCATAAAAAGAACATCATCACTTTTTACTAGTCTTGAACTACTACAATATACCAATTATTTTGGAGATGTAATTAAGGCACTAAATGTAAACATTTCTTCACCATCAGTCATACCTAGCAGGTTAACAGTTGCAATATTATAGTTGTAACAACTAACGTGTGTAATGTGTAAATTGTATTTAGTTATTTTTCTCCTAATAATATGAATCAAATTAGACAGCCATCTGCTCACACAGACACAAGCACACTTGCACAACCCACCACATCCACAAGACAACTACAAAAAAATAAGATTTTAGAATTGCGAATTCCTGCAAAGCAGCCATTTTGAATTTTCTGAGGTACAAATCTGAAAAATAATACCATAATTGTGATCTACTCCAAAATTCCTTCAATTTGAGTATAATATAGCCATACTTTGAAGGGATCGAAAAATTATTGCGATCGAAATCGTACATAAGACGGCCATTTTGAATTTTACGAGGCTCGAATCAGAAAAAAAGATACATATTTGTAATCTACTCTTAATTGCCTTTCATTTGAGTATAATAAAGCTATACTTCAGAAAGATCTAAAAATTAGCGAAAGAAAGAAAGACCTAAAAATCTGTTTTCCTGTCCCCCCATACATGGCACCTGGGGGTCAGGATGAAAAACACGGAATATATGTGAAATAGATAAATGTTGTGAATACACTTCCAAAATTTCAAACAATAATATTCATTACTTTGGTTTAGAATGAAAAATTTATGATTTTTGCAAAAAAGTCCCGTCATTTTTAAAGCGGCGGCCATCTTAAAAAAAAAATTTTGCGTAAAACTATTTACCAATATACATCTTTCAACAAAATATGAAGAAAAACTGTCAACTAGTATTTGAGTTATCTTCCGGACAGACGGACTGACTGACTGACTGACTGACTGACGGACAGACGGATGGACGGAGGGCTTCACTATAACCCTAACGAACTTCGTTCGTTGGGATAATAAGCCACACGGTGAACAGAATCGCACCCTTGAACAGAATACACTTTTCGGTAAAAGATATACTAATGTATTACAAAATATGTGAAAATTGGAAAGATTGACCGTTTAGTTATTTCTAAAAAAATGTTTTAATTTAACATTGTTCTCAATGGGAAATTCTTTTTTATTTTTTGAAACAAGCCTTCACAGACATGATTTTAGGACAAAAAATCCAAAATGTCTGCCTTAACATTTACCAAGAATGCCGAAAAACTAATCAGTTCTAAATTTTTATAGGTAGAAACATCCCTGAGAATTTCAAATGAATCCCTCAAACAGTTTGGCTGGAAACCTGTAGACAAGCCTTGACAGACAAGATTTTAGGATGGAAAATTCAAAATGGCAACCTTAACATTTTCCCAGACTGCCTAAAAACTAATCAGTTCTAAACTTTCATAGGTAGAAACATCCCTGAGAATTTCAAATGAATCCCTCAAACGGTTTAGCTGGAAACCTGTAGACAAACCTTGACAGACAAGATTTTAGAACGGAAAATCCAAAATGGCGGCCTTAACATTTACCCAGAATGCCGAAAAACTAATCAGTTCTAAACTTTCATAGGTAGAAACATCCCTGAGAATTTCAAATGAATCCCTCAAACGGTTTAGCTGGAAACCTGTAGACAAGCCTTGACAGACAAGATTTTTTGGATGGAAAATCCAAAATGGCCGCCTTAACATTTACCCGGAATGCCGAAAAACTAATCAGTTCTAAAATTTCATAGGTAGAAACATCCCTGAGAATTTCAAATGAATCCCTCAAATGGTTTGGCTGGAAACCTGTAGACAAGCCTTGACAGACAAGATTTTAGGACGGGAAATCCAAAATGGCCACCTTAACATTTACCCAGAATGCCGAAAAACTAATCAGTTCTAAACTTTCATTAGTAGAAACATCTTTGAGAATTTCAAATGAATCCCTCAAACGGTTTAGCTGGAAACCTGTAGACAAGCCTTGACAGACAAGATTTTAGAACGGAAAATCCAAAATGGCGGCCTTAACATTTACCCAGAATGCCGAAAAACTAATCAGTTCTAAACTTTCATGATTAAAAACATCCCTGAGAATTTCAAATGAATCCCCTAAACGGTTTGGCTGGAAACCTGTAGACAAGCCTTGACAGACAAGATTTTAGGACGGAAAATCCAAAAATGGCCACCTTAACATTTACCCAGAATGCCTAGAAACTAATCAGTTCTAAACTTTCATAGGTAGAAACATCCCTGAAAATTTTAAATGAGTCCCTCAAACGGTTTGGCTGGAAACCTGTAGACAAGCCTTGACAGACAAGATTTTAGGACAAAAAAATCCAAAATGGCCGCCTTAACATTTACCCAGAATGCCGAAAAACGAATCAGTTCTAAACTTTCATAGGTAGAAACATCCCTGAGAATTTCAAATGAATCCATCAAACGGTTTGGCTGGAAACCTGTAGACAAGATTATTCGGGACGCCTGCCCGCCCAACCGCCCGCCCACCCACCCGCCCGCCTGGCAAACTGATTACAATATAGCACCTGAGGGTGCGATAAAAACGTTTCCAAAATGCAAACATGGCATTAATATGCAAAATGTCATCACCTGCCATTTGTTACACGCAACAAATGTCAAATGCCAAACGGGAACCATTATCAATATGCACTTCTGGTGGTGACATAAAAAACTTCTTACCTTGTGACATTTCTCTCTCTTTGTTTGAAGACAGAAATCTAACGACAAGGGGTGTACTTGATAGTGATAAACAAGCAGCAATGAACGCACTTTCACTGTGTGATGCATACACTATGTTACCAAGCAACACACCAAACGCAACCATAATTCCCATTATGGAAGCACTGCCCAGTGTAGCAACTTTTAGCACCTGAAACCAACGTTTTTTTAATTTATTTAATCCACTTCGTATTAGTATAGTTCATATAATAGTAAAGTTCATTGTATTACATCAAATTCAATGATTGATTAATTGTTGAAAGTTTATTTAAAGGAACATTCACGCGGTCCTAACTTCGACCGTTAATTTAAAAAAACGGTGCAGTATGAGACTCGTAATCCTTGATTTTCAAACATCCGGTAGGTCAAAAATTCAAATTAACTGTCGAAGTTAGGACCGTGTGATATTGTATAAGATAGATTCTAACTTGAAAAGTGATGTCACTGTTCTATTTTCTTACCTTCTTCAACTGATCAGGTGAAAACTCTAATCCAACTGAGAAGAGGATGAAAAACACACCAAACTCTCCCAATGTCTCTAACTGCACCAATGACTGAAATATAGAAACATGTATGCACAGTAAAACTTGTCTAAGTGGAACGCCTTAGTGGTACCTCTTAAAAGTGTTCGACTTGTGAGGTGTTCATTTAACATTTAGTTATTTGGTATTGGAACTCTGAAAAAGTGTTCCATTGACAGACGTGTTTGATTTCTGGAGGTGTCCAACTTCACTAGTTTTATTGTATTATTAAAAGGGATTCTATCGGCACAAGTTTTTTTTTCATTGAGAATTGAAATAAAAGGATAATTACAATACAAAATGTCTACACCTGGCAACACCTGGTATTATTGAGTGAAAACATCTTATCCTTAGTGGCTTAATTAATCATTGCAATTTAAATACAAGGATATCCAAAAAGTAGGTTTCCAGTTATTCAACAATCTCTTTCTGTAAAATGTAAACATACTTTTGGGTCACCCTGTATAATTTCCAGTTATTCAAGAATCTCTTTTTGTAAACTGTAAACATACTTTTGGGTCACCCTGTATAATTTCCAGTTATTCAGCAATCTCTTTCTGTAAACTTTTTTTTTTTAAACAATAGGTTTATTTCATTGATATATTTTTCCTGTAAACTGTAAACGTACTTTTGGGTCACCCTGTATAATTTCCAGTTATTCAACAATCTCTTTTTGTAAACTGTAAACATACTTTTGGGTTACCCTGTATAATTTCCAGTTATTCAACAATCTCTTTCTGTAAACTGTAAACATACTTTTGGGTCACCCTGTATAATTTCCAGTTATTCAACAATCTCTTTCTGTAAACTGTAAACATACTTTTGGGTCACCCTGTATAATTTCCAGTTATTCAACAATCTCTTTTTTTGTAAACTGTAAACATACTTTTGACTCACCCTGTATAATTTCATACCTTTAATGTGTTAAACCCTGATGGTCCCAATATTATTCCACTGAGGACATATCCAAACATTGTTGGGAAATGGAGCGCTGTACATAGCCAGCCAAATAGGAAGGATAGCAGCATTAAATAAATCACATCCTGAAAAGACAAGGAGGTTATTTACTGTTAGGGATTGGATTTGAGTTTATTCAGAGGGAGTACTGCTACATGTTTTTAGGAGAACTTGTACTTGATATTGTATAGTTGTGGTCCTTAAGAGATTGGTTCTCCACTTTTAATTGTCCAAACAAGAAGAATGGCAGAACTAAATAAATCACATCCTTAAAAGACAAAGAGGTCATACATATACTGCTAAATGTTTTTAGGAGAACTTGTACATATTGTAGAATTATAGATTAGTTCTCCACTTTTAATTGTCTGATCAAGTATAAAGCTCCAGTATAAGGCAAATACTGTAGTTGTTATAAGGTCTCAGATGAAACCAATTGAGACTTTAAGGCAACAGTTATCCCTGGTTGTTATAGTATTACATGTTCACATCCAAGTTTTCATAACAAATGAAGCTTAACATCCCTAATGTTTTGTACATGTTGTATTAACCATGTTCAGGAATAGTAAAATTTCTAATGTTAATGATTTCAAATGACTGCTACTTTAGCTGTAGCTATGCCCCGGTATGTTATTTTTTGTTCCCAAAAATCTGAGGCAAAAGTACTTCTGAGTACTTAGCTCTGTTGTGTATTGGTATTATTCTATTCTTATTATTCATCACAATATTTAAGGATTTAGGCCCTGGGTGCAGCATTGAGTGTTAATTTTTGGAAACAATGCCTGAAAGGAATGGTTATTCTACAATGCATCGAGTCTTGAGTCTTGGGCTTAAATTCTTTTCATACATTGCAAAATGTTTTTCTACCATCACTTAAAAGATATGAAATTACTAATCAAAGAACATATTTTCAATGAAAATTTTTGCAAGGGTCAAGCTATAGAGTGTTAATTTTTGGAATCAATGCTTGAAAGGAATGGTTATTCTACAATGCATCAAGTCTTGAGTCTTGGGCTTAAATTCTTTTCATACATTGCAAAATGTTTTTCTACCATCACTTAAAAGATATGAAATTACTAATCAAAGAACATATTTTCAATGAAAATTTCTGCAAGGGTCAAGCTGTCAAAGCATCAAATTTCAATATGTAGAGTCAAGTTGTCAACCTTGACAAGCACTCAAGAAATGACCTTGGATGCAGTGATTGTTTATATACTGCACAGCAGTTAAATAAAATACTGTGTTTGGATTGGCTGGAATCAGACACACCCTGCCTAGCTACTGTGTGAATAATATGATAACCTGAACAGGGTTTTCACCAGGAAATTTTTAGACCCTGGATTTTTAGCGATATTGTGAATACTTGCGAATACTTCTCCCCATGTGAGATCAGAGATAATAATCATTCACCTGTATTAAATGATGGTCCTCATGAGGTACTGTAGAGTCCTTTCCCTTTGATAGGACAAACTGATTGTCTCTGGAATCTACCAGCTTCATCACTTCCATGCCTTGATCATCGCTCTTATTGGCCTGTTCATTCGCTTGGTCTGTATCACGGTCATGTAGCCGTATCACTGCTTCAATGTTGTTTCCTTGCGCCTGAAATATAGTGCAGCAGAGGTCAAGGTCTTAAATCACAAGGTTGCAGCTTTGCATACATTTTTGTAACCATTTACTGTAACGTATCAGTAAATGGTTAAAAAAGTGTAACAACTGGTTACAAATGCCAACCAATGAGTTAAGCCATCACAAAAAATGCTGAAAATTAGAATGACACTGATAATATGTTTAATAACGACTTCTCGGTAGTGACATAACAAGAAAATCCAGTGAAAATGACACTAGAAAAATATGAAGGCCATAATGTTATTTTGACAGAACTGATTCACGTCCACTTTTTATGAAAATACTACTGAGTGAAAGACAATGAACAAACTACATGTAGTGAATGCTCAAACTTCGGTCCATAGAACGAATGGCTCTGCCCACTTCGTGGGGGCCCTTCGTAAAAATACCTTATTAGCTTGTTCTTTTACTGCATTGTCAAATATATGATCATCCAGGTCATGTTCAAGCTGATCTGCTGCCTTTGCCACTTGGTTAAGTATATCATCTATAACTCCCTCTATCTTAGTGCTTGAGTTTAGATGCTTCAGTCGCTCCTAATTTAAACATTGGTGTATATACACATATAAAATAGGTAATTATCACTATTAAATAGGTAACAACAATATGTGAGTATGTTGGTGTTTTTTAAAATTAGATATCTAGTGAGTTTTCATAGTTTCCGAGCCAGTCAACTGAAAATATTAGTAGGAAGCCATTTCAGCTCAAAATTCAAATTCAATGGTATAGTACAGATATCATATGCTAATCATATCATTCACAATGCCAATCATATGATAGATACACAATGCCAATCATATGTCAAATAGTGCTTGTCAAATAATGCATGATGCCAAGCATATGATCCATGATGCCAATCATATGAGATACTCTACCTGAATGTCAGCCTTCTGCTTCTCTGCATTAAGTAAAGCATTGTATTCTTGTTCTTCTTTCAAAGTGGCATCTCTAAGAGCCTCAAGTCTCTGCTTGCTTGACTGAAATGTTTAAAATGGTTCGTTTACTTAAGTTTAAAACTCTGCCCCCCCCCCCCTCCCCTCGTATACTTCTTTCAAGTAGTATCTCTAAGAGCCTCAAGTCTCTGCTTGCTTGACTGAAATGTTTAAAATGGTAAATAAATGTTTACTAAAATTTAAAGCTCTGCGCCCCCTCCCCCCCTTCTCCCCTCATATACTTCTTTCAAAGTAGTATCTCTAAGAGCCTCAAGTCTCTGCTTGCTTGACTGAAATGTTTAAAATGGTTTGTTTACTAAAATTTAAAACTCTGCCCACCCCTCCCCTCGTATACTTCTTTCAAGTAGTATCTCTAAGAGTCTCAAGTCTCTGCTTGCTTGACTGAAATGTTTAAAATGGTTTGTTTACTAAGATTTAAAGCTCTGCGCCCCCTCCCCCCTTCTCCCCTCATATACTTCTTTCAAAGTAGTATCTCTAAGAGTCTCAAGTCTCTGCTTGCTTGAATGAAATGTTTAAAATGGTTTGTTTACTAAAATTTAAAGCTCTGCCCCCCCCCCTTCTCCCCTCATATACTTCTTTCAAAGTAGTATCTCTAAGAGTCTCAAGTCTCTGCTTGCTTGACTGAAATGTTTAAAATGGTTTGTTTACTAAAATTTAAAGCTCTGCCCCCCCCCCCCTTCTCCCCTCATATACTTCTTTCAAGTAGTATCTCTAAGAGTCTCAAGTCTCTGCTTGCTTGACTGAAATGTTTAAAATGGTTTGTTTACTAAAATTTTAATGCTCTGCCCCCCCCCCCTCTCCCCTCGTATACTTCTTCCAAAGTAGCATCTCTAAAGAGTCTTGAGTCTCTGCTTACTCGACTGAAATGTTTAAAATGGTTTGTTGTAGTAAACTGAAACGGTACCTACAATTTCAATTTTGGTATAGTTTGTCCCCTCTCCCCTTATACATGTATATACATTTTGTATTTATCAAAATTTTAAAATTGATAGATTTGTTTTTACCCCTCTCTTCCTAACAAAATTAAGATTGTTCTTCCAAAACTTTGACAAAATCGACTCCATTCTTAACTGAAACACCACTTTTCAGATCATATAAGATCATCACTGACCTGTTTAATATTTAGAAAATCCCTGTAGTTCCCTTTCAAAGCATTATCAAGCCAGTCCATGGAGGTGAATATTAGAACCTCACTTTCGTTAAGTTCCTTCATAAACGTGTTGAAGACATCAGCCTGGTAATGGCGTTCATCTATAGGAATGTTTTTATTGGCCGATGTTCTTTTCACATACTCGACCAATCTTTCTATTGCAAATTTTTTGCGTCGAAGTAAGGTGCCCAATCTGAAAAATAAATCTATGTTTTCACAAAAGTTAACACTGATTTATTGTATATTTCTAAAACGGATCAATAATGAAAATCATTTTAGAGAAATATTTATGTTTATTAATTACTTTACACTTTAGACTCCGGAAAAGCTATTAGACTCTGGAGCAAGAGGGTCTAAAGAGAATCTCCAGAGTCTAAAAGTGAGAACCTTGACAATACTTACTTTTGGAATGAATTCTTTTTCCACTCATAATGTGTCTGAACTGGCTTTGGCACTGGAGGTTTCACTGGGGCTGGTTCAGCTTGTCTCTTCTGAATGTTCAATTGGTGAACTTTCACTATATGGTGACCAATATCCGCTTGAACTGTCTCAGTCCCCGACCAGATCACAACAATCCCTATGTAGATGACAGACCCAATACTCATGCAGGTCAAAATCCTGGATGACATTTTGAGGAATCCTACATCGACTAAATTTCTGCTTTTACGACGCATCACTTATAAAGCTATACTGTGATGACATATTTGAGTATTCGGGGAATTAATCCTTATATTTCTAAATGAGTTTTTTTCAATTAGTATTGTTTCAATTTTAAATCCACTTGTTTATTGAGCTCATCCTGTTGTGGTATAGTCCAAAAACCGATCAATTTATTGATTTCACACAGTCGCATTTTGTATTGTTGTAGTTTAACAGATAGAGATATGTTTAACTGATATCCTAATTTCAAATATGTTTTTTTTCAATTCAAGGCCATAAAAAACAATACAGTTCAACTTCTGGATGATCCCATTTGCCGTGCGTGTATATGGGTTCACATGTATGGTATATCAATCCTGGAATTGTTATTGCAGGAAAGTACCAGCACAATGAATCTTTTGTTCATCATCTGTAGTTTAAAATCAATTTAATGCTTCAACATATTTTCTCAGTACTTATTCCATAGTTCAACTGGTATTAAACATAATTTGATCCATTGTCTGATGACTGCAGTTTCAACCATTTTCAGCATTGGACAATCTGAAAGAAGAAAATAAATTGTTATGATAATTTATTCAACAAGGCATTAACGTGTAAAATGTCACCACCTGCTATTTGTTACAGATGCTGAATGCCAACCACCTAATGATGGTGGCCAAACACCATCCACAAAAAAGTTGGAGACTAATATACATCACCACTTTTGTTGGTGACATAAAAACCTTAGCAAAATACACAAAACTTAATACATGACGTATGCTGTTGTATCCATCCAGCCTCAAAATGTGCCAATAAGGTAGCTGCCAAGTGGCAATGTGTGAATAGCGCAAGTTGAGGCATTACATTATAGGCCCTGTGGAGTACTATTTGTAAATTTCTCATGCAATCTTACATGTAGCTAATAATCTCCTTAGTATAATTATTGATAAAATTGCATTTTGAACATTTCCCAAACCAAGCAAATAAGCATAAAACCCAGAGGTTTTTTAATATGATTACAGCCCTTGGCCAATGATTTCACTGTTAAGGTTTATGAAAACACAGAATGAAATCCTGTGTTAAGAGGCTGATGTGAAAGTCAGTCCACCGTGGGGTTTGAACCTACGACCCCTCCATTTCCAGGCGAATGGTCTATGAGATTTTAAGAGGTAAAATCCAAACAGTTCTGGGAACAGGCATTTAAAGGTATCTATCACATCTGTTATGACTTTACTGGCCTGAGAAAGAAAAATCCATAATTAAATAAGTAATTTGCAAGTCATGTCAAATTAAACTGCAAACCATAAAACATATTGATTAAAATAGAAAACTGTTCATGCAATTTGTCTGGAACCTTCTACTCTTACCGCTCTGATTTAAACAAAGTTCTCAATTTCAGTGAATATTCCAAGTACTGTAAAATTGCAGAGTTAGAAATTTGGTGAAATATATGGCTCTGTACTACTGTTTCTCTTGTGATTGACAACAGTTATGCTATTATACAGCTAATAAGAATATTTTTATTTTTTTGTAAATCAATTTTGGCATCATGCATAACCTTCTACTCTTACCGCTCTGATTTAAACAAAGTTCTTAATTTCAGTGAATATTCCAAGTACTGTAAGATTGCAGAGTTAGAAATTTGGTGAAATATATGGCTCTGTACTACTGTTTCTCTTGTGATTGACAACAGTTATGCTATTATACAGCTAATAAGAATATTTTTATTTTTTTGTAAATCAATTTTTGCATCATGCACACTCTCCCAGTATATTTGAATCAAATCAGCCTTGCACTATTTAGTTAACATTAGAAATTACTTGAATTGGGATTCTTTATCATTATTGATGATAATATAATCACCCCTTTTCCATACAAGATTGCCTATCCAGATATGTGCCAATATGCTACGAGACCATTTTATCCTATTAGCTCATTCATTCCATTCTTTTTCATGTATTCTTGCAAGAATTCACCAAATCTAAATAAGCATCGATGATCTAAAAATGGCAAATCTGCAAAATTTAAATGCCACCAAATTAAACCACAATTTACAGTATGTACTGTAATTCGCTCAGATAAGCAAGGAGGAAGTCTAGATTATGAGTTGATTTAATCAGAAGAACACATAGTAGTAAGTAGATTTAGTCAGTATTAGCAAGGATGTCCTTGGTATTAGTAACATTATAATTATTATATAATCAATTTGTAAGCAAGAATGTAGGGTTAAAGTTGAGGTGAACAAGAAACCAACATTAGAATGAATTTGTCCAGTATGTTACACTATTCAAAATATTATTGATTAAAAAATCAAAATTTTGGCTGGGCTTAAATGTTATTCTTATTCTTTTTAACCATTCAAATGTTCTATAACCAATTGTAAATTTCAAATTTGACTTCGTTGTCAACGAGTCGTATTAAGCGAGATACATGAACAGGTAATTCAAATGGAAAAAAACAACCATTGGTACGGTAGTACCACCCTATCATACCAATCCAAGAGGGGAAAAACCCAAGGGTCCAGAGAAGACATATGACTATAATGTAAATCTGTATTGAGAAGACAACATTGCTGATTGGTCAAATTGAAAGACTAATTTTATATAAAGGTGCAACAATTATTGCGGGGGGGGGGGGGGCATTCAACGATCATCGACCAGTGTCAAAATATATTTAAGTTTGGATATTTCATCAAGACTATCTACAATGAAACACCCTGGATGAACATTATTTCAGCTGATATTCCTCTTGAATCGGATGGATCTTAAAAATCAATCTAAGCTCTGGAGTTTCCCCCCTCTTATACATGTTCTGTCCATTATAAGTAGCTGTGATTATCAAGGGTGGAATTTGAATAATGACAAGTGTTTAATTTTTCCATTGAACTTGGTAAGACCATTGAAATGTCAGCAAATAGAGCTTGTGCTATTGTTTATTATGGAAATACAAATATACCTAACTTTAAATAAATATTGATATGACATGGCATAACATGGAGAAATAGCGCAACTGATTTGGGCTTGTGCCATATACATATTGTACAATGGCATTTGACCTTGCACCCTTTAACAGCATTTCAAGTTAATTCCATGCAAAAACAGTTTCTGCTTGTTAATTAATTTGTTTCAACTATTGAAATTCCTCCATCTAAATACACATACAGTAAAATTTTAAATGTTTGTAAGTACTTTGAATTTAAAAAGTAAGCAATCAAAGGACCATGTTGAAACAGTATGATGATAGAACAGTATGAAAATAGTAACATTTATACATGTCGTAACTTTTGTCTAATTTAGTTTGTTTTGTAGTTTAGCTATCATACCTGTGGCCTCTTATATTTTGATGCTTCTCTGCCATGTTATTTTCGGAAAAATTAACATGGCTGAAACTCCCTAAATTACAAAATTAAAATCTTGCGAGGTCTAATCTCGATCCATGCGAGAAAAGCTTCCCCTAGATCGGAAATTAGAGCAAATAAACAACAAGGTGTCAAACACAGGAACCTGTATCAACACCTGACAGTGACATTTATTATACATGTTGTATAAGAGATTTATTCCCAGGGTTCTGTCACCAATAGATGTCACTGTAACTGTCAGGTGTTGATACAGGTTCCTGTGGTGTCAAAGTTATCACACAGGTCGAAGTTACCCCAAAATGGTCTCGATTATCCCGTGCCAGGACTATAGTCATGCGAACGTCTTATTCTTTTGCCTGTACGATTACAACATGGGAGAATTTTCTACGCTTCTTACACTTAAGATACCTATTTCAATAGATTCCTTGGTATTTTAGCATTCTTTTCGTGTAGTTGAATCCACAATTGTCTGGGTTTATCGGCAGAACAAAGAAATTTTCGTTCTTGATCGCAACATTTGCGTGTAATATTTAACTTATTTCAACCGTCAAATTCTTCCATTTATTGGTTATCCGGGCCACTTCCGGGTCAGTCAAACTGGGAATCCCCTTTTAAATTCAACTGCCATCTTGGAAAGTGATGGAATATCTCTCGATGAAAAAGAAAAATGTTCCCATTCTGCCGATATACCCAAACAATTGTGGATTCAACTACACGAAAAGAATGCTAAAATACCCAGGAATCTATTGGTATCTTAAGTGTAAGGGGCGTAGATAATTCTCATAAGTTGTAATCGTACAGGCAAAAGAATGCGCTCGTTACAGGACTATAGTCCTGGTACGGGATAAGGTCTCGACATTACACCCCTTCGCCCTATTTGTGGACCAATCTGAAATGGGACAGCATCTTCTCCAATCAATTGAGGTTGGGCCTTGCAGCCGAAGGTAAGCCATACAACCGAAGGTAAGCCATACAACCTAATTTTGCCGATTCAATCTGACGGAGAATGCCGAGCCTCTATTTTTGACCAATTAGAGGCGTCCTCTTCACATTCGTGGTACCCTCGGCCGACTTCGTTTGCAAAGAAAAGCTTCAGCAATCTTCGGCAATCTCCGCTTTTTCTTGAGGAATCTTCGGTTGATTGCCAAAAGTTAGTCATATAAATCCGACCGTTATATGATGTTCTTCGATATTCCTAGTTCTTATTTGGATATTTATTTTTTATCATTTTCTTTGCATATACGGTGCTCGTATGCAAGAAAATAAGAAAAAATAAATATCCAAATCAGAAAAAGTAACAATAGATAACATCATACGAGGGTCAGATTTTGACTACCAAAAGTCGACACCCAATAAAAATCATGACCTTACTTCCTGCGAAAGCTATTTGGATTTTGATATAATAGCTTTCCCACGGAGCATTTGGACAGCTCAATGATCGTGACCTTTGAAACCGAATTAAGTCGATCCGCGGCTTACTTTTGGTCTCTAACTGTGTCTTACATCAGTATCATCAATCCGTGTAAGTATTGGAGCGCTGGAATACTTCTTTTTCGATCAAGACTTGTAATTGTTAGTCGAGTGAATCGTTTTACTGCCAAATTCCAATATGGCGGTTTCTGCTCGGACATTTTCGTAAATCTCCGGAGGTTTTCCGAACCTAACTAATTCTCAAAATTCATTTCGTTCGTTGCGTATCTCGCACCTAGCAAACCGCCATATTGGAAATAGGTCTAAAAAACTTTCACTCGATGAACAATTTACAAGTCTTGATCGAAAAAGAAGTACTCCAGGGCTCCAATACTTACACGGATTGATGATACTGATGTAAGACACAGTTAGAGACCAAAAGTAAGCCGCGGATCGACTTAATTCGATTTCAAAGGTCACTATTGATCAGCTGTTCACTTCTCCGTTTGAGAGCCATAAGTTTCAAAATCTAACATGGCTCTCGAAGTGAGTAATCATGAC